AAGAGCTTACTAGAAGCGTTAGTTGTGGCTACGTACGATATCTGGTGTAATACAAGACGTTGCGTAAGGAAACAGAATCAGCATGTACAGGCGGTGAGAAGTTATCGATGGGGGCCGTGCGCATGGCGCTAGGCCCGGCCGGCTAATCAGCAGAATCCTGGTGCTTGGCGGAGCACTCGGATTCTGTAGCGCGTTCAGTGTCAAGGGAACCACGGTGGTTACCGTGACACGTAGTAAGGTTTGTACAGGCAGCTTAGACTGCAATTAAGAGTTGTTGTTAACTTTAACGCGTTTATTTAACGCAGCAGCGCAATTAGCAGCGCGTTTAAAGGCCTTTAGAGGCATAACAGATAGTAATAGCGCGTAAGGAGCCTTAGAGATAACAACAATAGGCGCTAATATAAGATATAGGCTAATAATAAATGTTAATACTGTAGTGGAGTGTTTTAGTAGTTCTCTATCGGAACGTGTGCTCGATGCAAGTAAGTAGAGTATATTGTGTGTGTTGTATGTGTAGTGTTTGTTGTCTGAACGGGGTTCAGACATTCCTGTCCCTTTTCTACTCTCTGTGTTATCTCTAAGCCCGATAGCCCTTCAGATCTGCAGTTCCCCTAGATTCTCTACCACAATACTACGTCGCAGAGTAAGCTAGTTAGATTAGAAGATTGCTTACTAATTAAAACTTAACACTACTAATATGTTACCCTATTGATATTATCTACTACCTAGTAACCTTATTAACTACCTTAGAAATCGCCCTAGTATTAGTACCTAATTAATCTAATTAATTAATTTAATTAAAAAGAGGGCTTTAATTTGTTTTTAATTAGAAAAACGCTATAGGCGAATTGATCTTGACTTAATTGAGCTTTTGATTAAGAATCAATTAAGTCAATCAAAAAACTTGCTTGTTGGCATGTCTGTTGTCGGGTTTCAATTCTCTAGCCATTACAATCGAAGCCAGCATAGAACGTGACTTGATACGTGCTTGCTAGTGGTAACAAAGCTGCTAACAGGGTTGCTTAATGTTTGTAGAACATTTTGAGCAGTCGTGAAGTTGGTAAGTCTGAACAAGTTCATTGATGCCACAATGAATGCTAGAACGGGTGCAAGGAGGTGTGTGATGCTTCCTCTGGTCGAGCCCTATCCGTCTTTCAAGTGTCTCTCACCTCGAGCTTGGGTCCGATCTCGCCGTCCATGCAAATAGAGTCAGCCAACAGTCTTCCGGCTCCTAATCTTCAGACGATGTAACGCGAGCATTCCCTTTGGGCTTCGCTAGTCATGCGCGCAGCCAGTGACGTGGAGTCAATGACTTGATCTGGTACTGAGAGACAGCAGATGTCACATTCATGACGAAGTGATGATAGACCAAGCGCGTGTTGGCAGTAGCAATAATTGGCGTTGTCTCGATTCGTGTCCTGCATGAATGTACAGTGACGGCACCAAGCCTTGGGTAATATAGGTGGTGGTGCAAAGTCCTTACGGATTGCTTTGGGTACGCTTTTAGGCTAGAGCAGTCTGTTATTATCCACCTCAAGCTGATTACTTGGCGGTAGGGTTAGGTACCTCATACTGGACTTCGTTCCAGCGCTTTAGCGCCTTAGTTGAATTTCCGAGAGAGTTGGTGAATCGTGAGAGTTGAACATGTCATGGGGTTTTCAATCGCGACTATAGTTGACTTGTTAGGCTGTTCCTTGCTTCTGCAAGGTTGGAAGTATGCACATGGCGGTTAAGTGGATGTAGCAGAGACACATATCAAGAGAGTGCTATGTAACCGTACTACAGTAGTAAGTCAAGTATGACGTTGGATTGATACTATAGCATCATGTTGCAGGCGGCGCAGTTGACAACAGTCTTGTTTACCCCGTGGAGTGCAGATCGTGGTTCGATACATCGCCCGTCGCTTATGATCGCGCAACAGAACTGAGCGATGTGACTCGAATCTCTTCTTGGACAGCTGTTTCTTGGTCATCTTCGGGCTGCTTTTCGGCTAGCTGTTTAGATCTTAGAGCATGGAACGGCTCGAACGTCGCTATGTCTTAGAAAGAGGCACCCCTACTTCGGCTTGACCATTCAGATCTTCCCAAGAAGGTTCGGCTGCGTCTATTAGTTGAACCTTAGCCAAAACATGCGCTGTCCCTTCGCCTTCATGGGGTGATAGCCTTATTAAGGAACCAATGGAAGCTCATTTGGTGGGTAGGGGGCCAAGCCGGGTACATGGCCTTCTTCATACTTGGCATGGCTCGACCCGAGAGATTAAGGAGAGGAGTAACAGAACTTAGTGGAGCTCTTGGCAGACTGATTGAGTGGTTGCGTAATTTTGCAGCGATGACGACGTGACCCTATGCCACGGTACGGGATGGGCACTGCAGACGAACTTCGCATACACTGCACACACGGAATTCGTCTTCATGCGTGTCTCCTTCAAATCACTGTCAAAACCGTACACAAGGGGCGTCCCGACCATAACAGCAGTTCTCAAGTCACGTACCTTCTCTTGCCTCCAGACACCCTCCAAATGGCTACCAAAAAGCTATCCAAATGTCTACCAACCGAAACCCACAACGTGCAGAACCTCGCTCGCGCAACAAAAAGGACGCCGACTTCGCATCGCAGCACTCGGCAAAAGAGAAATATCACAGACTGGGACATAATGATGTGGGAACAGGAGTAGAGAGCGCGAGGCTAATGTGGTGGCTTAAATTCTTCGGATCAGCTCTGATAACGTTGCTTGCTATGTACCTGTACGACAAGGTTGTAGGCCTTCCTCGGCAGCCTTGCACCCCTCGCGAAGTCCAAGCTTGTTGAGGTGGAGTGGCTTTATTCAGGTCACCTTGGGATCTCGGAAGCTGAAAGTCGCTCGTCGTTGCTTTGAGTTATCGCTGGCAGGGTCCATGTACGCGATCTACTGCTAGAAAAGGAGCTGGGTCCGCAAGGCGATTCTGCCTGCACGTACTGTATGAGGAATACATTGCATACCTACATAAATCACCCAGCGGAAATGTTTTGCAGTGATGATGATTGTTGCATGTGGTGCCAACCTGACTTTGACTGAAATGCCCAGGCGGCACGGGCACGGGCACGGCACGACACATAAACTACCCCCCCTTTGCCACCAGCGCAGAGCGCTTCGTGCCGCACCCCGTATTAGCGCGCATCACCTACAACAGTCCATGCGATCTCCGACGCCATCCAGCATAACGTCCACTGACTTCACAAACATAATATACCACTACCTCACGAGTACCGGCCGTTTGAGGCAAATATGGGGCGAGTGAATCATGCTACAAGCAGTTCCACGTGACTAGCAGTCATTAGCGACACCTTTTTAGGTGCAGTCATGATGGAAGTGCCTTGGTATGGAAGACAGCCAATTTTGCGTGGCTGTTTGGTTAGTTCAACCGGATTGATACTGCCAAAACAGCTTACGTTTTAGGATGCTTACATTCTCGTGGAGCGGTCAGCTGTACGCCGTGTACGCATTAAGGTGGCTATTCCCACACCCCATCATAAGTCGACGGGATCATTGGCACCGGTGGTTTAGTGAGGCCCGTGTTGCTAGCTTGGCGCCTCTTAAGTATAGCAGGGACTATCCTTTCAACTTTACAGAATACGACTTGAAACACCCTTCAGCATGCCTAGCTGAACGTGCTGTGGCTAGAACGTCCTTCAGTCCTAACTTTCATCCCGAGCTGCTGAGATGTATCGCTTCGCTCTAACGTTCCGCTTGGGTCTTTCCTCTAGACGCTCCTGCGGAGGGCGTGCGGCTGCGTCGCGCGGTTTTGTTAATTGCATTATAGTGTTGTGGTTAAGTTAAACTTTAGTGTTCGTTATGTGACCCTTATCTCTATCCTCCGTAATTACGGTGATCACAGTTAGGCTAATAGGAGGCGTTACTGATTCGACTAACCACATTTCACGCTTTCGTCCTATCTATCAGGACCTTAGAGGTCCTGCAAGCAGGGCAATAACTGACCTATAGCAGCGCCTGTTATTAGTGCAACCCCACACAGCGCGTTGACAGACATTTTGTCACTTAGTAGATTGAGGAATCCAGAATGTCTTGTGAGAGATCTGTGAGGACCAAGTCCTTCCCCACCGAATGGGTCATAAGCACACAGTTGTATTCTCTCCGGCCGACAAGGTCTAGCGATTTAGACAACAATATTCAATCTAGGCAAAGTGCATCACGCTCGGACCGAGTGGTATTTAGCAGACAGTATATGGGGACCTGTGACCTTGTCTAAGCAGTACCATGCGCTAACGCTTGGGCCGAGAGCCAATTTGCGGCAGCGTTTGACATCTGCCCGCTGCATCTAAAGGCAGATACCTATACGAGATACAGACTATCTAGGCTCATTAATTCACCACCACTATCTACCTTGCACTTTCGTTGTGAAAGCTTACTCATCAAATATCTACCTACCAATATGGCGCCCGTCCCAGTTGACTATCCTTTCAACACTCAAGCGTCTAGAATTAAGATTTAGATCATGAAGAACCCACTAGAACCATCTGGTGTCCTTGACCATTTTGAGTACTTTGATTCGACTCCCGTTATTGGTCGCGAGTATCCTACACTTAATGTAGTGGAGTTGATGGAAAATCCTAATGCTGATGAGCTTCTGAGAGAACTGGTCTATATCAGTATGTTTCGATGTTCGATTGGGCATACATGCACCTCGTACTAATTACCTCTCTCTACAGTCGCTGCGCGTGGTGTAGTTTTCTTGCGCAAGCAAGACAATCTTACTCCCGAACTTCAGAAGCGCCTTGTGCAACGCCTGGGCGAACTCTCCAGCAAACCCTCTGAATCAGGCGTGCATATTCACCCAGTCCTGCACTCCAGATTCAAAGTTCCTGGCATTTCAAAAGACGACGAGAATATGTCGGTCAACTCTGATGTCTTCAAGGAACTGTACACTGATAAACGAGTGGATTCTACGCGATCCGACAAAAAGCAGTCGTCTGACTTATGGCATTCTGATATTACATGGGAAAAGGTGCCATCAGATTACACTGCCTTACGCCTAAATTTGCTTCCCCCTACAGGCGGAGACACATGTTGAGCATCTGGTTACGAGATGTACGATCGTATTTCAGAACCCTTCCAAAAGTTCCTCGAAACGCTCAACTTCACATTCCACCGCGCAGAATTTAACGCACCAGCTAAGGCAAATGGTGCCTTCTTTTATACAACGCAGCGTGGACACCCAGAGAACATAGGTGAGGAGCTTTTCGCTGTCCATCCTGCGGTACGTACCCACCCTATAACAAGCTGGAAAAGCTTCTATGCCGCTGGTGTAGGAGTTGGTTACTACAACGACGTTACGCCTGAGGAGTCTGACATGCTTCTCTCCTATATCAATAGCATTCTCAAGGATAATCATGATCTTTAGATGCGATGGCATTGGAATAATATTAACGATATGGCTATTTGGGACAACCAATGCACGTATAATAGCGCAACGTACGATTTTGGTGGCATTGGACATCGTGTGGGGGTACGAGCGATGTCGGTTGGAGAGAAACCATACTTGGACCCGGCGTCGAGATCGAGGAGGGAGGCAGTTAAGAAAGAGGGATTGGCGATCGGCGAATGGGTCAGTGGCTGCATCGGTCCATGATTAGTCAACATCGTCTCGCACAGCTGAACAGATCCTCCGATTACCACAGATTGCGGGACTAGTATAGTAATCTGTATTGGACCCTACCATTAACGTCCGGAGGAATCGAAAGCTCGGTGCACGATATTTTGACGATATTTTGACGCGTGTCAAATCTAGCCCGAACCAAACGCGCCTGCAGCGATAGATGCACTGAAACCACTATAAATCCTTGTATCCACTCATATCACAAGGCATCATGATGTGTTGCGCCCAGCCTTGTCACGCGTGTACCGAGCCGAAGCATGCAAGTCCTCGGCTCGTGGACGTCTTGAGCAGCCGAAGCCTAGACGACTAGCAAGGATAGAAGCGGCGCCAAGAGAAACCAAGTATGGAATGAGTGGAGCTACACATAGAATATGGCACAACAGAAAAGCGCAACAAGTAGGAATATACATATATATGATTTGCATCGTCGTTGAAACTTCTCCATCGCTCTTCACCCATCACCACACAACTTAAACGACGAGACGACAATCTACCTAGGAACATGACTACCACAATATGCCCCGACTATCTTGTGATTGGAGCTGGAGCCATGGGCATGGCCTTTGTCGATACTCTGGTCACGGACACGAAGGCTACAGTAGCTATAGTCGATCGCTACTCTCGGCCAGGAGGCCATTGGACGATTGCTTATCCTTTTGTTACCCTCCATCAGCCATCCGCATTTTATGGCGTCAACTCTCGACCCCTCGGCGAGAAAACGATCGACAAAGTTGGCTTAAACAAGGGCCTGTCTGAGTTAGCAACGGGTGACGAAGTATGTTCATATTTCAGCAAAGTCATGCAACAGACTTTTCTTCCAACTGAACGAGTCGAGTACTATCCAATGCACGAGTACAAGGGCGAGGGGGAATTCCGATCTATCATCACAAACAAGACCATCCGGGTCGGAGCAGATACGCGCATTGTCGACGCTACATTTATGAAAGTCAAGGTACCCGCCATGAGACCACCGGCTTATGAGGTAGCGGAAGACGTGCACCTGGTTACACCCAATGGATTGGCATATCTTTCCCGACCCTACCGCGGTTATACTGTGGTTGGAGCTGGAAAAACTGGAGTCGACGCTTGTCTATGGCTACTAGCGAACGGGATTGATCCAAAGGACGTATCGTGGATTATGCCCCGTGACTCATGGTTTTTGGAACGCAGTACGTTGCAACCTTCGTGGTCCCGAGCGAATTCTTCCCAAGGCCCGGACAGAGCCGATGCTGAGACCATGAACGCCTCGTCTCTGGAAGATTTGTTCCTGCGGCTCGAGGCTTGCGGAAAGATGCTGAGAGTTGATGAGAATGTGTGGCCAACTATGTTCAAGTGTGCTACCATCTCACTCCCCGAGATTGATCGAATTAAGAGAGTTGGAAAGATCATACGTCAGGGACGAGTTGTACGCATCGGTGCAACCGAAGTGACACTGGAAAAGGGCACGTACACACCAGTGCCTGATACACTGTACATCGATTGCACTGCCGATGGTCTAGCAAAGCTTGAACCCGTACCGGTCTTTAGTGGCAAACACATCACGCTACAATCAGTGCGCTACTGTCAACAAGTCTTCAGCGCCGCTCTCATCGCCCACGTCGAAGCGACTTATGACGATGAGAAAGTCAAGAACGCACTCTGCAGCGTTGTACCCCATCCCGAAGAACCTAGAGACTACCTTGATGTATCTCTCGGGACCTATCTGAATGCGTTCAGATGGTATGCAGAACCAAGAACGGGCGCTTGGTTAATGCAAGCGCGTCTGGACGTAACGAACGCACAAATGCCTGAAGACCCTGTTGAAGCTGCAAAAGTTGCTCCTAGTCTGCCAGATCAGCTCCAAGCCATGTGTGAAAAATTAAGATATCTTATAAATCAGGTTCCTAAGGATGCTGAAACAGCAGCGGCTTAGTTAGTAAGGTCTAGGATCTAAAAAAAAAGAATAAATCGTTAAAATCGGGCCATGTTGGACCCCACATAGAGACCAATGATGGAATTCGCTCGAGCGGTACCTCGGTGCTATGGGAAGCGTGCTACACCCGCTTTCCAACCTTAATTTTAGTTCTTCAGCTGCATCTTCTCCAGGAACTCCGCAGCCTCCGCAGCATACCTACAGCGTTGACGGATCGCAGCACCATACTTGTAGAACAGGAAAGGAAAAGGCACACAAGCTAACGCCAGAAATGCCGGAACTGAAGAAGCCCAATGTATACCCAGACTCTTATACATGTCGGAGGTGAAAAGCGGGAATGCAGCACCGAACAGGGACCGCAGCACCGAGTTAGCAGCAAGAGCGGATGCGGCGTAGATGAGGTACGCATCGATAAGGTAGTTCATGATCGAAAGGAAGACGAGCACCATACTGAAGCCGAACGGCACGCTAGCTATGATGCTGACGATCCAGTGAATGTTCGGTCCATTGGTCCAGGCAAACCAGAAAAGGCCGATGGGCATTATGACAGAGCCAAGAAGTGCAGGTGGAAGTCGAGCTTCGGGCGCGGCGACGCCTGATGGCGAAGCTTCAATGGCTTTGTTGTAACGTTTGTTGTCCCATATCGAGTAGATGGTGGCTGCAATCATGCCTACTGCCACACCCAAGAATGCGAGACCACCAATTCCTTGCGACCAGCCGCGGCCTTGCTGATAGACGATGGGGAAAGCGCCGAAGAGCATGTACAGCGTCCCGTAGACGACGGCCATGTATATGGATAGGAGGAGAACGATCGGTTCGAGAAATAGTAGGAGCCACGGGCGAATCAGAGCGGTCTTGAATGCTGAGCCGATAGACTTGGTGCCTTGCTCTACCTCGGATTTGCTTCTGTAGACTTGTCCGGTTCGCTTTGAAAGGGCTACGGCACGCTTGCGCAGCAGCACTGGGGCGTAGGTTTCCGGAATGAAGGCAGTGTAGACGATCCAGAGAATACCGGTGAAGATAGCCATGACGCCTTCGATCCATCGCCAGCCGATGGACTGACCGACGAAACCACCAACTGTTGCGTGTTAATTCTGGACTGCGAATACAATGTTGGACAGTGGGAGCACTTACCAATAGGCCCAATGACAGGTCCCAGCATTGGAGCAGCCGCGAAGATGCTCGTAGCTAAGCCTCTCTGGGATGCAGGAAACATGTCCGCGATGACACCGCCAGCATTAGTCAATGGTGAGGAGCCAAATGAACCAGCCAAGAATCTTAGGATGATCAGAGTCTCGATGTTCTGAGAGCCAGCTGCACCAGCGTTGAAGGCAGTGAGACACATGTAGGTACCGAAGAAGAGATACTGACGACCGTATAGTTCTGGATGTTCTTAGAAACCTGCGATCACAACTTGTAAACAGCGCGGGATAGTTACCACTCAATGGAGCCCATGCCAGCGGTCCGATAGCGAAGCCTAGGACAAACAGCGAGATGCCCAATGTACCGACAATCTGTGAGATTTGGAATTCTTCCAGGATCTCAGCGACGCCGCCAGAGTATGCAGAGGAGACAAAGGCTACAGCCAGCGTTGCGATCGCAACAAGCATAGTGATGCTCCATTTCATAGCATCCGAGTAGTTCATTGGGTTGCCTGGGTCATTATCGATCCAAGTGACCAAAAAAGGGTCATTCTCAGTCCCTGATCCCCTGTAAGGGTAGTTGATGATGTCGTTGTTGAGGACCCCCTGGTTGAATACTCGTTGGAAGTGCGGAATACGACCAGAACGGCCGGACTCATGATCCTTCTCCATTAGACGTCGATCGAAGCTCCGTGTGTGGAAAGAGTCTCTTGTCGGTTTCGTTCGGTAGGGGTCTTATATGGCGCTTTCTGTGGCTGTAAGGTGGAGGTGGGGACTCTCGATCTGCAGACTGCCTATCAAGGTCGGCATAAGAGAGCAAATTATTCAATATTGGCTCCTCTATTTTCGTCCGCGTCATTGCGCAATTGAGATCTTAGTTCAGCCATCAGAAGCTGGCTGCAACATCTAAAATCCGACCATCCGCTTTTGCAGGGTTATACTGACGTAGGGCCAACGGGACATTCCCCTGCAACTTTTGAAAAACAGCGCGGCGCTCTGAAAACACTGCGTTATATGACAGCCGGGCGCAAATACGATGTCCTTGAACGTGTCCTTTCGCATGCGGTGAGTGCAAGTGTCGTAACATTATTGTTGTTTGGACGGTCGATGATGTTGCCCGTATCTCCGCAGAGCGCCCCACGTCGCGTATCCGACTTGCTTAGAGCCGCATCTACTGAGCGGACCATCCGATTTGGCCCCATCTACAGGATGCCGTATTGCCACACTTCTACTATGAAAGCTTGTCGCCTCTCATAGCCAGTGGAGTATCCACAGCCAAGTTGGTCCGGTCTGGACTGCTCCGGGATCGAAGACACAGATCTAGCACGAGGCTACAGACTGTGGTGTTGGAAGACTAGTGACGCCTCGGAACGGATGCGCTTGCCCTGGAACAAAGTTAGCTGTCGAGTACAAGGCGCAATAGCATGTTGGGCGACCGCGACCTCACCAACGCGTTTTCTCGTCGTATCGAACCCACCCAAGGCCATCGAACAACATGCTGCCTGAATAGCTCATCCGCCCCATATTATTGCGCCGTCCACCCACGGACGATACTTTTTTACCCACTGTCCCCGCTTCGTCGCCCCCAATCTACCTTCCACCAACCACGAACGCTTAGGCTGCGATGACAACTACAGCACTACATTTGGTCTTGGCTCGGGACAGACGTCGGATCAGGTCGCATGGCGGCTACAACTGGGCTAGCGCAATCGCCCTTGTTTTGTTGAAACTGTCGTCGTGTCCCTTCCAGATACAATGAGATGGTATCGTGCCAGAGAAAGAGGAGATGACGGAGATGGGGCGCCTTGCAGGCCGTTTGACCAATTGTGCATCAGCTGGGTGTTCCGCCAACCGTAACCCTAAGCAGCTCGATGTAGCCTGGAACGCGACATCGGCCACCGGATCCTATACCCACCTCCAACGATCAAGCAACGTCGCCATCGGCGCACGACGCTTTATTCCGCACTCGTACTCACATCGCCTACAACAGTGCTCTTGGTTCTCATAGGCATCAGGATGCGATGTCATGTAGCTCCCACCCCGCGACCCATTCGGAGCATGGCTCTTCAGCTCCGCCGTAAACTTTACCGGCAACGCTGCACCCGATAATGTGGGATGAGAGATGACACGAATCTAGATAATGTGGAGCAAGGCGCCGCAATTCCATCGCCTGGGTGATGTGGTTGAAGACTACCAGAGAGTCCTTAGGTGGCCGATGTATCGAGCAAGATAGCGCGTGTGCGCGAGCGCGCGAGTGGATCTCGGCTGGGAGGACAGTGGATCGGCGAGAGAAGGATGAAGCTTTCGATATCAGCATACACGTCGACTCCTCGCGACAAAATCAATCACCGCCATACCCAGGCCTAGCCTTGTTCTTCTCATGTTGCACACTATCAGCACGGAACGTCATGCATCGCCGAGATGTTCAGTGCCATCATACAGCAGAGCCAGACTACGACGAGGAGCATTATATGAGGAGTACACCAATGGAGGTTGCTCATCGCTTGTCTCGAACACAATGGTTTGCTCCTAGGAATGCGCCGCAGTCTACGATGCGCTGAGGTGAGGGTTCCATCGGCGCACCCTTTGATAGGTTAGTCGACGGATGATCGTAGCTCGGCGATAGATCGTAGACAGGAGTGATGAGCAATAGGGCATTGCATGTACCATCGCTCGAATTCGTCTTTAGCTGCGGCTGGTGGAGTAGGTCCGCCATGACTGGGACCTATGGTCCCTCGTCCGAGCCTTCCAACGCTACTAGAAGTTGCGTCCTCAAGCAGTGCTCGCGTTTGTAGTTGCTTTGAACCGCTTTGAACCGCGCTGCGACTGTGCAGTACTACCATAACTCACACAAACACAGAGCGGCTACATGATCGCAACTCCCATAAGAGGCTTTCCCGTCGTCTTGTAGCCACACAACCTAACTTGTCTTGTCTGAGGTGGGTCCGATGCCTATCTCGTGCGTCTTAGCTCGTTCGTCGCACTCTTCAATGTGGCCTTTCTGCTAACAAAGGGATGAACGACGACTGACATGAAAAGAGAATGGCATGCTATACCCGCCCTGAAGGACTGTTGAGTGAGTCGCGCAGATGCTTTCTATGCACGATGTATGAAAAGGTCGCCTGCGGTGGTCGCAATCTGGTAGCGACACCCGGGCGAGCCCAACGCATTGCTGATGGTGATTCGTCTGGCTCAATCAACTTTTTACAAGGCACGCAGTTGACTTTGCTAACGTTGCATCGTATCGGAACTGTCTAAGAGATGTGAACTGATTGAAATACAAGCTACCTAGGCGGGCGTCTCCGCATACGCGGATAATACGATTCGGTACGAGGCTCTGATAAGCAGACTCTCCGATGCTGCATATTTCACTACACCCTCTATTGCGAAAGAGGTCCTCGCTCTTGTTCGTCGTGATGTCCCATCAACCGCTGCGCAAGACGCTAGAAGACCCTTCCCGCCATACCGTTCCTGCGCATCACCGCCGCCTTCGTCTCCAAAGTGTCGTATGAAGTCGCGGCATAGATATCGTCAGAGAAGCCAAAGAGATCGGCAAGGCTGATCACCTCATTGGGGGTCGTCCAGTCCAGCTCCGTCGGCAAGCGCTCACTCACTGTTCGATAATCATCGCCGGTCTAACCAACTTCAAGAATGCGACACTTACCGAAGAAGCAATCTACGAGATCTCGCCTCGCAGTCTTTTCTGTCTTGTTGCCGAACACGAGCATGTATCCGGCACCTTCGCCTGCACTGAAGGCTGCGGCTAATTCCGACAGAGCGAACCTGGGGTTGTACTTCACCGAGTCGATCATGCGGCCGAGGCGCGCATTGGCGGCCATTTGAATGCTGATAAGGTCTCCGGTCCAGTAGGCGCGAGTCTGGTTATACACGGTAGCGTTGAAGGAGACGGCATCGTCAGTTAAGAACTTGTCCGAGCGACTAGATCATGACATCGCATTAGTTATGCGTTCTAGAAAACCGGCCCTCAAGTCGGCCGACGACCCTGGGGACGGCGTAACGAAGGGCAGAACTCACCTCAGACTGGCATCATGCTCCAAGACGTTGTGGTTGCCTAACGTGTCGAGGCCCCAGGTCATAGCGTTCGGACCCGGGTTCGTCGTGAGCGCGAAGTTGTACAGTAGTTCTGAGATATCGGCGCTGATATTGAGACTTGTTGCAAGAGCGTGCTTGACGACGGGCAGCGTGAAGTTGCGACCTTCGCGAGGCAAGAACCCGTGGTTTGCTAGCGTGTTAAGCATTGGACAAGGGCCTCGTGCTAAATGGAGTCAGCATTATACTTGACAGGTCAAGCAGAGGCGATTGGATCTGAACGTACATTCTCCAGGCCCAGCCGGGTGCCAGCTTGCCAAAGAGCCCTAGGCATTAACGAAGCCAACGCTCGCGAGAGCGACAAGAACGACAGATGGCATGTGCATCGTCCTGGTTTGCTTTGTGACAAGTAGAAGGCTTATGGATGTATTGACAAGCTCTTGATCAAGTATGTCACACTAATTCGAAGATGCTGGCGACGTTTGCCAGAGCAGTCACCGAGCACATCTGAGCTGGTGTAACACGGTATGGCAGAGGCTGAGCGAGGAGGAAGATTATAGTCCCAACATGTTTGCTTCTCTCACTCGTGCCTTGGCCTCTGAATCTGCTCATAACGTGCGCTCTGCACGTTAGGAGATGGACAAGAATTATTCTCACAGCCTCCCCACTTAGTGTGGTTATACAGAGCTTTCCCCCACTATTCTCTTGTAGTGTAAAGCAAATACTATTGCCTATAACTACCCCTCACAGCTGGGGTCAGGATGACCCTTTGGACCAGTATGCAATTGGAGGATCGTGAAAACCAAGAACGGCACTGACAATCCCAGGCTCACTGCGGCTCTGCCGAATCTGTCCTCGGATCAATACGTGAACGACCTTCTTGGCCCACAGAACGTACAATGTGACCCTGCACTGGAAGATTATGGATTCGATCTACATAGCTCGTTCCAGGAGGCGAGCAGGAATATTGAGCAGTGGGCGACCGGGCAAGACCGTTGTCCGACCAAGGATGAGAAAGCCGCACATGAAGAAGCGTACATCTGTTACGGCACGGTGAGTGAAAGGCACGCACATTTGGAAGCTAATTGTTGTTTGAGCATTTTGCCAATGTTGCCCACTGGCTGTGCTCGTCGCGCTTCTATAAACAGTCAGAGCTAACGTGAATTTGGATTTTCAGGATTGCTATCAAGCTTTGTGGTCAGTGTTGCCAAAAAGCAAGTTGACTTGCTTGCTTGTTCAAACTTGCTTGGTTCATACCAAGCAAGCAAGTCAAGTCAGAGCTGCACAGCGAACCAAGCAAGTCAAGTTAGCGTGCCTTACTTGCTTGACTTGCTTGGTTTACTTGGTTAAATTAACTATAATCGACTGTATAGCAGATCTCGCGATGCTTTTTTAGCCTTGCAGTTCTTTTTAGTGCTGCAACTACCTCGGCTATTTCCTAAACAGGCTACAATAGGCTACACAGCTGCTAAAACAGCTTAGCGCCCTACTCCTATCCTAACCTCAGCCTTGTTTTAAAGCCTGTCGCGATTTCTATTTTCCTGTATCGACGCTTCTTTCTGGTGTTTTCGACTGCCCTAATATGGCCAAACGCCGTGTACTACATACCTCTTCGAGTAGCAAACGTTTGAGAGTAGCTGCTGCTACCGACGACGTCATCTCAACTCCTGCGGCCTTATCTCAGCCAGCATCTCAGCCAGCATCTTAGCGTCGATCGCCTTGTAAAGCCCTCGCTGCCGTAAGCCAGGCCACTGTCTCGTCGCTAGTCCCTACATTCGAGCCGCAGTTTTTGGAATCGCATGTGGAGGATGATATCGTTGCGCCTACTAAGGGTAGCAGGGCTGTTACGGTGGCTACAACTGAGGCTGGAGACAAAGATAATAGCTAAGATGAGATAAACAGCGCTGCTGATAGCTTTGACGGCATTGACTGGGCTCGTTTACCTGGCTACATGAAGCTACTGGCGGGCTCTAAGCGTCCTAAAAGCTGGATTTTTCGGTATGGCTACCGCGTTGTTGAGCGCCAGGCTACTAATCGGATCTGGTTTGTGTGCAAGTACTGCCACATCCACAAAACTATCGACGCTGGCGGTGGTGGTTTGTTTAATATTACTCAGGCCACTACCTTAGCAGCTACCCATCTCAGCCAGCTAAAACGTGGGCACAACCTTACAAAAGATGGCCTAAAGTCGACGCTAAGAGGACAGGGGCAGCTATCATTGCGGCAAGCTTTTGACGCTGGATTAGAGATGCCTCAGCCTACCGCTAACGCACTCGGAAACTTCGACGTATAAGGCTTTCGAGTAGCTACTGTTATGTGGCTCGTCAACCAAAACCAGCCTCTTAGTGAGCTTACAGCGCCTAATTTTAGAGAGATGATAAGGTTTGCCAACCTAGAGGCAGAGGCGGCATTGTGGGTAAGTTACACGAGCGTTTCTACATTTGTAATGAGGTTGTTCAGGTCTATACAACCGCAGGTTGTCGACGCCTTATTAAGCGCAGTAAGCAAGATACATGTAAGCTTTGACGGCTGGACGACAAAAGGTGGTAAACGTGGCTTTTTTGGAGTAGTCGCTTACTTTGCTGACGCAGCTGGAATAATACAAGACCTGCCTATTGACCTGCCTGAGCTTGCTGGCGCCTACACTGGTGAGGCTATTGCTAAAGCTATCTTGATGACCCTCTTGGCTTACGGAGTAACTAGCAACCGATTAGGTTACTTTGTACTGGATAACGCCGCTAATAACGACACTGCAATCGCCGCGCTCGCCCGCGAGTACAACTTCGACCTAGCTTACCGGCGCCTCCGCTGCAGTTGCTACACGCTTAACCTGATTGGCCAGGCTATCATATTTGGTAACAACAAGGACGCCTACGGTAACACTCGAGAGCAGTACAGTACTGAGGAGCAGTACATGCGAGAGTGGCGGAAAGATGGCCCTATAGGCGTCCTAGTTGACGTCATCAACTATATCAAAACGCCGCAGCAGTACGAGCTTTTTCGCAGTTTCCAGCGCCGCGCTAACGACAACCTGCCTACCGAGGAGCGTCTTAAAGTACTCGAGCCCGTTAAGCCTGTTGTTACTCGCTGGAACTCCTACTATGCCGCTTTTGAGCGAGCTACTAAGCTTTCGGCTGCTTATAACTTGTACGCTGAGCATTACATTAATAGGATTATCCTTGAAGACGCGCACGCTAATAAGCAGAACAATAAGCGGCCTAAAGCTCTAAGCTGGATGAGATTAACTGGCCTGCGAGCTGCTGATTGGGCAGTAATTGCAGAGTATCAGGACTGCTTAACGCCGCTTAAGTACGCCACAAAACGGCTCGAGGGCCGCAGCAAAGATGGCAAATTTGGGGCAATATATGAGGTTATACCAGTTTTTGAGTATGTACTCAGCCAGCTTGAGGACTAGGCACGCCTATTTAAGCAGGTCGATTTCAACGCTCACCTAGAGGCCCCTGAGGATTACCTTAAGGTCAACCTCCTTACCGCATGGGCTAAGGCCAACGACTACTACAACAAGCTCGACGCCTCGCCCGCCTACTACGCCGCCGTGTGCCTCTACCCGTACTATAAAACTTACTGCGATGTGGCCTGGGCTGACAAAGCTGAGTGGCTTAGCAGTGCTAACGTGGCGTTTCAGCAGCTCTGGGCGGCGTACAAACCTTAGCGCCTACGCTAGTCGTATACGGCTGTAACGAGTAGCAACAATATAGACGAGGCAATTAGCGCTATACTTGGCAGAAACGTCGGCTAAGAAGCTCTGCTGGACGAGTTTGAGCGCTAGAAAATACAGGAGCCGCAGTAGACGCAGGAGCAGTATACAGCGAATGGCAATCTAGTCTAATACTAGATTCAATTACTGCCAAAATACCTGCATTTAGCGCAGTTTGCCATCGATATTATGACTATCCTAGCATTGAGCAGCGACTGCGAGCGCCTCTTTAGCGAGCTTGGCGACCTACTTAAGCTAAAGCGACGAGCTCTAGGCAGTGAGCTACTCGCAGCTCTTTAACTGGTAAGATCCTTGGTGCGAGCTAGCTATAAACCAACTATTTATAGTGAGGCTAAGCTTTCAGACAAGGAACTTTTAGATAATTACAATATACTTGAGTAGGACAGTTAGCTTAGTAATGTAGTAGTGTTTAGTCCCTTAGCAGTTAAGTAAATTAAGTACTTAGAAGCAAATTAAGCAAGTTAAGCAAGCAACAAATTGCTCCCAAGCAAGTCAAGTTACGCCTACTCTCTAACCAAGCAAGTCAAGTTTGAGGCAGTGACTTGCTTGACTTGCTTGTTGGCAACTGTGTTTGTGGTAATATGATAGAACTAAACCACCGGCTCAACAACACTGTATCATCACCCATTCCAGGACACGCACAAATGTGTATCATCAAGACCGAAACTCAACACTTTGTCGCTTTCCCAGACGGCGCAGCCATAGGGCAAGTTAATGCTCAGTTGGACCAAGTACTAACGAGCATCGCCGAACAAGGCTACGATCTTGACTTCGAAGTCTTTGTCCCAACAAAAGCTATTCAAGAGACTTTGAGCCGCGCTGAAAGAGCGACTGAAGCCGTAGTTCGTGTGCAAGTGAACGTATATGGCCCACCGACAGCTGCTCACAACATCGGTAGGGAGCTATCGCAGCAAAATCTCTACCTCCAGCATCCCGCACACGTAAGAGATAGCTGCAGATACCAGAATCCACATATTCTCACGCTCCCCAGATTTCATTTCTCAACATCGGAGACGGCAATCCCAGCGGAAGAGACCGTACTGGAAAAGCCCAGCATCCAGACACTGAAAAGTACTTTACAAGACGTGTACTTGTCTTTGACACGAGGCCATAATCTCCGTGGATTAGAAGGCGATGAGCGCCTGAATACCCCGCTCTTATTGTACGTGACTACTTCTCTTCAAAACACTGACCACACACCTCTTGCGGGCACGGGCGGATCCAAGGCTGCATACTAAGCGATCTAGACATCAGAAGGCAGCACTTGACTTTATGATGCAGCGCGAAGATGGACCGATACCGGAGGAATACGCGCTTTGGAAGTCAACCGACGAGGAAGGAATGCAGTGGTATGTACGTAATGAACTAGTTTGCTTGCTGTCGCTGATGCAGTTAAAAGCTACCGTCATGTCGTCACACAAGCACATTGTGGGTTTCCTCTCCGTAGATCACGAGCTTCCAGGCATACTGAACACATTCGTAGGTATGGTGGAGCCCGACGAGACAGGCGGTGGTATTCTCGCAGACGAGATGGGGATGGGAAAAGCTCTTTCTACATCAGCCCTCGTGTTACGAATGCTGGGCGCTGCTCATGAAAGGGCTATGCAAGTTGAAGCTGCTGACGATGGCACATCGGAAATGCGAAGAGGCAGACATCGCTCTGGCGCTACCTTGATTGTTGCATCCTCGGACTGTACGTATATCACGAATTTATTCCAGGTTCAAACTTCTGAGAGTGGTGGTGCAGTGATGATCAACGAATGGTTTCAGGAACTGGAGAAGTGAGTCACTACAACAGTTCAAGTACGAATAAGCGACTGACTATGGGAGACACTTTGATGAGCCTACTCGCATAACACTGGAGGCCATCAAATATCATGGTCCACCTCGACACGCCTCAGTGGAGAAGCTCATCGATGCAGGTATCATAATCACCACCTATCACACGCTCGCCTCAGACTTTGCCGGGACCAAAGGCGGGCTTAGAAACCTAGAGTGGTGCCGCCTTGTGCTTGACGAAGGTTTGTAGATTGGACATCAATCCCTGATTGTTCCCGATTGACAATGTTACTGTAGCCCACGTTATAAGACAGCAGTCTACGTTGTTGTATCGGACTGTAGCAGAGATCGCCGCCCGATCAAGGTGGTGCCTGACCGGTACCCCTATACAGAACCGCCTCGAGGATATCGGCTCACTATTCGCCTTCTTAAGAGTAAGTCCTTTTCACAGCCTGTCAAACTTCCGGAAGTGGGTGGCGATACCCTTCGATTAAGGCGGTAAACGACGTACCCTGGCAATCGAACGCTTTGCGAAGTTCTTGGACTCATTGTGTCTCCGCCGAACCATGGATTTCCTCCACTTGCCGGACGAGCAACACCATGTAAGGAAGATAAGGCTGTCGCCTGAGGAGCGGGCTCAATATTACCAGACTCAAAGTAGCATGTTTCGGGCCGTTCGCAATCAGAACGGAGTGTTCGATCAAAAGAGCACGCTAGGCATGTTCCAAGTGCAACTTCAAACTACGCATCATCTGCAGCCACGGAACCTGCCAGCAACCCTGTTCCTGGAACCGCCACAAATTGCACCTACTCAACGAGAGAGAGGCTGTGGAGGCTTCACTGGGAAGGGATGGCGACATCACCTGCTCTGCGCGTCAGCAAACGATGCCCCTTCTCGATAGCGGTTCGATGTTTCATCGCTACACTGAACTCTGCCGGCACGTTTTGTGCATGGAGTGTCTGGCGCAGAGCATGCCGGTTGGTCAAGAGAGTCTCCCCAGCAGATGCCCTCTTTGCCATCCACTATGGGACGCATCTTTCCCAGCTCGTCGCTCTAAGCACACATCGCAAGAAGATAGCTACTTCCGAGCGGATGGACGGTCTTCGAAGATGGAGGCTTCGATGAGGGATCTTTCTCCTAATATGTGGAAAACGAAGAGGTAATGAAGTCGTCCTCATCCGTCAATAAGTCAAATTCTCACGGTTACGCAGCATTGTTTCCACATGTTGGACGAGAACTTTAGACTTGCTGGATTTCTATCTTCGCCGTATGTCTGGTGGGACATGGACTCATGAGCGCTGTTGTCCTTACTTGTCCGAGTCTTGATCCAGAGTGGACTAGCCTTGCTACACTCTTATAGATCCCCCAAATAGTCTTTGCACTGTAACTTTTAGCGTAGAGGAGACGTTCTAGCCATGCATCCCCAAGATCTGGGACTGCACGACATGCGTGCTGCAAACATTGAGCCGGTTTTCCTGCTTCCCCAATCTCACAACTGACCTCGCGTATCGCATTTCGTCCCCTTCGCCTGCGTAACGCGAGTCAACCGCTACCTACGTTACGCTTAGATTTTCTTAGGACCGAGAAATGATGACCGTTATGTGGTATGTTCGTCTACCTTTTCCTCTAAACTATACTACCGGCTGGTCGCTGTTCTATTACTGTAGCCTTCTAGTCCTCCTTGTTCCATCATGAATTGTACCCTCGTTTGCAGCGTCACATTACACATGCATGCATGTTCCTAATGTAACTCCCTACCGCGCTAGTTATTGCAGTACAAGAGTAAAGCAGTCGTACTTTTCGTTTGCATATTTAACAACGCTCGTTGTGCTTCGCTCCTTTGGGCTTTCTGCCTCACATGAACGAAATTGTTTTTGTTCTACTTGTTGACAATTAATCAGACTCTCTCAACCATGGAACAACCTCATATAATAGACGCTAAAAATCGAGACGCAAGGCTCACGTGTCTCGCCAAAAGAGAACGTTACGCTAGGTAATACAGGTAGCCTATGTCACCTGACTACATCTCGTAACTTGTGTCTTATGTAGAAGCTAAGCCTGTAACACTGCTACACTGCCTAAAAAACGCCTCTGTACTTGTAGAAGAGACCCTAACATAACTCAACAGCAGGGCTCGCATCCATACCCCAGGCGAACATGCACCGATTTAGCGATAACCTGCAACCGTCCTAAATCCTCTCCACTTGTTTCAGTCGCACCATCAACGGGATCTTCTCCCAAAGCAAGAACACCCTCTGCTTATCTGGCCATCCAGCACTTTCGGGGTGCAACGCGATGTCGAAGTTCCAGAAAAACCGAGCAGCGATAAGCCGCATCTCAGCGTAAGCAAGATTCTTGCCGATGCAGTTTCGTGGGCCGAAAGAGAAAGGTTGGAATGCTGCTTTCTTGTCTGCACTGAATTGCGGGTCGTACAAGGGGTGGTCAGGACTGAGCCATCGCTCAGGCATGAAGGCATCTGGCAGAGCGAAGTTACTGGGATTGTGATGGACGGCCCATTGGTGGATCGTGATAAGAGTCTGCAAGGCTTTGTTAGTATTCGACCGCTTCAAGTTTCACAAGCTCGGACAATAGCTACCCAAGTAGTGTGCTAGGAACGGAGCGGCGTAAAAGCAATTGCGGAGTGTGACTTACATCCTTGGGAATATAGTAACCATTCACATATTCACCAGGAGAGACACGTGGGGGCGTTTCTACAACCGGTGGATACACTCGCATAGCTTCCTCGATACAGGCATGCAGATATTTGAGATGTGCAGTCGACGCCATTGTAATTTCCTCCTCAGTGCTGAAAGCTGATCTGATCTCCTGTTGAAGGGTTTTTAAAGCTTGCGGATTGGTTGTGATATAGTAGGTCAAGCCTGAGAGTGCGGTTGCTGTCGTCTCGCTACCAGCTGCGATCAAAGCGTCGGAATTACCCAGAATCTCTGCATGGCTCATGCCTTTCTCATCGTTGTGACGAAGAATGTACGTCATGATGTCCTTCCGGCCATTGGGTGCTGGACCAAGTGCTATTCTTCGCTCCGTCTTCTCTCTACTCATTGCCTTGTGTTCATTGCGCTGCTGGATGTCCTTTTTGGATACTATCAGTTGGAGAGTCCAACGAAGCAGAGGCATCTTCAGCAATGCAATCATCCCGGCGCCAGCTCTGATGCCAGCAAATATCATAGCGATCCAAGGATGATAATCACTGTTGTCCAAGCAGTGGAATGGCTCCCCGAAGACGAGGTCCCCAATGATGTCGAAAGTCGTGAAATTGTACCATTTGAGCATGTCCGTCGGTCCTTGCTGCGCAGCCTCTTTGCGTAACTGGACGAAAAGCTTGTCAACGTACTGCTTGATCAACGCCTCCTGCTCCTTCATGGCAGCATCAGAAAAGGCATGTGCCAGAAGACGGCGTTGGCGCCGGTGGCTTTCTCTATCAGCTGGGAAAAGAGATTGGTTAGTCTTGTCTCCGATCTGGTAAAAGTCGTCCCAGTGAGAAAATTCAGCTCGTCCGCCGCGACTATGCCCGAAAACTTCAGGCCATCCAATAGTCCCGTTCATGGACAAGTGGTTCGGCCCGGTACGAACGATGTCACCGTACTTTTCATGGAAGCGGAGGACCTTTCTAGTGAAAAGACCTCTGAACTGGTTCTCAATGGCCTGCGGAAGTCCAGATACGGCAAAGTGTTTCGGCCCAGGAATCTTGCGGAGAGGGTGGAAATAAAGCCTGTAGATTGCAAGACCCAATGCATAGGCCACGACCTAAGAAAATGATTAGAAAGTAGCTGCAAGCATAAGACAGAAACACGTACGATCTCGAGAAGAAGCCACATAGCAGCCAACGACTGATGAAACGACATGGCAAACGAGATGATTGAGAGGGTACCAGATCCTGGGTGAGTTGAAACGTTGATTCAGAGACAAAGGTGCTGTTTCTGGAACACAAGACACAATTTCAGTCGTGAGGGTGTAAGATGATGGCAAGCCGATTCTGCAACAGAGGGCGACGTAATATATACCATGGAGCAAGCCTGCTCCAGATCCCAGGTGTTTGCATTTGCTCTGCTCATCCATGGCGTTGGCAGATATATGATGGCTGTATGTTGCTGCCAACCTTTTGCTTTGTGTAGTGAGTGGATCCGATCGGTACCCATGACACTGCTTGAGTGGGTAGGACTAGGTATAACGCTCGGAACTTGAGCACACCCGAGCCGTTAGACTTGGACAACGGTTTTAGTCAAAAATCTCCGAGGGGGCGCTAGTGTCGGATAGCGGTTACTCCCGCTCCGTTCTCTTCACTGCGAATAAGACTAACGTTGATTAGTCGGCGAAATGTATCGCCTGCAAGGTCGATGTGAGAATATGGATACATGGCCACTCGGCATTTGCCCCTGCCACACGCATTGCTCTAATCCGATGCATGATAATTTATCAGTGCACTCCGCCACTCCGTCTGACTATATGTGTAGGTTGTCCGTCTTTCGCACGGTCGCGGGATTACTCTTCTCGGCCAGGAATTGCCGTGTTAAAGATGCAGTTGACGCAGATATCTTGTCTACTAGAGGACAAGCATCCCCTGTTTTGCGCCAAACTTTCCATTAGAGGAAGTACCGATCGGCTGCTCCTGCAGGCTTTACTGACTATGCTCCAGAAAGAAGGTTGCTAAGTGCAGAACACCAAGACCGAATGTACGCGTCACCCGATCCCGTTGCCTGCGCTGAAAGTTGCAGTATACCTTGTAGTAACGTCTCTGGCTCTTAAAAGAGGGTGTTTGTCCTTGTTGCCGGCAATTGCAGTGTGACTCACGGAAGAGAAGTCGAGGAAGCAGGGTGAAGTAGGCACCGCCATACAAAACGAGATGTAGCTTTGTCAGAACTACCTATGGAGTCGAAAAACCTATGAGCTCAGAACGATTCATCTTCAGTAACCCAATGTGTGCAGTTCCGCCAGGCTCGTTTTACCTATTTTCCCAACATCATGTTCGCTTTGAAGTCCACAGTCGACGAATAGATCGAGACCGGCCTTCATGTGAAAGTAGGAATCGCAATGCAAATCATCGCCCGATCCCAACTCCTTTGCTGAATACGTATGAGAACAGGTTCTCTTTCGCTGTAGCATGTGTGAAGTGGCTGCGGACCGTGCCGGTGACCCTGAGCTGCTGAAGATGTGCTCCTGTGCAGCGCGGAGATTGCGATGCAGCCATCCGGGCCACCCACTTTTTAAAGCCCGATTCTACCCCGCACTTGGTCTCATCACATCTTGGCGCCCACCCAAGTATCAGCACTCTCCCACCTATCGGAGATACCGCCTCGCAAGATCGGATCACCGTTTTACAACCCCAAAGCAATTAGCCATCGTCTCTCACTTATAGAAGGAACGCACAGTACGAGAAAAGGCCGACGATTGCAGTGCAAGTGGAGATGCAGCACGAATATCGAGGGCTCTAGACGGCACGCAGGACAGTCAAGCCAAGCGCCTATTGAGATTAAGTTAGGAGGTAGATACGCTTCCCTTTTTTGATAGTGTTGCACTGCGATATCTAACTCAAAAGACGTGGGGTAGCTTAGGGACCCTACACTACAAATCTTAGCGCATACAAGCAAGACACTGTAGCTGTGTGCACTGTGAGTAGTGCAGACGTTCACCGCTAATGTGGCTTGGTAAACAATCAAGCTCGTTCGGTTTTCTTGCACACGCTCGCCCGCGCTAGAGATTGCAGTGCAAGGACGTCCACACCTCACCAATCTATGTACCATGATACCCAGTGTTACTATAGCCTGGAAGAGCTGATCAGCTATCTGGATACTGCCTGTACATATCTGCTCGTCCGCGCTAAAGATTGCAGTGCAAGGAGCCTCCTGTGCGGGCCCCGCAGGTGGCTTACACCTCCTTTTCCACGCTAAAGATTGCGGTGCACCTTGCTAACGTGAAAGGGCAGCCTCACTCCCGTGTTTAGAGCAACCATTAACAATTGATGTGCGAAACGGATGATCAGGTTTCATGCGTAAACAAAGACGTAACCACAGAGTATGATCTTCAAAATATTATGGTGTTAATCATTTGTCCATGCATGTTTATCCATGACGTTCGGCAGAGGTCGACAGACCTGCACGACTTCTCCTGTCTGGAAATATCCAGCTCTAGCTTGTGACGCTCGCGCCCGAATGTGTCCGACAGTCAGAGCACTCAGAGCCATCCCACCACAAGATGCCGATGCGCAACTCAAATCCTCGTTACCAAACATTCTCACCATATAGAAAGCCCACCAAAGCCCACCCTTGCCAGCAATGCAGAGACACAGCAAAGAAGCTCAAACCTCAGTGTCAACCAGTTCCTCAATGAGAGTAGCCTCCTCAACCGGCTCTTCCTTGACCCTCTTCGCCAACGGAACATACTCCTCCTCCACCTCACCCTCGCCATCCTCCTGATCACTATCCTCCTTATACTCAACCTTCCTCTTCACCCCACCACTCATACCGCGCTTCCCACGAGCCGCCGTCGGACTTAGCAACACCTCCTCATCATCCACAAGACCCTGCGGACCGTCGCTCTCGACCTCTTCGGAAACAGCCTTCTTCTTACGTGGAGTAGCCTTGGCGCGGGAACGTGATGTCTTGGAAGTGGGCGAGTTGACCGCGCCGTTGTTGGCGTGGGTGGTGCCGCCCTTGCGGATGTTGGTTAGGCGATGAGATACGGCTTTGGGTGTGCAGTCTAGGCGTGGGATGTAAGCTGGGAACATTTGATGCGGACGTGAAGACGGGGAAAAGATGAGGAAGAGGCCGGCGTCTTGAGATGATGTAGGCATAGGATGGGGAAGCTTGGTGACACAGGCAAACTGAAGGACGGACTCACCTCCGCCGATCTCTTCAGATAGATACTTGAGGAGGGGTGCGCTGCTCTTGATATTATGGAACTTGAAGATACCCTTGAGTATCTTGGAGAATGATTAGTCGCTGCGACGAGGAACATGGGCAGTTGGCGGAGGACGAGATGAACTTACGATCTGGTCCTTATCGGCAGTCCAGTTGACCATCTTGGCGGTAGCTGCAGAATTTAATCTGCGGTGCGAGTTAGCATATATACAGCGGCACGAATGGGGATGAACTTACCTCGTGGTTGTGGTGCGTGCCGGAGCGAAGCTGTTTGCTATGCAAGAGAAGAGGCCAATGAAGGCTCGTTAAAGTTGCGATGTGGGCGGTCAATGGTACGCGATTGGAGTGAGAAGGAAGAGAACGAATGACAGTGGGAGAGCGGGGGTTTATATCCTGCTGGCGGCTGGCGAAGATGCAGAGCGGGCGGAAAGGTGAAGGTGAGAGACGGGCACTCTGTTGGCAGTGTAGATGACGCTAGCAACTCGCCAGATGATAAGCCATGATGGTGGACTTGAGGTGAGAGTGGAATTGAACGACATCGGTCGCTGGATACGTCCGAGAAGATTGAGAAATGCGATGGTCTCACTGGTGTGGACGAATTGCTTAAGATGGTAATATTCGACATCGGCCGGAGGTTGACTGTCATAGTCACTGCCATACAGTTGCCATAAACACGCGGCTAGTACACAATTCTCCTTATACCAGCCCTCTGTCACATAGACAGGGAAATGCAGATTAACCACGTATTGCGCGAAGGGCTCCTTTAATGTGGATATATACCTACAGACAGATGCCGTAGAAACATCGCGTGAAGTGGGAAGACTGGAAGCAAGACCGCCCTATCTACTCCAGACGCGAAAAGGAAGCACTCGGCCTACTACAGGCTCTCGCAAACAAACCATTACTCCAATCTCCTTCACAACCTCATCTCAAACAACCAACCATCAAATATCATAGTAGCCATCAAGTACCATAGTAACACAAAGTCCTACTTCATCAGCGTAGCATGCTCAGCATCCTCCACGCTTCCCTTCTCATCCTCCTTCCCATCTACATCTCCCTCCCCATCCTCATCCCTAGCACCTCCAATCCCAAGCCCCGCACCCTCCTGCTCCTTCGTCCCCCTCTTCCCATGATGCCACGCCTTCCACAGATCCAATACTTGCTTCTGATTCTTCTGGTTCCTAATCAGAATCTTCAACTCCTTCGGGATCGGATACATCCTATCCATGAAATCCTGCTTATCTAGCTGCTTCTCCGTCATCTTGGGCCTCTTATCAGCGGTTTCGGCTTCTCGGACGAAATAATTGGCCCAGCGGAGTTCATACTGGAAGACGGCTTCGCGCCGCCAGGGGGTACGGGTCTTGGTATTGCTTTGAGTGCCGGATCGTGTCTTTTCTTCTTCGGCCTTGAGGTCGGCCAGGAGTAATCGGCAGAGACTGAGCGTGGGGACGTTGGCGGAAGGTTGAGTTGCACGCTCGAACCACAGCTTGCGTAACCGTTTGACGACATTCTCGTAGGCGAGTTGTGGCATCAGCCCGCAAGGTGGTAGATCGTTGCTGAATAGGGTGGGCACTGCGCAGTCAGTTGGCCGCCTCCAGTGGCGTAAGATGGGGTTCGAGATCTAGATGCCTGTGAAGGAATGAACTCACTATTTGATTCTAGTCCAAGTTCTTTGCCCTTAGACTCCCAGTCAACATCCTGCAGTCTGCCATCCCGATCAGAGCCAATATTGGGAATGTCCTCGTCGGACACATCGCACCACTCATCATCTTCTTCGCTACATGTTAGCGGTTCGTGTCAGTCATAAGAGTTTTCAAAGATCTATGCGTACCTTGCATTGTTGGTGTTTGATCTGACGACTGAACTGGACTGTTGGTGAGAAACGAAGGCAGCGAGGGCATGTGTAGCGATGGTAGATGAAGCTGCGTAGTACTACTGTGAAATTGTCTGCGCCGACAGCAAGGAATTAGAAATTAAGAATTGTGGTGTTGTGGTGTTGATGTGGAAGCGATAATACAAGCTAGAGCGATCAGACAAATAAGATGCCAGCGTTTGCGCCTGCCTGCCCAAACGCAGGCCAGAAGCTCATGACGTCAGTGCATCACTAGACCCTGGAAATAATATGGAATCACGAGACATCGCAATACGGTTAGGACACTTTGACTCAAAGGACACACGGAGATAATGGAAGAAAGTTACTTGACCATCGTCGCAACCCAGACGAATGTTTTTTGACTTTAGCTTTCCCGGGAACTCGTAGGTCTCTCAAGATCATGCTGCGATCTAATCAAATGCCAATCTACAGAGCCTTGCCCATGAACTTCCTCTTGGTGTAGCTCAGCCACCACTTGCTAGGCGTGTTTGTCTCGTCTGCGTATACCCTATTGAGTAACCGTGTCGCCAACTCTTGTCGCATTTGCATAATGTACTGTCGCAGCACTTCTGCTCCGTTCCTGTCCGCCGGTGCCTCGAAAGCCTGGTTCAGCGGGAATCCAGCGTCGCCTGGGATGGCGAAGTTTGTGTCCAGCGCAATGTTCATAACAGCCTATCCGTATAGTAAGCTTCTCAATCCCGCTCTCCTTATTCGACTCCTTGGAAATAACCTACCTTCTCAGCTTCTCTCCGGCTCATGCCTGGCTTGATCTTGCCCAGTACCTCGCTAACGTATAGGATGCCATAGATGAGCACGCGATCGGCCGGTCCCTTGATTTCAAAGTTGCGGAAGAATGTGTTGGCGCGGAAGAGGGCGAGGATTTCGTCTAAGGGGTCGTACGAGTCGTGTGAGGCATCGATGGTGAGCTCTGTGACATCGGCAGGTAGGGCGGGCAGCTGGATGGCAGGGCCGCGGGTCCGTGTACGAAGCGGGAGGAGAGCAAAGTTTCCTGATGCACTGGTCAATCTCTTTTACACATGAAGAAGCTGAAAAGTATAGCTGTACCGATCAATTGCTGGTTGGGCTCATCCAGGAAGACAGAGTGGTAGGCCTGGCGAGGTGTTAGCTGCTGGCGCTACCTTTACATACGGTTTGAGACTATGATATATCGAACTGCGTCTGCTGACTTACGGGCATCTTGGGTGTTTTCGCCTATATGGGGTGGTGTTTGGTGGTGTTCTTGGGATCTTGGAGCTCGACGGAGGTGACGGCGCAGCTCCGCTTGGTGAGGTGTACTCGTAGGGCTGAGCGGGCGGGGGTGACTAAGCTACCAATCAACGCGTCTCTGCGCGCGGCGCGTCTCCCTCAACTTTCTTACTAGCAGACTACATACCGCCAATCCTCTATTCCCGCTGCCTTAGTTCGAATTTAACGCTTACCCAAGTACCCTGCATCAATCGTACAACTACCAAAATGTCCGACTTCGAAGATGAGATGGACGTGGATGCGCCCGCAGTGGACAACTCAATTACTTTTGGCGGAGATCAGAAGAAGGGCAAGCGGAGCGCTGCAAACCTACCAGTTGAGGCTGAGGATTCTTTGCCATGGTGAGGCTCAAAGTATGTTTCTTCTTGGACAGCTGCTAAATCTCCTAAAGGGTGGAGAAGTACAGACCAAACTCACTAGACGATGTCGAAGGACACAAGGACATAATAGCGACCATCAACAAGTTCGTAGACTCAAATGTATAGTTTGGAACCTCCTTGGAGAAGCACCGCTAACTCTTCCAGCGACTACCCCATCTTCTCCTTTACGGCCCTCCGGGGACGGGAAAGACGTCGACCGTCCTCGCACTCGCACGCCGCATATACGGGAACAAGAACATGCGACAGATGGTCTTGGAGCTGAACGCATCAGACGACAGAGGTATCGATGTCGTGCGAGAGCAGATCAAAACATTCAGTAGCACAAAGCAAATCTTCTCTGCAGCACCCAAGGCGGGAGACTCATCCCTTGCGACATTTAAGCTCATCATCCTCGACGAGGCAGATGCTATGACTGCGACTGCTCAGATGGCACTACGACGGATCATGGAGAAGTACACTGCCAACACACGCTTCTGTATCATCGCCAACTATACACATAAGCTCTCGCCAGCTCTATTATCGCGATGCACAAGATTCAGATTTTCTCCGCTGAAAGATCAAGATATCAGGAATCTAGTCGACAGGGTCATTGAGGAGGAGAAGGTCAACATCACACAGGATGCCACCGACTCGCTTGTGACGCTCAGCAAAGGTGACATGAGGCGAGCACTTAACGTACTACAGGCCTGCCATGCATCAAGCACTCCGCTTCAGACACCGGGCAAGCCTGCGCCCGACCCGAGCTCCATCGTACGCGACCAGATCACACAGACTACCATCTACGACTGCATAGCAGCTCCACACCCTTCGGACATCAAGTACATCATCGAGACGCTACTATCGAAGAACGACATGACGGAGTGTTTGCGAACGGTCAATAATTTGAAGATCATGAAGGGACTTGCGTTAGCGGATATCCTGACGGCGATTAGTGAGGACCTGGTCAGCAACGACGTTCCGCCGCAGGTCATGGTGACATGGATGGCAGGTCTAGCGGACATTGAGTACAGGTTGAGTGGAGGTGGAAGTGAGGCCATACAGACTGGCGCAGCGATCGGCGTTGTAAGGACGGGCGTGGAGTTGCTAGAGACTGGAAAGAAGTAATGCGTCGGTCAATGCGACGTGTGGCGACCGAGCATGATGCAGTGTTAGAAAATGATACCATTCGAATGCGCAGAAGCAATGCGACAACACTTCATCTCCACCATCCAAAACCGCAGCTGTGCTGTTGCACTACACGAGAGTGGGGCAAAGTGTATCAAGACTCTTAGAATCACCGTAGTGATAGGACGAGAGTCGTGTTTTGCGCTAACCGCGCTAGTCAGCATTCACGCGACTCGAACGCGCCTTCTGATCGACGTGCCTTAGGATGTATACACGCCACATCAACAAACCAACACAAACAACCGCATTACTTAACGTGCGCGGGACTCAGACACTCTGCTTTACCCCGCTTGAAGAGGAATCACGCGACTGCCACTTTGATACACTAAACACCCGATACACAGCGTCGCGCATGACCAACACAATCATGCCTGTCAAAGTAAGTCGGTTCGAGAGACGAATAATCGTGAATCTGACAATGAATAGAGAAGAGAAGGCCCAACAAAGCAGCGACAGATTAGTCTGCGTCGAAGCATCGACCCACTTCCTCTTCTAGCTGCGCCGGAAACAACAAAGCTGCAAGAGCGCCGAGCAAGTGAAGGAAAGAGCAAGCGACCGCCAAGATGGCGAGGACCTGTAAACATCATGTGTTTCCTGATGGACATCAGACTTGACTGACCTAACCATAGCAGCACAATAACAACGGCAACTCACAGAGAATTACACCAATCGTGCTACCAGAAAGAGACAAGATCTCAGCACGTGAGCCCCAGGAAAGCCCATCACATCAGCTATCACAGTCCCAAGACATCCAACTCCGTTTCTCTTTCTCGCAATCATTCACTGATGATGTGGAGCGACAAATCCATTCTGAGGCCAACTTCAACCAAAGTTTCTCGGGATTATCCATGACTACCGGCCCCAACCAGTCCAATTCCATATCTAGCTCAGGTTCCAGTTCCAGTTCCAGTTCCAGTTCCCAGTCTACTGAAAGGGCTTCTCCAGTGCAACCATTTCGACCTCAGACGTCTATCTACCAACCTACGCCGCCTTTGCTGACTAAACCGGGGAAGAAAAAGGAAGGGTATGGATTCAGTTATTCGGAGACGTTCATGTATGACTCAGACGATTACCCAGATACGGAGTGTGAATGGGATCCAGAAGCAGAAGAGCAGGAGACAGAAACAGAGCCCAGTACACCGACGTCAGTTAGTCACAACGCTTATCTGACCTGGGACGATGGCACGAGAGATTCACGACGAACGGAACAACCGCAACAAACACAACAACCAATACCTCGCCAAAGCTTCAGCTCATCGACAACTACAGCTACCTCTTTTGATGGCCTTGTTGTCCTCCGCGACGTGGGTTCCTTTAACTTGACCCGCCCGTCTCGCCACCAATACACACTCCCATGCACGCTTGCTACCCCCTCGGACGCCCTTCTCCTCCGCCAACGCGCTTCCAATCTACTCTCGCGTTACACTGAATCTGCGTCCATTCAACTCGGTCTCCTAACACGGCTCGAACGCATGCTCTATCTTGAACAAAGCAAACTAGGTGCTACAGAAGATGCCGTAGCAGCCAGTTTGGCCAGTTGTGCAGAGAGGTTACGGGATTGGTTGGTACGGAGTAAAGAGGAGAGGGTGAGTACGGGGGAGTGGAAAGGTGTTGTTGAACATGAGATTGAATGGGCGGAGTGGTTGGTTCAAGCGACGGGGAGGGGAGTGTTGCATGTTAGGAGGAAGGGGTGTCGGTGTAGACCTGATTGGGAGGGTGTTTAAGAATAAGTGGAATGATAGCAGGGTACTTGTTCCTGCGGTACGTATCTTTCAAGAGCATCTTCTTTTGCGTGGAGCGTGCAAATCAAGAGAGTCATAACAAGGAGCGCAACAACTACTGCACCGAGCCGGGACAAGCGTGATCAAACGCGTTTACGACGACGACTTCGGGGACCCCGCAATTGAGGTATAGCGCTCTGTGCTGTTCATTGTTCCAAAGAAATTTTGGTTCTAACGCGTAAGGTAGCAGGTATGGTGTCGCATGTTGCCGAAACCTGGCATGACCTGTGCATTGCGTGTTCGGGCACTCTCCGAAAGCAGCTCGGTTTAACCCAAGCTCGATCACTCACTTCAACTGTCGGCATTCTGGACCATTTCTAACATGATCTGACTCGTTCGACCAACACTATGATCAGTTCGGGAGGGTGCAGCGCACAGGGACTAATCGCAAGCTGGCGGATTACAGCTGCTCCTCGGCACATTTGCTCCACCACGAAGCCACGTGTGGCGGTACTCTACCAGGAACCTGAGCCACCGTTGATCAATGGGGTCCGCAAGCCTAGGAAGCCTAGAGGTACGTAATTGGCTTCGTGCGCGTGAGCTTCGAGACGGCATTGACACTTTGCCAAGGGTGTAGAGACCCTGGTGCGGATATCGTATATGTGCTGAAGCACCAATGCAAGATAGATATAGTCAACCCAGTCTCTGCCCCAGGCCCTCGTAGTGATGAAGACTGGTGTTTTTGAGATTACGAGAGTGCGATTACAGATGCGGTGTCCAAGGGAATAACACATCTCTAGGCAAACACTATACTATTCGCAAACCATCCTCTCCAAACGGCTCCCAGCCTAAGAAGTGCGCCTAAGAAATTGAAAATTGTTAGACAGTCACCCGAGCTGGTTGAGCCGTTCGGTGATAATTTCTTAGTTAACAACCTCCTGCGTGCTCACCCTGGGTTTACGCTGCCAAGCGCCCACGGTGTCCACGATGAACAAGCACTTGCAGAACTTCCCCACGCGGATGTACGATATCTTGTAGTCGCCAAGCCTATCTGAGGTCGAGGTAGCTATGGCGTCAAAGTATGTCACTTCCCAGAGGAATTGAGCGAACATTATCGTGACTTGTTGAAGCAAAAAGCATCGGTGATCATGGAAGACTATCTTGCTAGTCAGGAAGCCACAGTCAGTGTCATGCCGCCTTCGACCACTACAGGAAAGGACGAGTACTGGGCGATGCCGGTTGTAGAACGCTTCAATCACGCCGAGTGTGAGTTAGCGCTTTAGATATCTGGCGTCTGCAATTTCCGCTAACTGTCCACAGGTATAGCACCGTACAATGGCATAGTTGCTGTTCTTCAGAACCCGCGGTCTCTTTCTGAGGAAGAACACAGATCGTACCCTCACTACAGTGAGATCCAGCGTCAATGTGTCGAAGTGGTAAAGCTGCTCGAGTGTACTGCCCCTATCAGAGTCGGTTTTAGCCGGTTCAAGGAATGTAAATCATCGCCATTCGCTTTGTTCGATGTCAACATGAAGCCAGTAAGTTAATAGGCATCTGCTTTTCATGACATGACTAATCTGTGTTCAGAACATGACAGGTCCTGGCAGACCCGGAAGAGAGAATCAAGCTAGTTTGACGGCGTTGGCTGCTGCTAGTTTGGGATGGAATTCTCCAACCCTGCTGTTGAAGATACTCGAGCCTAGTAGTTCACTGCATGGTCTGAGAAATGTCATGTTGTCACATACTGTTTGTGAATAAGCAAAGACTATTCTCGTTGTTTGGCGCGCAACACGATGCCTTGGGAGAACTTATAGTCATGCACTCTCGTGGGCGAACCCCTTGCTTGCGCGTAGGAGACGCATCGCTTGTTTACGGTGAACAATAGATCTAGTGTCTCTTGATCTTGAAACCTGTTATAAAACGTAAAGATTATGAGATTTATGATTGACTTGTTAGTAGTACCACTAGTTGTAGTAGAGGGTATCCAAAGTATGGCTTCGCAAATTCGCACACGCAGCGGCTAGTCACTACTTAGGCATTCTTGTCCGTAAACAGCTTTCCATATAAGTTTATAGGTATTGTAGAAGTTTCAAGTCACCCGTCTGCTCTACCTTGTCGCAATACCAGTAGTTGAAGTGAGCAGGACCAAATCGTTATCGCTACACTCGGATTTGAGTCAACATCATCCAACACTTTCTCCCTCAGTACTGAACGCAATCATGTGTTTAAAACCATGTAATCCATACGATCTGAGAAATGGCAGCTATCTAGCTTTTTGCAATTGGAAGATAGCGGCATTCAAGGAAGAGATGTTGGTGTATCTTCTGTTTTTACAACTTGTTTTATCATGAACTACTAAGTACGCACAAGATTACTTGATTACGATAGTCTGTAGAGTAGCATTGGGGAATGCTGCTTCAAACAATGCATGCGGATCGGGTTTCCTCCACACCCCATAGGGTTCATCATATGTTGAACTGCACGACCCTTCAATGCATCCAATACGTCGATATAACCCGCATGAACTCCTAGTGTTTCCACCGCTTGTCAATGGCAGCGAGGTGACAACTAAGGTAATGTAGTAGGATACACTATAATCATCCGCGGTCCACATGCAAAACGGGACAACAGTGTACGTCTTCCTCTTTACAGACTGGTTTTGCAATTCGTCCCAGTGCAGAAACCATCCCACCGATTCTACACATGAAACATTTGCGTCTTTGAATGGGTAACTCCGTCTGTGGCTTGTCGACAAAGTCATACTACGTAGTCGAGCAAGAAGCTTCGGAGAACCCTCCTCCAAGTTCACATACGGGTTACTGGCCTGAGTCGGGGACACCAACACGTCTTCTAACTCCACCCAGATTTCCGACGGTTCTTCTAACTCCTTCCAGATTTGCTTCGGGTCAATGGAAGTAGAGGTGCCATACTTGATCCGGCCGTGAACCGAAGCCCAGCTCCACGACGGCGCAATAGCAAGGCACGATGCTCTCGATATGACAGGGCACGGATCTTCAGAATGCCACGTGAGACATTTCAGAAGTTGTTTCTTCCATATGCCCGCGAAGTATGTATCCCCGAAATGTTCGACTGGTACTGACTTCGCAATTGACGACAGCGCAATCAAACGGTCCGTTGGCTGCGTAAACTGCAACACTGAATAGAATTCGATGAAACTTAGCCATCTCTTGGAGGTCAGATGAGAGGCATGTTGCGATCCCATCTCATTCCCAAGTGGACGATACATGGTAGTTTCGTTATACAGGAAACTATTGTTATACGGGAAACTATTGTTATACGGGAAACTATTGTTACATAGGGGACTATTGCCACCCGCATCATTTCCTTGGCACTCCCATAAAACTCCCTCCTCAGTGAAGTGTAGTATCCTTCGTGAGAGTAGGCGCTCTTGTGCAACCCAGCCGCGTCTGTTCAAGCTGGAAGCGACGACAGAGTTGTGGAATGTAGAGCTTTGTGAACAAAAGAATAAACATGTTCCGTCTTTTGTCTCTTTGGGAATGCTACACGGTGCATTGTAGTCAAACCCAACTTTCCACAGAAACTCGTTATCAGGATCGTCGGAGCAAGTAGCAGCGATAGTGCAAATTGCATTTTGGTAAACAAGCCACATACGTGGTCCTTCTTCATTCCAGTCGGTAAAGTTACCGTGCGCACTAGGTTGAACGATACACAGCGCGTCGATCTAGAGGAAGTGTATTTTCAATCCACGTGCAACGACAATGGCATCTTTGAAGGTTTGTGGCATATTGGCGGAATATTTAACCCGTTTCCCAGTCAATTGTGTCTTCAGCATGCAGTTCGGTGGCTTGTTACCCCAGCGATAGCTCAAGGTACAGTAATTGGAGAGCTCCTCCACTGTTGCACGAGCCGTGGCAATCCATGTCTGCACGTCAAACGTAAGAACTTCGTGATCATGAGAAAGGTCGAGCAGACGGCGCGGAAGTGAATTCGCCTTGGCTGATAGATCCATCATCTCTGGCTTACAGGCACCATGCATATCGTTATCGCCGTGCATACAATCTCCCAGAAGTTCGCAGGCGCGCAATACTGGGTTATAATGAGCCCCGTGGATGGAAAACTGCGTACTGTTAGGGATAGGGTTCATCCTGAAATCGTGTCGATAGTGGAACTGGTCAATGTTTAAGAATATGACAGAGATTTCATCAAGGACAATCCTGCTGTGGCAATCTCGAAGTACAATCGTGGTCTTGTGCTGGAAACGCCGAGCATTCGCCTCAGAAACCTTCTCTATATGTTTCCGGATGAAGGAGCACAAATCGCAACCAGTTTCAGCAAGCCTGATCAGTTCAGGCCCTGAGGACCATGTACTAATTCGTTCATCGCTCCACACTGGGGCCGGACGTATCTTCGGGACCACAGCTTTGCTGCATTCAGGACACCGGGGCATCGTCAAGGTCCCGCAAGGGTTATGGTCTGACAGAGCTGGGAATTCCAGGATGTTTTGGAAGGATCCGCAACTGTTGAATAGAGATTATAGGTAGGAAGACTTCCAGCAAGTGAATATGTGCATTTGCGCCTGGATTGAGATGGATGGACCAGGAAGTGGAGGCTGGAAGTGGCAGATTAGGAATTAACCACCACAACGACTGCGCCACAGTTCTAGCATTCAAAGACGAACGAGATAGCGACTCGGAGATAAGAAAGAAAGAGATAAGAACCCGTCTGCGGGGTACACCATGAGACAGAAGCCGCCAAGCCTTGCTCGCTACGCCTACATCCTCAATCGCCCAATCACGATTTGCTCGAAAGCATGTTGTCGACATCACGTTAAACAGAGTTGCGACATATATGTTCTGCAATCACAGGCCAGAAATGGGAGGAAGGACGCGTTCATCTGTCGTCTTCTACTGTATATCTATCTGTCAGTTCGTAGGAGCATATGATCTTATGCATACATCCGCCTGTGCGATAAATATTATGGTGCATCCATCTTGCTTCTAAGTGTTGTCGATCTAACGATAAGAGAACCACGATCCAAATAGATACGTGTTGCCTATTTTGCTTTTGCTATCAATTGCAACAAGCCATACATAAATATGTCAATTGACTTACCTTGAGAGAGAGAACGCTGGGAATAGCAAACCATAATCATACCGGTTAGATAATATGGGGAAAATGATGAACCTAGTCCATGGGTGAGGAAGCTTCCATCCACTACTTACTCCCAAAGATGTCACTTAACCACAGACCATAACCGTCCCCTACATCATCAACGGAAAAAGAGACATCGAGATAACTGTGAATAATCTTTCCTATTCTACCAACTACACTGACGCCCTACCTACTTCTATTGCGCTGACAATGCCCATCAGGTATACTACTTCTTCATCGCCGTACCGGTATCAATACACCCCTGCTTACAAGCTCCATCTCCAAAACGACCGACGCCGGTAAAATGCGAGTATAGCTAACAGGTACCCCCCAATAATCGCCATGAATAACAAAAACGCCGTCTGTGCCATAAACCACTGGGTCGTAATAAAATGCCCTCAACCCCAAAGTGTGCAGCCTCTGCAAACGGTTCCTCAGCAGCCAGTGACCTCTCTCGTGATCAAATGTCATTTCGAAGTAGCTGCCTTGACAACGCCCAATGCCGTGGTGAAAGTCGTGCGAGCGAGGGTTTGTACAGCCGTAGCAGACCTATCTTCTACGGTAAATATCCGCGTCCCTGTCCCTATTATCCCTATTATCCCTCCTGCCTTGGTCCCGACGATCCGGACTTCTACTCCTCGTCCGTCCATCTCTCCTCTCCCTTGCAAAGCCCCTGTTGTCATTCCTATCAGGACGATCCCTATACGCGCGATTACGATCTGAGCGGTCATCCGCTGTATGTCCTCCGCCTTCTCTCGAGTTCCCCGAGTCACGGCTGCCACGTCTTGTGTTCCTCTCGTCAGGTTCGCGGGAGCGACGGGGTCCCTCGGCACCATAACTAGGGATATAAGTGTCGCCGCCGGCAGTCGGGGGTGGTCCTCTTCTGCGATCTGCGCCATCGGGTCCGTACCGGGGGACGGGTGGTAAGGGGTGTCTGCCATCAGCGGGGGGAGCGGGAAGTCCGTTATGTCCTCTTTCCGCGCTGTTACCCCAGTTTGGCCTGCGGTCACCTGGTGGAGGTGGAGGAGGACGATGTTCATAGTTTCGGCGGTCATAGCCTCCTCTTTGGCCTCTGTTATCGACGCCTGGTGGACCTCGGTCTTGGGGACCCCCGTTGTATCTTCTGTCGCCGTTCTGCTGCCAGGATTGGGGTGGTGGACCCTGGCCTACCCACTCGCCATTTGGTCCACCGCCTACGGTGCCACCTTGGGGTGCGGGAGGCAGTGCTTGTTTTTGTCCTCGGGCGTTGCGCCGGTCTAGTTCGTGGGAGTCGGCGAAATGGGGGATGTCTTCCTCGCGCATAGGGAGTGGTTGCTCGCGGAAGTAGGGGTGGTCGATGGCGTCGATGGCGTTGATTCGTTTCCGCCAGTCGAGGCGCATGAGGTCTTTTATGAGCGAGAGGCCGATGGGGGAGAGTTCGCGGAAGCGCTGGGCGATGTTGCCGGTGCTGGGCGCGAAGGAGCGGATGGGGTCGGCGCCGGGGAGTTCGTGCCAGCCGGGCATGCTTGTGTCGTTTGGCGAGCCGACGAGCTCGAAGATGATCTGCGCTTGGTGGATGTCACTTTGGCCTGCCAGGATGGGCTTGCGTTTGAACATCTCGCCAAAGACGCAGCCTGCACCCCACATGTCGATAGCAGGCGTGTACTTCCTGAGCTGCAGAAGAAGCTCTGGGGGTCGATACCATCTAGTTACGACCAGTGTAGTGTACTCGCGCTTGGCTTCGCCGTTACCCCTGCCTCGCTGTGGTACCGCTTCGTCGTAGTGTCGCGCAAGACCAAAATCTGCTATTTGTAGCCGTCCACGGTTGTTGATGAGAAGGTTGGCGGCCTTCATATCTCGATGTAAGATGTGGTTATCGTGGAGGTATCGCAGGCCCTTGAACAGCTGCAGCATGTAGCACTTGATCTGCGCTTCTTGAAACCGGACTTCGGGGTTGTCGAGGAGACCTGAAAGATCGTGATCCATGTAGGGCGTGACCATGTACAAGATGGCGCGTTTCCTGCCCTCGGCTTTTGGGCGCTCCACAGCCATCTCTTCCAACTTTAGGACATTTTCGTGCGACAACATCTTCAGCAGCTTGATTTCTCGCAGCGCTGTGATAGGGAAGCCGTCCTTCTCGTTGTGCATCAAAATCTTCTTCAGCGCAAAGATGCTGCCGGTAGCCTTTTGTCGCGCCATGTGGACTTCACCAAAAGTACCCTCTCCGAGTTTCTTCATCATTTCGTAGTCGCCGATTTTGCTGCATCCCTTGAATCGCCGCTGCAAGGCAAGCGAAGGCGTTGCGCCTGCAGGGTTGGCCATGTTGGCGGTGGTGTTGGCTGGGGTTCGTGACGGAGGATTCGCCTTTACGCTTCGTTGTCGCTGCTAAGTGGTCCGCGGAGCACTTGTGCGCAGGAGAGTCGCGAATCGCGCTATGTGTCGAGTCTTGTGGAGCGATACAGCGAGGGGTGTGTGGTCGCAATGGCGTGCGCTGCCATGGATGGGGTGTCGGAAAGCAGAAGCTATTGCGCAGACATGATGATTGACGTTGTTAATGTCGTAGGTGAAGGAGCAAAGAACGCGATCCGCGGTCGATGCCATAGCCTTGGCACCGTAACGCTAGCGTAGCCTCCGATCGACCTTAACCACACCTCATTCCCGAAAGACGTCAACAGGCTATTGCACGAGACAGCTTGCAGGTACGATACGCCGCTGGATGTCAATGTCACCTCTTTAAACTGACTACTCTTTAGGCTCCACAAACATCATGCAACCCACACGAGCCCGCATGGGTCCGCCCAAATATGCGCAGATGCCAAACCACCCCATCCACATCCACCCGGTCCGACCGCTATACCGATTCATGGCTACCGGCCTCGGTGCTTCCATGTGGTTCTTCGTATGTGGTCTTGATACATGTAGGAAGGCATAGTGCTAACAATGGCAGTTGATGTACCGCGCGAAGAAGGACGGACCAGCTCTTCTGGGCTGGAAGCACCCATGGGATCACTGAGCTCTTGATGAGCCGACGGAGGAGCTTGGGAGGTTCTAAATGCAATCGAGGGTCAGCATTATTCATCGCGGATGTACATACCAAGGAACGTAGGAGACCGGCCCAAATCGATGGCTGCGATATCTCACGCAGACAGCGCCAAGAAATTAGAAACTCGAGAACAACTGCATGCGATCTGTATCTTCTACCGAAACTGCGCCTGCTGCAAAACCCAACAATGTTGGATGTCGTGGTCTTTGATAACGTTATAACATCATCACATTGCACGAAACTATGTGGATATCAGTGAGGAAGCGGTGCGACATGTCTTGAGAGGGAGATTAGATATTATTCAGCCTGCACATATTCCACAGCGTCATGTCCTCAGTCACTCTCTGCTATCCCATCCTCATCCGCCTCACCCTACTCAGGCTTCTCAAACAAATAATGACTAACCCCCCACGTATCCCCTCCATCCCACCTAAACAACTCACTACAAGCCAAATAAAACACCTGCCACCTATTCCACCAAGTCGTCGCTCCCTCCTCTCCATACGTCTCCACCAACCCCTTCCAAATACTCTCCTTGTTCCCCAACATGGTCGTCAACCAATCCTCACACGTCTTACTATAATGCATACCACTAACCCACCACTGCCTCTTGATCTTCAAATCATCTTGGAAGAACAAAAGAAGATCTGCACTAGGCATCGTGCCTCCGGTGAAGAAATGCTCCGTCATCCATCCACCTTCGAAATCATACGGCGTATCTTTGTGCGCAAAGATATGCACAAACAGCTTTCCACCAGGTTTCAACGCCCGGCTGACCTTTGCCATGAGTAGAGAGTAGTTCTTCATATGTTCGAAGAGCTCAATGGAGAGGACACGGTCGTATTTCACAGCTTCGAATTCATAATCCACGACGTCGCCCGTCACGATGCGAAGGTTCTTGAAGCCCTTTTGCGTGGCGACCGAGTCGATGTGCAGTTTTTGGGTGCGCGAGTTGGAGAAGCCGGTTATGGAGCTGTTGGGGAAGACCTCGGCGAGGTAGAGGGAGAGGGAGCCCCAGCCGCAACTAGCATGCGTCAGCAGGTCCGCCTTTTACGTCTTGTAGTAGACTTGGGTAAGTAGAAGGTGGGTAGAAAGAGCACGTGACATGCTCATGACCCCGAATACCCATGCAAAAGACACTAGAATCACGAACCAAAAGAAGAAGTAGAAGGAAACTCACCCTAGATCCAACACCGTCATCCCGTCCTTCAGCCCAGCTCTCTTAACATACAACTCCATCATCCTGATCTCAGCCTCACCCAGCGTCTCCCCACCCTTCTCATACAAACAAGCCGAATACTTCATCCGCGGGCCCAACATACCCTTCAACACCTGCGTCCCCACCTCGTAATGCTGATCATTTGCTTTGGCTGTTTCAATGGCGATGGGTCTTTCTCTCAGCAGCTCGACATATTTCATCTTGGACTCATAGCCTGCTTCGAGCGATGTCGTAGCGATGGAGGAGAGACGGTCGGCTAGTTGGCGCCGGATCCCTAGGCGGATCGCAGCATGCGGGAGGTATCCATTGTCGATGAGAGGATTGATTATGCCGTCCGAGTTGACGAGGTCTGTTGGAGTGTTAGGGTCGCATGATTGTATGAGTGGTTTGGATTCGTGTACTTGAGATGTAGTTCATGGTGGGCGGCAGCTACAAACAACAAATCAAGCAGCTCTGCTCTATGAAATTTGAACTTTGGACTTTGATTGAGATGAAATGATCGAATGCGATGCAACTGCAATTATTTGAAGCTACGTATCGTGAACTTGCACGCCATGTTGTTTCGGCTTCAGAAGCGTTTCGTAGTGTGCCTAAAACGGCTTAGTCTTTGCGTGTGATGACGTAGACGATTGTACAGAATAGTGATCAGGGTAAGCACTTTAACACAACGACAATGAGCCTTTGAGAGTGCGTTGCAGCATATCGCTCACCACATTAGAAAGAAAGAAATGAGATGTAGCGATGTAATAGCCAATCAGAACATGCGCGCGTGCTGCGACGGGAGATCAGCACACTAAACGGCTGCGGGAACTGCATGCATGCTACCTATATTACGCCATACAGAGTTTCATGTGGCTGCGAGCATGGTTTATTGCTGTTTGTGACGTTGCTGGCGGGCTTCTGTTGCTTCGATGTCAGACATCTAGTCAGGCGTAAATCAGGCCTAGTTGCAACATGTAATAACTTTATCCGATAATATTATTGCGATAAGTAACGTACCAAAGCGTGGTATGTGGTGATGGGGTATCAAGGCAGTCTTGACTCTAAGAATACATCACAATGACGATGCGCGGTGTGAGTAAACATACCTTCGTCTCGTTATCCTCACATTCCAGTCCCGAGTCAATTTCCCAAGCCATACCCTATGTATCGCCACTAAGTCGACCGAAAAACGTCGTAATCCTTCTCTCGTGATTATGCCCGCGCAGATTTATATCGATTCCTTCTTCTCCATTTCCATTCCCCCGTTCAGTCTAGTCCAGTCCAAACATGAACACACTCCTGGTCCCCTGCCAGTGAAAATTGCCTTATCTTCCCATATATTATCTGCTATTTCCCTTGCAAAAGGCCTTTCTGCGCCTTGCTATGCCCTTACATTAAGATACGTGAAGTCATCGAGGCCTAGTTTAAAAAGTTTCATCCCCTCTTGTAGGAAGCTCGCAATGCTTATTGATTGGCCAAAAAGTCTGACCATCGAGCTGAGCTGGAAGGGAGTGTATATGTCTCCTTCTCCTTCTCCTTCACAGGAACGAACTCAGGCTGATCATTCTGCTTAACGGCTTCCTGGTCGAGTTTCGCCTTCCTCTGAAGACGTCTCTTGTAAAGTATGAATCCAACGAGAAACAGTAGTATCGCCCCGATGCCTGCTCCCACGCTTATGCCTGCTTTGACGCCAATACTGAGGCCTGAGTTGGAGGAACCGGCACTTTGCTCACGGGTTGATTCTGGTTCCGCCAACGACGTCGCTGACGTGAGCTGGCTGCGACCTGGGGGAGATGCTGTTTCGCTTGTGATGTCCGTGGCCGTGGCTGTTGCCGTAGGCGTGAAAGTGTTGCTGGGGAGCAACACCTCGGCTAGTGACGACGCATAATCGCGATCGAACTTTGGGAGATCAGACTCTTGCCAGTACGCGCGCATTTGGTTCATGAGCATAAACCCGCTGCTGATTACAGTGGAGTTGCCTCTATAGTTCAGGTCGTAGATAGGATATGTAGTCACCGCGCCACCGGCAAATAACCCTAACGTTTCGGTGTAGAGCACTCCTCTTGCATAGTATCCAGTGACGGGGGTGCTAAAGGTGGACACGCACATTTCATCCGATTCAGTAAAGCCACTACCATTGCAAGTCAGCTAGGGTATAGCGCCTCCCGTCATAGTCAAGGGTTACGACGTACCTTTTGCAACAATCGGCACCCCATGCGCGAACACGGCCTGTCGTCCAACGTGGGCCCATCCTAAACTCAAACAGATCGACCATGGTGTATCCACTGAGGCATGTGCCTGGGCTGTGAACGAGACTACCGCCAGATGGCATACAGGAAATCGGGATAAAGAGCGTGAGAGAGTGTGGGTACATGAAATCGTCGTCGTCAACTCTCCAGTTGTCGGTACATCGTGGTGCGAACGTGAATGATGTTGTGAGTGGTCCATATGGTTCTCCTGTTGGGAAGTAACCACCTGGGTCGACTGTCAAAATTTTGTTGAAAACATTTTGAACATTTGCCATGGTGAGCAGTTAGAGACGGAGGTGGGAAAGAATGAGATTAGGAGCGGGTGGTGTGATTTAGGAGACAATGTCCAAGATGGCGAGTACTACCTGTCAGACTCAGGTGTTCCAACACGACGCGTCGGTTGTGGCTTGCTCTAAAACTATCACCGACATTAGCAGTTGACATTGGATAAAGTTAATGTTGCCTACGAGAACCGGATTTGTAAGGACGACTGTGCCGTATGTGCGCAAAGGGTAGACATTGTGAGACATGCTGGTCCTTGGCCGCTGAGCCGTGATGAGGGAGCCGACAGACAATGTCAATAGCACAGCGAGCAAGACTTCCACCACCCTTTCCTCCTCCTCCACTTCGCCTCCCCTATCCACCCATCCAGGGTAAAGACACCAAAGCTGGATTCTCTTTGTCTTCCTTCATCACTCTTTGTAGATTGCTGGGGCGCAGTCTGCGGCACAGTTCAGATTGCCTAACCCTAACCTCCCCCCTAGTCGTGGTACCGGTTTGATCCATCCCTTACCATTACCATTTAGGATCCCGAGCTTCGATAATGTCCCCGACTGACCGCCTATCGGTCAAGCGCATGCGTTTCTTAAATTACTCTCCCGTTCACGCCGCCTGCCTCTGCGCAAGTTCAGGTTGTTTATTCTACATTGCAGAATTCCAGTCAGGTTTCGATGACTTCTTCCTCAATCTCCTCTTGTACAGCGAAAACCCAGTGATACCCAATAGGATCGCCCCAATCGCTACTCACACGCCTATACCCGGTTTCGCTCCACTATCAAGCTGAGAACCCGACCTTTCAGCACCTTGATCAGAATCCGATGTCGCAGATGCGACTTGGCTTCGATTTGGCGGTGTTGCTGTTTCAGCTGTCACGCCCGCGGCGGCTGTTGGCGTAAAGTTGATATCGAATTTATCGGCTATTGTCGCCGCGTACTTGGCATCGAAGTTTGAGAGGTCGGATTCTTGCCAGTAGACAATCATTGGAGTGTCCGCTATAGTTCCGCTACTAAAGAGGTTAGTGTTGTCTGTAGCGTACTGGTCGAGGGAGTAATATGTCTTAACATCGCCATCATTATAGGTGGTGGTAACGGGAGACCGTGTTGGATTATACGCGGTGAGGGGTGTGCTAAAGTCGGAAAAGCAAAGGTTCTCCCCAACATCGCCCGTTGGTATCATATCACTATCGTTCTAGTCAGTGAGAGTAAATCAGTTCCAGCCCACGTCTTCATCGGAGGTAGCCTCGTGATAGCTGGACATGCAGACTTAATTTCTACGACAAACGGCACGCCATGCGCGTAGACCACCTGACGTCCATCCTGGGGTCCTGAACTCAGACAGATCAATTACACGGTAGTTGTCGAGACATGTGCCTGGACTGTTGATGGCTTGACCGCCAGGGTGACAGGAGTCGGAAATGGAATTCGTCAAATTGGGAGGACCGTCGACGTACATACGCACCCACTGCTTCCAGTGGTCGGTACAAGTGGATGCATACGTGAAAGATGTTGGGAATGGTGCCCATGGGTGATTAGCATCTGTCGTTGGAAAGAAACCCCCTGAGGACACTGTTTTTATTGTGAGCCCAGCATCTGCGATACCCGCCATGACGGACAGTTGCCAAATGTGACAGAGCAAGGAGTTGAGAGCGAGATATGCAAGTTGGGTATAGCACATCAGATGAGGAGTGCTACCTACTGGGTACTTGGATCACAACGCGCCGGTGGCCATGCCCTGCGTCCGCCACCGACACTGCCAACCCCCAACACATTGCATTAGCATCTCCTGCAAGGTGGTTCGATGAATAACATCTGATTTGTAGAGGCGATTGCGCCGTATATGCGCATGAAGCAGAGCTCTGTGTGACCTGAGGGGTGTGTTGTTGTTTTGAACTGTGCTTGGAGCTGTGCCGCATTTTGGTCACACAGCCTTGCGTTCAGCTTAGTTCAACCCCAGTGGAAATGACGGCAGGTATCCAGGAGCATAAAATTTGATAGGTAGGTAGAGTGTATTGGTGTTCCACTGGATGTTGTGGTGGCTTGCTGCGGTAGGTTACAAAACAAACGTCGATAAAAGCATCGGCTGCTGTTTGGCGCCGCAAGAATCCAAGTTGCTAGGATGTTGAGATGTCGAGCTTGTCATTATAATGGCCTACCTCTTGACATACAAGGACCGGGTAGCAGCCGCAAGTTGATGCTGGTGGGTGGACATGGCTATGCTCTCTTCCTCAGTTAACGTCTAGTAGTGTTTACAAACTCATCTAGCAGGGAGTGTTATCTTGTGCTTGCTCCAAATCACCTGCACATCTATGTATCAGTATTGAGTATTGGCGAGGTGCGAGGATTTCATGGGCATGGCACAATTCGCACCGCTGCTCGATGATGAGTGTTCGCGTCCCTGGCGCCTATTCCCGGTACATGAACATGGTCACTCCCACGTCAATTCGGTCTCGACTAGAGACGGCTAGATAATAGTATGGTTACTGGAGCGTTGCACAGCTGGTGCACAAGATAGAGATGCCAGGCGATGGACGAATAGCCGATGGCCCGAATTTGCGACTGCCGGCACTTAGTCGGACGCGGACGACGGCAATTTGTTAACGCGCCGAATGCGATAAAAGCTGTTAGGCGTCAAAGGCGCCAGAGAAGGTCATGTCGAGGCGTAGGCTGCGAAGAGTGTGGACAAAGGCGCAGTAGTCGAATGGAAGAAGCATCATTGGCTACCAAAGGATACATGCATGCGCCGACCCGTTCCGTTGAGTTTTGTTTCTGCCGGAGTTGTGTGTTGGAGGTTTGGTTGTCGTGGTTCGCTGGCGTGGCGTTGGCAGCACCTGCAGCCGATTGCGGGCGGAAACATGAGCATTCTGACTCAGGCCCCACTAAAAGACATTGAGAATTCCCTCACTCTCCACAACTCCATACTTCACACTCTCCACACGTCATCTGTCATAGATAACAGTTTACATCTGTTTCTCTACAACACACCAACGAGTAGGATACCATAAATCACCAATTGCATTGGAGAAGCCACCAATTCACTCGTAACTATGTCTGCATTCACAAACGGAAACACACACGAGTCGGAGCGGATAGCTCACACGGAAGAGAAGCACCTACCTGGAGGCTGGGTAGTCCTCAAGTTCGGGGGTACAAGTGTCGGCAAGTTCGCGGAGAACATAGCGGGCATCGTCAAGTACGGCGCATTACGATTCACTCTGGACGGGAAGCGCTAACAAGACACAGAGCCGGTCTTGAGACGAACCGCGCCGCTATAGTCTGCTCCGCACGCAGCAGCAACACGAAGCTCGAGGGAACCACCAACCGCCTGCTTCGCGCCGCTCGCGCTGCCGAACAACCCAACCACCGTGGTTATGACGAGATCGTCGAGGCCATCCGTACCGACCACATCCAGGCCGGAAAAGATGTCTTGAAGAGCCCGGAAATCCTGGCTTCCTACACCGACGAAGTCAATGCCGAGTGCGAGAGCCTGGTCAAGATTTTGGAGTCGGCGCAACACTTGGAGGAGGTTACGAACCGCGCAGAGGACAAGATCATCAGCAAGGGCGAGAAGCTGAGCTGTCGCTACATGGCCGCTATTTTGAACGATCGCGGCACGCCTGCGCAGTTTGTTGACCTCAGCGACGTTGTCAAGTTCAATGCGCCTGTCAAGGGTGGGCTGAATGACAAGTTCTACAAGGATTTGGCCGAGGACCTGGGCAAAGAGGTGGCAGCATGTGGTGACAAGGTTCCTGTTATCACAGGCTTCTTTGGCAATGTGCCTGGTGGACTGCTGAATTCCATTGGGCGTGGATACACGGACCTTTGTGCTGCCCTGGTAGCTGTTGGTATCCAGGCAAAGGAACTCCAGGTCTGGAAGGAGGTGGATGGTATCTTCACGGCGGACCCCCGTAAGGTTCCCACCGCCGCTCTGCTTCCCACTGTCACGCCCTCCGAGGCTGCTGAGTTGACCTTTTACGGATCCGAGGTCATTCACCCCTTCACCATGGCGCAGGTCATCCGCGCTCGCATCCCGATTCGCATCAAGAACGTCATGAACCCTCGCAATGCGGGTACCGTCATCTTCCCGGACAATTTGAAGGACATTGACGGCCGTGCGCCTCTGAAAGATGGGAAGCTCTTCCGCACTCGTTCCGCGAGCCTGCTCACCCAACTCGAAGGCCCCAAGCGCCCCACTGCCGTCACCATCAAGCACAACATTGTCGTGCTCAACGTGCACAGCAACAAGCGCACGCGTGCCCACGGTTTCTTGATGAACATCTTCAGCATCCTCGACCGATGGCACCTTTCCGTCGACCTCATCTCTTCCTCCGAGGTCCATGTGTCCATGGCTCTGCACTCCGAATCCGCCCTTCTTAGTGGTGGGGGCGAGGACGAGTACAAGATTCAGAGTAAGGACCTCCAGGGCGCCGTCAACGATCTCGGTCAGCTCGGAACTATTGACATTGTGCCCGACATGGCTATTGTGAGCTTGGTGGGTAAGCAGCTGAAGAACATGATTGGTATCTCTGGTAGATTCTTCAGCGTCTTGGGCCAGAATAACATCAATATCGAGATGATCTCGCAGGGTACGTAAGGTTGTCTAAATTGCATTATTTGATCACTAACTTCTTCTAGGTGCGAGTGAGATCAACATCTCCTGTGTCATTGAGGAGCGCGAAGCCGATCGCGCTCTCAATGTTGTACATACGAATCTTTTTACCTTCTTAGACTAGATGTCGCGTTCGCATTTGCGGAGTTGGATACCACCTAGACAAAATCTCCAGGTCAATTATATATTTACACGTCCATTCCAGATTCACCGCGTCATTTCCTCCATTTCTCGTCTCCGCCGAATATGCTGACTGCGTCATGTCTTGTGTTGTCTCCGTTCACCGAGTGTATTTCACCTCGAGCTGCGCGTTTGCTCGTAGTCGTAGCGCGTGACTATTGCGCCGCGCAACATACACCAATTGCAGCGCGCCTTCAATTCCAAATCACCGTCACTTCCCCTTCAAGACACTGATGTTTATGTCTTCAAAGCGCATATGACTCTAAATCTCCTCGCCAGATCTCAACCTCCATCGCCTACACCACTCCCGACACAACTCGCGATGAACCCTCCTCGACCACGACAGCAATGCGATAACTTCAATATGCCAGACCGAGTCACCACTAAATCTGACAGTGCTATCTTGCCGACCACTGGCAAGCAAATTCGTCAACACGAAGCCGCGGGACTCAAAGGCCTGTCAAAGGAGCAAATTCCCAAGTTCTGGGAGGAAGTCGAATACTGGAACAAAGAATTCTTCTCCGAGGCCAAGTGGCAGGAGGTTCTGAAGCGGATATGGAGGGCCAGGCAGGAGCACGGCATGATGGTACTGGGGTGGCATCCGCCTCCTAAACCTATACACTCGATTCTTACGCCTGGAGGACGCCATCTACTACTCTATAGCTCCTCGTCGCTCACCGCACCCACGGGCGCACATCCACTTCGTCCAGCCCACCTTCCTCGCATCGAGACTGCATCGCCCAGCATACCGCGCCCGCGCTGGGATGTCGTCTCCGCTGGTCCTGCGACTCCCCTCTCCACCACAACAGGACCGGTGAAGAATGCTTTCGCAGAAGGTGGTTTCTGGGCCTCTCTCTCACCGAAGGCATCATCTCTAGCCGGTATACCCACCCCAACAACACCCACCGCCGCCGCCATGCCGTATGACTTGTACACTTTCCATACACCCACAGACCTCGCCGCCAAAACTACCTACGAGGAAGTTCGAGGTGATGTAAATAAAATGGCTCTCCAACTCTGCGCAAGCCGTCACGCCCTTCGCCGCTCCTTCACCACCGAAAACGACGTCATACACCCGTCTATGGTGCGGCCTCGGGATACCTTGCTCGCCGCTGAACTCACGTTGTCGAGTTACAAACTCCCCGAGTCGCTTTCAAGCTACATCGATCCCCTCTTCCCAGCCAAGATTGAAAACTACGCCGACGAAGAAGCAGTGGGTGCGAAGCAGTATAGCATCCCCAGCCTAAGCCAATTGGAAGACGTAGACGCTTGGCTACAATACGATGAGAAGACTGGGGAGATGACCACTATATTAGAGGCGCAGAGGGATTTACTCAGGATGAATCGGGAAAGAAGGAAGGGGCGGGAGGTTGTGGTGAGGGAAGGAGGTGTTAGATTAGCGTGGGCTGTCCGGGTAGTCAACGACGCACAGCTCGTGCTTGAAAGACATGTGGACGCAGGCGGCGAAGATAGTGATGACGAGGGGTACGAGTATGGGAATTTCATCAGGAGTCTGGGCGGCGGTGAGCAAAAAGGTTCGCTGAGGTCGAGCGGCTCGACGCTCGACTTGTCATTACTCAAAAGCTCGTCGACTCGCAGCAGTAACGAATCTGATATCGTCGTTACCCATCGCTCAGCCAGCGGTCCTATCAAACCGACTTATGACTCGAGTTTCGGTCACAATACCTTACCGCTTCGGAATAGAACCTTGACGTTATCCAGCCTTTCCACCGCCGTCCCATCATCGGGTTCGCATACGCATCATGACTCCTACCTGGACTCCTACGAACGCAGGCAACCATCCACGATCCACAGTATCCGCCGCAGCAATGCCACAGTCACAGCCACAGCCACAGCCATCTCCACCACCTCCAACCTCGCCAGGACCCGCCGTAACTTCAACTCTAGTTTCAGCATTAATACGACCGGCATCGACACGTTTAGAGAGTCGCTGCTAAGCCCGCAAGAACGCGGTACTAGGCGCCGGGGCCCCAGCATACAGGATCTGAGTTCTTGGGCCGATGAACTGAAGAAGATGGAGAGAAAGAGAGCCGAGGTACGATTAGCCGGTGGAGGAAGTCGTCGACGAGATCCTTCTGTTTCACAAAAAGTGGTGGATGAGGAAGGTGGCGGCCGCCAGGGGGATGGTCTGGTGATTAACGGGTGCGTGCATCCTGCTTTGAGGGGAGGTGGGCAGGGTGAGAGCGAGAATGAGGATCAAAACAAAGTGAAACGACTGAGGAGCAGAGGTGGGACTGGAAGTAGCACAGCGAGTTGGCGTTGTAGCACTGCTGCCGGTATCGAAGGGGATATGCATTCCGGCACTGTCGACTATGCCACCGACAACGAAGCGGAACACTACCAAGGCGGTGCCGAAGACGGGGATATAACGACGCTGACACCAGAGTGCATGGATTGGGCAAGACAACCCCGCCGCTCCTCATCCTCACCGACACATCCTGCCATAAGACTGTCTTCGTTGACTGCACTGCGATTATCGCCCCCTCGTCGCCCGCCACGTCCTCTTCCCGCACCACTCCCTGAATGTTCTAGCGTACCACCTACACCCATCCTCCTCCCAGCACCCAGCTACAATAGATACGCATCTACGTCGTATGAAAGGCAAGCTTCGAGACCTGTCTTTCCTTTGGTCACGCTTTCGTCCCCCTCGGTTTCCTCGACCCTTCAGCGCGGTGCGAAGAAAGCAGTTTTGTTGGAAGAAGCTGTGCGGAGTAATCAGCACCTGCATGCGCTATCGATGAGTAAAATGAATGAAAAGGAGAAGGAGGAAGAATGGGGTGAAGAGCTCAGAGCGATGGAAGGGAGGGAGAGGCTAAGACAGCTAGGACTAGATAGGGGGACAGAGACAGAGCGCGAGCGTGGCTCAGGAAGGGACGTGGGATAGGTATCGTAGTGTGGTTTTGCATTATGAAGTGATTGAGAGGAGAAACCGTATGAGACATGTATTCTCAAAAAGAGTAAAGCACGTGAGACATCGATATAGGGAAGTAAGTGTGTGAATTAATGATACGGTGTCTACACAACATATCAAATCCCCGTCAACCATTAAACGGTAAAGGCAAAGAAAACGGGTATATCCGTACTCCTCCAAACGCCAGTTCCAAGCCCACGTTCCGTCCCCATCTAATCTGAACTCACAACACACAATTAACTGACCGTACACCAAGCACACGGCACATCCACCTCACTCCTAACAAACACGTCAGCGAAAACATTCATCGCAAACGTTCCCAACCCCCCAATCTTCCAGTCTCCCACCAGATACGAAGTGACAATGCTCTACTCTACATGACAACGCACTTATCCCTATCCTCTCCCTGCCCTTGGCCTTGTCCCTGCCCATGACTCGGTCTCCTCCCTCCACCAAAGCTACCCCCCGGCCTTCCATGTCTTCTCCCACCAGAACCAGGAGGCGGAGGTAGCCCCCCACTCGTAGTCTGATACGCACTACCCTGGCCAGGGATAGGAGCTTGAGGGTTGGCTGGATGACCTGCCGGCGGATTGTATTGAGGAGTCTGCACAGCTTCTTCGTATAGAGGAGGAGGAGCGGGTTCGCCTGCTGGACGGTGACCTGTGATGTTGTTCCTCCGCGGAGGAATCACTGGTGCGCCTGTTTGCGCCTGTCCAGTCCTTGGTGGTTGGGGTGGCGCTTGGTTATTACGATTTCGTTGTTCAGTCTCGCGACGTTGACGGTCGTCTTCTTCTTCTTGTAACTGCAGGGCGAGGGCAAGATCATGATCTTCTTGCTCGGCTCTGCTGAGGTCAGTAGGCTCGGCATCCTGTGCTGTGATACCGGATTGTTGGTTGCCACGACGGGATGGGACGGTTGTCCAGCCTTGGCCATTGTCGATATCGTGCTGTTGTTCTTGTGGCATTACCGAGGTGTTGCTGTTATCCACGGAGCGGAAGTCGCCGGAGAAGAGCTGACTGCCCTGACCATTGACATCAGTGAGAGACTCCCAGACGATCTCATCGTGAGTTGAGTAGCCCTGATCTGTGACGAGGGTGACGAGTTCGCCGTTGCGGGGGTTCTTGCAGAGAGTGGAGAAGTGGTCGTTTCGGAATAGGATAGCGACTTGACCAGGCTGAAGGTTATCACGAATGACCTTCAAACCATGTTCAGTCAGCTGTGTTGGCCATCGCATCTGGAACTCCTTGATGGCATGAATATCCGTAAACATCTGTTGCTCGTCTTCGTTCAGAGACTCGCCGGAGCTTAGCTTTGCATTCAGCTCCTCTTCCTGGAACTGAACAAACTGTGAGGTTTCATAAGATGGCGCTACGCGATTGAATGCAACATAGGCATCAGTTCCAGCCTCCGGTAGCCATCCGTGCATCAACGGGATATTGAAAGTGCGGTAGAGCTTCATATCTTGGGTGTTTTCGAAAGCTCCAGCTCGATTCGTAAGCGTAGCGTGGTCACTCGGGATGTTTGAGTCAGGGACGAACATGGGGTTGACATTGAGACCTGTGTGAAGAGCCAGGAGGAACTTGTACAGCTCGCTCACGTCAGGCAGGGCTTGCGCAGCGTCGCCTCGTCGGCCAGACATCAACTCGTCGAACACAGCATCGAGCAGCAATCCCAGGCTGACTGTCTCGCGTGTGCGTAGTGTCTCGACCAAAGCAGTATCGAGCCTGGCAGGGGTTGAAAGGACCAGTGCGTTGACCAGGGCCAGCAAAGGACAAGGCCCGTTGAGGTTTTGTGTTAAGATAGGCGAAACCCGCATGTCCTCAATGTTGTGGTCGAGCCATCGAATGTGCTTGATTTGGTAGTGTTCCTTCCTCTGCCTGTCCATCCTCGTGTTCGGCGATTCCGGGCCAGGCGCAATTGAGGAGCCTGCACCCGTATCAATGGGTCTAGGAGGCATGTCGGGTGCCATTTCCTCATGTGACCTTCTTGGTGGCAGAGCAGGTGGATGTTCTTCGGAGACGGGCGGCGTCTCGTCCGGCGTGTAGTGGGGTGGAGGAGATGTCTGCTCTAAAGTATGCGAATTATCCGGGATGATGGGTGCAGGTGCAGTATTGGGGCTTGTCTTAGGGATAACTTCATCGCTTGGGGGTGCCGTCCAGGGTCCATTTTCAGCACGGCCATCGTGTGAGACGGGCTCCCATGGGTTTGTATCGAATGAAGCCTCTGGGTGTTCTGACCGAGGAGTAGGTGAGTTCACCGCAATGGCAGGTGGCACTTCTGCTGGGACCGACTTCACAGGCGGAGCATGGTCCTCCAATCCAAGGTTCTTCATCTCGTGAGAGGGAGTACTTGGCGTCTGAAACGCTGGAAGCTCTACAGGCGCATCGTACTTTTGGGCCTGGCTCGGCGCATCGCCCCAAATAGCCTGACTGCTCTCTCCATCCCAGCTGCTTTGTCCAGTTGTCTGCATCTTCAGGTATGGGTTGTTGGTCTTCAATGGAATTGATCCGTTTGACTGCTCAGACACAGTGCTGGCAGCACCGTAGGATGCCGCACTGGCGCCAGTAGGCATAGATGAGATGTTTTCCTGCGATCGCTTGATGGGTATCCCTGCTGGTGGCCCGGGTCGCAGAGCATTGGGAAGGCCGTCGCTGTTGTGTGTGGTTGTAGGTACAGGTGGCATCTTCCCTCTGGCAGGCTTCAGTGCAGCAGGCACGTCGTTGTGGTTGACATCTTCAAAGTCGTCATCGGACTGATTCCACTCGTCCTCGCTAAAGTCTGAGTCGCTATTATATTTATCATCAGGCAATCGGGTCTCTTCTGGCGTCTTGATATTGAAGGCTGGCGACTTGCTCGTGCTGGGCGGGTCGACGGCGATGTCTGGAGATACGGGAAACGGGGGCGGATGCTCGTCAGAAGGCGTCGTGGGGTACGGGGGAACCGCTTTGGACAGTGGCGCTGGCACGACGTCGTCGGGGTCGTTGGACTTTCGAAGCACCATGTTTGGTGATGCTGGCCCAAAGGTTGCTGTATGATGAGGTCAAGCTGTCGCGGTGGTCGGCGCGGCGCGAAGTTGTGGGGGAGGTGGTTAAAAGGAAACCGATAGGGAAGCAGTACTTGGGCGAAAGAAGCAAAGTAGGTCAATGTAAGCGTCGTATTGGACCCGAGTAGCACACGCGGCTTGAATGTTGCCCAGGTGGATATGCGGAAGTCGAGATGGCGATGACGTACGACTGCTTTGTGGCTGGGGCGGTGGCTGTGCTGAGGGTTGGCGGTGCGCCTCGGAATTATTCCTTGCAACAAATTCACTAGCTCAACTTACCTTTGCGATTTGCGACAACCTTGGAACTATAATCTCTAGGAACCTATAACAATACACGGCGCTATCGTCGCACATGGAATAGTGAAGTTTCACAGCGCCGTGATCGAGTTCGCCATGCATTCTTACATCCGCCCCAACACGCACGTCGCGTTGCGACTGCCCTCGGGCCTCTTCAAGATAGTCGAGATCACACCGAATACGTACGTCGCATAGCTGGAGTGAGCCCTCCATGTATACACATATGAAAACGCCTTCCTAATACCTCCACAGTAACATCAACCTCGGTAAATTTGGTACCTTCAACTCAAACCTCCTCCTCGGCCGACCGTACTACCTCACTTACGAATTACTCGACAAAGATGATGGCAAATCCAAGACAGAGCTGCGCGTCGTACCTGCTTCTGAACTCCATGCCGAAGCTCTAGGCGAAGACCATGCGCCCGCTGCCGAAACAAGCGACGAGAATGCCGACGGTGCTACGGGTTTCGACATTGTGGGTGAAGATGGCCAGGTGATAATGCGCAATAACCGCTTGACCGTCGACGATGCTTCAAGGCAGGCGCTATCCATGGCTGAGATTGAAGAGCTGAAGAAGGCGGGCGCGGGCTCGGGCAAGGAGATCATCGCGAAGATCATGGCGTCCCACAATGCGATTGACGAAAAGACGAGCTTTTCGCTTGCCAAATACACACTGCGCAAGTCGAAGAAGTACATGAAGCGATTCACGGCGCTGCCCATGGATGTTGGTCTGCTTACCGAGTATGTACTGGAAAAGGAGGCATACAAGATCATGGAGCTGAGGGAAGATCTACTGGGCTTGATCAACAGCTGGGCAAACATACACTCTGGCGCGACAAACCAGGTTCTTCTGGGAGAGGACGGAGTCAGCCAGGTAGGGGGAGGGCGATGGCTCGTGGTAGACGATACAGGAGGTCTTGTCACAGCAGCACTTGCAGAGAAGATGGGCATCCTCTACCCGGAGGAAGAAGGCGATGACTCCTCAGACACAGATGATACCCAGATGAACGACACAGCCGCACCGCTCTCCGCCCCAGAACCTCAAGACCTAGACACTGCCATGCCCGACGCCGATACAACCACATCGGACCCAACAACAGCCGCTCCCTCAGATCCTCCCGCGAGACCGCGAAAGCCCCCACGACCACACGTTCCCCAGATGTCCGCGCAAACCAATACCCTCACCGTCCTTCACCCAAACAACCAACCCAACCTCTCCTACCTAAAATACTTCGGCTACGACTACGGCGCCCCTGCCCCTTCCCACCCGCTTTACAAACACTTGAAATCCATATCCTGGCTCGCGTTACTCCACCCAGAAGACGATCCCACATACGATGAACCTGAAGTAATCTCCGAAGAAGTCCTCGCAACGATGAAATCAACAAAACGGGGTACATACTACAAGAAGCGCAGACGGTGGGAGCGCGTAAAGAGCGTTGTAGACGAAACCCGACGGGGCGGCTTCGACGGCCTAGTCGTAGCAACCGCCATGGACGCAAAGACCGTACTAAAAGAACTCGTACCTCTCGTCCGGGGCGGAGGCAGGGTCGTTGTATACAACCCCAACGTCGAGCCGCTAGTCGAGTTGTGCGATCTCTACTCGAAAGAACGACGTGCGGCATACATAGCACGGGAATTCGGTCCCCCACTGACGACGACACCCCAAGCTAATGGCAGGAAACACAAGGTTGAGGAGGTTGTCGACACGAATGGGAGTACGACGGAGGGTGGTAGCGAGGAAGATGACTTCCCGCTTAACCCTACGTTGCTGCTTGCGCCGTCGCTGCAGACGGCGAGAGCGAGACAGTGGCAGGTTCTCCCGGGAAGGACGCATCCTATGATGACGAGTAAAGGGGGTGCGGAGGGGTACCTATTTACGGCTACGAGGGTGCTGCCGGTTGAAGGTAGAGTGGAGGCTAGGGGGCATCATGGGAAAAAGAAGAGGAAGGTCGAGGAGAGTGGTGTGGCGGCGGCGGAGACGTGAGAGGCAGGTATGTGGGGTCAATAGTATAGGTAATTAAATGCGGTGGATGTGTGAGATGGTATGCTCATTTGAGTTGAGCTGATCAGCTAGTATGACATGAATCTTGATTTGGGATTTTGAATTCATGCTGATGCATACGTGCAATCTGATGTCAATGTGAGTCATCACATCTTCTTGATGTGTATATAAGTCGGTCTTTCGTCCCTCGAAGTGTTTCTCTTCTTCCACAACACGCCTCTCATCAAATCAACATGCGCGATCTGAGCATTCGTGATTGTATACTTGCCTTGACCTTGGTCCTCTCCATATTCCACGTTAACATCCTTTTCCCGGGGCGTCCAGAAAACATCCAACTCTCGGCTACGCATGTTTTACCCAAACCGCTCTTGAGCTGGAACAGTACTCGAACTGGTATCAGCAGCGTAGCGTAAGCAACTGAAGTTTACACTTCCGGAAAAGCTCTCCAGACTGAATATATCTCATGACCTTTTCCAAGACGTTCGTTTTCCCAGACACGAGAATGCATAAAAGACGGTTAGGTTTGCAAGTTTGTTCGAGGGGGAATCCGAATACCTGGCCGTCACAATGCTAAACAAGGTGTATTGAGCGGCCATACTACAGTATCATTGTTGCAGGTCAGGCTGTAGACCGGTGAGCTCCTAGAATCAAGCCTCATTCTTTTTCCGATCTCTCCGAATTTGTGACGCAGCTTTTATTGGTTCCATTACCCAGCTTTGGCGGAAGTCATATGGATCATCCCCCTCCGAAGTAAACCAGACAACTTCAAACCCCAGGACGTTGGAATGATCCGGGAATACAAAGGAAGATATTTTGTCGTGGTCTGAATTTCCAATGTAGAATGCATCCGATTCAGAGACAATAACCCGGTGACCCCTGTTGAGCAGTTCTTGAGTGACACCGTTATGCCAGGTTTGTATAATCCAATCTTTCGATATGTCTATACGTTTCCCCTCGTCGGTGAGGGGATCGTTCCATAAAATCAGCGATTTGTTTGGTTGAATGCTTTTGAGCCAGTGCAGAAATGTCTCAAACAAATTGTTGTCATCTCCAGTTTGCCAAACATATGCCACTTCATCGCCGCCAAAGTGATGTAGGGGAGAACCGAAATATCTGTCAACCGTGGAGACCAAACTGGCTATATGTTCGTATGTTTGGTGCTGCCTGATATCCAGTTGGGCCTCCGATTGTTTCAGATCTGGCGTGCCTATCACTAAGTGTTCCTTCCATAATCCCCTAGAATAATACCGTCAGAGTTCGTGATGGAAAACGCTGAATAGGTGATTTAATAACTTACCATATGTCACTATGGCCAGGCATGTCTGTCTCCGGATAGACTAGAATACCCAGATGTTGTGCATGTGAAATCACATTCTGAATATCCCTAGCAGTATAGTATCTGGAAGTATGACTGTGCTCTATGCTCGCATTCGTCAAACCGCGATCTGCCGGCCAATGTATGGGGAAGCTTTCTGCATCGTATATATGCCAGTGGAAGACGTTGAAGTTGTATTGTTGAAGCACGGTCAACAGATCGAGGATGGCTTCGACAGGAAAAAACTTCCGGCCCGTATCCAACATGAAGCCTCTATGAGGATAGAGATCGGACTCCATCTTGTGTGGATTTTAGATGGAAAGAGGCTCTATACCTGGAGGGACCAGCGAGCGGAGTTGTAATTAATTGCCGTGCTCGCAAGGCTGATGCAATCCAGCTGACCACATATCCACAGCAGGGCTACTAGCTGTCGGAATGCAGCTGAATAAGTGGGTAAGGTACCTGAAGGAAGAATGTAATACATTCGAGTATGCAGTATAACAGTATACTCGGTTGCAAGGGAACTACCTAGGTATCGTTAACCCCGCAGTACTCTTAGCAGGTCAGAAAGCCTTGGCGGTCCCAAAAAACCCCCCCTAGGTACTTCAGCTGCGAAGAGCTAACTAGAGACTAAGCTGTCTTAGCACAATATTGGTGGCTGTAAGGGTGCGATGGGTTGACCATAAGTGCAAGGTATAACAGTAATGAATTCGATAGAGAAGCTACACTACGCTTGTGCTGGGTCTATGTATCACGTAGTGCTAGGTTCGAGAAACTTCTAAGGGTCCGTGGAGCGCCGATGAAGCCCCGACAACGCTCCGAGGGTTGCAGCCTATCCCAACCAGCTATAACAAAGGCCACAGGCCAAGTACTACTAACCAAGGCTTCAGCCTCTTACAGTGGCGGCCTCAACAACGGTAAATGTTAACACTGAAATAGCGTCGTCTCATACTAAAATCGCTGGATGGAGGATTTTCTCTCGTAAAGTATAGACGATTGTTGCTTCACAATCATCGTTATACCGCAGACTCGACTGTATTTCGCTCAACATCAGTGGACCCGCTCAAATCTACAGGGGTTGGGCCACCCCTAATTACATTATGGCAACCAAGTCAAATTACAGTACAACCATAGTCTACTGCATTTTACTACATTCAAGTATCTCATAGACAAAATACCATGATAATGGCCAGTTCTACTAGTACGTAACAACACACTATCTCAAGATCAGAGAATTCGTAAGTTTTAGTTATACCATTAAACGGCACACAGAACATCACCGTACAGACTTGACCGTGAATTTGGAAGACTAGCATCTATTGATTGGAAATAACGCGGCCTTTTTAGATAACATGCAGGATGCAAGAACAGGGCGTTTTGCTGATTGAGTACCATTACCCACCACGCGTTTTGCCCCATTTTATGTTGTCTTGATTCCACATCGAGAATATCGGTATAATAATGCTAAACACACCGATCATAGGAAAGAATGGGAGATAGGAAGGGATGTATGTCCAATCAATGCAGAGAATGCATAACAATACTGGTAAAAGCAAGAATGCAAGCAATATCGCCCAAGCATATGGTGTTAGTAAGAGTGAAATCACTGCAAGAGCGACTCCGGCCGGCAGTGCGAGTGGCAGGATGAACACCATGAATAGTTCGGCACCAAGGACAAAAAGTAGTCTGATCTGAGTCCAGAATGATGCTTCGAATGGAAGGACGTTGAGATGAGCAAAGTGGCAGTGAATAAGGGAATTCGTCCATCGGCGTCGCTGATCCAGGAGCACGGAAAGCTTGTCGGGAACCATGGTTGTGCATGTTGCAGCGGAGAAATATTCAAGTCGACAGTCAGACACGAAATAGCGGATCGCCAGAGTTGACAAATAACGGTCCTCGCCAATGGACAATAGGTTGTGTTCGTGCAAGGTCTTCTCCTAGCTTCCTGCATAATCTTCCAAGAGAAGTGGATGCAAAAGAGCTGGTCTGTTGTTTGGCCATTTCAGTCGGTAAATGGTGAAACATCCACTGAGGACAAAGACACTGGAGCATACGCTCTCCACTGCTTTTAGGACGGCGTGAGTAAGCCAATACTCAAAAACCTGACTGCTGGCGACAAAACTGCTCATACCGTTGCCGACTCCTGTGTAGCCGCATACTCCGACGAGCTTGTGGTCTTTTTGAAGTCGGTCCACAAGGTACGAGATTCCTGATCGATCAACCTCGGTGTCACAATCGATGGCCAGCATGTACATGGCATCCGGAGCGTCTGTTTTGAGGCAGGTTCGCATCTGAAACTCAAGGTTTTCGAAGAGTGGGTTCCAGAACCGTCGGTAGTTGACGTAGTGGAAGAAGTTGTAGGCCACGAGCTGAGAGTCACGTTTCCCTCGGTTCCCGGGTTTTAGGCTATCTTGTTCGTCGTCCCGCCCAATCTTGATTACAATGACGTAAGGCACCCCTCGATAGTGGCCAGTGCAGGTGAAAGCTCGGTTCTCAGAAGCGCAATCCCCGTCATACGACGTGTATGAGTGAGCTTGATTCTCGATTCCCACCTCCAGGTCTGCACTATGGTCGAAAATATCATCCAACAAGATTCTGTAGGTTGGCTTCTGGTCAGCAGCTGCAACCGTTCCATCTGCGACAATGAAAAGAAGCTTGCGCTTTTTCTCATAACTCGACTGGACGCACGACTCAATTGTTTTCCGGAGCGTGGATTCGTCCTCGTTGTAACAGGGGATCTGCATTACCAGCAGAGTAACATGTTCTTCGAAAGAACGGCTAGTATACCGAATACGAGCAACGCAGAACATGACTAGGAGCATGAAACCGCCACCCAGACCCATATAGACGTAAATGATGTTGCTGATCATGCTGCAGAAGGTACTGTCGTTGGAAATCATGCCGATGTGCACTTTCAAGATACAGCTGGCCATGGGTTGAATGACAAGAAAGTAGCAAAGCAATGCATAAATGGCCGCAAGCAGAAGGCAGAAAAGCACCTTTTGTCGGAAGGCTAGACGTTGCCGAAGGTCTTCCATCCTGAGGTATCTCTTGAGGAACCAGGAAGGGATGTAAAAAGTCAAGCTGCGCGCAAGCCATTTCCAGAATCCACGATAAACCCCCGGATTTATATGCTCGTCTGTACGATGGGGCTTTTCCCAAGCTCGGAATGCAAGGACTTGAGATTCCAGGGTCTTCCTACGGAGCTTCTTCCTGAGCTTTCGCCTATCGGAGCTATGGGAACCATTGCAAGATTGCACTTGCTGCCGGGCTTGGAGGGCTTGGGGAGCGTGGTGCATGTTCGCAGCCCCTTTTCCGATAGAATCAGCCATGGGCCCATCGCTTGCGTCACCATTAGACTGATATGTGCGTTGATTAGGATCTGAGAGCTCTGGACATTCGTTGCGACAAGTCTCTGCGTCGACATCCTCGTCCTGCGAGTCTTGACTGTGTTCGCCTACAATTGAGATAGGCCGAGTAGAACTTCGAGCGGCAAGACTTGGAGCAATCGAACTGGACACTTTGTTGGTGGTTTCAAAATATCCTCGCTGGCTGTTACCCAGATATGCTGATTCGGGCGTGCGGATGAAGGGCATAGCAGAAGGAATCGATGCTATGGATTCGTGCGGCGAAATAGCGTAGATTGTTCCTTGGTCCTTCTCATGATATGGACAGGGCATGTCGTCCTTCGGATCGTTGGGAAAGCAGGTGGTGTATATAACCCTCCACATGTCCTCCTCCGAGGGACTGTCTGTGGTGAGTTTTGGCGATCGGATTTTCTGCAAAGACTTTCGAGTCCTCTGATGGGCTCATCGGTCTCAACAAGGCTGCGGTCACAATGTGATAGCTCATGTAAGTGGCGCGTGAACATCCGACTAGACTCAAAAGTCTGTGAGCAGCTTGGGCACTTGATAGGCAGAATATGGCAGCAATAAACATGCTCTCTAGATACATGGTCAGTCCGACTACAAGCAATGCGCAGGAGGGCTCACCTGAGACCGTGGATTGACATCCACCCTGACTTGGAACATGATTGTCTCTCCGCATATTCGCATGGGTCGCGCTTTAAATACGGGCAAGCGAAGAGCTTGCTGTGTGATCTCTTCTCGCCTCCATTCTCTGTACTTTATGTAGCGTCTTCAGATACTATGCCGATGGTAGAACGAGAAGGTAGCCAGTGATTTTCGGGTAACAGGTGCAACACCATTGGGAGACCCAGCGCGATTGATAGGTAGATTAGAAGGGGATATTGATGCAAATGTGCCAGAGATGACAATAGTCGTAGACATAAGCTTTGAATCAGTAGCGAGAAGTTGAAGTGGTTTGAAAAAATTCTGAAGGCATTGCGCAGTATATGAAGAGTATAGATATGTGGTCTCAATTACCCTCACTCAGCCCAGTCTATGCCACTTGATACATTTACGTGCAAACTTGATGATCAAGACTCCAAGAACGGAACTCGTAGCTCTCTCGTGGTCTGGGCCTCACGTGTAAACTCGTGGCGTTCATTCTTTTCGCTGTCGCGTAAGCCTAGACTGGACGCTGCCTTCAGCGCGGCTTGGTCGCGGCAGGTCTGTTGCGTGGTTTGGGTGTTGACCCACGGAAATCCTCACGCGGTTGAGGTCTTCGATCGCAGCATGCTTCCATCTGAGCGAGTTCCATTCCTTGGCTGATGCGGCACTCGTTGGGATTGAGTAATGCAAGTAGCTAGTTTTTTTTGCTTTTTCTGAGCTGCAGGTGCTGTGCTTCCAAATCAGGGCAAAGCACGGGTCCCGTAACCAAAAAAAAGAACGAGCTAACGTCCCCGGGCATAAGATCCAAGATACATAGTTCAGAGTACAGTACCCAGCTCAAGATGTAGCCTGCAAGTGGCGCATGGTAGCGGGTATAGTCGTGTATTAGGGAGATGTTGTACAGGTTCAGATGATAATGGGGTTCTTTGTCCATGGACCAACCGCCCAGACGACTCAACTTTACTCACCCACTGTAAGGACATAGCCTCTCCTTAGCTACTACTTACTACGAGGTTTAGAGCTAAGGAGTAAAAGGCTACGTCTTACTACGAAGGCGCAAACTACTAGACCTTCTACGGTCTAGTACGCCTTCGCTTCGCTTCTCTCTCTAGGCTATATAAGTACGCGTACGCTCTGCCTCTTCTAGGCTCTGCGTCTGCTATTTTCTCTACTCCGAATACAAGCTTCTACTCAACCAGCTCGCTCTTCTGCGCGTGAAGTCAGCCTTACACCCACATTTACAGATATGTAATGAAAGTGCTCTTGTTCTTTGGCCACGCCTCTTCACAATTTTTTATTGTAGCAGGAATATTACAACAGTCGTAGTCATGCCAGCGATAATGTCGCACGCAGCATCAAAGATTATGCCGCCTTCAGACTCAGCTCTGTTGCCACCATCTACGCTTTTTTCAATCATGATAGTAGAGCGATAGGCCTAGTCTAGACGCACAGTATTCTAGGTTGCGAAGACGATCAGGCGGTCAAAGTATGTACTCCGAGGCTATATCCGTGCTAGGGATACCCGCCGTTGGTTGGTTAACTAGTTGATAGAATGAATTCTTTACGGTTTGGGAAGCTTGTTTTGCTATCTGCCACCGAGGACCTCGAAGCCAGTGCTCATCTGCATCAGCCATATCGTGGGGAAATAAAATCATGCCTTCGAAAAAAGCCTCTGAGCCAATCAACCTAGGAACCTCGGTCGGAAGCGAGCATCAGTGGCGCCATCATATCCATACTGTCAGATGCGCAGCTCGCGGTTATGTCTGGTTAATTTGTCACAATTTTCTAAAGCCACAGAGTTTTGCCACAGGTGGGCCAGCCACCGAAGACCTGTAGGAGCACCGTTAGCCCACATCAGCTATGATCACGTGCCTTAGGTATATATCGTCTCTTACGGATCCTTGATTGCTCTTTAAGGATTCGTGTCAATACAAGTCTATATCTAAACCTCAGTGGCTGGTGGTATACTCCTCACAGCTACCTACATATTAGTGAAATCCATCGAAAATAAGCTTTCTTCAGGACTGTAATTCTAGAGCATGATTTAGAATCTGCAACTGCTTGAGACTATCCATGATAGTAGGTAACAGTAGAGTACACGGATAGACCTCGAGCGTTGCATCTTCTCGAGGAACGAAGTGAGGGGCTTGGGAGAAAGCACTTCACTGACGTATTTTGCTGATGGATACCCTGAGAAAGTGTTCAAACCCGTATCTGGCTTGACCTGATAAAGCTTTCTCGATCCTCGTCAGTATTGACCTGGCGTAAGATGGTATGCTTGATCTCGAACTGCTTGCTATAGTCAGCAAACCTCTATATCCCACGAGTAAGCCATACCGTCAATACGGCACACCTCAGTTTCCCTAAGCGTTGCTGGTGTCATGGTCTGCACCTTGGGAGTGGGTTCCCGGCAACTCTTCTGTATATGTTCCCCATGTTACTCAATAGACCGCCTTATAAGTGGATCTGTTCCGTTGTATCTGATTGAGCTCAGATCGCAAGTGTAGGGACTCAGAGAATCTCACGATGGTCATGCGCCTACGTCATAACGGAAGGTGACAACATAAGGCGACGACGACGCGTCCGAAATCCTTCAGGTTGGCAATACAATCGCATGACAGATGGGCACACAAGCAGAAGGACAGCAGTGGGTGAGGCTACTTACAGACTGGGATATGAAAGAAGGACGGAAATGGTGGGATAGGATGGTGAGGGAAAGATGATGAGCGAGGTGGCATTTGGGTTATGCCCCTGTTCACGCTAGATTCTTCGAGGCAACGCCTCGCGATTTGTGGATGACACATATGTTGATTGGCGTTTGACAGACCAATATCACTTCGTCTTTTATAGTTGTTGTTGTCGTTGTTATCTAACAATTAATATTATGAACATGTGCTCGTTCGTTGCATTTCTATTATGCATGAATGAAGGTCTTGCGACATGAACACGCCAAATTCCTCGCCCGCGACCACTCCATCCTCATCTACGAAGTCCATACGTCTACACAGTTCCCATCTACTAAAAAAGTGCAATCATAATCTCCTTCAATTTTATATGGTACCCTCTTATCAACAGCACCGTTGTGTACCTGCAGTCGAGCTTAGGGGTGTCGTGAGCGATGACGTCACCAATACATTGGTCTCTCACCAAACGTCCACTACGCTGCTGGGAACGAAGTGCGGACATGTAATAGCAGCATACATATATATAAACCGGCATTGTATGCTACTTACAGTTATACAACCTGTTCAGACCACTCAACGATGCCTTGCTAAGAGCCCAATCATGGACGCGACGGGTGTTGCTGTCACCTACACAATATGCGCTGGTCACTGAAGTGAGATGGCGCACCATCTCCTCAGCGCAATGCAATAATATGGGCAGTACATTCGGTCGGTTTTGGTGATGTTCCCTGTCTAACAGGTCTTGCAGATATGTTGCGTTGTTGCATCTCATCCGCTAACGTGTTTTATAAGCGAGTCGTCCTTACAAGCGAGTCGTCCACCCCACTAACTTTGATCACCTTCAAAGCTACGCAACGCAACAACGTAATAAGGTAGAACAAAGCGATTAATATAGTAGATTAAATAGTATCTACAGCATCCTTTTTGCACGTTCGTGAGTTGTGCCCAGTCTCCCTGCACCTCCTGCAGCGCGCAATAGCCTGGCGGCTAAGGCCTGATCGCTCACCACCTTGACGCTGTTCACGCTCAATCTGCTGGTCAGCCTCCTTTTGAGCTAGTATATCCTCTCCCTCTCCCTTTGTTAAGGTCTCACGCTTCTGTATCCGTTTCTTTTGCGCTGCCTACGCTTAGTTGCTGCCTCGTTGGCTCTCTCAAGGCAGGTAATCTGATCGCGCATAAGCTCGGCTGAGAGCATCATCACCTCAGCCCCTTTTTAAGCTGGTTAATCGCCTCAATAATCGAGGCTGGTGATGAGCTCTTATGCTGCCGCACGCGATCACGTATTAACGTTGATTGAGCCTCAAGCTCACGTACGTTGCTTGGTGTACGAGCCTCCCAGGGAGGCTCTGCGAGAGCAGCTGGTGGAGTAGGCGTACGCAGCTGCACGTTGAGCTTTGATAGAACAGCGTCTGGCTGGAGAGGGGCTAGGCCTGCGCCTCGAAAAGCTGAGCAGATATTGGCTAAGGTGAACGATCGATCAAAGGCTGCCTTAAAGGCTGGCAGGAATTCGAGCTTGGTGATATGGTTGATATTGTAGCGCATTAGAGCCTCAATCTCACGGCTGTACGCGCGCTTCATAGGCGAGAAGCAGCCTACGTCAAGAGGCTGCAGTAGGTGAGATGAGTGAGCTGGCATGCAGAGCGTGTAGATATTGCTCTCCTTGCAGAGCTCTTGAAACTCAAGAGACTGGTGGCTCTCGTGGCCGTCAAGGATAAGCAGGCGGCGTGCTCCAACTACCTTGCCCTCAGTATGCTTAATAAAGTGCTTTAGCCACTCTACTCCTATCTTGTTGGTTGTCCAGCCGTTGTCGCTAACTGCGATAGCCCAGTCGCGTAGGATATCCTCCTCGTACCAGGCTGACAGGTGATACTTGCCAGCAAAGATGAGGAACGGTGGGATTGTCCAGCCAGCAGCGTTGATTGCAGCAATTACCGTCACCCACTCGCGGTTGCCAGGCTGGATAGTCTTTGGCCTGCCTCTCCTCTCTGACCCTGTGATAACTAGCTAAGTCTGGATCTTGCCCATCATAAAGCCAGCCTCGTCAAAGTTGTAGACGTCCTCATCACAGATGCCGTACTTGGCCTTTGTCTCCTCTACCAGCTTAAACCAGCGGCTGATTAGCACAGGATCCTCGCATAGAGCTCTCTGCCTATCGTACGATCGATTAAAACGCGTCATAAGACTGTCTGTACGCTTGACAAAGTTGCGCGGCCAGTGGACGCCAACGCGACCTGCGCCACGCGCAGCAAGCAGCTTATTAGCCATATCGCGCGCAGCTGTATACGTAGGCCCAAATCCTCGCTGATCAAGGTCGAGTATATGTCTAATAATTACCTCCTCCTCTAGCTGGGTAAGCTTCTTTGAGTTGGGCTGGCAATCGCGTCGTGCAAGCCTGCCAGCGCGTCGGTCGCGTAGCGTCATTCGAGGGACGTTAAACGCGCGAGCAGCAGCTCTCTCAGTCTTGATCTGGTGGCTATTAAGAGATGATATAGTAAGCTGCATATCAGCTTCAGATGAGCGCAATAGAGCTTGTTGGCGTTGAGGCATAACTGATTTGATCTTCAAAGGTGATCAAAGTTGGTGGGGTGGACGACTCGCTTGTAAGGACGACTCGCTTATAAAACACGTTATCTGTGCTTACATCGGCGCCCTTTTACCCACCCACACCTGACGCCGCAATCGCACCTACAGACACCCAAAATTACAATAACGTCGACTGATACACTGGGACTATCTATTTCCTTTCATCTTCGCTGGTATTGTCGCGGTATTCAGTCTTTGCCGAGCCAGTCAGAACCTGCCTGCGCCACAAGTGAAGGAGACCTGAAACACAACTTTTCTGCCCCCACCTCCCGTCCTCTGTAAATTAACACCTGATCCCGGCCAGAGGTTCAAGCGTCTGGGGAGGCTGGACCAATTGCTTGCTGCCGCTGGCACTTGCGCCGCCGAATTGGGTAACTGAGGTACCCACAACCACCATCTGCACTACCCAAGATGGAGAAAACGGTGAGCGATTTATCAACCTCTATACCCAAAGACATGCTAAACAGCCTCCCAATTGCTTAGATAGCGCCCAGCCCCCTTCGCATAGAGCTCTTTTTGAAGTCGCCAAATTCGGTTTCTATCCTTCCATCCTACACTGCACTCCATTTCTTAAGTGTATCGAAGTATTTCAACTATTACTTTTATACCTCATTTCATACTACGCATCCATCAAGATGTCTACCGAGCAGACCCCTGAACGCGCTTTCGAGCAGTTTGTCGGCAACATTGAACTTTCAGCTTTTGAAATGTTCACAAACGACGCTTATTTTGTCGACGACAACGCCTCTTCCTGCGACCTCCCTCTGCCGTCAGTTGAATGCGGCGAGGGTCTCCTTGGTAACTTTTTCGACTCCGCCATCGATGTCGGACTTGACATCGAAGGCCTTCACAACGACATGTCGGTCTGGCCTGTCGGAGACCTTTTGGGCTGCGCTGAGCACCTCTCGACTGGCCCGGTCGAGATAACCTCTTCGTCCCCTCAGCATACTGAAGTACTCGCGACCCCTGTGCCTTCACCCCCTTCCGGTTCGATCGAGGCCCTCTGGAGGCCTTTGATGGGTTCTAGTCCCGTCGAGAAGGTTTTCCCAGATCTTCCGACTCCCTCCCGCGCTCCTGCCAAGGCTCGAGCACCCAAGGCTCAGCCTGCGGTAAAAGCCAAGGCATCACCAAAGCCCAAGGTCAGCAAGGTCGTGAAGACCACGAAGCCGGCAAAGACTCACAAGCGCACCATTTCTGCCCCTTTTAGTGTACCACGTAGGGTGCAAGAGCTCTACAACCTACCATGGTCTCACCTCTCCCAAGAGGAGAAAAGCCTCCTCCTCCTCCCTCTGCTCCAGGGTATTGATCCTAACACCGGCGCAAAGATCGGCGAGGCCGGCAGCCTGCTTCCCCCTCCTCAGTTCGAGATGGTTCGCGAGGACGTATTCGGCACCGGTGATGATGGTGCCAACCTCATGGAGAAGCACTCCACACCAAAGACTTCAAGTACTGTTGCAATCATCACACGCGAAATCGATACCGAGGATGCCGCCGTCTTCCACGCCTGCAACGAATTCAACAAGCAACTCGACTTGAAGAAGAAGCAGTCTGGCCACCCTAACTTCAGCTTCGACATTCCCGATTTCCAGTTCGACGAGACCAACTTTGACATGTTCGATAACTTCACGCCCGCTGACCAGGGTCTCGGTGGCCCTTACGATAACGGCGTCATTGGTGCTCCGGTCCAGAAGCCCACGTCCAGCACCAACGTCAACAGCAACACCAAAGGCAACGGTGACGGCGTGATCGGTGGTGATATTGGCCAGATGCCTACCCCTTCTGGAGAATATGGACGCAAGCGCCAACAGGAGGCTTTGAAGCGCAATGCTATGCTTCGTGGTGCTGGCCGTCGTCGCTAAATGCTCTGCACATTAGGCCTTGAATGGTATGGTGGATCTGCTTTTCTTTCTTCTGTTTACTTGCTTGCGCGGTTGCGAGGAGCTTCTCTATTAGAGCTGACTGACATGGTGTTTCGTTGGCTGTCATGAATCTTGATGGCGCTGCTTGTGTATGAGGAGGATGTGGACATGAATTGCTCACATGGCATTCTCGTTGAGCATCGGATAAGCTTGAGTACCATGATTGATAGACCAATATACCCTTATAATACCACCTTCTCTCTTCTGTATCTCCCAGTCGCGACTTCTGCTACACTAGACACACCCTCCGCTGCCTTCCCTTCCTCCCTCCTACTACCTACCTCTACAGCCTAGACCCACCCTCCTTCTCCTGCAGATACCTCTCAAACAACCTATAAACCCCCTCCTCCCACTTCCTCGTCAGCGCTGCGACAGTCGGATCACCAGGTGGCACCACTTGTCCGGCATATATCCCACAAAGCCCTGTCTTACGATCAACCCACCAGATAAGATTGGGATAGCCGCCCCAGAACATAGTCCCAGCCTTCTTCCCATCGGGTGTATCGGAGGTGATGACCACACCGCCGAGACCATAGTCTTTGGAAATGTGTTTGGGGGTGCCGCCCATTGCATTGTTGGCCTGGAGCGTCAGTTGAGATGGGATAAGAGGAGAGGGAAGAGGGGAAAGAAGAGGGAAGACAAACCATATCATCCTGTACAACAGCATTCAACATCTCGCGACTCCCCTCTCCCAGCTGAGGCTTAAAAAGCTCATTCAAGCTCTCCTCCGACAACACCGATCCATCCAATACCCCCTTCAAAACCTTCACGTACTCACCAGCACAAGTGAAGCTCCCCTGGCCCCCCATACAATCCCTTACTTCCTTGCCATCACCATCCAGATACGGCATCGGCGCATCACTATGCTTTACCTTGCCCTCTGCCGTCCTTTCCGACATATCCGCCATCCTAGCCTTGAGATCCGGCCGCGTCGAAGGAAAAAACGTAACATCCTTCACACCGCACGGCCCCCAAAGGTTCTCTTTCATGTAATCTTCGAGCGTCATGCCAGAGATACGCTCAACCAATAGTCCAGCGAAATCAATACCAGGACCATACGTCCAACTCTCCCCCGGCTCAAACATCAGCGGCGTGGCGGAAAACCGTTCTAGTAATTTCCCACTTTGGCTCGGCCTTTTACCATGATACTTGAGATATGCTAGGGATTTCGGATGCATGCCCTCATATGTCAGACCACTTGAGTGCGTCAACAGTTTCTTCAACGTAATCGGTTGCTTGTGCTTTTCCTCAATAGGCGCACCCTCTTCAGTAAACCCAGTCAACACCTTGAACTCTTCTAGCTCCGGGATAATCCGGTAAACAGGTTCGTCGAGCGTAAGTTTCCCGCGTTCTACAAGCTGCATGGCGCAGATGGATGTCATGAGTTTGGTGCAGGACGCAACCCACATTATGGTGTTTAGGTCGAAGGGTTTGGCGGTGGTGGAGTTCATTGATGTGCTGCCGAAGGCTTTGGAGTACGTGAAAGAACCTGAGGTGGGTGTTAGGCATGGGGGGGGTGAGAGGTGGGAGATGGGACGTACCATCACGGTTTGTGGCTGCTAGAGCACATCCAGGAATTTCTTGCGCTGCAACGGCGTCTTGGATGAGGGTTTCGAAGTCTGCCATGGTCGTAATGGAGGCTACAATCTAGTCTTGCAGTACCAAGGAAAGTCTTAACAATAGCTTCTGAGGGTTATACCCACAGAATTATATACGTAGACAATTTGGAGGATCGGCCAAGCCTGAAGAACGCGATGAATGTCAGGATGTCAGGATGTCAGAAATGGCGCTGTCAATTGTCTTGCTTTGCACCACTCGCAACAACAATTAACGGACGATGTAACCCAGTGAAAAACACTGACCGTTCTTATAAGAGGGCCGCCTGACATATGTTGCCAGGAATTCGTCCGTTGTTGACTCTGATGGGGTACCTCGGTACGTTAAGAGCGGGGCTTGAATGCTCTAACCGTTAGTTGCGACGTCGACAACGCGGCCCATCACCAGGCAACAACAAATCCCTCGATATCACTGTTCTTATCTACATGAGAATATCTCATCTGAGGAAGCAAGACGCAACCATCGTACCTTGTCAAACGGTGGAGTCGATGTACTGTACCCGACAACGTTAAATGTTCTTTGTGATGTCGCATGTCCTCTCTGACAAATACATCGCGCGCAAAACGTACTCGTACATCTCAACCATGAGCGCATGCTCTCGGGACGAGCAGAGTAGTTCTTTGTCCTTACGTCTCAGGCTCACCAATGCCGGAATGCCAATCGTCCCTGCGGCCATAGTCAGTAATTGAAACTTAGTGTTCAGTAATTGTCGACTTACTCCTTGACAACCCGAACGCCTTTCGAAGTTTTGAATGCCCAAAGTATGATCATGAGCTCATCCGGCAGGTTGTGAAGCTCCTGATCATTTTTGTAGCTATCTTCATTTCGGATGACCTCGGCCATACCTCGTATCTGTGTCTCTGCGTCCTCCGACTCAGGTTCGGGGGGGTCAAAATGCGTTGTCCATGGGCCGGGGTCGAAATGCTCTACAGCGTCGGTCAAGGTGCGATAGTCAAGGAGAGTAGGGTTTTGCATCCATTTCATGTCTTACTAACGTTAGTGGCTAGTCAAGAAGTGTTGTTATAGCACTTACTACCAAGATGACAGTCCCATAGGTGGCCGTCGTCTTCTCCACAATCCATGCATGGAAGCTCTTTCAACCCTTTCATGTAGGTGCGCCACGGCTCGGGAATAGTCTCCGTCATCTTCGCTCCCGCTCTCGCGCTTTTATCAACTGCGTCTAGAGATCGTATGTCCAGTGTGCCGGTCTTCTGCCGAAGACTGGGCTCGTTGTCAGGCGACAGCCGTTTCGCGCAACCAGGATGAGTAGGCCTATCAGGAGCGCTTTCGGCAGTTTCTTCCGTTGCGAATGGTTCTCCGATCGGTGCATCTTCAATATAGGAATGTGGGGAGCTCAGTTGTGGTGCTACTGAGCCAGATAAACTACCCAAGAAAGGCTCTTGCGACTTTCCTGTGGGGGTCGTTGGCGTGGCATTGCGAGGATTGTTCGGGCTTATCGGTAGGTCAATATCGCTATCATTAGGACTGAAAGCAGATGGCACTGTCGAGCCGACTAAGAAACTAGACTGGGCGTCAGCAGCAGGAGAACTGAACGTACTGACAGAAGGAGTATCCGCATTGTATGGTGCCGCAACGTGCTTCTGCACCTGACTTCCTGCCAATGGCATCTCCGACGGCGCGACCACTGGACTAGCATGCTGAAGACCGTCTCCAGTCGCGCTCGTGGGATATGGAGATCGGTATGGAAGATTCATAGGGGCTATAGCTCTGCAATCCGCGGTAACAGTGTCGTGCGAGGAGTTTGTTCCGCCGTTGCGCACTTGTTGCTGCTGTGGGACTACTGAACTGGGAGGATGATCTACAGTCGAGTTGCGAGGAGACGGATGAATCCAGTTATGCTGTGAGATGCCATAACCCTGACTAGCCAATATTGGTGATGGAGACGACTGTAAGCCCCAAGCCAATGCAGCTAGCAGTATTGAAGGCACACTCATACTGCCAGTCGAAGCGGGTGATATGAACGTTGATACTGGCAATGCGGTGCTTTGGAAGGGAGCTTGCTGTTGATCGATCGTGTCGGTGGGAAGTCTTGGAACTGTGGTGTCTCCGGACGATGGACGCGCTGGGATATTCTGATTCGTAGCCACGCCAGGAGCACCGGGTCCCTTTTGTAATGGTGTCGCTCTGGTAGGGGTCGGCGGCGCTTTCTGGAATATTTCCATACTGCGAGCTCCTGTGATTTGACCCTCCGGAGGTTTTTGTAATGCTGGTGATGCGTGCTGAGGGTGTGACGAACACAAGTGGCCAGAGCCTAGCTTTGTAGGAGATGGAATCTGACGACCTGGTTGCTGACCAGCGGAATCGATCGGGGCTGGTCGCCTGAGTCTATACCTTGCCTCCCAGTATTGCTTCAATCTGGGATTAGTACCGATAGGGTAAAGTGGTATCTGCCCCCGCGACGATATCGGCAGACCAAGTAGCGCGCGCAATTCGTAGATAATTTCAAGATGCTGAGTTGCGGTGCCCGACAATGCCATCTTCACATTTGAGTCGTCCGCTCCTCTTATCCATCGGATAGTGATATCATCATAGTCGTCCTCATCCTCATTGGAATCCACAGCACAAAGCACATCCTCCGGTGTTGTAAAGCCACAGGCCATAGCGCGCCGGTCATCCTCGATAGAATGGAACCTCCAGTATCCACCAATCAAGTGTGACGGGTCTACCTGTCTGACGAAATGATCGAAGTCGCCATTGGGAGCTTTCACGATGCCGCGGTAGGCTGAATGGTAAGTCATGAGCGCAGGCGAATATGCGCTGTCTGGACGGGGAAGCGAAGGGGTTCGTCGTGGCAGTAATTGATGATAGATAGTCGTTTCTGAGATGATGCTGGCGGTAGCATGGAGGGGAGAAGCGGAGAAATTTGAGGGATGTAGTTGAAGTTGGTGCGAGATAAACAGTGGAATGGCGGCAGAGTTTGGAAGGTGCGCGCTCGAAAACGCCTTGCAAAACAGAAAGAACAAGAGGGATTGCGTCTAGCACAACAAGATCTGGTGTACATGCGCTACTAAATGAGAAGTAAAGACGAGTATGAAATTTGATGCTCCCGCAGATTTACCGCTCATGATATTGTGCACGTGTGAGGGAGTTGCCTGGTGACGGCGGCCGGTCAACGTCAGCACTATAAGAAAATCAATCCACAAACCGATTCAGATCATCTTCTAAAAGCGCACCCATCCTTATACCGCAATACTATGTCAGTCAAGACCGATGCACGAAGGCTGTTCAAAGCACTGTCACGCCAGTCTGGTGGACACTGAGTCTAATAGATACCTGTGCAGTCACAGCATTACATTGCGGAAATCACAGATTCCCTGAGTGGCGAGATTATGAATTCTGGAACTGAAGCGCAAGATGGAGGAAACACGGGACAGATGAGACGCGATGAAGACGTGATGTTCTTTGGCCATAGCGTGTTGGCATGACGTCAGCGGTTCCTGTCACCCCCATCGTGCATCTCTCAATACCTTCATGCACATCGGATCTTATTACTCCACTCTGAGATACTAGCCTCATGACCTGAGGTCGCCGAGCAGGTATCGGAGCCTGGCCTCATCCGGTAGCTGGGGATCGCATAAGACAGATCGCTCACATGCACTATCTCTAACCCAAGCCCTCAACCCTGCTCGTCCGTTACCGCATACAACGACCCTGCAACCGCCGCCTACAACGTCCACCTACTAAACCACTCCAAAATAATTCCCGTCGCCTCGGCCTCCTTACACGTCAGCACTCCCTCATCGCCTCCCGTATCGCCATTGGGGAACGAACTCGGCCAATCATGACCCAAGTTGCTGTACTTGTAATGCACGACCACATCATTCCAACTATACCTCGTCACCTTCTTCCCCTCATCCTCCTCACACAGGAATGTCGTTTCTTTCGCGCTAACATCGAAGCCATCGCGCCTAGCCCAGTCGTCGACCCAAATGACCACGTCAGTCGAATTGGCGTTGCCGCGCGTGTTAATGCCGCCATTATACGGTATCGTCGTATCCTCCACTCCGTGGAATTCCATGATCGGAACCTGTCCACTAGGCTCACACGGCGGCGGATTCTGGTCAGCGTCTAGGTAAAAAGCACCAGACACGGGTGCGAACGCAGCAATACGTTTTGTGGCTTCCGCATCGCAGGCCAATACACCAGTAAAGCCTCCGCCGTTTGACTTTCCAGTCGCGTAGATACGGGCGGGGTCGATACAATAGGTTGACTGTAGGTGATCCAGGAGCTCAAGCGTGAAGGTTACGTCATTGATGGAAGAGGGCGAGTCGGGGTCGCCTTGGTATTGTTGGGTTCCTTTTGCATTCTGGGCGTCTGTTAGCATCTCATCTCATGCCATCCCAACTCATTGGCCGGGTTTCGGGAAGGGAATGATGTACCGGTACACCTTCGGGATATGCGACGATACCATTGAAACCGTAGCTTGCGTTTGAGAATTGGCTTAGAGCTTCTTGGTATTCGGCGTCTTTGCCCCGGCCGTGGAAGGGGAGGATGAGTGGAACTGGAGTGTTGTCATGGTACGAGGGAGGGACGTGTAAGCGGTATTTGCGAGGCGAAATTCCGCTTGTGCTGTTTAATGTCAAATCGACGGACTCGTCGAGCTTGACGCCTGGAGGGAGTGGACTTTGGCAGCCGTTGTTTGATTTGGATTCAAAAGAAAATGCAGGGGCCGCTGTTATGAGCGCCGAGCAAACAGACAAAGTCGTTCTCATTCTGATGGTTTGGTGCTTGCGCAGACTACCTCAGCCTCGTTCTGCATATTTATATATCTCCGAAGGCTTTCAGGCGTGCAACAACGTCAGATGCGCAGATAGCGGACAGACCTTCCCTTGATTGGCAAACTAGACGTTGGTCGCGCATTAACCGAATGTCGGCGTATGGCCCGCAGTACTAGTCTGTAAGCTTCATGTTCAATGTCGATCGCAAGTCCAGTCAAATCCAAAGTGCTGCAATCCTATTTTTCTTCTTCGCTCAAGGAGGCAGAGTTGAATAGACGAAGCAGCCTATACCCAGGTAGTCCATAGTGCAGGTCTGTGGATAAGACCGCTCGGTCTCATACATTAGCTCAACATTGACAGTGACGTTCTTCGGTTCTACTCTACTCGCTACCTGACAAGAAGAGTAATAGCACCATTTCACGCCTTGTATTCCTCAAGATTCAATTTGAACAGTTTGGGATCAATCACATGTTCGTTGGCACCAGCATTACGCGCATGGAATGGGGGCGTAGCTGGTAGAGGGGCGTACGAAATGGAAGAAGCTTGTCCACCTGAGTCCTGTAGACCAAGCACGCATAGTAATCAAGTGATTGCGGCAGATGATTTGAGCTTTCAAATACATGCAGGATGAGAAGATCTCAAAGATATTCGCAGATCAGAAGAATAGGATGGGTGCGATAATCGGACATGTCGACCGAGAGCTACACAAGACACCCTGGGTGTATAGGTTACCCTCCGGCGACTTAGAGGCGCCTTCGTGGCAGGAGCAGAAGCTCGAAGAGAAATGGAATGCTTACATGGAGGGGGTGTTCGCAGTGGCGAAGCAGAGAGCTACAGATTACATGGAACTCTGAAAATATGAATAACGAGTTCAAGGCCGACGAGTAGACGACGAAGGGCAAGAAGAAAGAGCTGAAAAAGATACAAGAGCAAATTAAAGCTCTTATCAAGAAAACCAACGAGGAATGGGACAAAATTGAAAATTGGGAGAAGCCGAAGAATTGATAGAGAGACTGTATTCATATGTGATGGATGCTGTGATGGATACTGTGATGGTATACTTGGTTGGTAGTTAGGGGATGGCGCGTAGAGAGTAGTGTTGTGTGGCGCCGGCGAGTATCGCATCTGAGAGGTACTGTATCTATTGGTCTCACTCGTTTCTTTCTCTTCGCAGTCACAAATGCCTTTTTTGATGTTGTTCCGGCGCTCTATCCTTCCCGGCCTTCGTCACCATGTCTGCAGTCACAATCTACAGTTTTGGGAAGCCGTGATAAATTTGTTGTACCGACCACAGGCTCCCGAAGAGTCTTAATTCCTGCCCTCGTGCAATAGTAGCGATCGGCGGCCACAACGGCTAGTGTTGGGAAAGGATACGGCTGTTCCTAACCCTTGCTTTAGCGGTCGGGGTGTTTCAGAACGTCCCAGATTGGCTTAGCGGGCTTCTTGTCTAGAAATTCCTACAAGGATGTCGGGAAGTCATGGACGCATTGTCGGAGTGTTGTGACTGCGCCGCAGACCAGCTCAGGTATTAAACCTGTCAAGCGCGCCTGAATCATGGATACTGATCTTCTCATATAATTCCAACAATCTTTCCACGGCGACCTGACCGCCATACGGCATCGAATTTGTGAAGCCTACCAAACATCTTTTACGGTTTCACATTACAGCATATACCAAGGATTTGCGCTGCTATGGATGGACTCCCACAGGAACTCATCGATCAGATTTCCAGCCATCTACCCAAGCAAGACTTGCACAATGTCCTCACCCTGAGTTGTAAGTTTCGCTATGCTGCGGAAAGATACTCTGGAGCTTTTGCCGAGTTTACCGTGAATGAAAGCAACGCAGCCGAATCTCTCGTGCGCTTTTCGAATCATCGTCTTCTCTATTTACGAGAAGTGAAATCCCGACCAGCCTTTCCAACACTTTATGAGACAAGCGACAACGAGGATGGTAACGAAGACGACAGCGAAGTCCTTTGTCGAGAGTCTGCTCATGAGCTGCACGACAGGGACGAGTCTTTCACACGACAGATCCAAATCCTCTCCCACACACTCCAAGTAGTCGAGAAGCGAGCGGGGAAAAACATGCTCCAGGGAAGTATCGACTTTCAGTCTACGGTCCGATCAGAACAATCGATGCCGTCCACATATGTCCCCATCGCTATTTGACCAGCTGGCGCGTCCGGCTACTGGCAATAAAGCTACCGCAAATCACATCCATCCGGTCGTTCGAGATCTATAATAACTATGATCACGAACCGCGCGGATACTATGTCCGAGACATGGTATCTGGCGTACAAGAGTTTAAGCTCGACTTGCGTGTTCTCATCGATCTAGCGGTCAGGATGCCCAACCTTGAATATCTAGGTCTACGAACCGGGGGGCACGAATGGTGCGAGACGCTAAATCAAGAAGAAGATACATACATCCAGCACTACGAGCGCGACTGGGAAGGACCGCGCCGAGATGCTCGACACGACTTCGCAGCCGCTGTTATCCGCTGCGTCGACGATATACCAAAAACGTTGAGGCGAGCTTCGCTCGACTTCCTGAACCCATTAGCCCGTGCGATCGAAATTCATCATGATAGGCCCTTGCCAGATCTAGTAAGGCCCCTCTCCCACGATCCATTTACCTCAAGTCTTGATATTCTATGCAACAACCTGCGTCACCTGCAACTACGAGCAATGGTGGACGAGAACCTTTTCCCGCCAACACCACAGAGCTTCACAGCATTACATAACCCTTAGCCACATGTAGAGTTACTCGAAATTATGCTTCACAACGCACGCCCGGATGGCACATGGTACTTCTCAGGCCCTGAGGGCCAAGGCAACAGTGCACGTGGTTTTCCCATTACCCACGCTTCCTACCCGCCCTATGTGCGCACGCAGCTCGACGAGCAGATAGACGATGTTTTCCTTTCGCAACATTACAACAGTTCAAGCACTGCATATCAAACAGGCAGCTCCCAATTCCGTGTCACTCCCCATACCAATCTCACTCGCTTACTCGAACGCTTTGCCAGAGCAGCAATACACATGCTGGCACTCAAGGAAGCTGTCATATGGTCTCCCTTGAACTGGCGGATTACAGACGATAGAGATGCAGGCATTGACTACTGGACCAAGAACGGCGAAGAAGACGACTACATCGATGAGAGGGCCGCGCGATCCGGGAATCTAGCATGGGGTATTGCATACGCAGGACCAGGACGACGTGCAAATACCTCTTTATGTCGTCGACTGGAATGGTTAGTTGGGCCGTGGCGCCCTGATGGGGAACTGCATGGTCTCTTCCAGGAAATCGGGCGCATGAAACACGGTGAAGAACTTGAGAAGTTCTGGACCACAGATGTGACCGATGATGATGGGATTGGCTATCGAGATTGGCTCGAAGACAGCATGATGTTTGGTGTGGATATGGGGTGTGTTCCAGTGACACACTAGGAATACTGCCAAAGAGAACAATCTAGGCATGCTACGGATGGGCAGAGATGGATGAGAGGGCCCCAGAAGCCCTCGAAGATAGAGCTAACGCGATCGGATTCACTCTACAAATAAGAGATATTAATCAATTAGGGAGGAAATACTGAAACATATGCGCCATGAAGCACCACCATCGTGATTATATTCCAGAAAGTCTAGGTATTGCACGTACTTGAGACATCGCAATAGAGATTTTGAGGGCGACATATAGGTCTGTCATGGTATTGGGTGGCAAGTAACGTTCGGCTTCACATACATAGATAGCTGCGATGAAGGAGTCAGATGAGAACGGATCGCAACGTAAAGAAATTGTATTGGCAAAGCTCATGCATGAACTGTATAATGAAAGGGGCAGGTCGGTGCAACGATCGGGCGTTCTCAGCGCCCGTCATCATATCAAATCGCGACCATCAATCAGATCAGCAGAGAGCTCATCGGTTATTAAAACCCTCTTCTGCCATGAAGTCTGAGGCTCCATCCCTATCGTCGCCAAAGACACGTTCCTTGTCGGTAGTCTTCCTGACATTCTCACAGTAAAGGATAGCGCTAAACTACAGCTTGCTACTCTGTAGTGTAGGGTCCAGATTGTGGTTCTTGTAGAAAATGGCAGCTTAGTAGGTATCAGCCTGGTCATGCTCCGGACGAGGGGTACGTTACCGAATGTGGATCCTCCACGATCTCCACGACCACTACATTCATCCCTAACAACAGATTCAGTTTGGGGGCAGTCGGCAACAATGTGTTCATTCGACCGACACTGGGATCACTCTTTGTCCAGCCGTACAGCTTAGACTGAAATCTTGCGTGCAGACTGATGGTACGATCAACCCATTTTACATGCTTGTGGAAGACACCTTCACTATATTTGATGAGTTGTGCAACTTCAGCACAGTGTTACGTACACTTGAAGTTAGGATGGACTCTAAATTTGACACAAGTCGTACAGTTCACGACCAAAAGGGATCGCTAGGCAACTATGGATCTCTACCTCTTCGGGCGTTACCAGGGACCTCAATCATGATGATCACCACCCCTACTGCTAAGGAAATATTAATACCAGAGGAAGGAACTGCACACTCTTTTCGTCAATATATATCCGGACAACTCATGAAAGCATGCTAACTGTTATAAGCCACCACTTCTAGTTCTCCAGTTCTCCAGCAAATCTTCACTGAAAGTCATCTCCAGCATCGCCACACCGAATTTGTCAACATCAGCTGGTCTTGCATAGTGAAAGAGCCTCGCACACTCGAAGCGCTGCAAAAACGCCACATTCTTCTCCAAACACTGTCTTTCCCACTCCGCAGCACTCGAAGCGTTCCAAAGACCACTGCGGTTCGTGTACATGACGCCGCCAGGACAGGCTGCCCAGCGCTGCTGGAGGGCAGAAAAGACTGGCGACAGACTGGCGGCCACAAGCCAGGTGCGGCGAATACTTTCTGACAGAATCCACAAGTACCACTGTTGTTGCAGATAGGTAGGGAGCTTAGGAAGACAGTTGACAAGATGGGCGCTGCTATCTTGTTCGTTTGACAATGCAGCTCCAGCGGTGGAAAAGAGCTTTCCGGCCCAGCTATCCTGTATAGCCATATGACCTTCAGCAACGTGACGGGCGCGAACATCGCCATCGAAGAGACCGATGATCTGGTAGACTAAAAGAGCATGGAGTCTTGTCAATTGCCCCCATAGATCATGGTCTAGACCCCCGATATCGATCCACTTCTCTGCACTAGTCTGGTCCAGAATAGCTCCGTTCTCTCGTAATAGATCATTCGACCGATCCTCGACTATCTGGAGGACGATATCTGTATTCGCAGGTGTCCGGTGCACGTAGCTGGCCAGTGTAGCATACGCGACTTGAACGCACGCCGGGAAGTTCACGTTATACAAGGAGGAGTGAATAAGGGGGTTGCTGCCAGTTGTTACCCAGCTCCTGAGCCAAGACTGTAATACAGTCACATACTTCTTCATTGCTGCTGTGCCGATCGGTACATCGTCGGAACTCATCGATCTGCGGGATATTGTCCACGTCTCTGGCGCAAGAAACCAATCCGTCTTGAGTACGCTGGGAATCTGGATTTGAGAAGGCGGTGCACCGAGGTAACTGCCGATAGGTGGTAATTCTACGTCCCACAGGAAGTCGTCGATGGAGTAGAGGCTTGCATCGACGGTCGACGTATCGGTTGCAGCCTCAGGAGATAACGCATCTCTTCCTCTTAGCACTGATCCATTTGATAACAAAGGCCGATGTGAATGGCCCGTTTGCTTCTTTGATGGTGGATAGATACACGACTTGCCCTTGTCCGCGCATCGAGCGCAAGACGGGATCTGGCGACCGCACTTCCGCTTTGACCTTGCGCAAGCGGTGCAAGCGTTGGATTCAGCGCGCAACGACATCACCAAGAGTACATCTTTTCGGTATCTTCATCGGCGCCATATTGATTTGATGCTGTCTGCAGCGGACGTTGAGGTATGATAAGCGCGCATTTGTCATCTGCTGAATGCATGCTTATTGGACAAAGGCCCGCACGGCGGAACACTAGTCCGCAATGCGGCATCCTGTAAGACAAGGTTTCAATCCTGAATGACGTACATCACGTTGATGTTGAAGGTCGGCCTGGCGAGAACGAATCGTGTGTAAGTGCAATCAGCTTCGAGCGGCTTTGCATTCGTCAAAACTCTTCTTAGTCAGTCAACAAGATCTCTACCGCTCCACCAGAAAGACACTTCGCAATGTTGATACCGTCCGTGCTGACATATCGACAGTGCAGGATGCATTATGTTTCTTCCATGCCGCAACGCGAACCCGCAGCAGTCAGAGTCTTACCCGCCCCTGTGATGGCGGACCAGCATTTGTGTGCGGAATAGCTTCAGGAAGCCCACAAACGTGGTGTATATAAAGACATCAAAGTGGATGCAATGTCTACATCATACCTCAACATCTCTAATCCCTATTACACTCCAAACACACGGTTTTCAATATGTCTGTCTATGTCATCACAGGAGTATCCAAGGGAATTGGGGTGAGCATAACTTTTGTCGTGATATACATACATTCTGCTAAGTCCAGTCCAGTTCGAGCTCGTCAAGCAGATATCCAAAGACCCGGGGAATCTCGTCGCCGGTCTAGTCCGCGATCAAGCTACCACCGAGAGAAAGGTGGTAGCTGAACTGGGCGATCGTTCGAATATCCATATCCTCCATGCAGACCTTACTAATTACGCCAGCCTGAAGCAAGCCGCTGCAGAAACCGCCAAGATCGTTGGTGAGCGCGGTGTCGACTACCTCGTTGGCAATGGAGCATTCCCGTCCCTCTTCGACGCCTTTGACCCCATCGGCAATTTGTAAATATACCTCCCCTGGCACCCAATCAGGTTCTTCATACCTAACATCAAGTGCTTTATAGGGGTGACAAGGTCGAGGAACTAGAAAATGTCTCCTTGAAACTTTTCATGACCAATGTTGTTGGTAACATCCATCTCTTCAACCTCTTCCTCCCTCTCGTCCTGAAAGGCAACGTGAAGAAGATCATCGCAATCTCAAGCGGTCACGCCGATCTGGACTTCATCAACGATCTCGAAGTTGAAAATAGCTCTTTGTACGCTGCTTCCAAGGCAGCCTTGAACGCGATCGTCGCAAAGTTCAACGCGCAATACAAGAAGGATGGCGTACTGTTCATGAGTATGAGCCCAGGCGTGGTAGAAGTGGGCCACTTCGATAATCGTAAGTAGAGAGGATGGAAAGCTCATGGTACTCCCACTAAGGTAAATGTGCAGTCACCCCCGACCAGATGCGAGGTCTGACGAGCTTCATGGGTAAGATATCAACGTACACCCCTGATTTCAAAGACGCAACTCCAGTTGAGGATGCTATACCAATCATCAGATCGACATGGGAGAATGCCAGTATCGCGAATGGGTATGGTGGTGCATTTGTCTCACACCATGGAACCAAGCAGTGGATTTAGACTAAAATTTATGTATCTTGAATGAGGCTTGATACCCACAGTTCGTCCTGGTAAGCCGAGGCAATCTATATGAGTATCAGTCAAAGTTTGCGCACCTCTGGAAACATTGTGCTTTGTGCTTTGTCCTTGTTGAAGATTGCGTGCTTTTTGTTAGTTGTAGCTTGTTCGCGCCTGATAAGGTCTAAGACAGGCTGGAAATCGCCGAGGCCGTGCATGTCGATTTGCGAGTTGTAGACGACAGGCATATGAGAATAGACAAACGTATTTTGAGTCGTATCTAGGTGACGGTCTTGCTGGCAATGACGATGTTAGGTTGTTAGGGTTACGATGGAAGTCACTGTTACAAGGCCGCGGACATCATGCCAAGGTGAGCTAACTCCATTCGGACTCCATCCACACCGAACCATGGAACGCAACAACGATAGATGCAAACATGTATGCATGCATCATTTTCTTGCAGCTCTGCACTGCGGTCGGTAAATGCGAATATGTGCCGTCGTCTGTAGGTTGCCCGCGATGGCCACAAGACGATCGCGCAGGTTCCACCTATTCTCGGCGATCTCCCATTTGATTGGTCGATTTCGCTTGCAACTTCCTTGCCTCTCAGCCCGCCCAAACGCATCCGCTTGTTCACGCTCGACATCGCCGCTCACCGAAACCTTTTCCATCGCCAAACAGCACCCCAACACCTTATTTCATCACTTCTGACGCGATAAAACGCATGCCGAAGCCAGTGCGACACTTTTGACACCCATATCGACAATATTGCGACGCGTTGGTGGTCGGATAGCGCTTCTGGGAGCGTGACTCCTCTTCGCTGGGCCGCCCCCAGGCGCCAGATTTGCACCACGCCCCATACGCAGCCCAAACGACCCAAACAATTGTCACGTGCGCTGCCTTGCGACGACAACAATGACGGCCCGCGCAGCTGGCCAGCGCTTTAGGCAGCGCAAGCTATCGACGAAGCAGAATTTACCTGTTGTCCGCGAAAGTGAGGTTGAGCAGCTTGCTGATGACGATGCATCGCGCCATATCCCCAAGGTTGAGACCGGTGTTGAGAAGGGCGAGGAGATTGTAAGTCGCACTAGGCCGCTTTTGGCTTCCACACCTCCCTTACCAACTTTGTCGTCACACATACTTACATCATGTCCAGGAACACCATTTACAAGCCGTCATCTCCGCCGCCCAGGCAGCAGCGCAAGGCGCGACTGGTGGGAAGATTGCACAACTCTACATTCCAACTCCGGATGCTGTCGCAAGCACACTGCAATATGAAGATGTCTACCCAAAACGGTTTACACAACCTGCCACTTACATTCGGTTTTCGTCAACCGTCGAGGATACGTCCGGCTGCCCCTATTGCATGAACAGTGATGATGTCGCCTTTCTCAAGTCTTACAATCAGAAGAAGGGCAAAAACAACCATTGCTCAGAAGACGAGTTCGAGGAGGTGATGAACTTCTTCGAAGAGACCACAGCAATCAAGCAACCATATGCAGCAGTCGATAACTCGTCTGCTCTTGCTTATGAGGAGCTTGAAGCTGAGTTCGATGAGACAATCAGCGAGTCGGCGCGGCGGTTCGCAAAAGACATCTACCCACATTGGAAGAACCAACGGTTACTGAAAGGCAACCATCCGCTGATGCCCTCACTGAAGTTCGAGACGAATCTCGAAACCGACGATGCTGACCCGTATGTTTGCTTCCGACGCCGTGAGGTCCGACAAGTCCGTAAGACGCGTGGTCGCGACGCTCAAGTAACAGAGAAGCTTAAGAAGCTGAGGAAGGAACTGGAAGAGGCTCGTCTGTTGATGTCGCAAGTCAAGCGGCGAGAGGCAGTTATAAGAGAACAGCTTGCCACGGACAAGCTGATCTTTGAACAACGGCATGCGGTCAAGGAGCTCAAGCGGAGACTCAGCATCAAGGGTGATGACGATGAGCTACTCATCACTCAGAAGGTATGTCGCAATGAACTTACCGGAGTCTTTGTACAGATGACTAACTGGTCTCAGCCTGCTCCTAAGCCCAAGAGAACTGCCGATGTTGAGAGACAACGCCAGACGCTACCAGGCATGAAGCCTACCAATACACGTCCAGACGGGCGTCTCGTTGATGGAGACATAGTGTACCTCGAGGAGCAGCAAGCTAAGCGCACCGAGGCTATTGATAGCTTCATCGAAGACAACTTGGTCAAGCACCAGAAATGGAACGTGGGCTGGGTCGACGCAACGTGGCGGCCCATCACTCCACCTTTGGAACCGCCCGCTGCGAAGTCAGACTTCCGTACAGTCTTTACGGAGAGTCAGCTTCCCACGCCTCCTGCTTCTGTGTCCGATGGAGAGGGTGCTGATGCAACAGCAGTGGTGCCGTCGAGTAAGCAGACAGATCCACGGAGAAGTGCGCGTATACGTTTCGCTACTCCTCCAGATGACGTTCCATTCCACGATCAATCTCGCTTCCGTCGTAGGATCGGTCGAGGCGGGCGTATGATGATCGATCGTCGGGGCGTGAAGCGTCAGAAGACCGAGAGGGTAGATGATCGCTTAGCAGACCGGTGGCGCTTCTCCGGCGACAGCAGCGAAGACGAGGAGACGTATCCCGTCGACTGGACAGACAATCTGCATATTAGGTATCGCATCATGATTGAGCGCCAGGGCGAAAAGGCCGCGGCCCAGCAACCTCCACCAAATCCGAATCGCCGGTCCATTGAAAACCACAATCGATCCGCGTCCGGTCATCTTCTTCCTCCTACACCAACAACTGCCGCAGCTGGAACATCGACGGGGAGATAATTGCCACCAGTTTACAATCTTCTTCTTTCAGCGCTTTGTTTTGTCGACAAGTTATACCCTTTGTTTTCTATTCGCTCGGCGGGCTGGCTCCAAAGATCTACCAAAGTTATGTACACTAGCCCCATAGATTAGGGAGGGGAAATGGCCGGTTGGTGGTTGGCATTCTGTGGGTCTGTGGATGGGTGTGAAGATAGTCTGGATCGAGTCCTCAGTCAGCAAGTTCATGCTTGGATACATATATTAGAGCCTTGGTGAAGTACCGTGAGGACTTCACTCGGCGATTAAAAAAAAACAGAAACTTACCCAAACTCATTCCTCATAGTCTTGAAGCTTGCCTTGGGCGTTCGCCTCGTCGTCGCGCAATTCCTGGTGTCAACAGATGGCCATCGATACAGCTCATAGCAGGACTTGATCATATTCTGTGCTTCTTTCCCATACCACCCATCTCCACATCCCCCTCTTCATCAACACCTCTTTGCCTCTTTGCCGCCGCCGCACCACCGTCTCTTGCTATCTTCTCCGCCAGCGCATCTTTTGTGAGAGCTAAAAGCTGCTTTTCACCAATACGCACAGCCTTGGCCATAGCAAATCTCCGCTGCTTAGACGATGCAGCCTCGACAGGCGGAACCTCGCCAAACGTCCTCAAATCGTCTTCCAGCGTGGTGGCGTACTGCGCGATGCGAGTCTGGACGATCTTCAGTAGCAACTCCGCGCCTTTGCTTGTGATCTTCTCTGGTTTTGGTAATTTCCCTTTGCTGCTGAGACGTTCGAATTCATCTGCTGGAAGAAGCATACTTTCCACCAGGATGACAAGTTCAGGTGAGAGGCTTTCCTGGAGTGTAAAAGGCGTGCTAGCCGCGACGTCGTAGCCTGTATCGAGTACTTCTTGTTCGTCCAGGTAATCTAATCTATCTGCGTGCCAGGCGTTTTCCTGGGCCAAAAGCTCGGTGATGAGCTCGGCAGGAATTTCAACCACGTCGTATTGTGCGTAGTTGTCGGTAACGTAACCGTATCTTCTCAGTAAATCGCTTCGGGGGAGCGAACCGTAGTCGTTGAAGATCTCCTCGCCTGCTGTGATTGGTTTCAGTGCTTTCATCTCCAGACAGTCTTTTTCGTAGAAAAGTCGCGCGTTGCATCTGTCGGCGTCGGCGTTCAGCATGTCGGCAAGTGGGACCATGCCTTTTGGTAGGGCGGCGTCTTCTTCTTCCTCGGCGAAACCTTCATCGTCTACGTCTTTGTTTGGCGTCGCAGGTTCGACATCAAATGCATACGCCATGATCAGACTGCCCATTTTATGCATCAATTCCAGGTTTTCGGGGCTACGCATCTCCTTCGCCTTGTCTTTTGCCCTCACATCTCCACTGAATACTATGTCCGCAAACTCTTCTATCACAGGTAGCAACTGCTCGGTAAAAACTTCATCTGCGCTTTCTTTCCCGATTTTGTTCACGACAGCGCTGGCTTGCAGCTCGGCTAATTCGTCCTCGGACCAGAACATCAGGGTGTTGAAATCGGTGGGTAGGACGGTGAAATAAGGAGCCCAGTTTGAGGCGCTGCCGTTGTGGTATTCGTAGAGCATTACGAGGATAAGGGAGAGCCAGGGACCGAGTAGGCTGAAGGTTGAGGCGGGAATTTCGGTGCTGAGGATGCTGTTTTCGACGCTGAGGATTGAGGCGCGGGGTATGCGGAAGAGGAGTTCATGTTCGGCAATGGGTTGAGTAGCGACTTTTTTGAGTTAGCATGAATGTGTCATATCCTCTGTAAACGGTGGTGACGATGTAGAGTATATCTCATGTAGCGTATGGGTGGAGTAGCTACTTACCAACGCCTCGCCCAGCATCCTTGTTCCTCAGATCTTCCAACTTGATCTTTGGACTGATTTCCGCTCCGGATTGCTTCAGCCATGCCAGAAAGGTCTGACTGGCGCCGTCGAAGTTTGCCATAAGCAGAAAAGTCTGGTGCGATGTGGGATGTTTTGGAGGATTGGAGGATTGGATATTTGGTGGATATTATTTAGCGGCGCCAATGGGGAACCGAGGCTGCTTGGTCCGAGCGGAGTACAAATTGGTGGCTGGGGTATGCAAGTTTTTGCGACGCTCAGCAATGATCTATTAGAGGCTGTGGAGATCTTAATGAGCTTGAAAAATTGAAGATTGAAGATGTGAAGAAGACATTGTGAAGATATGTGAAGGAATTAGTGGACTTCGTTGTGGTACTGTTCAGACCCTGCAGCAACATGACTAGCGGCGGTGACGTCTGCCCGTCAACTGTTTAGATGTCGGCTTGCTTCCTGCATGCGTCCAAAATCACTTGACATGGTCTTCGTGGATAGGGTAGCCAGCTTGCAATCTGATAATGCTAGAGGATGGCCCAGTTCTGGTCTTCTATCGTTGTTCTCTGGCGCTTTCGCGTGTCTGGAAGTTCTGTTCGCGTTATTTTGTCTAACCCCGCTCGAGGAATCTACTTTTAATTCACAGCGCAAAAGGTTTGCGCTCGTTTAAAACATTTGGAAACAACAAAATCTGCAAGACGCGGCTTCCTCCATAGAGCAGCTGCTCGTTAGCGCTCGCCGAGTGGTGGCTTCAGCCCTACCATGCATGTTGTGCCTTATCGATAGCTTTTTCTAACGTCACCCCGCCTCGACGCGTCAAACACCAACAACGTTGAACCGCGATTGCCACCAAGATGATTGCTATAGGATTAGAAGGAAGCGCCAACAAGATAGGCGTTGGCGTCATCTCTCATCCAGGCCCAAACAAACCGCCGATCATCCTCGCGAATCTGCGCCATACGTATGTTTCCCCGCCTGGCGAAGGCTTCCTGCCCAAGGACACCGCGATACATCACCGAGCATGGGTTGTGAGACTAATCAAGCAAGCCGTACGGCAAGCGGGCATTAAAATCGAGGACATTGATTGCATATGCTATACGAAAGGCCCCGGGATGGGTGCACCTCTACAGAGTGTTGCGCTTGCAGCCAGGACAATCAGTTTACTATGGGGAAAGCCCATGGTCGGTGTGAACCACTGTGTTGGCCGTCAGTCTTACGCAAAACCCATAGTCAAAATCTATTGGCTAACGCATACTAGACATCGAAATGGGTCGCTCTATAACGCGTGCCGATAACCCCGTCGTCCTTTACGTATCTGGCGGCAACACCCAGGTCATCGCCTACTCCGCCCAACGGTATCGTATTTTTGGTGAGACCCTAGACATCGCCATAGGAAACTGCATCGATCGATTCGCCCGCACGCTGATGATACCCAACGACCCATTCCCTGGATACAATGTCGAGCAATTGGCAAAGAAGGGAAAGAACCTTGTTGATCTACCATATGGAGTCAAAGGCATGGATGCAAGCTTCTCAGGCATATTGGCTGCAGCCGACCTTCTCGCACGCGGATTGGACGAGTCATTGCCGGATGCAAAACGATTGAAGACTGAGGACGGAGAGCTGGTTACACGAGCAGACATGTGCTTCTCCCTGCAAGAAACCATTTTCGCCATGCTCGTTGAGATTACAGAGCGCGCTATGGCACATGTGGGCTCACAACAAGTGCTGGTTGTAGGCGGCGTGGGCTCGAACATGCGACTGCAGCAGATGATGGGCATGATGGCAAGAGACAGAGGAGGCAATGTGTTTGCGACGGACGAGATGTTTTGCATTGACAATGGTATCATGATCGCTCATGCGGGTTTACTGGAGTACGGGACTGGAGTGAAGACGGACTTGATGGATACGACATGTACGCAGCGATTTAGGACTGACGAGGTGTTTGTCGGGTGGAGGACTGACTGAGGTACGCTTTCCTTCAAATTGATACCCCATTCAACCATGTCTTTTATCCGTCGCCATGTGTACAGGTAACACATGGTTGTACGCATTGGTAACTTTGAAGAAGAGTTGACAAAGCAACGAAACGCTTATCCATGTCTCTAGTTTGATCTTGGATATGAGCTTGACGTAGCTGTCACGACGTTAGTCGTCTTCAGGACATGTTATAAGAATACACAACGGTTGACCGCCTCCCCTTCACCTCCCCACCCATCATTCCCTTGACTGCCACCATCGACAGTTGCTGTCTCCATAATCATTGCTTGTTATCATTTGCCATTGTCTTTCAAAGCCCACGATTCTCGTTTTGGAAAATAACAAAACTGGCGAAAAAGAAGAAAAGGAGAGAGAATTAAAGGACAACCCACCTCTAGGGGTATTGAACGTAAAAAGAAAACCGTAAACTCATCGCTTTCGTGTATACCTGGAAGAAACTCCTGAGCTCCCATACCATCCTCCAATCCCTCCAGAAGCAAAGATACTAGAGAATAAACGAGACAGTAAAACACATGGCCAAAGCCCACCTGCTAGTCCCTCACCCTAGAAGTTATGATCTTAGTAAACCTCGCCATGTTCCTCCTTTGGTTTATACATGATGGTAGTCAAAAACTATCCACAGTTAGCTTTCGTCCCCATCACATAATTCTTTCAAAACATACCTTCTGTTTATACCTAGTCGTAGCACTCGTAGCCAAAATCCCTTCCTTAATACTACTCGTCGCTAGATGATTAAGCACCGTATGATTAGGATGAATCAACACACTACTATCGTCCTTCATCGGCGTCGTCCCGTTCAATATGCTCTTGCCCAGGAAGCCCGGTAGAGTCGGGGGTGTAGGTAGGTTATTCGTCATGGCGTTTGCTCTGGCAAACCGGGAAGATTCTTCGGGGGCGTCAAGGTCGAGGAGGTAGCGGGGTATGTTTTGGTGGTACTTTTTCGTGGGCTCGGGTACAGGAGGTTTGGCAGGTTCAGGGAGGGGGAGTTTGGTGGAGGGGTTGTTGGCGGTGGTGTTGTTGGTGTTGACGGAGTTTTGGGGAGGAGTAGGTGGGAGGACTTGTGGCGGGTACATGCCAACAGGGGCTTCGCGTTCTTGGACGGGGTCACGGCATCGAGGGGTCGGTTGTCGAGGTTGTGGTGGCTTGGGGGCTGGCGGGGAGGGGTGTAACTCCGGGTAGGGGACTTCAATGTAGTTTACGAGGATATTGGTGTAGTCTACGGCTGTGGGGAGTTTGTCGGATGTTCGCATGTCGTTGTCGACGAGGAAGGTGAGATGGTGGGTCCCTGGGGTGACGGAGACGTAGGCAGAGAGGGCGTCTTTCTTCTTGCTGGGTCCGCTGTGAGGGAAATGTCAGTACTGTCGGTGTGCAGTGTAACCTTCCAAGTGTAACGCTCGAAAGAGGTAGTCGAGAAAATAGAGTTGAGAGAAAGAAACGACTTCCACCGCCTCCCCTCTGAGACATTTGGAAAGCACTTACTTGCGATGTAGCTTGTACTTCCGATTCCACCCCGCAAAAGTACCAGTAACCTAATGTCAAAGTCAGCACGCCTCTCAAACGTTTTCTACACACGAAGGTCTACTAACGTATACACGCTCACCAGGTCCCTCCCACTCAATCAGGGTAGGCACAGTTGGCCTCCCCTCACCGTCCTTGAACTCGTCTCCCAAATCCTCATCATCCGCCTCCGCCGTCGTACTACTCAGCATGCTGGACCTCTTCGGTAACATGCCATCCGCATCGCTCTCGTGGACGGGCGTCCATATCTCCTGCAGTCCACCTAGTTCCTGGGGCGAGATGATGGGTGAACCGGGCGTGTGGACTTCTTCAATGGGCAGGGGCAGGCGCGGTGGGCGCGAGAATTGCGAGGCTGAGGCCGGGATTAGGTAGTCGACGGAGGCAGAGATGGAGGCGGATGTTGGGGATGTTGGGGATGCTGAGGAGGTGTGAGGGTCTGAGTGGAGGACGGAGGGGACGTCGACGGGGAGGGTGGGCGAAGGTGGACGTGCATTGGCGGTGGCTTCAGCTTCAGCTTCGACATGGTGTTGTTGCTGGGCTGGCAGGTCGGGAACGGGTGTTGGCTGCGGCGGGGTGGTGGTGGCATCGCGGGGGACATGGTGCTTGTCCTTGTCCCGGTGGCTGCTCTGCTCATTGCCCATGTTGTCGTGGGTGATGTTGTTGGATTTGTTGTAGTGGTCCTGAGCAGCGCGCAGCTGGGTGGTGACGGCTTTAGTGCTAGTCCCTACCGTTTGCGCTCGCCCACGCGAAATGGGGCGGGCCGACGTGGGATGGCTCTCTGCGTTCTCGAGGCTGACGCTGGGAGCTGCGGGCGCTTTGGCTGCACTCAGTGCCTGGATCGACTCTCGCCGGCGTGCGGAGTGGTATTGGCTGTGTGGGGGGGAAGATGCGGGAGGTGATGGGGTCGCTCATGGCCATGTGATGCAGTCACGTTGTGCGTGTTGGCGTTGTTGGTAGGCGATTGCGGGTTCGACGTGGGCGTCGTCGACCGGGAATTCTGGTTCCCCATTTCTGCCGCAACAAGACGCGGCGAACGAGCGCATGGATCGATTACAACAGACAGAGGTCAGAGAGGTCACCCAGGTGTGAAGCTATCTCAAGACCGGGCCTTGGATTGCCTGCAGCGGGACACAGGGATCAAGATTTCCATGGCTGCATCAATCGCCGATAGCTCGCTGCACGAGCCAATGACACTTATCGCGGGGCTAGTCGGCCCTGTATCGTGAGTCGCGTTGGCTTTCACCAACCACCATCTCGTCCCCTGCTACGCGTCCATCATGGACGCAGCCACTGTTCTTTCCATCACAGTACGCGTCTCCGTCCTAACAGCACACGTGATATGGTTCCCCATCCAGAAAATTATCAATCTAGTCATTATTCTACTACTGCCATTCTACAACGTCATCACATTCGCCCTACTACCATTCATCCACCTTGGACAGGCACTCATCAGAGTTTTGTCCATTCCATTTAGTGTCAAGTGGTTAGAAAGAATAGAAGTATGTATCTATCATCTCCTTGTAAGACTTCATAAACACTAATGGTACAGACACTATATGTCTACCTTGGAACCGCCGGCCTCATAGGATGCATCACCGGCACCATCCTCTTTGTCATCTTCAGATCTCTCTCATCAACCCTCAATATCGACGCACCCATTGTGCCCAAGCAGCGTGAAAAGGGAAGAACAGCCGCAGAATATAGAGCTGCGCGGCGTGTGAACAAGGAGGATTCCATCGACCGTTCACCGAGTGCGACGCCTGTAGTGTTGAAAAAGGTACCTGGGCCTCGCAGGCGGGGTCTGCTCTCGCAAGCCATCATCGAAGAGGAGGATTCCGACTTTTGAACAGCCTCGGTGTGGGTTGACAGTGTTGTTGGACATGTTCATATCAGCCACCAGGGTAGAATGTCCAGAATCCCTCCAATGTGCTTCTGAACGTATGCTGGGACTGCGGTTCTTCGCGTTCGATGTGTGATCCTTGCTGTGACTTGGCCCTCCGGAAGCCTTTCCCCCGTCATCGTTGTCTGCATCGATCGAGAGCATTTCCAAGGATACATCTGACAGTATTGAAGATTTCTTTCGCATGGGGGGAGGTGGTGCAGGCCGTGGAAATGGCGAGCATGCACTCTGGCGTGCCTGTGGCCTAGAGACTGTCAGTCTCGACGATTCTGAAAGGGTTTTCACTCACGTCGTGGGAGCGTCTTCTTTCTCGTCTGTACCAACCATTGTGAGCCAGTGGAAAACCACGGCAGCCCATGTGACTGTTGCAACCCGAGTTAATCAGATTCGAAACTACCAGCAGTGAACATACCGTCAAAGGTGCAAATCGTAAGGCAAATCTGCCGCAACGAAAAAGACATCAGCGGGTGCACCATATTGACTTCAGAACTCAACTGACAAAAGCCAATTCTTTTCCCTGAAGAATGCATAAAGACGTAAGGTTCCCAGCAGTTGGTACGATCACGAGGATCGTTCCGATGAACGTCTTCCAAAGCAGAGTTTCGACTTTCCTTGCCATGATCTGATTTGATCGACGAAGGCCAACCGTGGCTTTACGCTTTGCTCGACCGCACATATTGCCGATCCGCAGTCCCAAACGACTCGTGAGACTGGCGCTCGAAGATTGGCTGCCTCTGACTAACGGGCTTAGAAGGTAGACGAACACAAGAGTAAGGTAGACATTGATGACAATGTCACATGTCAACAATGGAACGCCGGTGTACCGCTTGATACCAATACGACAGCGTCCGTCCTCCTCGGACATCCAGTACACGGGTAAGACGAACGCGACGACTCCAACGGCGCCAAGGCTTGATACGATACCGATTGTGCTGAGAAGCCATAGGAGGTCATGGTAGCGGGACATGTAAGGTGCTCGGAGTGCATGCGCTCGTTCGACTAGGAACAGATACCTTTTGTTGAGCAGTGAGTTGTTGTCTACGACGTACTGAAGCTGTCCCGAGGAGGGGCCGACTTACGTGCTTACTTTACTGCCAGCATAGAAGACAATACAAATTCTCATGGCTATACGGCAGGTACTATGCGCACTGAGTCCGAGACCGTTATTGACGACTGCGGTGGCGAGAACAAACCCCATCGAGAGACCATAAAGGATGAAGACGTATACCTGGGTCAACGTTATGCGCTTGAATGAACGACCGTTGAGTACTCGAATGCGGTATCCTATTCCTGTCAGTCGTGGTCATGCACGTTGATGCAGCGAAGATTCGTGTTCACCAAGCAGACCCGACAACAGACAGATGCAAAACTTGGATGTTACGACGAACGATGTACGTGGCCCAGGTGGTTCACCATAGACAACTGGCGCTTTCTGTGACAATGTTGACTCAATCGACATCGGTGCTGAGAAGACGACCGCCGCAAAGCATGTCCACACTCTCGCGATGGTAGTCATTGTGGTCGGACGTTATATGTGGTACACTAACGTAGGACGATTCTAGGTAGAACAGTGGAACATAGCTGGTAGGTATTGATAGGTCTTGCGAGCGGATTGTCCAAAGTACAGAACCGAGCAAGTGAGAGGGCTCGAGGTGTCGCGTCTTCAGGTTGCAACTGCTTTATTGTGTCGTAGGCACGCTCGACCGCTCCTTCCCTCGTATGCCAAGAGGCAAGAGGTACGATAGGAAGTAACGGTCAACTCACCGTAAGCGCACACTTGCAAAGAACGAGGAAAGATGCTTTAGGCGAAATGATCACACTCTAATGTGCTGTCAACCTACTGCAACCAAGGTGAACATCTACCAGCTGCACAATCAGGCAAGGTGATCTCCTCAGTAGCTTGCCAGCTGAAAGGCGCAACACAGTGTGGGATCAGTACGGTGCGACTAGACGAATAACGTCGGGACGGTAGCACACGTTGAAGGCCTGTCCGTAAATCCTTGGCGAAGGCCCTGCTCTACATATCACAGTGACATGGCAGTAGTGACTAGACCATAAGACTTACAAGCCTCTCTGGACTGGACTGATGCCGTGGAGCTCTCAACGCTCGTCGTCATTATGTAGGCCGGCCTTGGTACTCATACGTCATGAAGCTCGCTTCCTGACGTGTAGTCGAGTGCACAAGTACTAGAGTTGCGATACCAGTACGATATAGCAAGTACCGCGACATACTACTCAACGTACACTGGCTGTCGAATACTTGACTAGCCTACCAAACTACATCTCTTTTGCTGGTTTTCCCCAGTTCGGTGGGCCATGGTCCACTAGCCGCGGTTGCAAAAGCAAATTTGCCCGCCAAACACCCTGGCAACTACTAGGCGGCGGTTGCTGGCTTATCGCGCGTAATGTGCGACTCCTTGGTAGACGTAGGAGACTTGTACTCTCTTCTTGGCTGAAGGTGCTGGAATGTGGGAAACATGTGAGAAACGAGTGTGGGAAATGTAGCGCGCTGCAAGGTCGCGTCATAGGCGGGACGGAAATGCCTCAGTACACAGCCCCTCGCGATAAAGACCGACTATGGGCCTTGGTGCGAGGGAGTGAGATGAGTAGTACCGGGTGACTAGACAGTGGATTGGACTCTGGTATATACGGTGAAAGGTATGGGCTGGTCTGGTCGCATCTCGCACCGTGTTTGACATGTGAAGTGCGTGGAGGCAAGACACAAACCAGGTTAGTGTCTGGGGATCGCCGCAGTTCCTGAACCCTGCGGATAAGCGAGATTGGGCGGTCCAAGCACTGCCTCACTCTAGAGCGCGCAGCAGAGGCGCCCATCTTTTGTCTCGCGCATCTGCCCTTCTTCATTCCCTCTCCCGCCAAGTACTAGACGGACGTTGATGCTTGCCGGATGCTTGATTTGTACCTCTTTTAATACCACATCTCTATCCCGCCAGACCGACAGGAATTCTCTTTCACGCCCAGCCGCCCGTGCATAACCATCTCCGAGGGAAAGGAGGCAGAGAACAACAACAGCAACCATGCGGAGAGGCGTCACCATATTCCTGCTCGTCACCATTGTCGTCCTTGGTTTCGCAGTACACAGCGTGTGGACACTGCTCGGTCTTTTGATCGCTTCTGGTCGCGAAGATGCTATTCTTCGCGGAGAGCTCCCTGCGCCCAACTCGAGCGCTATCAATGAGGCGCCGCAATTGATTCCCAAGATCATCCACCAAACATACATCAATGAGAGCATTCCGGCGCACTGGAAGGGTCCCCAGCAGAGCTGCTTGGATCTCCACCCTGACTACGAGTACAAGCTGTGGACTGATAAGAAGTCGCGCGAGTTTATCGCTGCCGAGTAAGTGCTGCATGCACTTTTCTGACAGAACACAACAGCTAACATGCCCAGATACCCATGGTTCCTAGAGACCTTTGACGGCTACCCGTACCCCATCCAGCGCGCTGATGCTATTCGATACTTTGTTCTGCACCACTTTGGCGGAATCTACATTGACCTGGACGATGTACGTATAGCGTGCCCCTGTCAACCACCACGATGCTAACATTCTCAGGGATGCAATCGCAGCCTCGATCCTCTTCTCGCCTACCCAGCCTGGGTCCGCCGCACAATTCCCACCGGTATCTCCAACGATGCCATGGGCGCAGTTCCCCGCCACCCCTTCTTCCTCAAGGCCATCGACTCACTAACCGACTACAACCGTCGCTGGCCCCTCCCCTACATCACCGTCATGGCCTCCACCGGTCCCCTCTTCCTCAGTCTCGTCTGGCGCCACTACAACAACGCCAGCCCAGTCGATGAAAACCGCGTGCGCATCCTCTTCCCCGAAGAATACAACAACCACCCATGGTCCTTCTTCACCCACCACCTCGGAAACAGCTGGCACAGAACCGATGTCAAAATCATCTTCTGGCTCGCCAAGCACTGGCTGCTCGTCACTTTCCTTGGCTTCGTCGTCGGATTTGCGATACTGGGTATGTTGTACAAGTTCTTCGTTCTCAACAAGCGATCCACTGGTCCTGGAAGCCCGAAGATGCGCCTCTTTAACCAGAGGATGCCATTTTACCGTCGCATCAGCCAGAAAAGAAGCTTTGAGCTCGACGACCGCCATGAGGTCTGAGAGGGACTGCTGTTGCACGTACGCATTGCATTGTTTGAGCGTTCATGTCCGTATCACGTGTCTTGCATTTATACCGGCGTTTTCCAGTCCATTGTGTCGCAGCCGCCTCGCCTCGCATTTTTCGATTCCTATCAAACGCTTTTTGTTCGCTTCTATCCATATTATTGATTGAGGGTAGCATTCACCCCTCCTAGCCTGTTTTAACTGTTTTTGGGGGTTTCGACCACCCGTGGAGAAATGGCGCTGTTGGTACACACGAAAAGGCTGGAGTAAGTTGTTGTACAGGAAGATCTTTGAGGAACTATCATCGAAGGGCCGGACTGGGGCCGGCACTGCGGAGTGCAATGCAGTCAGAAAGACCGAAGAGCTCGGTTTGAATGGGTGATGCTGTTGTATGTAGATAGATAGATGGAAGAAGCGTTATTGCTTATGTTAATATGACATGTATCGAACGATTAGTGATCTCATGAGTATGCTGAGTGCAATGAATTCTGGTCTTTCTGAACACGTAGTTTCCACAGATTTTTCATCTCATCTTCCGTCGAACTCTTTCCCAGTTAGGTAGTTCGATTGAAATGTGTAGATTGCAGTCTCACTCCTACTCTCTTACCTCTTATACGAGCAAAGGGTATGCGAACAGGTAAGTGGGGCAATACGCGTTATACGAGAGTGTCCGCAATTGGTCGGTGGTGGCCGGCACTCCCGCCTCGCTACATCCTTCCTTGTCATCGGCTTAACCGTTTGCGACAATATCATAAAGTCGCAGGGACCTCGCAGTTGGTAAGATGTCCCTGGATGATATGCAACAGTGCAGGAACTTTGTTGAACATCGATAACGCCAGATCATCATGTTGCTGTGTCGACGTGCTCCGGGACCAATGACGCCAGCCCGCCACTTCCGTAACCGTTACAAGCCTTCCGTCATCGCTCGACACCTGCGCAAACAAGCAGCCATACAACTTGGGAGCTGCGCAATGTTGGAAACATCGCCTTTACAGTCTAAGTTTAGAACTTTTACACCCGGTATCCGTTCTTTTGGATCCACCTCTTTTGCACATCCTGATCTCGTACCTGACGCCTCTTCCTCTTCACTCACATCAACCTTCATGGACGTAACCTGATCGACTACCACTTCCACAACCAAACTACACCTTCTACGTCAGACAATCGAAACCTCAATCGCCTACACGCCACCAGTTCTCACAATGGTCGGAGCAACAATTCAAATGCGCGAGGGCGCTGAGCTTGTTGGAGAACACGGCTTTCGATACCTTCTTGTTAAACCGCTTGGTCAGGCCAATGTATGGGTCGCTGTCGACGCGGCTTCCCAAGAGAAGATCTTCATCGTAAAGCAGCCCGGCGACGATGACATCGGATTCGGATGGCCCAAGTTCCAGCACGAGATGATCATGCATGAACTTCTCAAGGGCATCTCAACGATTAGACAACAAGTGGACCGCATCCCACCGTCCGCTAGAGGCGAACCTCCACGGATCGTGCTCGAAATCCTCCAATCGACCCTCTGGGATGCACGAAGGAAGCGCCAGTTTAGCGACGTTGAACTCAAGGGCATCATGCGCTCGGCATTGTTGGGCCTGCGAGATGTGCATCAACGAGGCTTGGTATATGCAGGTACGTTTCCAAGCGATTTCCAGTCGGAATGATCAACTACCACTAACACCGCAAAGACCTAAAGATGCAGAACATCCTCCTAAGCGGCTTCGAAAACGAACCCAACGAAAACGCAACAGTAGGCGACAACCGCATCACCGCCAAGCTCGGCGACCTAGGAATTGTCATGGAACCAGCAAAAGGCCTCGTCCAACCCATCGTATACCGCGCTCCAGAAGTCTACTTCCGAAACGAAATCAACCAACCAGCCGACATCTGGTCCTGGGGTGTCATCTACTGCCAGCTCCTCGAAGCCCAAGCCTCCTTCAACAAATACGGCCTCTACGACGAACTCCTGCAAGGGAACTCCGGCCAGGGCCAAAAGGAACGCTCAGTCGAACGAGCCATCGCACACGATTTCGGGCTTGGCGCCCTGGACTACTACGACGGTTGTAGACTTCCGTACCACGACCGGAGCCACCACGAGGGACAACACTGGGAGCACCTAAAAGCCAAGGGCGTGCCGGAAAAGGAAATCAAGTTTCTGAGCTGGGTCCTCAATCCGGTTCCTACGGATCGACCTACCGCGCAGCAGATTCTGGATGCGGGCTGGTTCTCCATGGATCACCAGCAAACGGGGCGTATTGCCGAGACATTACAGGCGCAGGCGCAGGAGAGCAGACGCAGGAATATTCACAGGAAGCGCAGTGAGCCGCTGTTATCGACGTTTTCTGCGGCCAAACAGCAGCCCTCTGGATTGTATACGAGGGAGCCCCCTACGACGTTTTCTCCTATGCCTTGGCAGCCACAGTCCAGTCAGTCGTATTCGCAACAGCAATCGCAGCCGCAGCAGTCGCAAGATCACCACCAGCCCACGCCGTACCAACCCACTCCTTACCAACCCATGTCCTTCAAACCTGTCACCATGCAGGCTCGCGATGAACTAGCGAACAATAATGCCCGTCCTGTTACACCGCGATCTAGTACCCAGAAGCCGTCGGGAAGTACATTTTTGAACTTTGGCTCTTTTATGCGGTGAGATTGCTGAGATTGGGGTATAGGAACGTTTGCGTTGGTTGGAGTCGGAGTTGAAGTTGTGTATGATGGGGGCTTATGTACAATATACAACAATCTTATCCGTTTTGTCTTCTTCTAAGAACCATCGTCATTTCATTGTGTTTACTTGGTTGTGGAACATGGCATTCCACTGTGTGATGGTTTTTGTTTTCGGGAATTGGGAAAAGGATAGATTTAACTGGTTCTTCACACTTGACTAAAGAACATCATGTACGTAGCAGGAACAGAACATACACCAGCGTCAAGGATGGTGAGTAGGAGAGGAGAGGAGGTGGGCAGACGGTGAATGTCTTGTATCTGGTGTGAGGGCATGACAAGTTCTATATACATTCGTCTCCAAGGCATTGCTTTCTTTGCCCAATGTGGTGCTTTTCTTATGCATACTGACCTGCAAATCTGGTAGAATTGTCATTCCTATTGGGTTTGCTACACAATTACCTATAAGTTTTTGCGCTGCGGTCACATCGGTTGTCAATCACGGGGGAATGAGACATTATAATATATCAGACGTTGGCTTGGTGAAGAAAAGATATTGTTTAGAAGAGAATCACATTAAATAAAAGTAGAACTACGGACTACATATCTGTCATGTCTGTCATATCCTTAAAGCTGCTACATGGTGCTGTTAGTTGCGCTGTGGATTAGTCGAAGATCAAACAGAGGATATTAGCGTATATAGTGCGAAAGCTTCTTTCGCTTTCTTGCAGTATGTGCATCACCGCCTACACGTGACGCATCATCAACGTTCCACGCCTCGCAGGCCGGTAGACCATTGTCCGAAGAGCTTTCATGAAAGCGCAGGAACTCAGGCGGCGTCTCCTGTACGAGGACTGAATCTTGATCACCGTCCTGAACCTGCTGCTGTTGGTAATAGGTGTCGATGGGTGTTTCGCCTACCAGGACAAAATCGTGCTCATCCCGAGAATATAGAGGCTGGGGTAGATGTTCGTGGTATCTTTGTTGTAAGTAGCTATCAGTGACGCCGTTTAAGCTCTTCTCAGAGCCATCAGAGTCATCGCCTGCATCTTCAGTCGCATGATACATACCTGGTGCGGCTGCTTTGATGACCGAACGTTCATGGCGCTGTCCTTGGTGATAGGATTCGGCACCTTCGTAAAATGGGGCCTGGATTTGACTGGCAGATTGAGCTGCCTCATAGTCTTGCATGATGAATGGTAACGGAGTGTTTGCACGCCAACCCTGAGATGGCGGGATCTTCTGAAGCGTGTCTCGGGGCTGATGCAAAGCAAAGTGTCGCGAGATGGTTCCTGGAATCTGAACACCGCCGAATAGTTTGGCAGAGGCACCGTTTGGTATGGACTTGGGGATGATATTGACAAGATTTCGGTTCTTCTCGCTAGGTTCCCAGTCTGCGATTGAGTTTGCGTACAAGTACTCGAAGTCTTCAGCATACGATGAGAACCACACATGTGCAAGAGCTTGCGACGCCGTCATCCGCTCTTCCTCTTTAAGGATGAGCAGACTTTTGACGAAATCTTTTGGTTGGTCGCCGACGTTGCTCCACAACGGGTGATGCGGATCATCCAGATGACTGAGGTCACAGATTGCTGCAAGACCCATGATCACGGCGCGAGGGTCAGTCCTGTACTCCGGATTTTTGCGATCACTGAACATCAAGTCGCCTGTAAGTATGGTAGCCGTAATCGAGCCGATGGACCACATGTCGACAGCCTCTGAGTAGCCGTCATCAACCGGGATTGCTCGATTGAGTCGGTGAATCTCAGGCGCCGCGTACTCTAGGGTCCCAACGTACGAAAACATTCGTTGGTATTTGTTGTTTTGCAGTGGATTTTGGCTGTTCTTTCCAGGGAGGAATCTAGCACTGCCAAAATCGGTGATGACGACGCGAGCACCGTCTTCGAGTGAGGACATTAGTATGTTATCAGGCTTGAGATCCCGATGCACGATGTCTCGATCGTGAAGGTACTCTATTCCCTTCAAGACTTGGTAGATGATAGCTGCAGCCTGCAAACTATCGATCCGGCCGTCTTTGAACTCAATGAAGGAGAACAGATCGCCGCCTGTAGCGAGCTCTTCGAAGATATAGATGGTATTGTTACTTCGAAAGACCTTTTCGATGGTGATGATGTTCGGATGGCTAAGATCTTTGAGAATGTCGAACTCGCGGAAGCAGTTGGTAACTCGTGTTGGCAGTCGTTTTCTCTCCGGTTTCTGCAAGTTTGACATCGCCAATGTGTCATACATCCTATCCAGCCGGATAATCTTGCATGCAAGTTGTCGCTGTGTCTCTTGGTTGATGCCCACGAGGACCTTGCCGTAACCGCCTTCGCCGAGCAAACGACCGGTGAGGAGATAACGCGATGCGAACGTTTGTCTCTCTCGCTCCTGAATGGCGGTCAACTTGACTAGCTCTACCAACGTGTTCGGGCAGTAGACCAGAGTGACGGTGTCTGAGATGCGTATCTCATCCCCGTCTTCTAGGAGAAAGGTGCTCTTGGGACCCATCAGAATGCCCGCATCTTGCGATGCTGTGTACTCTGAATTGCTCTTTCTCAGATAGGTACCATTTGCCGAGAGATCAGTCGCATATACAAATGGTGCAATCTTAGCAATCGGGTCCTGCTCATAGAGAATGCAGTGTATGCGAAGATGCTTCCTTGAGATGGTGAGGTCGTCGCTCCACGAGTAACGACTGTTAGCAGGATTAGACCAAGCTCATATCAAAGCGAAGAAGATGGAGCTCTAACCAGAGCTCTGGATCCCTCCCAAGATAGAACTGCTCGTTCCCACACACCTCGATCCTGCCTCCGTGCGTTCCTGCCTACTTTAGTTTGCTGATCATATTTCGAAGATCACCAACTCACCATAAGCATTGTCACCCGCGACTTGAATCTGCAGCCATGCCACTGGCTCACCCGCCATTTTATAACACTTCTCTGCCGCCGGTAATGCTAATCCGGAACGATGTTGGTCATACGAAATAGGTTTGACGTAAGGCAGGTGACGCGGCGCGCGTGAACACTTGGCGTCTGCTTCAGGGCTGGGCGCTAAGCCGTTCTAGCTAAGCGAGCCCCGCACCCACCTAGGTATTATTTTGGCCAGCTCAGCTCCTACCTTTGTTCTACACTCACGACACTCATCTCGACAGCAATGTAAGTTCTAATCCGCAAGCCATGGCGGCGCTCGTGACACTCAATTGAGCGCAATGATTGCTCTCTGAGTGTGCTTGCAGTTGCCATCAACTCCACACTTGTCAATTGCAGCCGCTGACCTCATACCACAGCCCGCCGACAAGATGAGAGCCAAATGGAGGAAGAAGCGCGTTCGACGTCTCAAGCGCAAGAGAAGAAAGACTAGGGCTCGTTCGTAAGTTCTCACCACATCATCACTGCCAGCAATCTTGAGTCTAACAACGCTTCAGCAAATAAACGTCTCGCCCCTCAATCTCAGCAATTCCCACCTCAGTTTTGAACGACAACGATCATTGAACGACACGTTATCTACGCACGACCTTCCGATGAGCTCGCAACTCACTTCACTATATCGCGCAATCCAACCTTCAAGTTACGTTATCCGGCGGATTGCGGCACGCGAGCTCTCAATTACTACTTCGGGGGGTGACGACTGTGCTGGGCTGAGGAACGTTATGGAATGCTGGTCAACCGCCTAAATGGCACGTTGGGGTTCTTCGGGAGTTTACTTGAACACGATTACGACGGTCACTCTAACACCGGCTCGCTTCCCCTTGTGGAGACTTGCCTTTGACTGATGCGTCGCCATGTGGACATGCGATAACGGAATCAAAAATGCTTCACGACAATATCGCTTTTCGTGCGTGATCATGCGTGATGTGACGACCCTTGAATATAATGCAATGTGCGTGACCTAAGTTCTAACCGACAAAGATGCCGCCATTTTGATACTGTCCTTGTAATGTTTGCGATGCAACTTATCGATAACCCATAGTCATTCTATGCCACTTGCTGTATGTGAACTAATGCGACTATCAACCGTGCGAATACCCAAGGCAAACTGTCGACCTACCTTTCCTGGCTGGAGGAACGTACTATCGTCGGAGATGCACTTGTCAATCAAGGAGTCACATTGAACAAAACAACTTTTATGTGAGGAAGCAGCGCGCCCTAGATTACCATGAAACCTTATTTTACTACACCATACTACTACTACACAAAGAAAACCTAAGAAGAAGCCAATACCGTATATCCGTCCGTGACATCCGGAATCTTGCCGTTAAGTACATGAACCCAAACCTTCCCTCATGAGTCAATCGACATCACTTCTCGCAGCCTCACACGTCAAGCCCAAGCCTTCATCTCCTTGCCCTCTTCCTCACGCTCATTTCCAGCCTTTTCATTCCGCTGCTGATGCACTTCCCGAATGACGTGCACACTGTTGCCGTATCCGTGGCGACCAGCAGAAGAAGAGGAAGAAGGTGAGGTGTCGGCGGCCCAGGCGCGCGAGTGCACACCAATTAGGGTGGAGGATGTGGATAGCTTGTTTGTATTTGTAGCGATAGTAGAGATGGTGGAAGTGTTGGAAGTAGTGATCTCAGCGATGTTGCGGTAAGAGAATAGGGGAAGGAGGGGCCCGCGAAGGGACGGGCGTGCAAAATAGCTTTTGAAGAATGAAGGCTGGGGGGTCGTTGAGGCGGCTATGGAATTGTCATGTTTCTGTGAAATGAGCGTGTCTTGCGTTGTGACGCTGTGTAAGCGAGGCATTGAATCGAGGATGACGGAATTGTTGCTCGTGGAGTCGGTGAAAGTGTCGCTCGTGGAACCAGTACTCGTCGATCCGGATTCCGTAGACCAAAGCATGCTTTTTGCTTTGCTAGAAACGCTTGCAGTCCATGCTCTCGCAGCAGGGAAACTCTTCGGCGCCCTACTCCCGCCATCTGAGGTAGCGTACAGACTAGGCCAGACCTTTCCAGCTCCAGTACTCACTAACATTCGTCTGTAATGAGCATTCGCATCGACACCAGTGCCGAGAAGGCAAAAGGTAATGTATCCCGTGGCGACTTGAACCCACTTCTCGAAGCTGACTACGCCGTTGACTGGAACCTTGATGATGTTGTTAAAGCGGTTGGGGTCGTGAACTTCAGACCAAGAGTAAGGGGTTGTGATGAATTTTGAAATGCCAACGAGAAGGTAGATGGAGTAGGATAGGTAGACGAGGACGACAACCAGGCTGAGGATGAAGAGGCGGACGAAGCGGGATGATGTGGTCTTTTGGGCGGCGACTAGGCGGTGGAATTCGCGGCGGTAGCGGTAGAGACGGTAGACGAGTAGAACTGTCAAAGAGGTTAGTTAGGATGGATGGGCGGAACAGGTGAGACTTACAAGCCCAGTAAGAAGCGAAAAGCATGCCGATAGTTGGCCACATGAAACCGAGGACTACGCTGGGCCACGAACTGTCGTGGGCGGACAAACATCCTACGATGCCGTAGATCATGTAGCGGACGGGTTGGACGACGTAGTAGAGGGCAATGAAGAATCCCGGCACAACCCAACACCACACAACTTCCCAGATCTTTGCTTTGATCTTGCTGTTCCTGCTAGTTGACACTGTCATATTGCGTGTATCCATGACAATGGCGAGCTTGCGTATGACCATGGCCACCGAGGCGGTCATACCCACATAACTACCGACCTGGATGCGGACGTGAATGTCGCACCAGATGGGACCGTCCCACCACTCAAGCACGTTGTCGCGGGGCCATATGAGGGCATTGACCGAGTTGAAGAAGTTGTGTAGGGCGATCCAAAGAATGAGTGATCCAGCTGCGATGTTGGCTTGTCGGAAATGCCAGATCATGGGTGCCATGCAGAGGACCCATGCTGGAAAGGCGAAGGCGGGGAAGATGATGGCTGAGGGGAAGAGAGGGGCGTTCGTCGAGTATGCTTCGGGGAAGGTGTCGTTTGAACTCATCATGTATGCGCAACCAGGTTTGAAGAGGAGAAAGAAACAGAGGGAGATAGACAGTCTTTTGTGATGTTGTAAACTGGGAGGCCTGGATCCAGTCCACGAGTATGTCCGTCCTTGGAGGGAAGTTGTTGGTACCGCCGTTGATGCTATCTCCAGGATAGATTGTCAGGCAATGTCGAGGACTTTAGATATAGAAAAGACTGTGATGGAAAAGAAAAGCAATCGAGTAATGAGCAGTCGACAAGCAGCCTTGTGGACACCATCACCCCATGTTGCGACCGATTGTATCGAAAACCGCAATAGGACGGATGGATGTCTCAAGCTTCAATACGGCTCAATAGTATCTTTTGCTCGACTTACGTTCACTTGAGTGGTGAAAGCCAGCCTGCCGCTCAAATAGCATCCTTCTTATTGCGCTCGCCAACTTGAATCACAGTCTTTCTGAAACAAGCTGATCCGTCGCTTCGGCACGGCGCTGTCTAGTGATCGCGATATCTGGTTGCGGTATGGCGAGGGTGTTGATGGTGCTGAGACTCTCACCATTCCGTATTTGGGTCTGAATAGAAAAAGACAGCGAAAAGACGAATTCTGAATAGAAAGCCAAAGAGAGAGGGAGACGAGACATGTCTGTGATAAGTAAGAGAGCAATAGAGAAGGAGTCGTGGGAAACGAGGTGTTGAGTCCCCGCACCTGTGGCATGGTTGCAGGTCGGGTTGTACGTGGCAGATTTATCCAGATTATCCTGCCCTACAGTGACATGTGTCCAGCAATCGGTGTTGAACCTCCAAGTTTTGTGTGTATCTGTTGCAATCGGAGTCCGAAAGCTCGTGTTGGTGGACAAGAAGCTGTGCGATAGATCGTCGCATTCAGGCAAGAGGCACCGGGAATCGAGAAACTACAAGAGCTTGTATTCATCAAATGAAACATTACCCATCAGGCATGCGCGAGTCTCTGCAGCGTTTTGTCGTCTCTCCAGCCCCTGTATGAAAAGCTGGGGTGCAAAGCAGTAAGGGCCGCTACATGAACAATATGGTTTCCACGGTCTGCAAGGCCGGAGATACGGGGTACGATCAATATCAGCTGACGGGCCCTAGAAAAAGTCCCAGACGAGTTACTTCCAATCTGTGGAAGGCTAGGCCATAGCGCATGGAGTGAGGAAGTTCAGAGAGGGCCCCAGCTCTACAGTTGACCCAAACAAGCCATGACGTAAGACCAACGACTCGCTCCGAGGCGTCTTCCACTACGGCACACGACCGTTGAGTTAGTACATGTGAGCGTCACCAGAGCCTCAGCGATGCTCCCACAGCGCCTGCAACCATCGCGATCAGGTGATTCGCATCTCTGTCACGTTGCGCCTTCTTGAAGCGACGTCTAGGCATCGATCGACAACGCTGTCCTCCACGTTGCTTCTTCAGGCGCCAACCGGTTGCCGGAGGTCCGTCATGGATACTACGCCGGCCGATGGACGAGACATTCACCCTCAACTTCGCCAGAGGATGGTGAACCGCGCGGCCACGTTTGCTGAGGGTGCGCGACCTTCTACCCCACCTACGGCACTCTCTCGACGCCGCAGTTCACTCGTTTCTGACCTCTCTGACTCGCGTTATTCTTTGCGATCCTCCAGCGACAATCTTCTAAGAGCGAGTGGGAAGAATGACATCGACAGACACGCGTCTTCGGATGAGCCGTCACGATGGATCGTACTGCCTGTCGTGGCTGCCGTTGTACCAGCCATCATTGGGTTGACGGTAGACAATGGCGCCGACGTCGCTACAGACATGTTGATATTGGTACTGGCGGGGTGGTTCCTACATTGGAGTGTCAAGGTGCCATGGTGAGTTGCAGCAAACGCGGGTGAGATTCACAGCTGACGCGATGCAGGGACTGGTACCACGAAGCACAGCAACGACGATACCTAAATGACGATGTGGACGACGCGACATACGATGACACGATACTTGAGGAAGATGAGGATGCGCTAGAAAGTATCGAGGATCCCGTACGGGAGTCGCAGGATCCAAAGCTCAACACCACAACTGACGCGCCTGCCTCGCGAGCGCAGAAAGAGGCCCGTGAAGCCTTGAAGCGCTCGGAGATGCTAGCATTCGTTGGCTGCTTCCTAGGTCCCCTACTCGGCGCCCTTCTCATGCACACCATTCGAGGCCAGCTCATGCGTGCCGAAGGCATAGTATCCGACGCGAACCTTAGCATCTTTCTCCTCATCGCAGAAGTACCACCTGTTAATCGCCTGATCAAAATGCGGACAGAGCGAATCCTACACCTCCAGCGCATCGTCCGAGAAGCTCCAAGAGAACCCGTTCGGGCAACAGACGCACAACAGCTCTCACAACGGATATCAGAACTAGAAGGTCGAATTGATGGCGCTCCATCCGCCAACAGCAACAATAAAGAAGTGGATGTAGAGAAGCTCAGCGCTGAAGTCCGACAAACAACCCAACTGCAACTTGACGCTCTGAATCGCGCAGTTAGGCGCTACGAAAAAAGACACATGGCGCAGTCTTTACAAATCGAAGCACGCTTCCAAGACCTAGAGGCTAGACTGAAAGACGCACTCGCCCTGGCTGCCGCGGCTGCTAGGACCGGTCAGCGACCTGGGGTGGTTGCCATGACACTGAGCTGGATCGCTAGTACCATCAGCTACATGCTGCACGTTACTTGGAACATCGCCATGTATCCCTTCCGAACGGCGGCAATTGCAGTTTCGGTAGCCAAATCGCTGTTTGTTCGAGATGAGCGCCAGGCGAGACGGAGAGTCAAGGGAGGACAGGTTAGTGGGCATACGGCTATGTCGACGGGGAGGTTGCAATCGAAACCTGCGCGGTAGTCTACTTGGTTTTATTAATAACTGAATACATCTATATCGATTCTTCAGATGGTAGGATCAAGGGTCGTGTTTTCTGCTTGTATGTGTACAATCTATGCCGTCGGCATAATGTCCAACACAACGCCGATACCGGCCACTTCACCTCGACTCCATATCTTATCCCGATATCCCGTCAACACCGTAACCATCCGGAGTCATCCGAAACAGTAACCCGAAAATGCAGGTACCGTACATACTTCGGAGATAAAACGAGCAATTCACCCAACCACAAGAGAGGAACTAATGGCCTATACATGGCCTGCGGCCGTTATGGCAGTTATACCCCGCCCCCACCTTCGTATCTATTCCAGCTAGGTAGGTGTGTATGGCCCGATGTGACATGCAACGTAACAATCGCAATTGTACCGTATCTTCGTATATACTTGCTTTGCAACCCGCGTCTCTTAATTTCCTACATCTTCGCTATTGAACAAAACCTGAAACTAGACTTGACGACGCAGATCCGAAAGAGCAGGGAGACAAAGGAGAAATAGCAGTCATGTCATTGCAATCAGACCTCACAATCCCTGCGTCGAAATTCGACCGCAGTACAATCGACAAACAAACACTGGAGTTTAACGAAAAGTTGATTAAGATTTGGGCTGATGGACCGAGATGGTATGAGGTATGTCCTTCCTCCAATCCAAGAACCCTCTCTCCCTCTATATCCATCTATCCCCGGCCTCTCCTCCTCTTTCTTCCCGCTCAACCCTAACCGGCCCCAGGTCGGAGCACCAACGTACCGCCAAATGCGATGGGAAGGCAAAACGCCCCTCGCTAAGCCCGTCGTTCTACCAGAGGGTGTGAACGGCTCCCTCCCTTCAAGAGAAGCCGGAAGAGAAATCCCATATCGTGTCTTCAAACCAAGTGGGGGAGTGAAGAGCAAGGGGATACATATGCATATCCATGGTGGGGGGTGGGTGTTGATGAGTGAGGCTTAGTAAGTTTGTTTCTTAACATTTCTGTAATTCTTGGGATATGAGATGTGGTCGTAGGTGAACGTGATTGGAGTTGAGTAGGAGTACAGGGATACTGGGAATAGTGAATGGCGACTGATGTTTCCTAGTCAAGACCCCTACCTAAAATACCAGGCCGATCACTTCGGATTAACAGTCGTATCAATCGGTTACCGTCTCGCACCCGAAGACCCCTGGCCCGCAGGCGCAGAAGATTGCTACGACGCTGCAGAATGGCTAGTCAAAAATGGCCCTGAAGTTTTCGGCGGAGAACTCATGTTCACTGGTGGCGAGGTATATATCCCCTTTCTCTTCTCCATCCTCCTACTAATCACCCTCACAGTCTGCCGGCGGCCATCTCGCCTGTCTCGTTGCTTTCCACCTTCTAGAAACCATGCCCAGCTTCGCATTCAAAGGCCTGCTCCTCCATTTCGGCTGCTACGACATGTCTTCCTTCCTTCCTCACGTGCTCCATCACGAAACGCATCTCGTAATCGACTACAACGTGATGAAATCCTACATCGACGCGCTACTTCCCAACACAACGGAGGCCCAGCGCCGTGATCCCAGCATAAGTCCCTTCTGGGCGGACTTGAGGGGCAAGAAGTTGCCGCCTGCGCTTTTTACGTGTGGGAGTGAGGATCCGCTTTTGGATGATAGTGTGATGATGGGAGCCAAGTGGGGGATGTGGGGGAATGAGAGTGTGGTGAAGATTTATCATGGGGCACCGCATGGCTTTATTGGGTTTCCGCCGGGTACTATCAAGAGTGTACAGGAGGTACTTGATGATACCGAGGCGTTTGTTAGGGCAAAGATGGGGGTTTGAAGGGTGGAAATGGAGTCCCCAGATGATACTGACGGACGAGTCATGATAGGCGTGGCGTCTGTGCCACTGGGTCAATATTCGCATTTATCAATCAACTCATTTCACAAACAACAGCTATTTGTGACCAAGCTACACCGCACACTATCCCGGCCCACCGGCGAGATTTGACGGACCGCCGGTCATAAGCTCAGCATTGCCCTTCCCATTCGGGCATAGCTCGCTTGATGCCCCCAATCCTGAGTCCGGGACAGCGTAGAAGCAGAAGTTCGTGCCTAGGTATGCCCACCGGGTGCAGCCCTGTGGATCACCGAAGCAAGCCAGACAGCACTCTGTGGGGCTTTTGCTGCCGGTATTCTTCAGGTGACCAGGCTGGACAACTGAAATGCCGGAAATTCCGGCTGTTTGCTGAGGGCAGAGCGTTTGTGTTGTTGTGCTAGTGACGGTGGTGGCGATGACGGTGGTAGCGGTAGATGTTTCCTGTGGGGGTTTAGCTAGCTGTCTTTCATAATCGGTGTGAAGGGGTACGTACAGTGATGGTGGGTGTTACAGTAGTGGAGTCAGTGAGGGTAAGCGTTGTGGAGATGATTGCTGTCACGATCTTCGCCGTCGGAGTAACGCTAACAGTGGTGGTAGCCGTCGTGCGAGCGGCCGTGGCAGTTCGAGTTTGCGTCTTTGTTACAGTCGTTGTCTTACAAATGGACACGGTCTTTGCTGGAGGTGCAGGCCAGACTTTGGTACATGCTGGACAGATCAGGTTGTCGGCCACGCCCTTCAGCCACGATGGCGGGTTAACGTGACGAGCCACGAAAGTTGGAGCACTGGGAAAGCCGAGGGTGGATGATTCTGTAAGGACTACGGTAGCTGATGAGATGACGGTGATCTGGAAGTCATGGTCAGGTTTGAAGCCTCAACGAATGAGGTGCTGAGAACTTACAGTTTGGACATCTGAGACTGTGCTAGGCGCACCGGTGAAAGTCACTGTTCCCGTCTCCGAGACCACAGTCGTCTGCAGCACCGTGGAGTCTGCTGGTGCTCCTCCGGTCCTCGTCAGGGTTATGGTGGTTGGTGCTGGAACGATCGAAGTCGTAACAGTCACAAGTTTTGTAGACGTCTTGAGCTCGGTCTTTGTCACAGGCTTCGGCGGCTGGTATACCGGGCAAAAGCCTTTGCAGAAGCCATACCCGTTGTGGTTCCTCAGTAGCTTCGCGATAAGATCTTGATTGATCGGTGCTAATGCAACAATCAGCAGTGGATACGAGAATGATTGGAGCTTTAATTACAGGAACGCTTCTCAAAAGGACTCTCTCCGTGCTCGTCAACGTGCTCGGCAACCACTTTGTGTGTCTCCGGGTCCTAGTAAGCAATCTCAAATGGGCCTGTACCCTTCAATTCTGGGAACACTTCAAGAGCATGGGCTTCCTCAGCGACAACGTTCTTGGTGATGAGGGACGCAACAGCAAGCAGTACGCTGGTGGGCTTGAAGTGAACCATTGCTGCAGCGAATGAAGGAGAAAGCTGGAGTGAACAACAGTATTGAAGAATTGGTAGAGAGCTGGCACATTAAATACGCGATACTGCCCTAACCTTTGACCATCACGAATGTTTTCGACGTGTGCCATCCCTAGAGCAGCAAGCAATAGAATGGATATGCATTGACAGCCTTGCAATGTTGCATCTTGAACCAGCCAGCATCGAGGCTCCACGCCGTGGCTTGAGGAAATTAACGGTGTGGATCTAGGAAAACCAAAATGAGACTTTTGGGCTTGAATCTGGATGCCAACTCCCCAGGCACAGTTACTGCATGCATGGGATCCTGGTCAGAAGTCCCGTGGTAGATCGTGGAGAGCTGGAGTGCCGGTTCGGTCTCGCCTATGCCAACCTCTTTTGGGGTCAGCTAGTAAATGTGGCTTGCATCTAGACATGTTGCCTAACTGTATCTTGATGATGACTTCCAGTTGTCCAGCTGTATTCTGATGATGACTTCCAATTCGAGTGCAGTCTTGCTGCAGATCATAACCTCGTGCCTATGTGGCAGAAACTCACCAAGACGATTAGGGAAAAGAGGGCTGCCTGGCCAATGAATACCATCATGTTGCTCCGCCATTCCAGCCTTGTCTTTGACCCATCATTGCGGCGGCGCCGATGATCGGTAAGTGATGAGCCGGGATAATCGCGTATCAATCAAGGATACAGCGCTCGTATGTGCCCCGTGATGAGGCTGCGGTGTGTTATGTATGTTGGGATAGGAAGACACGGTGCAGTTATGTGGGGAGGCAGGGGGACGCAGACTTTAGCGACGTGATCGACACGAACGCGTCCTCAACCCTCCGCATCACTCAGTCACACACACATCATGTCGAATGCATCGCTTGCAACACTCTAGACACTTGCAATGACTTCATTTTGATAAGATGCGTTCGTGCAGCCTTACTTGAAGCTCGCGCTTCGGCTGGTCACACTCATAGCAAGACCCAACATGACATCGGAATTGTGGAGTAAGGGATTGTACAAACTGAAGAGGTCTGATACTTCGTTTCGTTCATCTCCAGTCAAAGTGGCGGTTGCCTCTTAGCCTGACAAGATCATCTCCATATGCTTGAAACACCCACGATTCTCTTACAAGTCTACCATGCTCAGATATTTTTTAATGTTCATCCAAACCAGGTGCGCAGCGCTCTAGGCTTATTATGCTTCCGCTGTGGACTATCAAGAGTATACAGGATATGCCAATTGATACTGAGGCGTTATTAGGGATAAGATAGGGGCTTGGGGGGGATGTTGGTGGGATAGGATGTGATGTGGGGACGTACCTTGCGAGCGTTGTCCAAGAGTGTTCTACACCAAATGTAATCGCGGATAAACTGATTGGCATCCAATAGAAGAGGCGTACTCTAGAGTCATATCGACGTTGTGTGCTTTCGCTGTGATTCGCAGTAGCAACAAGGTTGGATCAAAAATGCAACCACTGCCAACAAGCCGATAAACCGGGTCTTCGCCACTTGACTCTTGAGTTAAAATTACACGTCGAAGTATCATTACCCCGATCAGTCCTCGATATCGAAAACTTTTGTATAGATTTCCCACAGGCAGGATGTGATCACCGACCTCAAGTGCCACATTCCCGTAACCGACGGATTTTAACCGAGTACCTGGGTCGTGGAAGCAAAACAGGCTCGCAGTATCCCTCGAGTTTTGGCCCAACTTGTCGATTAGATCTCGACATTGGGCAGATGGGGACGTCGAGATTGGTAGTGAGTCTTCTCCTGCAGATACTATCGTCATGCTAGCTAGATGCTGATTGAGCTCTCGGAAGACACGGATATCGTCAGAATCCTCATCGTCAGGATTCATTTCTTCCAACCCCCAGCTAGAACCCAAATCCAGCTTAGAATCGACGTCAATTTCTTTACAAGGATCCCACTCAGAAACAGAGACAACATCCTCATCGTCACACGCCAACATAAATATTCGAATCATATGAACGAGAAGGTTCGGAAACTTCCTAGTGTCGAGCTTTTGGGGAGCCGATTTTAGTGTACCAACAAGATTATTCGATTCCTCTACAGTCTTCGACTTCTGGAGCAGTGTATACATTTGCAACAGTTGCGACTCGAATGTAACCCCAGGATCGTCTACTGCTCTTGACGTCCTCGATTCGATAGTATAGAGCTGTTTGTCATGTTTGTCCAGGAAATATCTAAGAGTTCGGACTTGTGTGCGAATGCCCCTTTCCGTAGAGCTGGCCACAGCCAGGTATGAATCAAAGTCCAGGCCGTTAGGGATCGGCGTGTTTTGTGGTGCGACCCGCCAATCTGGTACCCAAGAAGGCCAACTGACCGGTCGAACTGAGTGTTGTCGGGAAAATACGGCTCTCCAGATCACAGGCGCCATGTTTATTCTGCTCAAGCAAGCAAGTGCGAAGGCCTTGTAGGTTTCCCTAACATCCAGCGAGTAGTCGATATTCAGAAACACAATACAGTCCTTTGGCGATGACCGATCGTATGCTGTTTGAGACAAAATTTCCCGTGGTCGTACGTTGGTTGCCATGCTATACAAAGCGTATATACGATCCCGTGGATCTGTGCACTCGTATGATGCAAATTTTTCTACCAACTGTAAGATCTGGACGGCTTTGGTTTGGTAGTGGTCTATCGAGTACAAAAGCGAGTAGCGTTTCCAGAGGTCTCTGATCTCCGCAATGCTTTCCATTCTTGCCCTCATAGCAGGGTTAGATGAGGAACGACCAAGGCAAGCTTCCACAAACGACAGCGCAGCAATGAATCGGGAAAACGGGAGTTCTGTTTCCCCACATATCAAGCGGACCTCCAGACTGAATACTATCTCCTGTATAATCCAGAGTCTGTTAAACCAGGGGAGGTTCAAGAACAATAGAACTTCGCCGAAGTCAACGTATAATTCCTTCTTTTGGGTCTTGGATGCTCGAGATAGATGGTCCATTGTCCGCATGCCTCTTTGTTCGATTGTAGTATCTCCGCCTGGATCGAGACACGCCATCACTTTTCGAGCGCCCCGAAAGACCTTCACCATCAAAGGAATCTGAACTTCTTTTTCCTTATCGTCATCCTGATTGATGCTCGCAGCATCGGCCCAAAGTACTCGTTCTCGATCTTTATAGCGCAAATACCGCAGCGCGCGATCAAGATTCTCTGTGACACGCACTTGTGTGCCATCGTCGATATGTAGAGCGAACGTTCGAATTGGATTGCCCCACGTATATGATACAGCGTCGTAACGTCCTTCGAAGTCCTCGAATGTAGAAGAAAGGAAGTTGATTCGTAGAGGTGCGTCTTTGGACGAAGCTGGGTGCAGCGCGATCAACCTGATGTGTTCGGGGCCATCGAGTACTTCATACACGTGCCTGCGGACGGTGCAATCATCGGAAAGAGCCATAGAGTCGAGGAGCTATTGAATGAATAATGCGAGAAGAGGTGCAAGAGAAAAACGAACGATAGGATAGATAGACGAGCAGGCTGCAGCACTCCTGAAACGAGCTGCATCCTGCGAGGCTGCGTAAATGGTGTAGCTAAGCCAATCATCGAAATCACTTATAGGATGCTGTGGCGGCATAATAATGCGGTTAGCACCTTCTTACTAGTTTTTGTTTGTTTGTTAACATGCCGTTACACGGGCTTTATTCAGTACGGTATCTGTATTGTCTGGGTGGATTCATCATTGCTGTTGATGTTAAGTCGGGATGGAAGCACCAGGAACGGAGGCGGATCCCTGACTAGCTCGAACGTCATACCGCAGCACGGCCTATCTCGCTCGCCCAAAGCGACGCGACAGGAAAACTTCGTGTCTCACAACTCAAAACCATGGCCCGATAGCCAACCACGAGACACGCCAAAAACCGCCATGACAGACAACGAGAGCCCCGAGAGGCGGCGACCGCGGAGAATGAGCGCCATGTACCGCCGTGGCTCCCACCTGAGCGAGTACGTGTGATTCGGCCAACTCAGCCCAAGGCGCGACTAATTAGGACCAGGGCAAGCTTCATGGAAGATGTCGAGATGGCCCAAGATGAGGTATTCGAACTCGCACCCATGCCTCCTTCCCGCCCTTCCTACAATCCTCGTGGAAGGAAGCCTGGCCAGCAGCTGACGCCGAAAATCCAGGTCTTCTCCGGTCCCATGAGCGAAAGCGTCCCCACGAGCGTATCCGGGTTCCGCCACCGACGGTCGCGCGCCGATTCGAGCGCAAGTTTGACGAGCTTCGCATTCTATGATGAAGAGCAGGATTCAGAGGGTGAGGATGAGGATAGCGCGATATTGGAAGATGGAGACAGCACGTACAACAACGGATATACTGTGTCAGAATTGGAGGACCTCGAGGCGGGCGTATCGTCACAGTCGTCGCATTCACCCTCACCATCGCGGCGAAAATCGAGTGGCAGCAGGAAATCATCTGAGAGACCACTATTGCGGAGGCATTCTTCGGCAGGCAGTGCAGGCTCGGGCATCGACTGGAGAGGGCGCAGGTCGAACCAGAAGATCTACATCATGACCGAGGATCTGACCATCGTCATCGCCGGCTTCAAAACATCCCCCTTCGGCTATGCGCTGTATGCGCTCCTATGTATCGCGACTCTGGGTCTCGGCTGGCTTCTGTTCAGATGGCTGCCACGATGGAGGGTTGCGATAATTGGAAAAACCACACCACTCAAGGAGTGCGACTGGATCGTCACCGAGAACCAATGGGGAGAGTTTGCGGTACAACATGTCAGCAAGCAAACCTATGGGCGTTCGCTATCCACCGTATTTGGCGACCCTGAAAAGGGACGACCAAGGGAATGGGATGAAGAAGATGACCCGCTCATCGGAGAGTTGAGATGCCTGGACTACCGCTATATCCGCTTTGTATACCACCCCATCAAGGACAAGTTCGTGCTCGCCAACACCTGGAAGGATCCCACCTGGACAGAAGTCTCAGCTCTCCGCGAGGGTCTGGACAACGATGAACGAGACTACCGCGAACTCGTATTCGGAAAGAACGTCATCGACATCGCCGAGAAGACTATCGGTCAGCTCTTGGTTGATGAGGTCTTCCACCCTTTCTATGTCTTCCAAATTGCCAGTCTGATCCTTTGGTCCATGGACGAGTACTACTACTACGCCTGTGCCATTTTCATCATATCGGCTGTCAGTATCGTCACCACACTTATCGAAACAAAGGCTTCCATGAAGAGACTACGCGAGGTTTCAAAGTTCGAATGCGATATTCGTGTACTACGCAGCGGTTTCTGGACCCACGTCGACTCTGCCGAGCTCGTACCTGGAGATGTCTACGAAGTCACCGACCCTTCCCTTGCACTATTCCCATGCGACAGTCTGCTGCTCTCCGGAGACTGTATCGTTAACGAAAGTATGCTGACTGGCGAGTCGATCCCTGTTTCCAAGATGCCCATGTCGAACCAGGCCCTGGACCTGCTAGACCTCAGTGCATCGGCAGTCCATCCCGAAGTTGCACGACACATGTTGTTCAGTGGAACCAAGATTATCCGCGCTCGCAGACCACATGAAGACCACGTTGATGACGAAGCTGCTGCGTTGGCCATGGTTGTTCGCACTGGTTTCAATACTACCAAGGGCGCGTTGGTCCGATCCATGCTCTTCCCTAAGCCGTCAGGATTCAAATTCTATCGCGACTCTTTCCGGTACATCTCCGTCATGGCATTCATTGCTATGATTGGATTCGTCGCATCTTTCATCAACTTTGTGCATCTGGGTCTCGCATGGCACTTGATTGTCGTGCGAGCTCTCGATCTCATCACTATTGTCGTTCCTCCTGCGCTCCCAGCTACTCTCACTATCGGTACTAGCTTCGCCCTATCGCGCTTGAAGCAGAAGCAGATCTTTTGTATCAGTCCACAGCGAGTCAACGTAGGTGGCAAGCTGGATGTAGTCTGCTTTGACAAGACTGGAACGCTCACTGAGGAGGGTCTCGATGTTTTGGGAGTTCGCGTGGTTGAGCGACCGAGGAACAGGTTCAGCGAGCTGCTTCCAGACGCTTATGACATCCTCCCTGCATCCCAGCATGACCGCGACCCAACTGTGGAGTACCTCGCTCACAAGACGATCCTATACACTATGGCTACTTGTCACTCACTCCGTAAGATCGACGATGAGCTAGTAGGGGACCCACTCGATGTCAAGATGTTCGACTTTACTGGCTGGAGTTACGAGGAAGGAGAGCAGAAGGCTGGCAACGGTGGTGACGATGACGAGCAGAAGCTTTCGCCGTCTGTTGCTCGACCGCCACCGGGCCGAGAGTATGATGTTGACGACGTTGAAGACGACGCCAACAGGAAGCAAGTCGAGCTCGGTGTATTGAAGGCTTTCGAGTTCGTCTCCCAGCTACGAAGGGCTAGTGTCATCGTTCGACAATTCGGTTCCAAGAGCGGACAGGTATACGTCAAGGGCGCGCCCGAAGTCATGAAGGAGATCTGCCGACCTGGAAGCTTCCCGACCGACTATGAGGAGCTTCTAGCCTTCTACACCCACCGCGGATTCCGTGTCATCGCCTGCGCTACCAAGACTATTCCCAAACTCAACTGGCTCAAGACTCAAAAGATGAGGCGTGAGGAGGCAGAGAGCGACCTGGACTTTGTCGGTTTCATCATCTTTGAGAATAAGCTCAAGGACAGCACAGCACCGGTTATTGAAGAGCTCGAACGCGCCAACATTCGCAAGGTCATGTGCACTGGTGACAACATCCTCACTGCTATCAGCGTAGCCCGCGAGTGTGGTCTCATTAACAAGACAGCCCACTGCTTCGTACCACACTTCGAAGAGGGCGATTCTCGTACAGCGTTATCAAAGCTCAGCTGGGAAAGCGTAGACGACCCCGTCTTCAAGCTCGACGACAACACCCTCAAACCCCTACCCCCACCACCAGAAGCCGACGTATCTCTCCCCTACGACATCTCCAACCTCCGCAACTACAGCCTAGCCGTCTCCGGCGACGTCTTCCGCTGGATCGTTGACTTCGCTTCAGAATCCGTCCTCCGGGAAATGCTCGTCTGCGGCCAAGTCTTCGCCCGCATGTCGCCCGACGAAAAGCACGAATTGGTTGAGAAACTGCAAAGTATCGACTACTGCGTCGGCTTCTGCGGCGACGGCGCAAACGACTGTGGTGCCCTCAAAGCAGCAGATGTAGGCATTTCTCTCAGTGAAGCCGAAGCCTCGGTCGCTGCGCCTTTTACCTCGCGCCAGTTCGATATCAGCTGTGTCCCACAGGTTATCAAGGAAGGTCGCGCTGCGCTTGTCACGAGTTTCAGCTGCTTCAAGTACATGTCCCTGTACAGCGCGATTCAATTCTGCTCCGTATCCTTCCTCTACGCCAGCGCATCCAACCTCGGCGACTTCCAGTTCCTCTTCATCGACCTTTTGCTCATCCTGCCTATCGCCATCTTCATGGGCTGGTCTGGCGCTTACCCCATTCTAAGCCGCAAACGACCCACCGCCAACTTGGTTTCCAGAAAAGTCCTTACGCCGCTTCTGGGCCAGATGGTGCTTTGCATCATCGTCCAGTTTGTGGCATTCATCTACGTCCAGAAACAGGAATGGTACATGGCCCCCGTCATCGACCCGAACCACAGCAACTCGCTCAACTCGCAGAACACGGCGCTCTTCCTCACATCATGTTTCCAGTATATCTTCTCCGCCGTCGTACTCAGCGTGGGGAAACCATATCGCGAACCCATGTCCCGCAACCTGCCGTTTGTAACGACAATTTTCGTTACGCTGGCTATTACTTTGTACATGCTGTTTGACCCCGCGGCGTGGGTCATGTCGGCTATGGAGTTGACTTATCTGGATACGCCGTTCAAGGTGTTTATCTTGGCGTTGGGACTAGGCAATTTTGCCATGGCGTACCTGGGCGAGAAAATGCTGTTTCCTGGTTTGAGCAAGTGGATTGGAGTTGCGAAGGTGAAGTTTGGTGGCAAGGGCATGCAGAAGAAGAGGAAGGAGTATAAGATTATACAGGAGAGCATGAGGATGTAGTGGGAGATTGATTGTGTCAATTGTGTTGGAAAGAGAGTATTGTACATATAAAAGTGGATACCGAGGTGTTGTTTTTATTTTTTTGCGGATCGACGAATAGATATCCTATGGAGTTCTGATATTATTCTATCTTTCGTAAGATGGTCGGGGAAGGCTCCTCTTTTCTTGTCCTCCATTTGGTTTTATTCGTCTTGGTCCACTACTCCCCCTTTTGCGCTTCAGAAAGAGACTCCGTTCTCCGCGTATATCTCCACCCCAAACCCATCGTTTCCACCCTTTTCGTTGCTATGGGGGAATGAAGTTGCGTTGGGGGCCGCTTCTATTTTCATATTTTGTTATGGTTATAACTTGGGGTGGCGGCTTCAGGTTTGCTGGAGCTTTTCGTAAAAGCACTTGAGCGCAGTATCATCAAGTATGGAATTGGAGCTGCGATGTATAAATTTACCAGGTCAGCCACCTAATTAAATGTAGGTAAAACCATTTCATAAAATGTAACCAAAGAGAAATAGACTACAAGCGGACACCTAGGAGACCCCGGGACACACGACATGATCCTTCCTCATCCCTGAACAAGTCTGTAAAGCGTGAGCTGTAGTTTTTGCCGTGGTACATGTAAGTTAAAAAGAACGAGTAACAATCTGCCATGATAGTCACACGAGGAAAAGGGAAGCAACGACAAGAGTGAAAGAAGTGGGGTATCTAATATTTCAGGCTTTATACTCTACCCAGTCTAGCCACTCGAGCCAAGTCTGTGTGTGAGAAAAAAGAAAAAGAAAAGAACAGGACTATGTAAACATTGTCCAAAAACGCCTGCGTAGTGCGCAAGCGCGAATATGCCCCATTCATAACTTTCGTTAACAAACTCCACACACACTCTCTCTCTCACTCTCTGTAACAGTCTTACGCAATCCCATGCCGCAACTTTTACCTCCTCCTCCTCTTCGCACTACCAGTGCCCCTTCTAGTTTCATCTTCCACCTCTTCAACCGTAGCAGCAGGGCTAGTAGAATTACTGCTACCTCCACTCGCGCCGGCGGCGCCCTCCGGCCTCACATTCTCTTCGTTTCCACCTCCATTGACGTTGAGTAAATCCGCTGACGACTCAATACCATTCGCAACATCGTCTGGGAAGGTGAACTCGCCACCACCGCCATTGATGCCGCCATCGTCGTCGACATCAAACGGCGCACTAGTGTCGAAGGTAAAGTCCGGTAGTCCGCCGCTGCCATTGGTAGTAACACCGCCGTTTGCCTGTTGCCCCACACCACCACCCTTTTGCTCCGATGATGCTACGACTCCTGGATTCGCATCTCCCGTGAAGAAGTCATCATCATTGACAAAAGAATCCATGTTGAGGTCGTAGCCTCCTGGCTCGCCCAGTCCAGCATCTCCACCACCAAAGTAGCCATCGCCGCCTTCGCCTAGTCCCGAAATCTGTCCCGTTGGACTCAGTGGTAGAATCCTCTCATGGATATTCTGTATCTTGGAGTTTTGCTGATCACTCAACTTCTGCAACATCTCCAACTGCTGCTGTGTAGCCTGATACTGTGCCAAGTCGCCCAACAACCTGTCCATCTCTGGTGGATGCGGGTTCGTAAGCGCGTTATTTGTGTTTTGCGCACCTGCATTGTTCACAATCTGCGAGAGAACATCATTTCGTTGTTGAGGCGTGAGTGGGACGTGGCCATCGGCAGTTTGGTAATTCGACAAAGCGGCTGCGTAGTCAAAGTCTGAGGGTGTGGGGTTGTTCGCGGTGCCGGAGTGGTTTGCAGCGGCATCATTGGCGCTTTGGATGGCAGACATTATGGCGGAGTTTTCGGGAAATCGCGGGGGTTGTTGTGGAGTGGTGGAGGAGGGAGGTTCGGGTTTGATTTGGGATGGAGTTATGCTATCTCTGGTTTGTTGGGGGAAGGATGGCTGTGATTGCTGGCGGTTGAGGGAGACTGAGGGGCGGAATACCGATTGGCGGCTTCCAGGTCGGGTTATGGGACTTGCGAGTGGTCGGGCTGTTGGGCTCATGGTTGTGGCGCGGCCTGTTGTTGTTGGAGCGAGATAGTCCTGTTGGTTTGGACCTGGTGCTGGAAGGATCGCGAGGGGCTTTTTATTCCTCTGCAGTTGAGGCGATTTGTGCGCTTCTTGTATGGGATAGTCGTCTACGTCCACGACATTGCCATGAGGTTGTTGTCGCGCCGCTGGGAACATGTCCGCAAGGTTCATGTTCGCATTACCCTCTAGACTCCTATTGTAGAAGGTAGCGAGGAACGTCAAGATGGCGTTGATAGAGTTCTCGTGGCGGTCGTGCAGTGCTTGGAAAGACGTCGCTCGAGAATATAGCTCCTCATTTTGGCGTTTGATCTGAGTGAGAACATTGGAGATGAGCTTCTGCTGCTGTTGGAGCTCCCTGACCTCGACCCGCAAGCTGTTGTATTCGGATCGCGGGATCATGGCCATTTGCTCGTTCCCTCTGACAGCCACCTCTTCGACGTAGCCTCCGCCTCCTGTGTCTTGAATGTACTTGCGGTCATCATCGCTATCGCCCTTGTTCTCTTCATCTCGTTTCCGCTTGGGCCCAGTGACAGGATTCTTCGGCTTCTGAATTAGCCATAGTAGCTCTTGGCGACCGCGCTTGAAGTACTTGTTGTAGTACTCGCTAGGTGCCTTCGCTTTGGTTTCACTGGCTTTCATAGAATTGTCCGACAGTCCGACCTTCTTGTGGAACCCGTACATGTTCAGTTGCCGTACGAAGGATGCGTAATTGTTGTGTTTGAAGAGTTCGGGTATCAACGTCCTCGCGAATTCGTCTTCGTCCAACACGATGAAAGAGTTGCCGTCGTCCGACCATCGAATGAGGTTTTCGTTCTTGTTATTATCGAGGAAACTATGAACGTCAGTTCTGATCTGATAGTGCCATATTAGTTCAATGTGCTCACCTGCTCAACTTTTGCACAAAGGGTGGAATTTGCTTCCGCTTCGCTTGTGCATCCTTCTTCGCAATAGCCGCCTTCTGCTCCAGCTCCTCATCATCATCCACGGTTTCCCACTGTTGCGTCGGACTGGGAAATCCATCCCATTGATTCCGCCGTGGCGCTGGAGCGAGTTGCTGGTTTGTATTCCGCCGTACCAATTGTCCCGTCATCTCCGTGCCGTCAGTGTATCCGTCTAGCGACACGACCCGGTTGTGACCACCTCCCATGCTCTGGCCATAGTTGTCGTATAGCGGCGGGTCGGTAAAGTTCATGTCTGCGCCTGCCGTGGGGTTGCTCCAGTCCATGTAAGGATCGGTTGGCGCGGGGATGTCGTGCTGGTACGTCTGAGTTGGGGCCTGCGGTGAAGCGCCCGGCGCGCGCCGTTTGCGGTTCGACATGTGGTTCGCGCGCCTCGTGTGGCTAAGGAAGGTAGAAAGTTTGATGGGACTCTTTTTCTGTACGTATCCGGATGATCCCGTCGGCTTGAAAAGATTCTTCCTATGTCCTCGAAAGCCGGTATCAGCCTTGTCAGTTTCGTACTAATCGCGAAGCTGTGGAAAGTGCAAATGAACACCCGGGGTCAGCGCTGGTCTCCGAGGATAAGTCCCAGGTATGCGCGATTTCGTCACGATTATGTAGACGCTCTAGTCTAGATTGTTGTTTTGTTGTCGCAGTTTTATCACACCACCAGATGATTGTTCCCAAACAGTTCGTCGACTCGAACAAAGGATCGGAGGGTGTTCTAGCAAAGGGCGCAAATGTAAAGGTCGGACAAGGCGGTTCTGGAAGATAGCGGAGAGGTGATTAGGAAGGGCGTCGCGAGGCAGACGGGCATTCGGCGGAGGAAGATGAGTCTGATCGTTTAACTTTTGGTGGAGAAATCTGGGGTACAGGCGTCCAATGGGAAGGCAGATAGGAGAGTGGCGATGTCGAAAGGCATGCGCAACGTGTTCAGATGCGCCGAGAACCTTGAGAGAAGCGGTTGGGTAGTGTGCAAGGCAGCGTCGGCACTGTCGCGTATGAATGCTCACGATGAGATCAGTGGACTTCACCGCACCGCCAGCGTCATTCGCTTAGCCTCAGGCTAGCATGACTCGCCGCGTCGTATGAGACCTGTCAGTCGAACTATGCTAACGTCGTCCTCCGCTTCTGCAGTACATGCACATAATATACATATTTCGGGAAATACCTCAACGCACTTTTCAGACGACATGTAAGCGTCAAATCTTGTCATCCCAACCCCCCAGCCACGTAGACCCATGATCTCCTGCATGATTTTCAATCGGCCCGTCTGAGGTGGAACGATGGGAAATGTCCTGAAATCCGATGCTTTACGATAGATTTCCCATATATCAGCCGATCACAACGCATGTTCATCGAGATTCACCATGGAACGAGGAATCCTTCAAGGCGGCGACTCCGGCGTCGAGCGTTCCCATGCAGAAGGCCCCCACCACCTCCCCTCCGCCAATGCAATACCTTATAACAGATTTTCCGTATATTAACCGATCAACAGCGTGTACTCATCGTGGTCCAGCAAGACACGAGTAATCCATAAAGCCAGGGGTACTGACATAGAATGTTCTAGCAACTACTTGATTTGGTAAACCATTTGTTGAGTTGCGGGATGTGATTTACGTGGGAATGGTGCGGATATATTCTCCGAGAGGTACCAGCATGCTAGAACAACTTGATTGGTATTGGTTGTTGAGATGTAATGCACGCACTTTATCAAAATAGGAGAAACGATCGAATCAAAACTTGGACGCTCGATACGTGGAACATGGTTGTCAGGGATAGTAACCTCGGTATCGTTATTGTACAAACCCGGGATTCCCTAGATATCGGGAGAGTGCAAACCGGATCATACAATACATGATGGGATATGACAAGACTGTATCAGGGATCAGTGATGCCGTAGCGCCGAGAGCAGCCATGAGTATCCATTACGACCGGGCCAAAGTGGTAGCATGTGTTGAAAACAAGGCACTGAACTGCAGTCACGACAAACAAGCGGGCTCCCATTGACAAGGCTAGAGAAGAAAACCTTGTCGCAGTTGCTAACGATGCTGGATCAGGCCATACTGAAGAGCTACCTGAATTCAGCACCTTGACAATGGAACAAGGAAAGTCGGAACTCGATATCGAGCAGAGGTGCATTGGGATCTCTGGTAGATTGCGAAGGGAGTTTTCTGAAGCGTAATTTATCTTGTCTGAGAGTGAATGCGATGGTGGCGTATCAGAGCTGTCGTCTCACGTCGAGAAACCAAGATGATTTCCTCCAAGCCACACGACCACGCTACAATTACTGGTACCCGCTTGACATGAGTGCCCGCGGCACAGTCGGCGTCAGTGTGGTACTACCATAGGCACATTCCTCACATCACATAGTTTCAGCATACATCGGACCAAGGGGCCGGCCAAATCTGGGCTACCTTCGTGGAAACAGAACACTGCAAGTATTACAGACGTGGTCAAAAAATCATGTCAAATCGAAACTCGCGTCTAAGAAACAGAACAAATAATCAATTCACCCTTCCATTACACGACTGTCGCACCAGGCACCAGCACCATCCAAAAGACTATGATGATAAGAACATGATAAAAAAAAACGAAGCGGAGGAACGACAGACAAGAAATAACAAGTACAACCTCCAATCTTAGATGCAACTTCTTCCAACGGGCTTAAAAAAAAGCGATCCGAGGTCTCCATGCAACAACCTTACAAATTTGAGGAGAAAAACTTAGAACGACAGGAAACTAAACAACGACAACAACAACATAGTCCCATATGTTCATGAAAAATGCTTTTTGCTGTACCTGAGATGCAGAACGTCTGTCTGCATGGATAGATGGTGTGGGAGAGGGGAGGAATGATAAAAACAGGTACTGAGCCCTCTTGAATAGACGATGGTTGGGGGGATAGGTAAAAATGGGCAGCGAGCCCGATTTAAGTTCTGGATCTGATCTGTTATACTAATGACAATGTCTTCTCTACCGTTCGTAGCATCATTCTTCGTATGCATCGTAAAGGGTTTTCAATCAATCCGGGGTTTTGCGACGGTAAAGGCCGTTAAAACGTTCGTCGTTTGCGTTTTTGTCGTTTGTTCGTGGAGTTGCCATCGCACGCGAAAAAGGAGTGATTGCTAACGTGCGACGACTTCGTTTCGTGAGATTTTTACTATTGCCCAACGAGAATCTCAACATTGGATTGACTCGACAGCTCATCGCTATTACGGTTCTGATGACCATTTTGCCTCGGGCGACCGAACCCCTGTCCTCGTTCAGGCAGAGGACCACGGGGCTGTCTCGATGGTCTGTCATCGTAATTGGTGCTGAAAGACCTATGACCACCAATGGGACCAGGAGCATCCCAAGAGGTCATCTGGCGTAAAGCACGCGGGCTGCTGCTATTCTGCGGGTAGCCACCAGAGCCAAGTTGCATACGGTTCATTTCGCGCTCCAACAGACTATCATCACGTTGCGACATGGAGCCCGTTGTGGGTGTGCCGTTGGGGTTCGTAGAGCTACCGCTGTAGCCGAGACCTTCGAGGGAGATGCCGCCGGGGCGACCGATAGGGTGGCTGGCTGTTGACGGGGCAGGGGAAGGCGTGTAGGACCGTAGATCGGCGTAGGATTTAGCACCGCGTAGGTTGGGCACTGCGTTGAGACCGCCGGGCGAATCGGGGAATCCGAGGAGACCAGATGGCTGTCTGTTGAAGGCGTTGTAAAAGCCACCTTCGGCGCGCACGTCGCTGAAGTCGGTGGTGGCGGCGCGGTTGAGGTTACGGCGGGGCTGCTCCATATGGTTGCTGGGCATCTGTGGCATTGGGGGGCTGAGGCCCTGGTTGTCGTGGACCTTGAAAATGTGCACTTGGCGCTGGTCGCCGGTGCCCTTGGACACATGCGCAAGGCCTAGCTGATGAGCCAGGGTGTGAACGGTGCGGCGCTGTAGAGGCGCCAGGTTCGGGGGGAAGGTCATGCTGTCGCGGTCCTTGTTCTCCTTGAATATAAGAAGCTGCGTGTAGAATCCTAGCACTTGGGGGTCATTCAGGTCAACGTCTAGATATTTGTTAGTAGTGAATTAAGACGCAGCGTATTTCGCTCAAACGTACCGACAGTCTTTTGAGCCGATCCACCACGCATGGCTGAAACAGGCGAAGGCGAGGTAGCTGGCATGTGAGAGGCAAGGGAGCCAAACGAGGCCTGCGACTGAAGACCGCCGCCAAGGGGTCGGTGCTGTTCCTCGAGCTGTCCGCGACGTTCACGCTTTTCCCGCTCAATACGCTCGCGCTCGGCCAGCGGCAGCATCTTCTTGTACTCGACACGCAACTTCCGGCCATTAAGCTCAAAGTGGTTCATCGACTCGATGACGGCCGCCGTCTCCTCGGCTGTTGTGAAGTTGGCAAAAGCCAGACCTCTGAAGACGCCATTGTCGAAGTGGTAGTTGAAGGCATAGGGCAGGGGTAGGCGCAGTTCCGTCATGAGAGAGACGAGCTGCTCCTTCTTGACGGCAAAGGGAATGTTCTTGATGACGATGGCGGTAGGGATGAGCTCTTCATCAACGTCGTGGCCGTAGCTCGTGTTCTGCATGGCGTTGAGGTTGCTGTTACTTAGAGCAAAGCTAGGCAAACCCTGAGGCTGCTGCTGGTCCATCCATCCCTATAGCGTACTTGTCAGTGTCGGAACGTGTGCGGCGCCGTGGATATTGTCTCTTACCGATGGCAGTGCGCTGCGGCCTCCTCCGCGCTGCTGCGATTTCATGCGTGCCGCCTGGGCTCCTCCAAGCGATCCCAGGCCGCCGTTCTGGGAGAAGGCGTTGGTGTTCCAGCCTTGGGGTGTGCCCATGTCGTAGCCATAGCCGCCGGCGTGCATTGTCTGGTTCAGGCGCTCGTAGTTGCGAGGCTGGTCGTAAGCTCGTTGATGGTCGTCTTGCGCGTACATGTTGTTGGCCTGGGGCACTTGGCCGTAGGCGTCGAACTGGCGTGAAGGCATGCGGTGCAGCGTGCCAGTCTGGGGTTGGTTTCGTTGGGCAATGGGCGAGCGCGACGATGACTGGTCGTACCCCGAAGAGTACATTATATGCGTGGAAGATTAGGGAGACCCGGTGAGAGGTTTGGGTGCGAGTGCAAGAAAATTAAGAACGGAGGTAAGAGTAGCACGTGGTCCAAGCTCGTAATGTCGTGAAATGAGCGGAAGGCGACCGTCGCAAACAGGTCCAGGTCGGATCGGAGGGATGAAAAGGGGTCGGCGTGAGCTCGAGCTTGCGTGGTCGAGGGTTGGCTGGTGATGGTAATAATCAGGGATGCCAGGCGGACCCAGCTCGACAGTCCCCTTTCGAGCCGCACTTTTAGGTGGGACGCGAACAACAGGCTAGCAGACGTCAGAGGGGTTCAATATCGCTAACACGCGACGGCGATGCGTAGGCTCGTGTAAAGGGAGGGAGGATGGCCGACGCTTGGAAGCAAAAGTTGAGCTGTAACCCACTAACGGCGCGGGGAGACGGCTGCACACGTGCACTTGAACCCAAGAGGCCCGACTGCGCCAGAGTTCAGAGGTTTCAATATTGATCTAGCACAAGGGAACGGCTGGCCAGGTCAGGAGTCATGCCTTGCCACGGCCTTGATTGGCTGTCGTGCCTCTACGCCAATCGTAAAAAGCATCTCCCGCTGCGGGTGCTGCGACGTCGAGCACTTAGTTTCGTGTTTGGTATTGACTTGTGTATACACGGCTTGTCCCCATCCTGTTACCACGTCGCGACATGACATTGCTTAAAATATCTTTCTAGCACAGATGCTCCCAAGCTTGTCCAGAGCCCAACCCACTACTCATGCCCACCTTGTCTACTCATGGGCCACATCACCCACCATCACGGGCGGGCCAGCCTCACAAAAATGCGACGACAGAGGGATGGCCCGGCGTTCTGGAAGTCGCCAGGTGGCGGGCCGTAGCGTTAGCTCCCTGCCAATAACGTGGAACAACACCAGCTGTACTTTTTCCTTCCATCGACGTTTCTACCCACGTTGTTCACACGGGTCAAATCTGTAACATCTGTCAGCTCTCGCGAACTCGAGGTACTTGCTGCTTTGGCCAGAATCCTCCGAGACGCTCGGGGTGCATGCTGAGCACACGCGACGTCGTCAGCTGCACCTTGCCACCGGTAATCTCCCCATGTACGGTTCATCGAGCTGCACCCCAGATGTGCACACTGGAATAAGGCTGCATATTCATAGTCATCGCTTAAGACTCTGCTGTTCATAACGTATGCTGGTATACATAAAAACTTCTGTATAATCTTCCTACACTCAACACCATTGCAGAGACGCCTGCGCGAATCCACGTCGCACCACATACTCACTGCAAACGATGCATCTTATTCGATAAAGCTAGGCATAAACTCGGCCGCCTTAGACGATCACGATGGCTTCCCGCTTTTATCAAGTTTCCGACTGGCTAAGCATAACAGAAGTGGTTTGTAGGATCGCTTAGCCCGCATGCATAGGTGATCATGTGAATCCGACCAGTTGGTCGGAGACCACTCTGGAACGACTTGTCGCTTTTTCTGCTGACGAATACGCGGCAGGCGGAGGTCGTGGCTGTGCTTACATTCATTGCATACCCGTTCAGTCCTCAAAGTCGAGCAATCGCGAGAATTCGGTCTCGCCAACGCGTCGGAACTCGGCACCTGCTGCAAACTGTCCACTTGCCTCCCACGCTTGCATAGTCGCCTGGTCGTATGGCCCGTTAATCTCACCTTCGGGTGCATTGAGCCAATGGAACTCCCACTGCACTGTCTCCGGATTTGGGTTCTTCCAGTCTTCTCCGGTCTCACGCTTGTACTGTCGCATGATGGATTCGCGGGGAAGCTCGTAGATGTCCTCGACGCCGCGATCAGATAGCCGGCTCGCGCATTCGGTTATAGAATCGATGACCTCCTTTGCCTTGATGGCTGCAGGGTCTTGCGACGGCTCCGAATCGACTTCCATAGCTTGGCTCTTCTTCTTCTTAGTCCAGCTTTTGGCTGGCTTCTTCGGTGCTGCCTTGCCGTATCGCACGAGAGCTTCCATAGGCGTCTCGCCGACGTCCAGATGTGCGATGAGAGTCGACAGAACATCACTGGTGACGATGGAGTCTTCGGCTCGTTCCCGGGCCTTTCGCTCAGCGTCCAGCTTGTCCTGCGCTTCCTTTGCCTTTTTGATGTCCTTCTTCGATATGCCGTCCAACCACGAGTCTTGGGCAGCTTCTGGATCGAAGGCCTTGCGCACAAAGTTTCCAGCTTCATCGAATCGACCCTCTTCCTGCTCGGCACTCATGTTGAAAGCATCTAATTTGGGCGCATGCTTCTTTTTGCTGCCTGCTCCCAGCTCCTTGTCCATTTCAGGATCGACCTGGTCGCGAAGCTCGTCATCTCCTTCGTCGCTGCTGCTCTCTACGTCTTCAGTCCTGCTCTTTGGACCTTTGGTGAAATCGACAGCTACGTGACCCCCAGACTTGCTGTTCGCTTCCTGACCTTCGATCTCGTCATCGTTCAGGAATCGCAGCTTCTTCTTCTTTGTCTGGTCTCTCCGTGATTCCTCGTCCATGTCATCGTCCTTGTCCTCCTCGGCGAACATGTCGTCATCATCGTCTTCGGTCTTTGGTGGCTCGTCCTTGTTGGGTCGGGCCTCTGCGCGCGCCTCGAAGTTCTCTGTAGAGCTATCGGAATCGTAGCCGTCGATGTTCACCGCGTTCCGCTTGATACCTGCGCCTTTTCCTATAACGTCAGCCTCAAGTGCAGGGTCTTCTTCGTCGTCTGCATCCGGAGCGAGCGTAGAAGGGTTACGCGGGTCGAAGCGGGGTTTCTTGGTCGATGGTTCGTCGCCGTCCATGTGGTGGGTTCGCGTGAACTGCTCGCCAGCGCGCTTTGGTCGCGCGGGGTTATACGTCCCACTAGAGCTGGCCATGATAATCTTTTGACTCAGCGCTATTTTGTGTCGGAGTTTGAAGGAAGTTGAGTCTAGGCAATCGGGCAGTGACGTCTTCACGAGACGCGATAATTTGAAGCTCGGGCCAGATCGCGCTAATCGGAGTTTAGCGGAGTTCCTACTGGCTCAAACGGCCTGCTGTACTTGCGACTATGGCTCGTCATCTCCAAGCCCTCCCATCGAATACATATTACTTCCACCGCCTGCTAGCCATTTCGCCATAACACCTGATTTGACATACGAAATCCCCTTTCTCTTTTAATTCCCTGCTCCTTCCACACACAAAAATGGTAAGAGCGACCCCACCACCTTCTCTATCCTTACTCACCACGTACAGTTCAACCCTAACTTTTACGACCAAGACGATCCGATGGCTATGTATCAGTCCCTAGCCGCACGCCGCGGCGGCGCTCCTAGACGCTTCGATGAGTACTTCCGATGCTATCCCATCGTCATGCTGCCTGGCCCGGAGCGCCATGAGGCAAACCACGGCGGCAAAGTGTTCCTTCCTCCCAGTGCTCTCGACAAGCTCACTAGGCTGCACATCACATATCCCATGCTCTTCGAGCTCATAAATGGTAAGGCAGACGGAAAGAAGACACACGCAGGTGTGTTGGAGTTTATAGCAGAGGAGGGCAAGATCTACCTGCCATACTGGCTCATGGAGACGCTTAAGCTGGAACCTGGTGACCTGCTACAAGTCAAGTCGACCGACATACCTCTCGGTACCTTCATCAAGCTCCAGCCCCAAGATTCGTCCTTCCTCGAGATTTCCGATCCCAAAGCCGTTCTCGAGAATGCATTCCGGAACTTCTCTTGCCTTACAGTTGGCGACATATTCACCTTCTCATACAACGACAACGTGTACAGTATAGCCGTATTGGAGGCTAAGCCAGAACACCCAAGTAAGGCCGTCTGCACCATCGAGACCGATCTGTCAGTCGACTTCGCTCCACCAGTAGGCTACCAGGAGCCGCAGAGGACCAGCGGTACAAGCACACCGCGCAGTGGGAAAGGCGTCATGAGCGGTAAAGGTGGCACACTACACGCTCACGGCACCATGGCAGAGGCGATCAACTACGCCGCTATCGCGCCATCATCAACGACCGCTGCGAGCGGAGCCAAGGCCACCTCCTCAAATTTCCTCACCACCGGCCACAAGCTGCTCAAGAAAGGTAGCAAGGCACCTACTCCTCGAGCCTCCACACCCATCGCAGGCCAGTCATCGAACCCCCCTCCAACAGTACGACGCACCAACGGGCCCCAGCCACTCAGGCTACCACCCAACAAACTGTTCTTCGGATACGAGATCAAGCCACTCAAGGGCAAGGAGGAGGAAGGCGAGCAGAAGGAGTCGAAACATTTTGAAGGCGCTGGTCAGTCACTGCGCAAGAAGAAGGGCGACAAATGAGGTAGATACCCGGGTTGATGATGGCGCTGATGGGATTTGCATGATAAATGTTCCAGAGAGCAGCATTAGATGGCGCTGATGAAGGGAATTGGGTGATATGGCGTATGGCGTTTGATACCTCCAACTCGAGCTATCCATGAAACTAATACAGCTCATCTTGCGCTTGCCTTGTGTGCCGTCTACCTAAAGGGGCTGGTCTATTCACTGACGTGTTGACTTGATTTACAGATTTATGTACTGCCCTGCCTTCGCGACCATTGTTACAACTCCTCTCGCAGTGATTTTCTCGGTGCCAAGAATTGATCAAAGAATCGGGCACGTCAGGCAAATTCGATACATGTGCACATGGACACAGAATCATGCTCTCTTTGATTTTGATTTTCTCTCATCATACGAAGAAGTGCTCAGTGCACTTTCCTCGTACAGTTAATACCAGTCTTGTGAGAACGACCAATGCCAAAAAGCTGCACCAGGCCGATTACTTCATCCTTCCACTCTCAATATTTCGAATCCTCCCCCAGCTCGTGTTTCACTGCGTTTTTGGAAAAGCCTGTCGTCTCAGAAGAGAAACCAGAGGAGCGGGAAAAGAACTAAACCATCTCCTCGATGACTTCTTCCTTGACCCTCTGAGCCATGGGGATGTAGTCCTCCTCCACTCCAGACTCATCTTCAACCATCTCTTCCTCCCATCCCTCTCCCAGGTTCTCTTTCTTGCCCTTCCTAGCCCGAGGCTTCTTACTCGGCGTCTCGATCTCCTCCCCATTCTCACCCTCATCTCCGAATCCATCACCAATGGCATCAGCAGTCCTCTTCTTGGCAGATGCCGTCTTGCGAGGAGTCGTCTTTGCAGTCTTCTTTGCACTGTGTCCTGCGCCGCCTTCGGGAAGTTCCCAGGAGAGTTCCAGGTAGAGATCGCGTTGTTTGACGCGCAGGGTGGAGATGCGGTTACGGATGCTGCCGATTGAAGTGCCTTGGTGGGGGAGAAATTAGTCGGATGTTGTGGGGATGGGAGGAGTAATGGAGATACGGAAGATTGGGAAAAGATGAGAAGGGGGGAAGGTGGAGATATAGGGGATTAGGAATGGAGAGACGGGATGCGGAGGGGAGTGGTACATACCAGGGAATGCAGAAGATAACTGAGGGTACTCATCTGGCTTAACCCAACGGCCTTGAGTCAAGAGTAAGAGCTGTGGGGATTTGTTAGTGGTTATCTGGTGGGTGAGTGGATTGGAGTGGTCGAGGCGTTACCTTCGTGTCATTTGGGCCTTCCCATTTGAAGGGCTGTCGTCGATGTCAGTTCATGGGTAGGGATAGTAGGTGAGATATCCGTACACCACCGTTCTCGCCAGCATCGCCGTTTCCGACAGATTTCTTGGGTGGCATGATGGCTGTCAGTGTTTGTTCCTGTGGGGGACTGACATGAGTTGTATTTGAGTAAAGAGGTAATCAAGTAAGAAAGAGGCGAAGTGGTGGATGGATCGCGTCGAGAGAAGGGTAGGCGGGGATATTAATGCGTCTCTCTTGGGAAATGGGGAGCATGGCAGATGCGAAGAGTGCCGATAGAGGAGAGGTGAGATTGAGATTCTGATTAGGCGTGTTGGGAAACGGTCACCTTCACCTTGTATTCCACGGGAGATGAAGAGACCACGAAAAGACATCACACAGAAGTCAACTTCTACAGTAGGTAAATCCCGCATATGATGCAAGCATTCGATACCGCTAATCTATTCATGTATGATGCAGTCCAATCTCAGATGCCAGTACTATAGTCCACGAAGTGCCATCGAACCTCTCCATGACTATCCCTGCAGCACCTTGAGAACGTCTAAACACCTTCTTCAAGCATCTTCTCCTTGACACCAGCATCTTCTGTCTCCTCATCGAAAGGGTTTTCTTCTTCATCAATCTCCTTCTTGGGCTTCCTGGCACGCGGCTTCTTGGTAGGTGACTCTGCCTCAGCATCACCATCTACTCCGCCCTTGTTGCCCGCAGCAGCTCGCTTCCTGGGGGATTTCGTAGGGGTCTTGGTGGGAGTCTTAGCGGCACCATCTGGAAGAGCCCAACCCAACTCCTCGAAACGCTTGCGCTGCTCTACACGCATCTTGGAGACACGCTGACGAACGGCGTTCCAGTTGGTACCGGCTGAGGCATGGTTAGTATAGGTCTCTTCATAACCAGAGAGTAGGAACTTACACGGCAGGGCGTCTTCAGCGAGCTTGTGGTAGTCGTCCGTGGTGAGCGTGCGTCCCATGGTCAGAACCAAAAGCTGTAGATTCCATTAGCGCACTGTGCACTTATAAATTCAGCGGATCACTTGCTGTACGGTCGTTCTCAGCGGTCCAGCGGAATGACTGAATGCATGTTAGACCCCGAATGAATGGCTTGTGGTACCGGATTGTACTTACGGTATCGCTGCCAGCCTCAGCACCGTCGTCTGCGACCTTCTTCTTGGGAGGCATTTAGGTTATTGAAGGCGGATTTGCCTGATAATGTAGCTACGGAAGTATCTGTTAATTCTTGTGGACTGATTGTTGACCTTGACAACCGGAGAGAAAGAGGTAGGTTGAGAGTGAGAAAGTGGTAGGAAAGCGGTATCAAGATAAGATACTGGGCGATCAGCGGCGATGAGGATAGGTGAGAGTGAGTTGCCGGGCTGCGCAATAATGCTGACCTTTTAGGACTAAATGCGCCTTCACCGTGTATTACATGGAGAAACATCGCGACAAGGACACCATCGTACGTGAAAAATTGACACAGGTGTATTTGACCGCTATCAGAGTAGGAACTGGAAAGTCCATTGGTGTTGTGCGATGGCAATCGTAGGTATTGTTGCATGTTGAAATCATTGCCATTTCAAAGTTCAGTCTTGATTCGTTGGGTTTCTTGGTGATAGGCAGCAAGACGTGTTATCCACCTCGAGATCGTGATATTGTTATGAATGATGTCCAGGTAGTTGTTCTGGCCCCTGTTTCCTCAAGAAGGCGCTAGAGTGCCTTTTGGAGCCGACTGGTCATGCGCAAATTTGGACATCCCAACAACCTAGATTGTTTGCATACTCGTCTGCTTCAGGTGAGACGCATGTATGCATACGGAATAGTGTAAAGCTGGATATAGAGCGTTGCCTAATCCTCTCGAGCCCCTCAAGGCTGTCTTCCACCAGGTAGTGTGATACGAGCATGCTGCCTTGGAAACGGCATTGGCGCCTCCGAATACATGGCGATATGTAATGCACGACTTCGGATGACTGCTAGCGAGCCTCGGGAGGTTGACGAGGTGTGGTAGGCCTGAACGCCCAGTGATTTAGGGCTGACGTAGGGTGGTCAATGCTTCGTGCCTGTTCCATCGGTCTGGCATCGTCATCCCCTGCACACACGACACCATGAAGCTTGTTGCTCATCAACAAGCATCCTACTGAAAAGACGTACGGTTTTGTCTGCTACTACACCTAACACGTCTATGTGCTGCGCACGACAAGCCCTGGTAATTCTCATCCAGAATCGGCCCTCTTCTCTGGCAGCGAGAGACGTATCACCGTCATCCCGTGCTTATAACACCAGTGCCGCGGATACCGCACTGCCTTTGTTGCCTCCTGTGGATCTAAGCTGAACCCAGCTCCCAATGAGCGAACCACAAGCCACAACCATCTAGTGACCGCGCAGCCATGTGCGCCGCTGAGACATCACTAGGACTATAGCAGGCAACGCTGGACTGCCATTCGATAGCCAAGATATCTACCTGGACCTCAAGTACGAAGCGTTGTTCCGTGGCTTAATGTCCCTCGTCCTACTCCTTGCTTCCACGCGGGTGTCCGCGGCCAGGTGGGCCCAATTTGATTATCATCACCAATAAGACCATTTACCACAGCTATATTGTACCGTTTGACTAAGCAGCACAGCTTCTCTCGAAATCTCCACTAGGCGCATCAGAGAAAGGACAATCGTTATGCTTCACACCAGGCAGGGATCATCTCCCATTAGTCCCGAACTCGAGACGAAGCCTACAGAACATGCTCCCTCTAATACTGCCGCTGCTATGCAAATGGTCACATCTCTCGTACGCCCTTTCTGATGCCTCCATGTACTCATTATATATCCCATTCCGTTTCGTGTACATTTCGCAAACCTACCTCAAGACAACACCGCTATCGGCCCGAACTCCATCCGCACAACATGTGTATTCGCGTAGTCGAGAAGTTTCCCGTCTGCGGCTGTATCTACCACACACATTCCGTGGATCGATGCGCTTACTATGGACGGCATCCTGTTGTTGACAAGGTTATCTGGGTCGGAGCCTGTTGTCCGGATCACAACAGTCGCTAACACCGCTTACGAACACAAGAGCGTCTATATCTGGCATCTCTGACCCTCAACTGCTGAACAGCATCGCCACAAGTACAATGAATGCTCTCGAAACTGATGGGATGACGCCCATCCTAGGACACTAGTCTGAAGCATTGATCTCCAAGTTTACAGCAGTCGGACTTGGAAGAAGGGGCAACAAACCACTGGCGCAGTATGATCTGTACGTTCATGACCTTGTTCAGAGCATACGGTGCTGACAGACTGTCTCAGGAGGCAGCCGAATGTACTACGAGCACCCTTTAGTCGATACTGAACTTCGCCGAACAGTATGTTTAAGTACAACCAGTCTCCCAGCGACAGCCAATCCTAAGCGTTCGATGAGTAGCAGACCCACAGCTCAACGTACAAGAGAGCGTCTTTTCCGAACCAACATCAAGCATCGCCAGAACTCCAACCACATGTACGGACTATCCTTCGAAACAACTGCTACACCATTTTCCAAAAGACTATCGCTTCGACCAAGACGGCGAAGAACTCAGACAAAACGACTGGTGCAAGATCTTTTCGAGAACGGATGCATTGTGATGGTGATACAAATCGTTCGCTCACCGCTAGTCAAGTCGCGCCGAGACGGACCTGTGACGAAGAAATCCTCTTATAGCCCACGTTCCTAAATCCTTCCGGTTCGAGCCGACTCGCTGTCGACGGATCCGTTGCCTGCCGATCTCTGACTTGTTCGTCCAATGTTGTGGTATTTTTGAACACTCTGCATGATCCTGTAGGCAGCGGCACGATCATGGGCGACAGGCTGAGGAAGATTCGGAACGTCTCCACCGTCGGTGGATTCCGGTTCCTTGAGCACGGCATGCGGCGTGGCAGTACCACTCTTCAGCCTCACGGAACGGTCGCTGTATACAGAGGAAGATCTCCGAGTAGCGGGGCGGCGCGATCTCGCCCGATCGGCAAAGGGGAAAGATTCTCCGGTTGCCAAGTTCGCCGTCGCAATGCTCATACTAGGGGTTTTGGAGAGATACTCTGCAACAGGATCGAGGCTGGCCAGGGCGCGGTACAGCTCATGATCGAGTGGATACGACTCCTCAATGAGTACTTCGGTCAACTCTTCAGCCGTCCCTGTTATTCTCTTCGTCCTCACCTGTTCAACGTTATTCGCCAGCGATTGCCTTTGCAATGCATTTCCAAGACGACGGCGAATTGGCAGCATGTGTAGTGTTGAGAACGATGCTTGTACACCACGCTTCTTGGCCTCGAGGCGCTCAATATCCTGTCTCAGCTCGTGTTGCGCCAAGATGAGGGACTGCAACCTTTCGATATTGGCTGCAGATTGAGGCCCATGAGACATGTTTCCGGGCACCTTCACATTGTGACAGAGTCGGCACTTGAGTACATCCGCCTCTAGGATTCCATCCTCACCTAGTGCCATCTCGATCGTTTTTTTGTTCGCACTGTACTGAGCCGCTCGAGCCCTGAGTGAGTCGTCTCCGAGTTCCAGGTCCGGGGCTATACTGGCCATCTCGATCGTCCGAAGACTCCAATCCCTTGGCCGATAATCCCAGGTTCCGAATGTGAATCCACCTGGCACTAGTGAAGGTGTGAAATTACTCGGCGAAGGCAACAGGTTGCTCAACCGTTCATGCAGCGGCATCTTTGTGTTCTTGCGCTCAGGACAGGTTGGCCGGGTTGGATCAGCGTTGGGGTCATCGATGCATGTTGCTCGCCTTTTAGCTTCCTCGTTCAAGCGCTCGGTACGATCGAAGAAGACATCGTCCACTTCGTACTTGGGGAAACCGCTAAGGTAAAGTTGAAAGACTTTGTGGCGATCGGGCTTCCGCTCGGAGAGGTTGAGTGGCTCGCTATGTTCGTCTCTAGCTGGTATCGTGGAACGGGAGAACTGAGAGTTGACGCGAGAGTAGCTTGGATCTGCTGACGCAAGTTAACATTTGACCATGGGCTTCGTAAGTAGAGAGGTAGTAACACGCAACAAGAACTTACCATTCTCGTCATCGGCCAGAACCACCTTATCCGCCACACCCTTCGGCTCAGCCAGCCCATCCTCCCAATAGGATCTCGCCTCCTCCTCCTTTTGTGCATCATACAAGTCAAGACAGGAGGGCCTAGAGGAGGTGCAAGAGGATCTAGCTTTAGCCCTGCCATCCTCCCAACTCAAAGATTTCGAGTTATCCCGACCGCTGTTCGATGCGCTCAATGTGATAGCTATCATAGCATCATCTCCGCGAATTTGGAAACGCGACACTGGGGTAAGATCGGGAGATGGAGTTTCTTCCCCCTCTTCCTTCTCCCACTCTCCCTCCTCGTCCTCTATGTCATATTCCTCCCGCCCATTCAACACTACCTGGCGTCTCCTACTAGGTCCAGGTGATCCATGAACCTGCTCCGATCCAGCCGACTCCAACGCCGCATCATTCAGCGATTCCGGAAACCTCTCCGTCGCAGCAACGTAAAAGTCTGCAAACGAGGATAGTTGGGAGGATATAGAGGACAATCTTCTACCTTTTCCCATCTCTCGAGACGTCATTTTGGCTTCTGCGGTGCGGGATGAGTTTGAAAGCGTTTCGTTGCAGGTAGTATGTGGCTCCTGTGAGTTATCTGGCTTGGCGGGATCGGATGGTGATTCTGGGAATTTCTGAGTTACAACGTTGTGGATAGGTTTTGGTAGAGATGTAGCGGATGATGATCTTGTGTTTTTGTCGAAAGATGGTGATTGAAGTTTTGTGGTAGCTCTTGCGGTGGCTCTTGCAGTGGCTCTAACTGCTGCCTCTACGGTGCGTGCTTCATGAGAGGCGATACGTGCATTAAGGAGTTCGGAGCTTCTCGCCGAGCGAGGTGACGGGGTAGGTGTGAGTGCTCGTATAGGGGACGGTGGGATACAATGTGCGTCCATTGGGCAGGGTGATAGGGTAGGTGCGGGTGCAGCTGTCGGCTTGTACGCGGATGAGAAAGGATTTGTGGGATGAAGTCCAGAGTGGGCTTTTCCATTCTTCTTGTTGGTGGAGGGGGGAAAGATAGAGGGTGGTGAGGATGCTAGGGTGCTGTTGTTGGAGTGGAGGTCGGCGTTAGATATGGCATCGATGTCCAAGTCGTCATACAAGAACCAAGAGTCGGGTATGAGGTCGTTGTCTGGAAGGTTGGCGGATGGAGAGGAAGATGTAGCATCGTTAGCAACGTCATCGCCTGCATCAACGCGGCTGTCGGGGTGGTATTCCATTGTTTTGGTCAGTTGGAATTGATTCGTTTCTTGTACTATTTGTTGCACTGAAACTGAAAAATGTTGTGGTATAAGAAAGAGGCTTCTGTTGTTAAGAAGGTGAGGAGCTGCCACTAGAGAGCATTACGAAGTCAACATCTTGAGTAGTATCCCTTTCATTCTCCCTCTACGTGGCCTCCTACCACACCAGTCATGCGAAGATACTTCCAATGAGTGATAATAGCCTCAGGGTCATCTAATGATGCATTGATAAGGTACATAGTTCGGGTCAGGGTCCTGACGATACCGCGATGATATCACATTGTCAGCACGGAATGATCAACGACAACCCCTGTATTGCGCGAACAAACGATCCACTGAACGTAATTATGTTGATATCCGTCGTTTTGAGATGGATACTGAGTAGTGTCACGGGCACGATTCTGTTTGTATAGGGAGGGAAGGAAGGAACTTAGTTCATAAATGAACGAGAACGGTGGGTGCGAGAGGGAAGATGATTGTATCACAACCCTTGCGGTGTATTACGCGTTGATGTTATGAAACAAGTGATATCAGTACCAGCGCACTGTATGAGCCCTTGAACCTGTGCATAATCGGGATCAGGGTCCTCACGATAGAATGACGAAGTCGCAAATCTCAACAAAAGTACCCAACAAGCGTGTTTGTATTGCTTAGAACAATTCGACCAATAAATACGAACATTGGTGATCGCTCCGTTGATGCGGAGTAGATAGAACCACGTGTCAAAGTCGCGAAAACGATCCACTATGCATTGAAAAGAGCACGGGCCAAAGGTACGTTTCCTCTTTTGATGTTGACTAATCTGGTACTTTAAGGAAGATTTTAGACCTTTACGCACATACATGCCAGACCATACACACTAGTTATTCGAGAAGTGAAATAAAGAAGAATTAAGCGCTGGGGAAAGTAGATCAGAGAATAGAGATGGTGTTAGCCTACACGCGTCAGTCTCATTGGCTCGTATTGTCAATATTGTATCCATTGTACACAGGTTGTAACACAGTTCATTCATTTGACAGCCTTGTACAGGTCAACAGTTCCGAGATGCCTCATAATGTCACATACTCCAGTCAGATCGTTGCAAATCTCTACCACTTTCGTTCTTCGATATCCAATTGGGTCTCAGCTATCTTGATTGAAATCCTCGCTCGGCACGCTCTCAGTCTCGGAGATGTACTGATCAACGCCCTCGTACCTCCACCGCTTGAAGTACGCCTTTGGAGTGGCAGCCGGGCAATCCAGACCGGACCCAGCTCCATTGCAGGTAGCATAGATACCGATCAGCGTCCCCACAAACGATCCTGACGGACTCAGCTGCGCCGTTGAAGCTCTGCCAAAGGAGATCTGTTTTGATTTGTCACTCGATGGCATCGCCGCAAAAACGTACGTCCTTGGATCCGGCATCGTGATCTGAAGCCGCATTGGCTTTCCAAGCCAAGACGCAGGCACAGGCGTCTTCTTCTCCTGCTGTTCCGTAGAGTTGTAGTGTAGATATGTCGTTCCATTATTGCGCACGAGACCAAGCTGGATGTTCGCTGTTTGCCACAGGAAAGCGGTCACCCCAGCCTCTTGCCCATCGGCTTTCGGGTCGAACGATAAATCCACGCTGAATTTGAATGTGCTGTCCGTTTGGCGGCGCCCGATGAAATTTACAGCCCTCGTAGCTGGTTCAGATGTGTTGAACGATCCGGCGAGATTGTTGCGGCCGAGCGCGACTTGAAGGCCTTTATGCGTGGTCTTGAATGCGCCGTCACGAGGGACGCGCCAGTACACGAGGTTGCGTGGGATCGCTGAGCCGTGAGGAAAGTCGTATACATCTGGGTCCGAATTAAACGGCCCGTCGCCTTGAAGATCCCTTGAACGCGCAGGTAGTTGCCAGCCGGTCATGTTGCCTTGTACGGGTTGGAACACAGGCCATTCGCCGGACTTCCATGTCACCGGCGTGAGCACGGTTTCGCGGCCCATGGGGAAGGAGGTGCCATTTAGGCCCACGCGGGTCGCAAGCGCGACAGACCACCATTCGCCGTTGTTGTCTTGGAAGAGATCTGCATGGCCGACGGTCTGGAAGTACTCTGATGTGCCGCGGTTTGTCAAATGTGGGTTGAACGGGGAGGGGTAGTACGGTCCCGTAATATTCCTCGCGCGAGCCATGGTGACAGAGTGATCTTCGGCTGTTCCACCTTCAGCAATCAGCAGATAGTACCATCCGTCTTTCTTGTAGATGTGTGGGCCTTCTGGCCAGACGCCGCCCGTGCCATTCCAGAGCTGTACGATAGGTCCCATCGCGCCAGTGTCTATGTTCATCTCCTGCAAGATGATGCCTTGAGTCGCAACATAAAACTTGCCGTCATCATCCCAGAAAAGATCGGGATCAATCTTGCCAGCTTCGAATCTTACCGGATCGCTCCAGGACTCGTCGTCAAATGGATTCGTAGACTTGAACAAAACACCTGCCAATTGACCCGATCCGAGGTATTCGCAAATCACGTAGAAAACACCCTCGTGGAACCGGATAGTCGCTGCGTACATGCCCTCTTGTTGGCCTTTGGTGGCATAGCTATAGCCTGGAAGCTGGGATTCGCGGTTCCATGCATGGCTGATGTGTTTCCAGTCGATCAGGTCTTTAGACGCATAAATTGGCAGTCCGGGAAATGAGATGAAGGTGGAGGTTACGCAGAAGAACGTCCCATTCACGTTGACGCATGATGGATCGCTGTGCCAGCCTGGAAGTACCGGGTTGAGGAATGTCGAGTTCTGTGCGAGCGCTGGATTTGAACATGCGAGTACAGCTGCCATGACCCTCAGTAAGAAGCGCATCTTGAACTATTCCACGAGATCGCGACAGAATGTACTCAGATACCCTGTGCGTGGCAATGTAGAAAGCTTTATGCGTACCCTTGGCCTTAAGATGAAAAGTGTGCTACCCGCTTATGAAGCACGATCGACGAACATCTCGCATGTCGGTTGTACTCATTTAGCCAGACTACTTCCGTGGTGCTGTTGACATGGAGCATGCGACGTATTTTACCTAGTACGCGGGGTGACACGATGAGCTGCAGAGCCACCGGGCTTTGTTGAGCCTCAAAAAATTCAGGGCACCACAGAAAGTGCGGGGAAAGGCATGTTGATCCTTGCGAATGCACCCGCTGACGTCACAATTTCTCCGTGCCTCATAATCGGATAGAAGCCGTTGTATTCTGTTTCGTGGAAAGTAGGTGTGTGGCCAAATTGCAGCTTCCTGCCGTAAAATAGCACGTGCTTCAAGCTAAACACCATCATGGTACTTTGTGAGTGTGCTAAAATTTCTTCCACTATGTTCAGTCTTGAACGAAGCACTCATATAGGTATCTACAATCACGAAGTCGCACCAACACTCCCTAACCGCCGTACCAGCAACAACAATTCCGGGCGGTTGCATAAACAGCCAAATTACCGCACGGGTGTCCCAAATCAACGCACCAGAAGCGAATCGGAGCAATGAGATGGGTCTGTCCGAGCATTAATGCGATGCTAGGTGCTTCCGATAACGCAACTTTCTGACTGTCGCACTTGAAGACTGAAGCGAAGTCGAGGTTACAATGCGAAGTGAGTTGAGTGTTAGGAAGAAAGAAGAAAGAATCGGGCTAGAGATATTGAATCGCAATTGGCAAATCCTCCAAGATTGTGCCAAATGACTCTTCGCCAGACCTCCGTTCGTGACCTACATATCCCCCTCTCTCGTTCGACACGGATTGGCTGTGTGGACATGAGAGGACGATGCTCATCCAAGGCCGACGAAACCTTCAAGAGGGACATCTAAAATCTTCCAAGACTCGCCTCAACGATACCGAATGTGTGGAAGCTCCGCATCGTCCCCGAGCACGACTTATAGGACGAGCATTTACGCGGAGGCGTGAGATGGTGCGCGTTCCTTTCGCGCAGAAGTGGGGCATCACGGCTCGGAGCCGACGGCTCCGCTCTTGGGAAACCCAAAGCTGAGATCGCGCAATTGTTGAAGTCGGCGCCATGTTCTTCGTGCAGGAAGTCGGTCGCACTCGCGTTGCCGTCAAATCTGGCAATTGGGTTAGTGAAGTGTGTTGACTGATCAAATTGTGTGATCGTAGCCCGACCCGGTTTTCCGAGCCTGATGCCGTCTCATTTGCATCGCGTCAGTTCAACAGTGTGAGTATGCATTCGCGAACTGCACCGGCTCACTATAAAGCTTGGAAAACCTTGGGTGATTTGATGGGAATCCGTCCTAGGGTAGACCCTAGCATCAACTTTCCCCACTTCACTACGCATGTAGATCGCAGTTCAGCACCACATCCGTTTTAGGATCCAACTGCGGTCAGCGCGGGATTAGCTCAAAAGTCATGGCCTGATTTCGAACACGAGCAGCAATGGACTGATGCCAAGCAGTGCCATCGGTCCTCAGTAGCCGGGAAAGAGGAAAAATGTACCGTGAAGACGGGGAAGAGTGAATAAGGGCAGACCAGATCTCCGGAGAAGCGAGGCAAGTAGAAGCATTCAATGAGTCGAGGTGAAGTTCGAGCAACTTGATAGGTACCAACGATCAGCTGACGAGCGGATCTTTTCCCCTCTCTTGTCGAAACGCCATCCACTTCCGATCCGCCGCTAGGAGAACATGTGCGGAGCTTTAGAGAATGGTAGATACGGTAGTTTGTTCTATAAAGATACCTAGCAGTCACTTCCGAAACTGAACAGTATCTTTCAGAGTACTCTGCACCTTTTCCTTTGGCACAATCAATTCTGCTGATCCAGTCTCGAACCATAACAGTATCGTAGCCAACTATGAAGGCGCTCATCTATAATGGAGTCGGAAAGTGCAAGCTTGTAGACAAGGAAATCCCTCGGCTTGACGGTGGCCTCGACGCTCTGGTAAAGATGCAGCGAACAACCATCTGTGGCTCAGACCTTCACATCCTCAAAGGAGATGTCCCCACGTGCACGGTCGGTAGGACTTTGGGCCACGAGGGTATTGGCGTGATTGAGGAAATCGGACAAGAGGTCAAGAATTTCAAAAGGGGCGACCGAGTGCTGATTCGATGTATCACTTGCTGCGGTACCTGTCAGTTCTGCAAAAAGAAGTGAGTACTCATATCACTCCACGAAGTCCTTGAACTTGCTGACCTTCGTGTCCCAGCATGGCTGACTGCTGTGTAAAGGCAGGCTGGATACTCGGCCACACCGTTGATGGAAGCCAGGCTGAATATGTTCGCATCAAGTACGCCGACACGTCCCTATACCATGTACCCGACGGCGTCGATGAGCGCACACTGCTTTTATTCAGCGACATCCTCCCAACAGGCTTGGAAGTCGGCGTCCTCCGTGGAAAGGTGACTCCCGGATGTACTGTTGCAATAGTGGGAGCAGGACCGGTGGGTCTTGCAGCTGGACTGACCGCGCAGCTCTATGCGCCCCGCAAGCTTGTCTTCTTTGACATGGATGACTACCGTCTCTCCGTCGCCAAGAGAATGGGCGCCACACACGTCTATAACGCCAGTAACCTAAAAGGCACAGTCCGGGATCTTGCAGCAGAGCACATCGACGAGGCCGATGGCTTTGACGTCGTCATGGAAGCCGTTGGGATCCCCGCGACCTTTAACATGTGTGAGGAACTTGTCGGAAAAGGCGGGCATATTGCAAATATTGGCGTGCATGGGAAGAGTGTCAACTTACACATCGAGCGGCTGTGGGCTAGGAGCACGACAATTAGTATGGCGCTGGTGTCGGCGCACACGATTCCGACGTTGTTGGATTTGTTTGCTGCCGGCAAGATTAACGGGAGCGCAATGGTCACGCACGGTAAGCATGTCCTCCCGTTCAGTACAACGTGTGCAAGTTTTGGAAAGTGAATTTTGTGCTGACAGCTCGCCCTCGCAGACTTCAAGTTCAGTGAAATCGAGAAAGCTTACGATCATTTCGGACGGGCAGCCGAGACAAAGTCTTTGAAGGTCAGCATTGAGTTTCAGACGTGATGGGCAGAGGCCGAATCTGAGAGGAGAGAGGGAGGACTGTATGCAAACTGTAGTCATTGTACCTAAGAATAATCAGAAGTTTGCAGCTCGAGCTGCATCGTTAGTTGACCGGATGGATGTGTAGAGTAGAGGGTGTTTCTCTCCGGAAGCGCGGCGCGCTACCGTGATAGCGTCAACGCCGCAAAACTCTATTGAAGGTACGCTACCTGGTCTGACAGCCGAACAGCAGGACGGCTGCGAGAACAAAGACCATAACAAGGTATGTGCGGGACGGAATCAGGCTTCGACGCATGTGGACTCGGAGACAAGTAGAAGACGGGTGGATGAGCCAAACGGCACCACTCAAAGTAGGTGATGCAAAACGGAACCCAAATAGATGTACCAAGATAGATTACATCTCTGGGAGGCCACGGGATAGGATCATATCAGCCTGCGAGGCGCAGACGCAAAAGTATGATGTCAATAAGTACGACGCTCTATCAGAAAGACGAACAGGCTAGAGCTAAATTTCCAACACGATCTTGTTTTTCCAATAGTGCAGTATATGAGGCACGTCGATAGTAAGGGGTTGGTAGTCGCGTTAGACTAACGCGCAATAGCAAGTGCACCATGACGTGTGCCAAACCACGCGACTAACCTCAACATTTCCTTTTGTTTAACTGTACGACATCTGGTAGCATCAATTCGTTGCCCATCTATTCACATCAACTTATCCGCAAACCACTTACAAACATTACCTGGCTATCATGACGCACACCAAGAAACGCCTCGAAAAGGAATTCCAGAGCTTGCGAAAAAGTCCAGCTGACGGCTATCACGTCGAGCTCAAACATGGCGACATCTTCGAATGGATCGGCACTCTCCACGGCCTTGATAATTCCCCCTACGAAGGCGGTAATTTCGCCTTTCACATACAATTCACCGAAGACTACCCAGAGAAGCCGCCCAAAGTCAACTTCATGACCAAAATCTACCATCCCAATGTTGACGTAAGGACGGGTGTTGTCAGTTGGAAGATGCTGGGAGAGGACTGGCATCACAACAACACAATGGAGAAGGTACTGATGAGCTTGAGGACTTTGTTGGATCATCCGGAGTTGGAGAGCGCGGTGGAGGTGAAGATCGCGAATGAGTATGCGAATTCAAGAGGGGCTTTCGAAATGCACGCGAAACAGTGGACGCTGAAGTGTGCTAAGGAAGATTCTGTGTAACCTGATTTTACGTAGAGGAAGAGAAGGCGAACCATAGACTGCACAGCGATCCCGCATGAATCGGTCAGGCAAGAGGAGCGAATGAATGTGATTAGTGTGTACCTTGATGGCGTTTCTGTTGCATTTTTACCTAAAGGGCATGAAGAAGCTTTCGCAGATGGTGGGAATGGTGGTAGAACGAGCCTTAGACGCAACGTCGGCGGATTTGTTGTGGATGGGGTTGTGAGAAGGAGGGAGGACAGCGTGAGGAGGGAATGTGACGATGGTGCGTTACCGATAACAGCGAGAAAGTAGGAGTGATAGAAGAAGAGGAAAACAAGACCCATTGCAAAGTCATCCAAGACATCAGTGATAACTTGAACGTCTGACAACTTTGCGGGTTAGTGATACCTAGGTATTGCAAACTAGATGAGATAAAGACAGGATAATGGGATTTACTGTCGCATCAAATCCTTTAGAGATTGATATTGAACTCCGTACCCATTGTTGCCAACGAAGTCCAAATTCCACTCGACATCGCCATGCTGTCGTCCACCAGCCAAGCTGAACCGAGATTCCGGTTCCACCAAAGTCGGCACGTCGCTTTCTTTCCCTGTCCAAGGCCCTATACCTCTGCCTTCAGCTGCTATGCGTTGCAACTGGAATGTGGATGATTCCATCCACTCTTGAGTCTTGTAGAGACCGTGCCCTGTGTGGCGTTGTATCCAAGTGAACAACGGCCGGATGACATAGCTGCAAAGAATGCACAAAAGGCCAAACGAGATAGTAGCTGCCATGTAGATGACAGAGAAAGAGGTATGCCGTGCACTACGTATCTTGATACTGCCGCAAAGGTTGCGCAATTCTGGATCCTGTGGTTGTTCGACGTACTGCAAGCTTGAGCTGGTGCTGCTGACATTGTATTCACTGGGGCGACTGTATGCCACAGTTCCACGTTGTGTGTTCGAGAGAGATACGTTCATCCAGTTCATGACCTCGGTTTCCCATTGATTTGAAGGCAGGTTTGCAGACATCTTGAAACCAAACCCGCCATCCCAAAGTGCATCTTGCGCGATCAGGTTCTCCTGGCCAATGAATCCGAGCTGCCACTGCAGCTGGCTGTTTGATAATATCTTTGCTAAAAAGTAGTAGAGGGCCTTCTGAGTAGGATTGAAGTCTGTAAGTGTGGTACCGTTCCATCGGGCTCTATTGGCGAATAAGAGATCTGGAAAGAGTTTGTAGAGGCCAGTAAGTGGAGTACAAGAATGTAAACCTTCGGTTACAGGATTCGATATCGCAGAAGAGTCGGCTGAACCTGCTTTGCAAAACTGATATTGCTCTTGACAGCCAAGGAAGGACAGCGGACTCGGCGCTACGCAATTCATGGGAGTCAATGACCCCTGGAACACAGTGCAATTATCTGCGCGAAACCAAGGATCTGAGACTGAGGCACTGAACAGGTTCCTATTTGTCAACCCGATAACAGTAGTATCTGCCGTTGTGTTTAATAAGTCATCGATTGGTGTGAACTGACTCCAGACCGGGTTCGGAGGTAGGTCAAGGATGGCACTACTGATTCTATGATGTGTCAGTGTGAACTTCTAGATTTCAAGAGGGAAAGTGATTGAGTAAGAGACATGGTGCCGACATATGTGGGTAGGTATGCCAGTGGCAGCCAATACGGTGTGAGGCGAGGGCATCAGATGACAAGAGCAAGAAGAGGGTATGACTGACTGAAGACTGTAAGACTGAACACCTTGCATCCATTGAATCTCGTCCATGCCAGAGGTGTAATTTAAGCCGCTAACAGGCTGCCCAAGGGTCATCGTCTGCGGACCAAACGCGTAGGACTTTACTTTCGTGTCGAGTGGTAGACTTGTTGCAAAAGCTATCTCTGGTATTATCTGCTGCCAACCAGTCGTGTACTTCTCCCCAGCCAGAGGTACGCATGTGAGAACCTTTCTCACGGAGAGAGCATCCTCCGGACGTGTGTTGACTCCCAGATGAATATCGGAACGCAGCTTACCCGTATCAAGGGAGATAGCGGGGCCATTGCATGCCTTCTCATTGAAAGGACACGTTACATTCCGATTGACAATGAAAGGCAAGGATGGCTGCACGAGGTTGTTGCAAGCTGTTGACTTTTCTCCGAAATGGCCGTAGCAAGACCGCGAGTGACTAGCACTTCTGCGCAAGGCTTTACGCAGCATGACGGTGATTATATTCATGTGTTCGTACAGCTTTTCTCTTGGGATGGAGTAGGAGTTGTCGGGCGTGGGTTCCGGTGGGTTTAGATAGGTAGCTTCTTGGACCCAGCCGCAGTGCCGGTCAATGGTAAGCACACTCGGATCCCGAGCGGCGATAATTGTGATCGAGAAGCCACCTCCTAGCGCAAAAATAAGAGCGTACAGACTTGCAAATAATAACAAGACCACGCTCTTGCAATAGACCTTGGACCCGCCGTGGCGGTGTGCCCATGCTATCCTGCTCAGGTGGCTGATGACAGAGGCGCTACTCTCGGTGTTACGGAGCATGAGTTGTAGCTGATGGTGCGAACCAAGCTGCGGTTTGCTTGAAGAGTTGACTTGGTGGACGACAAAGGCGATCGTGCGCCACAGGCAGCGGCCGATGATCGTGATGAGTACGGTGAAAAAACCGACAAGAACCAGAGCCCATTGATTTGGTAGCGTCACGGTCCCACGAAGGACAGGATGATTACCTATTAGACTGTGTCAGAAAGACTTCATCGATGCATTGTGCACTCACTTTTATTATTCCAAAAGCCGCAATATACGGAGTCGCAGTCCCACCATGGTACCATTGTCAAGCTGTGATCTGAAATGGTATCACTGACAAGCGTGGGATGTGATGGAGTGGTCCTATATATGATGAAATAGTCGCCTTTCTTTAATAATAGTCTATCTAGATCTATCTTCAATTGTCTGACACCCGTAGTTCGAAATGCCTTTTGCTTGCAATATGGCTCGCGATTTCGGTACCTTGTTTTGATAGGCCCGTCGTAACTACGCAACTACCACTATCCAAAGAGCCGCTATAGGCACAGCCAACTGCGACTGACCGTTTTCCTACCCTGCCTGCTTCAGCTGCACATGTGACTTCCGTTCATCAGCCGCACACGTGACCACGCTCCAATTGTACGTCTCTCTACGTCACAGTACCAAAACAACATGTCTTACCCCGCCGCATTTTCTCACCCAAGCTTCTACTGTGCCACTTCAGCTTGGTGGCTGTGCTACGCTTAAGTCACCGCTGACCTTGATCCTCTTCTATTTACAGAACCAGTGGTCGAACCAACCCAGTCAGATCTGACTATATATACTGTAGACTATCTGCCATTGAGGTCTATCATCGCACAACTACCTACAGCTGCAACTTCATTTACACAATCTTCCCCATACAAACTTCGCCTCAGCTCTCATCATGCGCTTCTCCACCTCTGCCGTCGCTCTTGCCACCATCAGCTTCGCCTCTGCTCTACCAATGAACACGGACTCTTCTACTCTTACCAACTGCATTACACCATTCAGCAATCCTACATGCTCAAACATTATTAAGCCTGAGGCCACTTCCTTGTACGAGGTCTGGACAGGCGCAGTCCAACACAACAAGATCAACGGCAAGATCTCCAAGGATGGCAAGACCACCGACATCACTACCCTTCTTACCTTCAAATTCCCTCCTGAGTCTGCGGGCAAGACGTGTAGCTTCCACTTTGACCTTGCTTCTGATGCATCAGCAAAGGTCTCCGGTACAGGACAGTTTGATGTGTTTACCTCTCTTGCTCCTGCTACTGGCAGCACATCTTCCTGGCCTTCGGGTAACCTGAGGGACCAGCATTACGGTCGCATGACTGCGAAGCACGGTGGCGCAGCAACTTGGGTATCCGGGTTCCCTACTTTCGGTCAGGGCTTTCCTTGTCCGGCTGGGAACACATACGGTGGAGAGTTAGTGGGCGTAGGCGATGCTGATTTTATCGAGTGGGTCGCTGGAACATCAGGAGCATATATTCAATTCTAGTAGCAGAAGGTGATATTACTGGTCTTAGTAAGCTGTTTTAGTATTCAGCTGTCGTTTAGGATAGGGTTTTAGTAGTTAAAGAGCAATGCAAACGTACCTTAGCTACCTCCCTGCCTCTTTCGTACAGAGCTGCGCTCTGATGCTCAGTGAGAGGAGTACCAATTTGCTTCTGCTCAAGATCGTCCGACATGAGTCTCTCTGACTTCAGCGCAAGATCGATCACCTGGTCCGGCTGAATAGTGGCGTAGCCTCTATCGTGACACTTACTAACGCTGATTTTCATCGTGTTTATCCCTCAGCTGAGGGCGGAGAGGAAGGAGGCTTTAATGTCTAGCCAATACTAATCGTGCCTGGGAAGTCCCGATACTACATCCAACCCCATACACAATTTTCCGCCTCTGGTCATCGTTCCAATGATAGCGCACCAATTCAAGCCTTTATCCCTGCAGCCAGTCCCACAATAGAAGCGCGGAGGTAGTACGGATCCTTCTCAATCCTCTTTCTCACCTCCCCATTCCTCATCTCCTCAACATCCCAACTACACCACACAAACCGGCCATGCAAAAACTCCGCCTCTTGGCTAGCCGCCCAAACTGCAAAGTCGCCTGTTAATTCTTCATCGTCGAACCACTCAGGCTGCCCACCAATCGAGTCCCAATACTCGTTGAAAATGAGTCCTGGGTGGAAAGAAATGATTTGGGTGTTATGGGCTAAAATATCGGAGGCGAGGAGTTGGAAGAGAAGGGTTGAGGTTAGTTTTGAGAGGGTGTAGGCGGGACGGGAGATGACTTCGGGATGGGCCTGAGCGGCTATGGAGGCTGTGGAGATGTTGAGGATGAACTGTTTAGTTATACTCAGTCTACCGTAAGCTTGTAGGGTTTGGCGGAACACTTGGTCACCTTTCGCTTGTCAGGACTACTACCAGGCTGAGTGTGAAACTTCTCAGCGAAGTACAAGGGCGACTTGACGTTCGTCTCCACCTGGTTCCAGACCTCCTCCGTGCCCAGCTCTAACATCGATTTGGGTTCTGTGAACTTCGCTGCGTTGGCGACGTATACATCCACCACTATACCTTCTTCTGCAATTGACTGCCACAGCGCGTCGACATCTGCGGTGTTAGTCACATCGCAGGTCTGGATGATGATCTTGGTCCCTGTACCGGCTTCTTCGACGAGGCGAGCACGCGCTGTCTCGAGGACGCCAGCACGTCGGCCAATGAGGATAATGGTGGCCGCTGAGGCGCGAATGAAGGCTTTTGCCATGGCGAAACCGGCGCCGGTGCCGCCACCTGTGATAAGGATAGCTCGGCCAGCTTGGCTCAGCTCCGGGCGTGTTGGGGATATAGCGGCATACGGCTCACGGTGTATAGTCTTGGTGGCATCGGTGCGTCGGATTTCGGCAAGGACTTTTTTGAGGGACATGGTGACTGTGATCGAGCTTGGAGGGGTTGAAGGCTTCAGGGAGACGATTTGAAGTTCGAGAACAGAATTCGAGACGAACGCGTGTGGTAATTGTCGAAAGGATAAGATGTGGGTAGCAGATAAGATGGTCTGATGGGGTTGAACAGGCAAGCAATTATCCTTATACTTATAGTTGGTGAAGCTAGCAACAGCTTTCTAATACACTCGTCCGCATGCTTTCTCGAACGACTCGTATCGGGTAAGCGTCCGCAGCTGCAGATACAGGAGCTAGATGATTCGGGTTAGTTTCCGCACGCCTTGATGATTACCAATCTCACGTTGGACGTGTCTTTCCATGCTGCCTGCGACCACGGACGTTCGATTCTCAGTTGCTGTAACGATCAGGAAGCGGTACTATGGAATCGAAAGCATGCTCGGCTTGCGCCAAAGCACGAAGGCGATGCGGAAAACAAATACCACACTGTCTCCGCTGCCGGACACGGGGAATTAGCTGTCACTATCCGCTATCAAAGCCGTCGTCATTCGTTGTGCTCGCGAACAACGTTCCAGAGACCTTTGATTTCACACCCTTGCTCTTTGACTTTCAAGCGCCCTCTTTATCCTTCCCGCTCGGAGATGCACAAATTGAAACTTCGTGGTTCGCTTCACCACTGACATGGATGATCGATTCGGCTCCTCCTTCTTTAAGATCCAACCAGCAACGCTTCACTACCACAGACTTAACCCGACTCTTGCGAAAGGTAGTAGACTGGCTGACTGAGTGGGTTGAGCAGGGCAGCAGTCCGTTCATACATCAACAGTTGTACCGACACCAGATGCCTCGCTGTATCCAAGATGCATATATGTCGCTATCTGCTTATCTTCACAAGTCTGTAGCTAGCGAGCATATGCTTTTTCGGATCATCGAAGAGCGCGTACTATCCCTGGTAAAAGAGGGCGTTCCGTCGCCAGGTACAAGCCCGCAAAGTGATGATACGCTTGAGTATCTCGGTCGCGTTCAAGCACTGCTGATATATCAGTGCATCGGCCTATACGATGGCAACGTGCGCCTTCGCCACCTCGCTGAGAAGCACATCCCCGTGCTAGATATGTGGATGATAAACCTACTGCAGCACACCAGCCAAGTACCAAACTGCGGCTCCTCCCTCCTAGCACCACCCAACAATCCCATCTCACTCATGTCCTTCACAACCCCCTCCGAAACCCTCTTTTGGTACTCCTGGATCCTGATAGAAAGCATACGCCGCACCTGGCTAGTGATTGCCGGTCTGCATGGCATCTACAAACTCATCTCGCACTCCACCTCCACCTGCATGGGCGGCACGATGTTCACCACCCGCCGAGGGTTCTGGGAAGCGCCATCGGCGGCGGTGTGGGAGAAACGGTGTATGGATACATATGCGGGGATGGTGAGGCTTACGGAAGTGGATAAGATGTTTGCGCTAGTGCCAAAAGAGGAGATTTGTGAGTTTGCGAGGACTGTGCTGAGTTGTACATACGGGGTCGAGCAGGTGGAGAGGTGGGGGATTGGTGAATAATGTTGCAGCTGTATCTCTTGGCGTGGGCTAGATTGCAGAAACGCGGTCTGTAGTACCCGAAGTTCTTACCTCGAGCTTCGCATCTGCTCATTCATAAGGCTAGAAGGATGAGTTCTGCTTGCATGGCCGCGTCTCGCCTGGCATCACCGGATCATGATCGACTTCTGTCACTGTATGGAAAAACGTCCGTCATAAATTTGATTATGAGCGTTCAACTCTGCAAAAAGGATGGCAGGTCCTGGCTTCCGGCATAACTGTTTGCCGCATCCGGGACGTGGTTGAAAACGACACCTGGGCATGTTGGGTCGCGGTCGCGAGCTGTCGCATAGCGTTTTTATTTCTGATCGCGGAAGGCTACGGAGACGATAACAACAGTTACATTAATATACTGTAGGTGTATCCGGGCCATTCAGCTATGCGTCGAAACTGACATAGCAAAGACGCAGCATGCGTATTGCATAGAGAGAGTGCAGCTGCCAGGGTGGTGGGGCTTGACATGCGTAGGGATAAGATAACATCAGCCTATCATGGCACACCTGCCATATTGATCAGCGCGACGCGTCTTTTGCTGGTGGAGCTCTATTGCTTGTGCCATTATCTCTAATATGACATCTGCAGAACTCTCGAGTATAAGACAGGTCAGCAGCCAGGCCGGGCGCGATGTGCCGCTTATCTGCATGGTGTTGAGACATGCCTTTCAAATTCGTGACGGTGTCGCATCCCGATCCGCTCAAGGACCGAAAGAAACAGGAAGGTATCCGGCAGCATGCCATACGTAACAGCATACAGCGTAGCCGAGTTGATCGTATAAAGCGGAGAGATCTATTTGTGCCTTTTGTAGCAAACGAAAAGCGACAGAAGCGGTTCCCAGTTGTCTTTACGAAAACATCATCTATTGGATTGACGGATCCCTTCAACACGTTTTGCGCCTTTCCTGAAAGGCTGCGCATCCTTTTGCGACATCGTATGTACATGCGCATACTCTCTTATAACGGATGACCATAACGTTAAATAGCATCGGCGAAGCAAGCAGGTGAACCAGTCTTCTGTATCGAAGATTCGGGCAAGGTCTTCTTCCAGGGCATGGACAACGTCCTCAAAGGCGCATTGACGGGCCCCATCCTGTTCTACGCCCTATCGCTCGTCCTCACGCTTTCGGCTAACGCCAACGTTCCAAATGTCGAGATACTCACGTACCGCGGCAAGCTCCTCCAAGGCATGCAAACCGCTATGGTAGACCCTGGGTGGAAGCCAACGGCATCTACTATCACCGTTATGCTTATGCTCATCGGATATGATTATCGCATTGAGACCGGTGATGCCGGCAGCATCTTCACACATATACGCGGAGTACAGATGATGATGAGCTTGTACCAAGCGGGGAACATCGCCGTTGTTGCACAAATGCAACGCGCCTTGTTCTGGCAGGATCTGTTTGGTTGCTTTGTTCTGAATACAATGCGTTCGATTTCGCACAAGATGTATGATGGTTGGAAGAATCCACGGCATATAGATACCCAGCTCTGCTGTGCAACACCTAACGGATTTTCTGGCATGGTTGGAGATTGGCTGATAGAATTCGCCATCATACTGGAAGACCTGGCTATGCTTTGTAAAACCGTGGACGAACGTGCAATTACAGGAGATACGCCATTTGTTGATGATACTCCAGCGAATCTGGAGTCTCGGTTGGTAGACTTGCTTAGCACGTCTCGCCTTTCACAGTCATTTGCGGATCCCATTTACGAAGCATGTATCTACGCGGTCTACCTATGTACGTATAAGCTCTCTGTTGGGATCTGGAATAGCTCCTTCATCCCCGAAATATGCGTCGATCGGATTCTTTCTCGTCTTGCAGCTGCCGCTCATGATCCACGGTTGGCATCCTCACGTTCGCTTTTGTTGTAGTTGGTGTTCCTAGTGGCGGCTTGACCGAACGGTTACGCATCAGACAGAGAGTCAAAACATTGATCAATAGCGTGTTTTTCACGCATCTCCGGATATTGCATGAAGAGTGGGGTAATTTCAAGACCTGTATGATGGCCTTCATCTAATCTGAGCACGCCATTGAAGGGAGAGTCTTCCAATTTTGGCGAGAACTGCATCTAGATATAACCCTGTCTTTGCGTTAGTACAAGGCGAGTAACTCCCCGCACTATACAACGTAGCAGAAATCAGCATCTCAATCGCTGGTAGGATGCTTACTAGATATTTTAAAGAGGGCGCAAGGGCGGAAGTCAAGATGCACCTTCCTATTTGAGGTGTTAAGTTAGCCTCATGACTACCACCTTCAGGCTGCACATCACCACGACTACATCTTCCTCCACCAACATCGTTCAGCATGGCGATCATCTTGCGGGAAGTCTCCGATACTGACATCGCACGAGCTTGCGAAATTGAGTCTCTTGCTTATAAAGACAACCCTCTCAACCCGATTCTCAACCCGGGCCCGTTTTTCCCTGGAGCGCTACAACAAAGGATCCAGCATATCGTTGAGATGAGGAACAACGACTCTACTGCACATTACATGCAGGCTTTCGACGATGGAACTGGTCAGATGGTGGCATGGGCGAAATGGCATATTTTCGAGACCACCGAGGCGGCGGCCGCCTCCTTCAAGCCTCTACGCTTCGGGCCTGGAATGGATCCGGAAGCATGCAAGATTTTCTTTGAAGGGATGGCTGAGAGGCGGAAAGCTATTATGGCGGATAAGCCATACATCTGTACGTTTGCGTGCTATATGTATCGTCGAGCAGGCATATATCTCGACACTAACAAATTCTAGATCTCCAACTGCTATATACGCACCCAGACTTTCAGGGTCGTGGCGCGGGAGGTCTCCTTTTAAACTGGGGTACACAGCGTGCCGAAAAACTTGGTCTTCCTATCTATCTGGCGTCCACTCCTGTCGGTCATCGTTTCTACCGGAAGCATGGGTTCAAGGATGTCGAGGTCATCCGGTTCGGTTTCACAAGTTCTTGTGGACCCATCCATGAACAGCCATTGATGTTGTGGGAACCTTCAAGGCCGTGAGCGGTTTTGGTAGATCATTGCATGTTTGGTGTAAGAGTCTTTACGAACACCGTTGCGAGCGTGTACTATTATTTTACCAGAGACGCATATTATTCTCAAGCCTATACCATGGCTGTCTGATCAAAAGCCCTCGTGCTCGCGATGATATCGTTGCGTCTGGCCTTTTATACACACCGCAGTCTCCGCGATACGCGTCCTACAACGTCGAGTGTCATTGTCGACCTTCCACTACTACAAGAATTACGCACCACAACTCAACCACGGGGTACCTGACCTGCGACCTGATCAGAACCATGACATGAAACGCAAGATTGAGGAGCAACTGTAGAATGAACCGAACTTGGAGCTCGAGCAGAATCCAATGGTCGAGCTTGCGACATGGCACGAGTATTCATTACAGGCTAACAGGATGCTTGTGAGTATGACCCATGTAGATACATACGTTGAGATGGTCAATCAGTACCTGGCGATGTATCCATAGCCAACAAACGAGCCTCCTACAAATCCCGCGATGCCAACAGCATCAGCGGCGCCAACGAAGAAACAACTGCAACAACGACATTGACAATACAAGTGGACCGACCAAAACCAGCGATTTGAACAAAAATCTGTTCACAGATGAAGAAGATCGAGAAAGGAGGGTGGAAACACAGTTAGCGATTTGACTGAGATTCGATTGACGAGAAGGAATGGTAGGTGAGCGGTCGTACATTCCATACTTCGCAGCTACATCTAACGTACTTGTCGAAAGCACGTCGCAGCTTGACCCAAATGTCGCTGCCTATGCTAGGGTTCAACTCTGCGTGTCTAGGACTTTGCGCAGGCTCTACGATACCTTATGTTCTCCATCCTCGTTTGTCTAGTTATACCTATGTTGCGAATACTTGATGATCGGTGTGCAACATTCAGCCACCCTATATGCCTTAGGTTGAACGCTTTAGCAGTGAATCGGCCTAGTTCACTTTAATAGAATGAGATATGCGAAGCGTCTTCTCCGGACCACCCTTGGCGAGGGACCAAACTCAGCCGAGGTTTAGATTATAAGAGATGATCTCATCTACGCGCTCACAATCTTCTCCGACCTATCTCTCTACATGTCACATTATACGTACTTCGCTTGCCATACGTTGTATATCCCAAAATGTGTTCGCTAGTTGCTCATACGAACTTGGACTAGTTACTTAGACCACATGCTGCCTTTGTAGCGTCTCTCCGCATCATTGCTAGTCGGCATCAATTGTAATTACTAAAGCGCTTCAGTCTGTTGACACTAAACAGTGGTTAAAGTGTCGCAGCATTAACGTCGCTATCTAGTTATGCAGCTTCCTTTACTCATCTACATTCACCATCTAGTTTGATGATTACACCATCTGCACATACCACGTAGAAGGCTAGAATTCAGCCTTGTCTTCGTTACCGCTCGCCCGCGCTAGAGATTGCAGTGCAGATCTCCAAGACATTCTATCCACGTGTCTTAGTAAGCTTCCGAAGCGCCATCTGAACTCTATGGGGCTTTTAACACCTTTAGCTGCAAACCAGAATCTTGGTTAGTTCGCGTATATAGGGCCCTTGGAGAAAAAAATGTACACACGTTGATTGGCTTTAAGAAGCTTGAAGCTTATTAGTTGAAGAGTCCGAGCATCAGGTGATGTCTACACACACAGATACCTTAGCGGAACATCATTCTATCTTAACTATGACACGCAAGAACACCATCCTTTGATAACCTGGCACAGCCGCATACCGTCAGGCAGTTGGCATATATCCATCGAAGTATTTGGAAGCTAAGCCGGCATCTCTTCGGTACTTGTTTACAAAGCGACACCTTCAGCGCCACACCGCGAACACCACCTTCTCAGGATCGTAACAGACCACAGCAAAAAGAAAGCCCGACGTGGGGGTCTGTAAAGTGTTAGATGTGGAAATCGAATGGCGGCTTGCGAATTACTAACCGAACCCACAACCTTGAGATAACCAATCGAGTCTAATTAGGACGTGAAAGCTAAGAGTCTCACGCTCTACCGATTGAGCTAGCCGGGCTGGTTTTGTTGTCATGTGACCCACAAGAATTACATTGCTCATATTTTTTACATCGTTTAAGGAAATTTTTATTGCAGTCCCGATTGGGCAAATCTTGGCATGGAAGTATGGATCGCGGCAGCTCTCCCGACTGCCTAGTGCGCCACTACTCGAATTTCTTCCAGCGCCACAACCACAACAAATCACCACTATTCTCTGGACCGCCAACGACCGTAATTGAGCGTCCTAGACGCTGCAGTCTCACCATAGCAATTCCTCACCCTCAAGGCCAAGGAACCTGCCATGCGTAGCCTTTAAGGTAGCATGGTCAATCTGTCGTGACCATATCAGTAGCTGCGCAAGATGTTGGAAAGCTTACGTACCAGCCGAAGCAGTTTTTGGTAACATTTTTTCACTGAAAGCGCTAATGCTCTCAAGTTCAGACCTTTAGAATTTGGGTCCTCAAACGCAACTTTAACCATATCCGTCGCTACCATACTAGAGTTTAATTAGCACTTGAGCATAGAAATGTATTTGTATACTCATTCTGGATATTGAGTTCATATGATGATATCCTGCCACTCGAGGGACAGCCATTTGACGAAGAAATTACCCAAAGCTTTGCTTGCGCCATATGTCGACATGGGAAGCATGTTGTCCATAGTCGACAAGCCTCCATCTATACTGGACATATATATGAACCTCGCCTTGATCTTATTCTCCGCTTTGCGCAGCAACGGAAGTACGACCTTGAAAAAATCCAATTGGCCGTACGCGTTGACATCGATGAGGGGCAGAATGCGTCGAGGTCCGATCTCACAGAGTTTGATGCTACTAAGCGTCATGGCCGCATTGGCAATAACTACATCAAGGCTATCAATTTGATGTTCCACCGTCAGGGATTGGATACTGTGTCTGATGGATTCAGATGTTGCGACATGGATCTCGATCACGATGGGAAAGGATCCAGGGGACTTTGACAGAGTATAAAGAGACTGAGCAACTGAGATCTCGGACTGCCGCAACAAGGGGCGTATTTGAATGCTCGAGGTATGCGTTAAAAAGACTTTTGCCAATATCTGGAAGCACTAAGGTGAGTGCCATACTTGAATCGATTGGGGATGAGGTCTGCTGACCGCGATTTGCGCCCGTGGTGAGAACTGTGTTGGTGGACGGCACCACTAAATCCACTTCAGACTAATGTCTGGAAAGATAATGATTGAGTTACGGTGGTATTGATCTAGACATCTCATCCTTATATACACAGCTGCATCATTCCCTTCTTCCTATAACTCGTCCGTATACCTGTCGCCACCCTCGATTAAACTGCACCTTGAGTCGTTTTTGCCCATGACACAGTAGCTGGAGGGTATGTTGGCGCCGACATTGTAGACCGGTCCGGCACTGTGATGATCACGTTGGGCATGTCTCCGTTCCGGCCTGGTACTCCAAACAACATCGGTCTACGACCAATGTGCGACGAACATGACTTCTACTACTTGGCTTCATGCATCACCTACATGGGTGCTTGGAACTTCTCGTCGGCATCACCATGTTAATTTTAGAGTATTGATGCTTTAGCAACAAGCTCCTCAGATCTCACCTGCAGTCTTTCGTTGAGTATATGCACACTCGTTTGACTATTTAGAAGTATATTTATACATATCTACAAATACCAAACTCATTCATGTGACCCCTAACTATCCTTCACCTCAACCAGGGCACCGAAGTCACCAGACGTCCCGACAGCTCTTTCACAATTCCCCTCCTCTTCCTCTCTCACCAACTTACATCTACGCACTCAACACCTCCACAGCCCCAACAAAAAAGCACATCCAAGCCACTATATCCACCGTTCCCATCCTAAGATTATGCCAACTAACCCACTCCCTCACACTTTCGACCGCACTCCCCTTCTCCATCTCTTTCCCGTCCCTCCTCTCACACATCACAAACAACGCCCTCACACTCGGTCCCACCAGTGGCACAAACCCATAATGTGCCGCCGCCGCCCCAGCCCACCCACATACCACTTCCTGGCTCCCCCCAAGCCCTCCCCCCACAGCCCAAGATTCGCACCCGCAGCCAGCAGCGTAATGCTATTGAACCCAACAACCGACCGCACACCTCTATTAAAAAACGCCACAAACCATCTGGGAACGACTATCTGCTCTGCTTCTGCAATTCTAACCGCTCCCGCATTATCATCTTCCCCGTCTTTCCCATTATCATCCCCTCCCTTATCCTTTTCCTTCTCGGTACCCGGCATCGCGGAATGTCGTCGCCCAAGCAGGAATTGACTAATTCCCGAATCTGTTGGTGGTGGGTAGAGAAAGGACGATGTGGTGACATATTCCATGTATGCGTGTGTGAGAGATGCGGTGCTGCTTAGCAGAGGCGCGATTCTTAGTATTGTGAGAAGGGTGGGTGTGAGTGTGAGCGTAAGTCCTAGCGTCGATGTGGTCGCCATGATGGGCACCTCACTTGGGTGTACTGGTACTTCGGTCTTGAAAGGAAAGCGTTCAGAGTGTGTAGGGATGGAATACACGCTTTGCTGAGGAGGGAATTATTCAAAGGTGGAGTCGTGAGGACGGATGGACTAATGTCAGGCCACCTGTGGTCTGACATCTTTTGTTCCAAACTGGGCGGCGCGTGGTTGGACGCCTAATGGGGGTCGAAAGGCGGAAAAGAAAAAAGGACAATTTGTGCATGAAAAGGTACTAGGCCCGACACCGAGAGAGATGTTTCAAAGCCAAGCCAAGGGTTAGTCCTTCTCGTTACTGAGATCGAAGAAGCTACCATAGTCATTTTGTGGCAGCTTCCGTATCGTGCCACCCCACTGGCTCCTGATTCTGGAAAATTCTTGTTTTGCAGATAAGATCCTTCGGTCGCGTTTTTCTAAGTCTCCAGATTGCATCTTGAAATAATCTTTCATGGAGAGACTCATACGCGAGAGGCCGCCACCGACATGGTTACACTTTACACTTTCGTCTGAGAGTAGTTGATCAAATTGCATCAAAACAGACATAGTTACACAATACAAGCCAGATCTCTCACTTGCCCTTACGGAAACTTCATCTCACTTTGCCTTCTGTTGACGTCTCTACAAGCCTAGGATAAGAATAAAATCGAGGCCAGCGATACCAATGGTTACAGTGAAGAACTGGTCAAGGCGTCTGTTGGCGAAGAAAGAGAATGGACACATGCATCTATTCTTCTAAGCTGCGACAACAGCGTTAGTGCAAGCCAAGTCCTGGAAATAAGGAGGAGTGGTAGCCGTGACGTATTCACAGAAACCGAAAGATAACTGGCGTGCTTCAACCATCTTCCCCCGTGGTTAGAACACGACAAGACGAAGCAAGACTTAATAACATGACTTTTATATTCTATGCATTGAATTCCGGTATATCATCCCAAAGTCAGATACCAAACGCCGATCATGCATTCATAACCCTCCTTCCTCCTTCATTCTATCCTTCCTTCGCATCATCCTCTAATCCACATACTCCGACCGCACCTTCTTGGCCCTCCTCTTGTTAGCCTTGAAGTGCTTCTTACTGTTCATCTTCATCTCCGTAGGATCAACATCCGCCTCAAGCGCAGCGACCATCTTCGCTTTCCTACCACTCAGCTCCTTTCCCTGCTCACTGTACTTGTAGTGAAACGGTTGGTTGACCCTTCCCATACCCTGCCCAGGGCCGAAGAAGCGCTTGTCCATACGTTGTGTTTTTTCACCTTGGACAGGTACACCACCGTCGAGGTCGTCGTCCATGAGCGACATGTCGTCAGCCTCCGGACCAGCGAGGGAAGTGTTACCAGGAAGATTTGCAAGAGGGTGGTGTCGGCGCTTAGCGGGGAGATGGTTGATATCGTAGAGTTCGCGGTTGAAGTGCTTGGGGTCTAGCGGAGGGTCGGTGGGTGGGGGGTGGCAGAAGAGAATCTTGCCCTTGACGTAATCTTTGAGGATGTAACGTGCTGCTCGGGACTCATCTGGTTGACCTAGACCTTGAGTGGAGAAGCCTCTGGCGATAGCGTAGGCACGGAGGACTTCGTCAGAGGTCAGGATGCCGGTTCCGCCTTCTTCGATGGGTCGAGGATGGATCTTCATTCCGTATAGCGCCTCGAGGAATGGTTGCGGGATGCGACGTGCGACAAGGCCTGCGGGACCGGTGTACTCTCGAAGCTGATCGATTGGCAGGACACCAGCACAGACAAGCTCTGCTTTGGTTGTTGCGAAGTTGGGGAACACTAGACCGGGACAATCACAGAGGACAACCTTTTCGCTGAGATGAATGGTCTGGAAATGCTTAGTCTTTCCGGGTGTGGCAGACACAGACACTTTCTTTGCGCCAATCAAGGCGTTAATCGTGGACGACTTTCCGACGTTGGGGTAACCGACAAGACCAATCGATGTCTTTCGCGGCTCACCGTTGGGTCCGGTGTCGACATCAGGCGCATGTTGAAGGAAGAGGGCTTCGAGATCCTCGGTAGTCAATATCCGCGTGCGCTCGTCGCCATCAGCCTCTGACTGGCTCGCGCCTGGTACGTCGACTGTCTCTTCATCCACCCACTGTTCCTTCTCCTCTTGCTTATCTTGCAAGTCGATCTTCTTGGCCTCTTTTGCAAGCTCATCGCCTTCTGCGTCGGAGTCCTCACCCATGCCATCGTCAGTCAGCAGTTCGTCGGAGTCGCCAGACTCATCCGATTCATCGTCGTCCTCGAGTCCAGCGCGAGCCTCGTTGATCTCTTTGGCGAGTTCAGCCGAGAAGAACTTGTAGTTGATACCCGCTTCAGTGAAGTAGTCGGCCCAGGCCTTTCGTTGCTCCAACGTCATCATATCTGCCTTGTTGACCAGCAACAGGTTGTTCTTCTTGGGGTCTACCTCCTTGACGTAGTCTTCCAAATCCTCGGATCGGAACATGAGCGGGTTTCGAGCGTCTACAATCTGCACAATCAGATCCGACCTTTCGATAACACGCCACAACTGCCTCCAAACCTCGAGGTTGCGCTCGAAGGGTGTCAGGAGGAGATCGTTGTTCTCTTGTAGTTCAGCCAAGCCTCTCCGCCACTGCAGTAGGGATGCCCTCTCCTTCTCGTCCAACTCTTGTGGCGTAGTGTCCTTGTCCCAGCGAGGTCGCCTCGGCACAGTCAACCTGTTCTTGTTCTCCTTGTGCCGGCGAGTGGCATTGCGCTCTTCAAGTGGCGAGAGGAGGTATGGGTTCTTCTGGTCCTTGTGAATGATCTTGACGTTGTTCATCTTCTCGGCGGTGAAGTCGGTACCGGCCAACTCTGCAGTCGAAAGGAAGTCGTCGAGAGCGCCCTGTTCGGTAACGGAGCGCATCTTCATGTATGAAGCCTCCTTCTTCTCGTTCGTGATGTACTGGAGAATGTTAGTATGAGTCCTCCAATGGCCGTGTGCTCTTCCGGACGCCGCCTAAGACATTTCGCGATCCTCGTACAAGTGCGCAAATATCCAGAGTGGGTGTAGCATGCCACAACATACCTTTTCGCCATTCTGACCTGTTCGCTCGATACCCGCATTGAAGTTGCCCTTGCGCAGGTTGTCGCCCTTTCCCTTTGCGAACCTATCGTTCATCAGGCTGTTACCCAGCCCGACACTCTTTTTGGATTTGGCGAGCACCATATTTGCGGTTGAAAGTGTGTGTTGTGTGGTTGTGGCGGGTGTTTTTGACCCAATAGAGGGGTGAGTGGAAAGAGAAAGTTGCGACGGGAGTTGCCCCACCACGTCATTCACCGGCTGCCTCGCCTAAATTATTTTTCTGAGCGCCCGACGCCAAAAGACCCTTTGTAAGCGCCTTCCCCAGAATTCTACGACAGTCAATACTCGCCACTGCCGTAGAAATCATCGTGAACAGTCACGCAACCCGCCACGATGCCTCGCCGACAATTCATGTGAGTGGAGAAATTTGGGTGCGCAATCAAAAGTACCCCGCTAACCCCGCGACAGCGATAAGAAGACTGCGACAAACTTTCGTCTCGTCCACCGCGCGCAAAATGACCCCCGAATCCACGACGAAGATGCCCCGCAGATGGTCTTCGCTGAGACCATCGCGCCGAACCAGCGCGAAGAGTCCGAGCCGGCGGGAAGTTCACGTGCATCGCAATACTCGGCAGCGACGGGACGCAGCAAGATCAAGTCAAGGCGCGACCTAGAAAGCGAGTATGGCGCCAAAGTACGGAAGAATGAGGGTGAAGCCGCCAACTACGGCATCTACTACGATGACACAGAGTACGACTACATGCAGCACATGCGCGACCTGGGCTCGGGCGCCGGCGATGCATACTTTGTCGAGGCCAAGGCCGAGAAGAAGGGAAAGCAGAAGATGGATTTGGCGGACATGCTGCGCGACGCATCGCTGAGCGACAGCCGAAGCCAGGCTGATCTCAGCGTGAGCAGCAACATCAGCAGCGTGAGCGACTTTTTCGGAGAAGACATGGCACCTTCAGAGTTCGTACGCAAGTCAACCTACCAAGACCAGCAGAACATCCCAGACGCCCTCAAGGGATTCCAACCCGACATGGACCCCCGACTACGAGAAGTGCTCGAAGCGCTAGAAGACGAAGCCTATGTCGAGGACGACGAAGACATCTTCAATGAACTAGCCCAAGATGGCTACGAAGTTGACCAACGAGAGTTCGAAAGCGCCGACTTTGACGCCGACCAAAGAAACCTCATGGACCGCTTCCTCGACGAAGAAGACCCAGGTTGGGAAACCGACGACACAATCAAAGCCTCCTCCCCCAAACTCCGCGCCCAGAAACCCTCCAATGAACCCACCGATCCGTCCTCCCTCCCCGCTCCAGATGAAGCCCCCGCCCCAGCCGACGCCGCAGACATGGCCTACCTAGACGAATTCAAGAAATTCAAACAAGACGTCAAAGCCGCGAAGCCCACCGCCAACAAGCCGGCAGCAGACGACCAATCCTTCATAACAGGCGCCTCAGCCCTCACATCCGGCGGCCGCAGGAAGAAGCGAAAAGGCGCCAAGACATCCACCTCTGGCTACTCCATGTCTTCCTCCGCTCTCCACCGCACTGAAGGTCTCACCCTGCTCGACCAGCGTTTCGATAAAATCGAAGAAGAGTACGCTGATGATGGTTTTGGCAACTACGATTTCCCCGAAGACGACGATGCTTCCATGGTGTCTGGAATGAGTAAGATGAGCGGAATGAGCAAGATGTCTGGTATGAGCGGCTGGTCAAGTAGCGAGGCGCCGCCACTAAGATCGGATTTCGATTCCATCATGGATGACTTTTTGGGAAACCATCATACGCAGGGCAAGAGTGGACGTAGGGTTAAGAAGGGGAAGCAGCAGAGTGGGCTTGAGCAGTTGGAAGAGGTGAGGAGAGGACTGGGAGCGCCAAAGGTTAAGCCGCAGGACAGGTTCAGTGTCTTGAGAGCTTGATAGGTGAGATTCACGTCCTTTTCTTTTGGTATGACGGATATGAATGTATGCATTGTTGGCGTTCTGGGAGAATTGGTAAAAAAAAAAGGTATCAGGTTTTAGACAAAGGCTAGGATATATTATACCCGTATTCACAAGTATACAGTAGGCGCGGGCGCGAGTTGCGATGTTCCGTTGCGATGTTCCGTTGCGATGTTCCGTGGCGATGTTCCGTTGCGATGTTTCATTGCGCGGTTTCTTTGAGATGCTCTCGGGGTAATGTTGGCGTATGCTGACTGCTTGTGGGGCCGCATGCGGGTTCTGCCGCTACGATGACCCTGCGTACGCCCGGCAGGTACCCGCCTAGATTTCACCTACGTAGCTGGAAGGTGGTTCCGCCAGAGGATGCAAGCAACATCTTGAGTCCTTTTTCATTGGTGGTAAATAGATCCCTGTAGTGACGGTGTGATGGAAACACTCTATGATGGACGATCTAGACCGTGACATCTTCAGCATGTTGGATCTCCAGGGTCTTGACGGGGTAGTCGTACGATAGCGGTAAGTCATCTCTGCGGTCTGAACGCCCGTTCCGCAGCTCGCAGGGCGTTAGAGCAAATTAGGTCTCTACCGGTCGAGTCTGAGAAGGCTGATTTCCTCGGATTCCACGTAACATTGCAACGGTTTGGTATATTGGCAACAGCAAGAAAGTGTAGTGCGGATTGATTTGCGCTCTGATTAAGTATGAGGGATATTCTCCAGAACTCGGTGATTCTATCGCTATAGGCGCAGCTTCGGTCAGACTCAGGTTTGTATCGTCGTATGGTTTTGGAATTCAGGCTGAATGTCTGTTTTAGGTGTGCTCTTGTCTCTCAGGCGCCCTGTGGTGGACCCTGAGGCTTCAAGTGGACATACTTGGCAAATCCTCGACTTCACTCTGCGGGGAGAATTGGAGTTGCTGTGCTAGAGGGATAAGCTAAGGCAAGGCCACCCTCAGTATACGAACATATTTGATTAAATGGGGCAACAGCACAGCCGTCAGACTTACACCAAGCAAAGGACAACAGGCAAGCTGCATACGCGCCCTGTAAGATGGGAGGCGAATCTTATGATACGCAAAAGAGAACATTGGTAATTTGCGGTGAAGAGCAGGGCGTGAAGCAGCTATGCTAGGCTCACCTGCAGCTGTCGGCGCTACAGAGATGATCAATCGGCGAGTTGCCTGGAAAGAGAGAGGGTAACTCAGACTGCATTCAGCAACGCCAAGTTGACAAGAAAACGTATATAACTCTTGATCACTCCTCCTCATTTTTCCTCATCATTACACTCACATTGATCACTCAACTCATCAATCTCGCCTCGATTCGAGAAGCCGTAACGATGCAACTCACCAGCATCCTCTTCTACGCTATCTCAGCTACAGGCGTCCTCTCAGCTCCCTACGCTGGCGACACAGGCGCAGCTCCCGATTTCGAGAACTCGTCCACCCCACCCGCAAACACACCATGGTTGAGCTTCACCGATAAAGCCGTATGTGAAATCAGGTTTCTTTGTTTTGCCCTCCATACCTACCTCGATAGGCAGTTACTGACACCCCCATCTTACAGAGTCCCCTCGACCGCCGCGCTTGTTACTCAGCCGCTCCATACGGATGTGACATGGGCAAGAAACGCTGCTGGAAAGTCTGCGGTGATGGCGGAAAGTGGTGCTGGACTGCCAAGGGTGATGGATCTGGAGACTGGATCGGATGTACCGACTGGGGTTCGTGCAACCAGCAGCAGTCGTGTGGCAAGAACTGCCACCACCCTGAGGAGTGCGGATGCGGTTGCTAGAAAGTGATTTGAAGAAGGGGGGAAATGATGAGCTGCTCCATTGCAGGATATAGTGGCTTAGGGGACTGGGGACTGAAAATTTGAGAACCCCTATCAGAAAAGAGACCAGCTTACATTGTCGTGTTTGTCAATGAAGTTTGAAAATCATGTTGGAATTCAAGATGTTCAAGGGCCATGTGTTGCAACTCTTCCACTTATTACACGGGGTCGCTATACTGCTCTGTAATCCTGGTCCGCACTAAAGCGGGTGAGACGTGGTATTGGAGTTCCGCGTGGGTTATCTGGCGACTAGGTGGGATAGTAGGCATTTGGAAATGACATTCCGATTCTATGTGAACTATAGAATGACTAAGTAATAGTCTAGGTAAGAGATGAATCTATAAGAGCCGGCCACAACAAGCGTGTAACGAGAGACCTCCACAACTCTATACTTGTTGCCTTATCATAGTACTGCCCTCACTGCCACACCTCCTGTATGTCTTGCTTGCCTGATAGTTGTGATGGTTGAACATCACAACTTAGCAACCATCACTCACTAGCGCCTAATGGCTAGTCTTAACGTACTATCAATCACGTAGCCAAGCGCCTCGCGATAACCTTTCCTATATTCCTTTGCTTCGGTTGGCCCTTAATATTTATTAACCTACTAACTAGACTTGTTAGCAGTGGAATGACGATTTAGACTTGATGTTTGCAAAGACAATGCCGTTCATGATCATAAGTTCATTCATTGATATCATAAAAAATCGTGATTAAGCATCAGAAAACCCATGCCTTATCCGCACCACATCGTTCTCATCTCCATCGCAGTGATCCATCACACACTGCCACCTTCCTTCCAAACCCTCCAACCTAAGCCTTAGGCTCAACACTGCTCTGCGCAACACCCCTCTGAAGCGCCTTCTTGCTAACAAGCCTGAACCCACCAACAAGCATAAGCAGCGCCAAGCTACCCAACACAACAGCCAAAGTGACAAAAGCACCGATAACACCACCAATAGCAGGCGAGATATCGCTGCCGTTGCTGCCACTCTGTTGCGAAGTAGCAGCATCGTTGTTAGCAAACGCAGCGCAGGAACCAGCAGTGTTACCACACTTGTTGCACCACTGCTCCGTAGTGCTAATAGCAAACTTCTTGAGGTTGTCTTGGAAAGTGTTCCAGGATACGGCGTTGTCGCTGCCGCCGAAGAGGGGGTAGACGGTGGGCTCGCTGGAGTTGGACGCCGTGCCGTTGTGGAAGAGGAAGCGAACCTGGAGATCATCGCCGCTGGGGAAACCAGAGCCTACATCCGCGTTGGTGAAGAGCTCAAAGACCATGGAGCTGGCGTAGTCGACGACGCCAGTGAAGTCGTCGCTGACTTTTTGCAGGTCTGCAAGGCCGAAGAAAGACATGAAAGTAGCGTAGGCGCCGAATTGGATGCCGAATTTCTTGGAGCCAGAGGAAGAAATGATGTTGTTCATGTAAGATAGGATTTCTCCTGCGAGTTGCATACCAGCGACGGCACGCATGTTGTCGCTGGCGTTGTAGGCCAGACCCCATTCGTGGGCGTCGGCAAGGGTCTGGAGCTGGTGGAGAGTGGAGTTGGTCAGGGCATCTGAGTTGGGGATGCTGGAGTTGTGGATTTCGGCTACGTGAATAGTGTCGTAGACTAAATGTGTTAGTTTGGAGCGCAGATACGGGAGTTTTGGGTAGACGTACCGACGTAAGCATTCTTGAAGGTCACCTGATCATCGGCCATCACGCCGTTGATTGAGGGAACAATGGAGGAGTAAAAGTCCCCGGTGCTGGAAGCAAGGTTCTTGTAGGACTCGCTGTCGAAGTAGGAGTTTGAGCTCGTCTTTGCGTTTTGGCAGCTCGATGCATCCTGTAGCCAGCCGTTGTCTTCAGAGCCGGAACCGGTTTCGATGGTGTTGATGGGGATGAGCTGGTAACCGTCCATTGGCGCCTGTACGTTCTGGCCACTTGCGAGTGTCTGGACAGTCTGAACAGGTGGGTATAGACCCTGGAGGAAACCCATGGCTGAGTTCTGGAGGACATTGTCGACAGGTGCTTGGACCTGAAGCTGCGAAAGCTTGACTTCATCCTCATTGATGCCGTGGATCTTGGAGTCGCCGGACAGGTAACGCGAGCGATAGTACTGGCCGGATGTGTAGACCTGCTCGTAACCGAGGGTAGTCAGGTTGGTGGGAGCAAGAGCCTTTGGTGTACGGTCACCATGGCGGTGGAAGATGTAAGCACCAAGAACGGTCTCAGCTGCCTCGGCGCCAGCGAGCAGAGAGAGAGCAGAAACAGCAATGACGGACTTCATGGTGGGCAATTGATAGCTTGTCAACGAAGGAAGCTATTCACAAGAGCGAGTGAAGCAAGTGAACCCAGTGCAAAGCAGCGAAACTCACGAGCAAAGGTGGGATAGAAAAGAGGGTAAAGGCGGACGTCAAGGCATGACTTATACCAGCTATCTCGCTGCATGCCCCGCTGAGTAAAGCAAACCAACTCCGGAGTAAACAATAGCAGCTAGATAGCAAGAGCCATGCCGCCCAATCCGAAGAATCTCCAACCCATGGTATAGCGGGGCACACGCATGGTTCTTTCCGAATCTCGCAACTACGGGAGGGGCATGTGTAAGTGGGGGTTAGAGCGACCCACTGCCCGTGACAAGCTTTTTCCGCGCAACAGGCATCTTTGGCCGAGAATGACTGTCAGCATTGAATAAGTAACAGTCAGAATGACGATACATAATTCACCCGTCGCTGCCGTACAATATCTCACAGACGCCGCCGATTGGTACATCCATCACGGCATCTGTTCCCGTGCTCCAGAAGGCCTTCCAATCCACTTCGTCTGACGCACTAAATTGATATGCTGAGAAAGAGCTTCGTCGACTAGGAGGTGCACTCGCTCTAGTACCTTTTTCCTTGTCTTTATCGTGAAGCTTGTCTGTTACTAGCACCGGATCGCGGACTATCTGTCCAGTTATCCGATCAACAACAGCTATCTGTGCGCATTCATCGACGAGGTTCTCGCAGCTGCTCAGCGGTAGTGTGAGGTAGCGCGTGTTATAGCTTGCTAGGGCAACGTAGATGTAGATGACTAGCACGACCAGCCAGCATGGCACTGCGAGCGCCCACCACCTGTTCGGGTAGTAGTGAATTCCCATCTGGTGCAACATGGGAGCTGGTACATAGGCCCAGAGGATGTACATGAGAAATGCGGCAGAGCTGCCTAGGTACAGTGCAAAGCCGTAGTATTCGTATGTAGGGACTTTCGGCGAGGCCCGAGGTACTGTCGGCGCATGCCGTGCCGAGCTCGCGAGGTTCGTGGGTGTGCTTGTGCCAGTGGTATGCGAACCAGCTCTAGTATATCCTTCTACATCCGACGAGTCTGGTGTTGTAGGTCTCGAGGTCGGGCGGCTGAACGCGGGTCGGAGGAGCGACGTCAATGATGGGGACGGCGGCAGCGGAGTAGGAGGTCTGTTGTAAAAGGGTGGAAAGAGCGCAGTCGCAGTATGTCGCGGGAGGTGACTATACGATTTAGAGGTATACAGTGGTCGAGACGTATGCGCTGGCTCCTCTTCGTCCTCTTCATCCTCACTCGCTACGTCCTCTACCACGAAAGGCTCCTCGTCTTCATCTTGGTTATCTTCTACGGAGGCCGCCTCCGAGAGAGCGCTGTTCGATACTGGCGACAAGGGACTTGCTCCTGGACGAGTAGCGGATCGTGGAGGGGAAGCATGTGTATGATCTTCGCGACCGTCCCTGTCGAATGACCCTAAAGTGGGTAGATTGGGCGTCGATTTCGAGTAGAACCCTGAAGGAACAGAGTCCCCTCTACTATGGGGCGGCATGTCGTTGGGATGTAGTTTGGCGCGAAGTGCCCAGGTGAGCCTCATGCACTTATCGCGTGCTTGAGCCTCTCAATTACGCGTTCGCGCTAGCGGAACCATTCCGCTGCTATTTGCCCTAACATGTTTCACAAGCGAGTCGCCCGTACAAGCGAGGCGCCCACCCCACCAAATTTAATCACCTTTAACGTGCCCCACTATCGAGATGCGCACACCATCGAAATGCGCACGAAATACAGCAATCTATGTTCGCATGCGAATAACTCAACACCACAACAAGCTATCTACGCATTTAATAGCTCGAATTAATCCTCTACTTCTGCTGCATATTTCTTGCATGTGCGCTTATTATGTCCTGCCTCGCCGCAGTTCTTGCAGCGTCGGATACCTCCTGCACTACCACCTGCGCGCACCCTCTCCTGACGCCTCTCCACCTCTAACTGGATCTCAACATCCCTTTGCTCAACTATATCCTCTGCCTCTGCCTGCGATAGGGTTCCTCCCTTCTGGATTCGCTTTTCTTGCGCTTTATACGTTTAGATGCTGCCTGGTTTGCCTCCTCAAGGTTGGCTATTCTAGCCTCTAGCAACGTGTGTGAGTGCACCTTCAAAGTTGATCCCTTTTTGACCTGCAACACTATCTCAATGATAGAATCAGGTGATGATTCCTTGTGATCTGTTATCCTCTTGACAATCAGCGTTGTTTGAGCCTCTATCTCCCAGGCGTTGCTTGGTGTTTTAGGTTCCTAAGGGGTAGGCCCTAATGCAGGTGGTGTTGGCGTACGAGGCTGTACTTTAAGCCTAGATAACACCACATCTGGGTTATGTGGGACTAAGCCAGTTGCTTGAAAGCTTGATAAGATATTGTTCTTTGAGAACGCCTTGTCAAATATTGGCCTGAAGGCAGCTAGGAAGGCTTTCTTGTCGATGTGGTAGATGTGGCTGTCTGCCAAGCCCCTGACTTCCTTCTTGTACGCCTGCTTCAGCGGGGCAAAACAACCCACATCAAGTGGCTGTAGGATGTGCGATGAGTGTGGAGGCATGCAGAGGGTGATAATATTGCTTTCCTCACACAGATCCTGGAAGGCGAGCGACTTGTGGCTCTCATAGCCATCAATAATAAGCAGCCGGTGACTACCCACTGTGCGAGCCTCTGTATGCTGGATAAAGTGCTGCAGCCATGCAAGACCAAGCTCGTTTATTGTCCAGCCATTCTCACTAACTCCTATCCTCCAATCTTTAGGGTTGTGATACCAGGCCTGGTTATGGTTCTTTGCCTTGAAGATGAAAAAGGGTGGGATGGACCACCCCATCGCGTTGATGCCAGCAATCAGCGTTGCCCACTCACGATCGCCAGGCTGAACACCAAGTGGCTTGAGACGTCTCTCAGAGGCTGTTACTACCTTAACAGACCCTCTAACGCCTATCTGGAAGCCAGTCTTATCAAAATTATAGACGTCTTCATCTAGAATCCCATACTTGGCCTTGACGTTGTGTACAAGATTGAACCAGGGCCCAATAATAGCTGGGTCGCTGCAGAGGACTCTCTGATGATCCCGCTGTCTTGTTACCTGAGATTTGATCTCAGGTCTCCGGCGTACAAGCCTGTAGGTCCAGTTTTCTCCAACCTGGCCACCACTACGTGTAGCTAGTAGTTGGTTGGCCATTTCTCGCACATAGTTAAGCGTAGGGGCGAAACCTCGCGCGTCAAGCTTCCTTATATATTGTATAATCGCCTCCTCTTCATGTCTCTGGAGTTTTGATCGGTTGGGTTGAGTATCGCGTCGTGAAGCCTTCCCAGCGCGTCGATTGCGGAGAGTGCTTTCATGTATATCGTAGCGATGCGCGGCTTGTCGCTGGGTAAGCGACGCGTTAGATTTCATAGCTTGGATAGCCTGGATGACTCTGTCTTCAGTAGAAAGCAGTTCAAGATTTGGTAGTTGAGACATTGTAATAGAGAGTTGAAAGTGGTGGGGGCTTGGCAGAGTGCGCATTTCGATGGTGTGCGCATCTCGATAGTGGGGCACGTTACAGCTTAAATCAATTATGCCTCGACACTAACAAGCTCTAGCACGCTCATCTAAAGCTAATATACAGATAACTATCTTATCTCTTAATAGGCGTCAGATAAAATCTGTACGAGCAGCTGCTCAGACCTTTAATGTCCCTCGTACGACGCTGCGCGACCGACGCGCTGGCAAGCCTGCTCGACGCGATTGCCAGCCCAACTCAAAGAAGCTTACCCAGCTAGAGGAGGAGGTAGTAGTCAGCTATATACTTAATCTTAACTAACGTGGATTTCCGCCTACGTACGCAGCTGTGCGCGATATAGCTGACAAGCTGCTGGCTGCGCGTGGCGCAGGCCAAGTTGGCGTCCACTAGCCGCGCAACTTTGTTAAGCGTACAGACAGTCTCACAACACGTTTTAGTCGTACATACAATAGGCAGAGAGCTCTGTGTGAGGACCCAGTCCTAATTACCTCCTAGTTCAAGCTTGTAGAGGAGACAAAGGCCAAGTACGGCATCTGCGATGAGGACGTCTACAACTTTGACGAAGCTAGCTTTATAATAGGCAAGATTACGACTCAGCTTGTCGTGACAGGGTTAGAGAGGAGAGGCAGGCCAAAGGCTGTTCAACCAGGCAATCGTAAGTAGGTGACGTTGATCGCTGCGATCAACGCAGCTGGCTGGTCAATCCTACCGTTCCTCATCTTTACTGGCCAGTATCACCTATCTGCCTAGTACGAGGAAGCAGAGATCCCACGCGACTAGGCGATCGCAGTTAGCGACAAAGGCTAGACAAACAACGAGCTTAGAGTTGAGTGGCTAAAGCACTTCAACGCTCACACGAAGACTCGCGTTGTTAGTGCACGTCGCCTGCTCGTCCTTGACGGGCATGAGAGCCATCACTCTCTCGAGTTTCAAGAGCTCTGCAAGGAGAACAATATCTACACGCTCTGTATGCCACCTCACTCATCTCACCTACTGCAGCCTCTTAACGTTGGCTGCTTCTTGCCGTTGAAGCGCGCGTACAGTCGTGAGGTGAGAGCCTAATCCGCCACCACATCAACCACATCACCAAGCTCGAGTTTCTGCCAGCGTTTAAGGCAGCGTTTAATCAAGCTTTCACACCAGTCAATATCTGCTCAGCTTTTCGAGGCGCAGGCCTTGTTCCTCTCCAGCCAGACGCTGTTCTATCAAAGCTAGACGTGCAGCTGCGTACGCCTAGTCCAGCTGCTCTACCAGAGGCTCTCTAGGAGGCTCGTACGCCAAGCAACGTACGTGAGCTTGAGGCTCAATCAACGTTGATACGTGATCGCGTGCGACGGCACAAGAGCTCATCACCAGCTTTAATTATTAAGGCGATTAACCAGCTTAAGAAGGGCGCTAAGGTAATAATGCTCTTAGCTAAGCTTATGCGCGATCAGATCACTAGCCTTAAGCGAGCTAATAAGGCAGCGTCAGCGCGTAAGCAACGGAAGAAAAAGCGTATACAGAAGCGAGGGACCTTAACAAAGGGAGAGGGGGAGGATATACTCACTCAACGTGAGGTTAAGCAGCAGATTGCTTATAAAGAGCGTCAAGGAGGAGCGCGATCAGGCTTTAGCCGTCAGGCTCTCGCGCGCTGCACAAGGTGTAGAGAGACGGGGCATAATTTGCGTACGTGCAAAAAGGATACTGCAGGTACTACTTAATCTAGTGTATAGATGTTTATATATTGTATTAACACGTTGTTAAGTTACACGTCTTTAGGTGTAATTAAAGTTGGCGGGGTGGGCGCCTCGCTTGTACAGGCGACTCGCTTGTGAAACATGTTATGCGAGATTCACGACGCGTCTACCATACGACATGGACGAAATAAATTTCTAAAGTAACGTGGTCCATCACCAAGATGGATGTTGCAAGTTTGTTCAGACTTCCGATATGTAAACTTATTTGAACGTGATCAGGTGGTTAGATGTCTCATCTCGAAGCTATCCTGATTTGCAGGTGCAGGCTGACAAGGAACTGCAACACACCCACTTGTACGGTGCTCTTAGAGATTGAAAAGTGCAGCTAGAGCGGATAGGTATAAAGTTGAAACGAAGGGCTTTGTAATGCTCTGAGTACCGCTGACATCCACCACACAACAAAGAAAGGCTATTTATAAGATTTTCGCTATGTGTGCTAGATCTTCCAGTCTTACAAATAGAAACAAAGACAAGCAGAAACGAGAGCAGAGAAAGGAAAAGCTCCTAATCAAGCCCCTTCCGCATGGGGGAAGAAACTCTCGAAGTCGGTCATGGCGAATCCAGTCCACCCATTTGTACCTGGATCAATGAAGCTTGTTTCGCGGTTTGCCATAGCCTTCGAAAATAACTCATCTGCCAGCTCTTTCGCAGCATACTGCAAATTGTCTTCCGCGAACTCAACAGCACGTCGGTACTGTTCGTTGCCGTTTGCAAGGAGATCTGCGCCATGATGTACGAGGAAGAGCATCATCTCGATCCGTCCATGTTCTGCGGCGCCTTCAAATGCAGTCCTTCCGTCGAAAGGAGCTGGTTTCGCGTTGATTTCGGCGCCCGCATCCAGCAGAATCGTTGTGATACCAACGTTTCCTGCGATCGCTGCTAATTGGAGTGCTGTCGCACCTGCTTGAGGTGCCGGAGGCTCGTTTGAACAGACACCTTTGCCTAGGAGATACTTTACAATATCCATGCTCCCAACTTGAGCTGCTGCCTGCAATGGCGTTCGCGGAATTCCCCATTCGGCTGGTAGTGTTATATTCGCACCGTTTTGAAACAGTTTCCGAACAGTCTTCAATGAATCCAGGGCGATAGCGTAAAGTAGACAAGTCATGCTACCATGATTGAGAATTCCATGGATAACAGCGTTGATGTCCGTGACCAAAGGTAAGATAAGGTCAAGCACTTCATCAGTACTACCGCTTGCAGAGTGGAAACGTATTACTTCGCCGAGTGGACTTGTAAACTCATTGAGGGCACTAAGAGCAGGACGTGAAGGTGGAGGTGGATACGAATCTGGATACACTAATCGAGGCCGAGGTAGAGGCCGAGCTTGATACACAAGTGGTGGCAGAGTATCCAGGTTAAATTCCTGATTTAATGCGATGCGCCCAGTCAGATCGGCATCTCTAGCAAGAAGCAAAAGCAGCCGTATATTACCGTGCCTTATGATATGGAAGAGTGCGTCCGAGCCAAAATCTCGTGCTCCGTCCGGGTATCGGGTTCTGAAAGCAGAAACCAGCAACGTGATAACATCTTCCCGTTCTAGCACAGCAGATACAAAAAGGGCACAGTTATCGAAAGGATCTGCTCCTATGCGCAATAGTTCTTTGAGCAAAGGAAGGTTGTTTCTGACCGCGCCAGCGGCCAGCGGCGTTAGGTCATGCCCGTTACTGGTGTGGGAGACAGGACAGTAATCCGCGCCACGAGCTAACAAAGCTTCCACTGCTGTTGGATTTCCCTTCAGGATGGCAGTGCTCAGAGGTGTAACAATCCAACTTTTAAAGCGTATAGGCCGTAGCTTTGGCGGTATGCTCCAGTCCTCGAGCTTTCTCGTCAGTATTGTACCATAAATGTTGACAGGATGCCCTGCCCGAAGTACATATTGGATAACTGTTTGATCGCCCCATCGCAAAGCTTCAAGAATGATGACTTGGTCAGCAAAAGCCTTTGCTAAGGGTACTTCCCGTAGGTCTAAATATCTGATGAGCTGCATGACAACGGCTAGTTGCCTGTTTTGGATCGCGAGGATGATAGACGACGTTGTCGGTTTGATGCCTGCAGAGAGAAGCTTTCTGGTGATATCATGGTGATTTCCTCTAATGGCAGCTAAAAGAGCGTTCTGTATGTTTGCCTGCCTCCTCAGACAAATCTGTAATGCCAGAAGCTCTTCGACAAGGAGGCTGTCGCCAACTTCACATGCTGCTATAAGAGAAGGTGCAAAGCCAGCCGGTTGCTGAACCAGTTTTGGTATAAATCCTTGCGCTTTAAGAATTCTGAATGCTCCTCTAGAAGGGTCCTTGATCGATTCGCTCAAAGCAGTACCAGACAGGTCCTGATGGAGCCCTTCATGAAAATTCCCGTTTTGGTGTGGCGGCACTCTAGCATTCGGGTCCAGACCATGATTTAGGAAGTCTTCGAAAATTCCTAAATTCTGACTTTGAACAGCACTGACCAAGCACCTGACATCGGGTTGTACCTGTCTGGTGAGTAGAATACAGACTGCCGACGTATGGCTGCGTAGTACTGCCCAAGACAGTGATTGCGATAATACTGAATTCCAAACATATTGTTGATCGATCCCGTCTGAGAATGCTCGATCTAGTATGGATTCTAGTGCCGTAGAGAATGAATCGTCCCAGTCGTTTCGAGCCAGGAATGTAGGCAAACCGCCCTGCTGGAAGAATGTCTTGAAGCTCTTGTCCAAGCATTGATCGACTAGTAACAACAGTTCACTCTTGTCGCAATGATACATGCGGCCCGCAGCAAACCCAGGATCGAGTTCCACACCATTGTTAATCAACAGACGCATGATCCCGACCGTTGCTGCAGAATCCTGCTGTTTTATTGGATGCCATGTGCCAATACTGTGCAGGAGAAATGGGATCTTATCTCGGTTAGGGTCGACGCCATGATCTAGAAGAGTTTGCGTCGCCTGAAGGTGTCCTTTGTGGACCGCAAACTCCAATGGATATATATGGGGACCTGCTAGGGGGAGAGGTCGATGTGGAAGACCCACTCGGTCAATGTTCAGAACAACCTTCAAAACGGATGCATTCCCCAGAACGAGCGCCGCACAGAACATGTTCTGTAACAATGCCAGGTGATAGGGCGGTGGAGTGAGATTGATCACACTGCTTAGATCATCTTCACGAAGAGAAAAGCAATAGGATATGCCTAATTTGAAGAAATGGTCGAGCGTTGTCTTCGGTTCATCGAGCGCCTGGGCGACATCGCCTTCATTGACTAGTCGGTGGAAGATCATGTAAATGAGCTGATGATCGATGCTTTGTTGGCGAACAAGCTGTAATGTGCTCGGATGAGACATGTTCCTGATTGCAGATTCGTATGCACTGCTATTTTCTCTAGAGATCATATGGGTAAATGATCCAGCATTCCGGAGCATGCGCGAAATAATCGGCATTATTGACATCGCGAAGTTGGATGTGAACGAGTTGACTGGCAAGATTGTTGCACTTGGTGAAAAGCTGGTGCGGGAACAGTTCCTCGAGACTCCAAAATTATCGCGCCTCATGAAGTTGCCAGCATTCATCCCGTACCGAGAAGAATCTAGATCCCCGGACCCTGTACGTAGCTCTGAGTAATGCAAACATCTTGATGCCGCTGGGGTGGCGAATTCATGAGCGTATGTGTGCCATGTTGAGTCAAACAGATCGTTTTCATCTAGGCTTGCGTCTGAAGTCCACGCAAGGTTCGGGATGGAGGAATGCTTAATCTCTTGCGAAAACATGGGAGATTTGATGTTGGTAATAGCCGCAGAGGATGACAGGTAATCTTGCCATCGTCCAACGAAACTTGCTGATGGAGATATAGGTGATGGGATACTGAGAAGAGCGGGTTGCTGAGCAGGGCGATGTGGAGAAGAGCTTCTAATCGCGATAATTCTCGAAACCGGGTTGGCTACAAAGAAAGATCAGTACCATTAAGAGACTCAAGCATCTTCAAGCTTTTACCTTCGGAGGGTATTTCATCCTCAGGGTCTCTCACGTGTCTCTCTGCCTCCTGGACCTTGCCTATTTCAATGTTGTTAAGGCACGATGCTTTAGCACGCCCACCACGTGCAGGTTTGTATTTGTGTAGACGCCATTTCTTCAGCCTTGTCTCGTATTGCGCTTTACTATTCGCAAGTCAACACACACCTCGCAACTTGAACAACGATAAAACGTCACGTCATTCACTTACGTTGCCGAGAAATTATAGTTAATTGACATAATCTCCTGGACTCCGCCTGAAGCTGTCAAAGGTTTGTTTTGCTCGACGTACAGGCGGCGGATAGTGGGTTCGTGCAACTGCCACTCCCGCTCCGGTATGCGCCGCGCATACTTCTCCTCGGACATCGTAACGCTTGGCCAGGTGGTTTGTCGCGCAAGAGCATCAATTCCTGTGCGTGTAGTCGGATGATGTTCAAAGACCAGGCTGAGAGCGGGGCGCCTGCACCTTTTGTAAGAAAGCAGGCGAGGCAGATGGCGCTCGAAATCTGAATTCAGCCACAATACGCCTGCATCTTAGACCAATGAGAGCTACAGTGCTTACCGCTGTGTACAACACATGAACAGAGTCTGGATTGAAGCTCACCGTCGCGGCTGATGCGTCATAACCGTCATGACTGCGCCTGCCAAATCCAGATTTCGGAACGCTCAGCCTCGTTCAATTCAGATTTGAACAGGACCAGCCTTGCTTGATCATGATGCCAAGCTCAAATCTCAATTGCTCAGCATGAAACGTCAAATCTGAATTAGACGTCTGTTGCTGAAATCTTCTTTCTCGATAGCATCTTCTGAATCTGCATTCGAGCGAGGTCCGTTGGAGGAATCTGGTTTCCTAGCGGAGTTCTAAAATCCGTAATCGAGGCTGAAATCTGATTTACCAACAGCGTCCTTCAAATCTGAATCCGAGGTCTTTCTTGGGAATCTGCTTTCTCGGTAGATATGTTTGACGCGCTATCACGCTGTAGACTCGCAAATCCACCATTGTGCCTACCTTGACAAGCTCGAAAATTCACACATTCAATGATGACCTGGTCAAAGGACAATACCATCTCTGTTCTTGCTCTTCTTGCAACCTGCGTTCCGATATTCGTTCTGTTTGCTGCATGTCTGCTTCGCCAGAGACGAAGGCGCGCCAACAAGCAAAGTGAGTAATTGGTCGAGCAAGTGAACTGTGACGGCAGCGATACTGATCAAAGACAGACCGGTCGGATTTAGAAAAGGCATCGGTGTTACCTCGCCAGCAGCTTTTGCAATACGGGATAGTTCGGAGGGAATGTGTACTTGTTGCGTTAGTCCTCGTTCAGAGGGATGTGCATATTGCGGAGCGCAGGTCTTAAAAGACGACGGGTATGTATCGGTGGTAGGACACTTAGAACATTCCGCTAATCTTTGAGAAGATATATGCCATGGCCAGAGGGGGATAATCGCATCCTTGAGGACATTGTGTTTGCGGGTTCCTCCTTCGAGATTGTCTTTTCGTACGGGTGTCGTTACGAGTGGCTCATCGCTCTGCGTCATCGCAGTACCAGTGGGTGCAGCGCTAGATGAACCTCGGGTGCCAAGCCGCGTGACATGATCTGTGTATACTATCAAGACTCGTTCTACGACCTCGATTACTATTGGCAGAGGGTTTTATCGGACTTGCACTACCAAAAACAACAGCAGATGCATTGCAACGATGTCATTCAGACTACTCACCAGACTTTCATCTACAGCTTACTCGCCTCCCCGCTCGTCCTGTTAAGGTACAATGGATCCCTAGGCTCAATACCATACTTCCTGCACAACTCCTCACCCTTCTTCTGCTGCGCCTCAATCCTCTGCTTATGCGCCAATCCCCTCTTATTCTCATTCTTACCCAGCTGCAGAAGATGCACCTCATCAGGTCCATCTACAATCCTCATCGTGCGACCACTCGACCACATCTGCGCCAAAGGTGTATCTTGACTTACACCAGCACCACCGTAAGCTTGCATCGCCCAGTCGATAACCTTGAGGTTGACTTCAGGAACGAGGACCTTGACTTCGGCGATTTCCTTGAGCGCGCCCTTGGCGTTTGTCTCGTCGATCTTGATAGCTGCGTTCAGGACAGCGAGACGCGCGGCGTCAATCTCAATACGCGAGCGGGCGACACGTTCGAGCATGATGCCGTGCTTGTTAAGCAGCTGACCAAACGGCTTCTTGCGCTCGTCGTTGATGCGAGCGAGGAACCATTCCAGGGCCTTCTCGGCAGATCCGATACTACGCATGGCGTGGTGGATACGACCGGGTCCGAGACGGCCTTGGATGATTTCAAAACCGCGGCCTTCGCCTAGCACCATGTTGCTGGCGGGGACACGGACGTTCTCAAATGTGACGTGTCCGTGGCCGTGGGGTGCGTCGTCGAAACCCATGACTGAGAGCATACGGTGGATGGTTACACCGGGGGTGTCGTTGGGGACGAGGATGACGGATTGCTGCTTGTACTTGTCAGAGTTGTTGGGGTCGGTCTTTCCGAGGACGATGAAGATCTTGCAGCGAGGGTCGCCGATGCCTGATGACCACCATTTCTAGAGCGATGTTAGTATCATGAAGTATAGAGTTGGGAAGAAGGCGAACGAACCTGGCCGTTCAGCACGTAGTGATCGCCATCTTTCTTGATAGTCATCTCAATGTTGGTAGCATCACTTGACGCAACCTGAGGCTCCGTCATCAGGAACGCCGACCTGATCTTGCCCTCCAGCAGCGGGTCGAGCCACTTCCTCTTCTGTGCCTCGGTACCATACTTGGCGATGACCTCCATGTTACCAGTATCGGGAGCAGCGCAGTTGACAGCCTCGGAGGCTGTCCGGCTCTTGCCCAGGTACTCGGCCATGAGTCCATACTCCAAGTTGCTGAAGCCAGCACCTTCCTTGAAGTGTGCCTTGGGCAGGAACATGTTCCATAGTCCAAGCTCTTGTGCCCTCTTCTTCAGGTCCTCGATGATGGACGGATGTGACGAGAAGCGCTCTTGTACGGTCTGGCCGATCTGGCGCACGTAGACGGCGTCGGCGGGGATACATTCTTCTTCGACGAACTTCTCTACCTACGGATACGTTAGCATACTGTGAGACTTAGGTTCACGGAGAAACCCACAATATCGAGAGTCTTCGCCGCTCTCTCGCTGACGAATGGCCGCGCGATGACGGGAATGCGCTGCGAGGCGGAAACATGGCCATTCTGGCTATTGCTAAGCAAGTCGTAGGCGCGGTCGTACGGTACAGACATGATTGATTGCTGTCGAGGAAGTATGAGGTAGGAGGAAGTTCAGGGAGGAAATCCGGGGTAGTTTAACAAAAAGATGCGGAGACGACTCGTCCATGGCTACTGCTTCGGTCATTGACGTTGGGGAGCTAAGAGTTGCCGAGGTACGATCTGGAACACCTCCGCTTTAGAGCTCGTAACCTGGCCGTCTCACACCACGACAACATGATACTTTGCCGATGGGAAATGGACTCCAGCGAAAGATGTTCTTGACCGAGGCATCGATGATAGTAATGGTGTTGCAGGTGTTGCGATCGTACTTGGCGATAAGTGCGCCATAGACGCGACGCCACCGTTACGCGCGGCGCGTTCTGTTTAATCTTCCGACAAGGCGTGAACAAGTCCCATGTATACATCAACGTAGTCACTCCGAGATAGAGGATATTGAATTTTGCCCAACAATCATGGCGCGACTAGTTGACTCTTCTGGCCACAGCAGTTGTAAGGCAACCAGTTGAAGCAACCAAGTGTAAATCCATCTGTTCACAAATACAGTTCCATGCTTGATTACCAACAATGTCACAGCTCCCAGCACTGCCACGTAAGCCTATCGACCACATCACCACATCCCTCATCCCTCTCTATGACCACGGCCCAGCCTAGCAATAGACGTACTTGCGACATATAACGCGCCACCACAAGAAAGATCTCGAGCAGCGTTTCCTCAACTTCTGGGTGCCCAAGCTGTCGTTCGAAATCCACCACTACCATAGGTCATATCCCCCAGTCGAATTTAAAGCTCCCACGGGTCCTCGCGCCAATCAGAAGGTTGACGAAGGGATTGAGGATTCAGACATCGTGACATTCAGAGAGATCTGCGGTCTTCATCTATCCGGCGTGCCACGATGCTGGCCCGAGGAAGTTGGAGGATCAAACGATAGACATCCATGGGAGCAATATGACGAAAACATACTCGTGCGATTTGGCGAAGGCACGCTGAACAAAGGCTTCGCAAAAGGTGGCATGAGGAACGTCGTCACCATCCCCAGGTTATCGACTAATTTAGAAACGTGGTCCTGGGAGTTCTCATTCGATTGGAAAGTGCTGTTTACTTGGCTCTTCACCGAGGAATTGGTCACGCGAGCATTCCTGGATAAGCTTTTGGAGGTGTTCATTCCTACCCTAGAACAAGGGAAGAAGTGCTCAGAGCTGCAGAAAGTAGCTATACATCATTACCTACGTAATCACTTTTAACGGCAATGTAGGGCTGTGCTTGAAGCTTGTCGACGATACAAATACCCTCTCATGTATGAAGGACGCTGTGGTAGATACCCTCGTGAGCACCACGAAGGCCACTGTTACAAAGCGTTTACTACAAAGCAACCTTTTGATTCCATACCCTATATATACCGAGGTGGGGAGAAGCTTGATCTTGATATCTACGACAACTTCTATATTCTCGCCCATGAAGAGAGCATGGTGCTCCAGTTCCCTGGCTGGGAGACGTGGAATGTTCGTGATATAGCGCGGTTGCGTGTTATCGAAGAGATGGCTGGATCATGGTGTGAGCCTCCGTCTTGGGGTTGAGCATACCTTGAAGACACAACGTTCTGAGGTGAAGATTACAAAGACAAACTAGATGAGATGGGAAGAAAGAGAGTGGCGAGTGACAAGGTGCTTGAAAAGCGTTTGAGGGCTGAAGCGCTGGAACCGAGGACGCTTTGGCCTTGAGTAGTGGGGAGGTTGTCGAATTTCATACCTTTCCTCGCAGATTATCTTTGTTGATTTTACATGTACCGTGGTAATTGGAAGCTCAAAGTGAATGCCGGTATTCGATGGAAATATTCTAGGTAATTATGGTGTGGGATCCGACCTGGACGAAAAGTATGAGATGATTAATGTCACTAGTCGTTTATCGAGAGAGAAAAGAGGCGAATCAATTGCAATGTGTCATTTGCATTTCCACAAATGAGGTTCAAGGTATGGTGTTGAGTTTGACAGTATAGGTAGTAATGTGAAAGGGGTGCCACCTAGTACAGCCTGTGATGGAAATAGACCAGTCACAGTAACATACAGCGCGAGGCTATAACGTTGCTCAACTCTCCCCACCAGGTCTTTGTTGCGGAAGGGTTGCTTGCCTTGGGTCGGGTTTAATGAGTACATTGTGAAATACCAAGCGAAGTACCTTTTGCAACTGTGTCTCATACCAAGAGCGTCCAGACTGTGATCTGGTTGATACAGCGGCGGTACAAGTGCCTGGTAGCCGAACTGTTGAGATTCCAAATAGTGAATGTTCGCAGGTTTGCCACAACACGCGGATGTTGATATTCTGTACCCGAGTTCATGTTGGATAAACCGACTAAAAAGTACCAGAGGGTGTTGGTACGCCTGGTTGTGGCGTGTAATGGGACGATAATAGAGCTCATGCTAGTCGCGAAAGTACTCGATAGCTGACAGATTGGTATCATCCGTCCGGAACGCTGCTGCGTTGCTACTTCTGTGTTAATCCGGATAGATGCATGGGATATGTGCGCTGAACCATGGCAATGTAACCACGACCTTGAGCTGCACTGCTACATATCCCGGAGTGACAGCTGTAGAGAAGCATCGCGAGCTTCCCGGCCGATGTCGGTAGCCGAACATAGGCTGTGATACAACCATCGCGCGTCCTCCGTCGTCTTCACTCGAATGGGGTATGCCACTTCCGTACCGCACGATAGCGCGGTATCAGGAAGAAAAATCTCCGAGTGTTCGACAACATAGGTGGGTCGGCATATTGCGGTCTCTGTGTGACGAGTAGGCCGGGTACTCCGTAAGGCTGAAGTCCGCATGCGTGCGGTGCTTGAAGTAGAACGGATGCACATATCGGCATCTCGCAGATCGTCTTACACCTAAGGTTGACGGGCGAATAAAGCGCTGGTGTCTGGGCCTGCGTCTTCTTGTTCGTTGCTTTACAAATACCCTCCCGCCACCAGATCTAAGACAAAGCGGGAGGCTTCGTTATACAAGGTCGCTGTGCACTAATGTAGTGCTTCAGGGGCTTCAAGATCTACGATTCCTCACGGCGTGTAATCTGTTTCCGCATATCAGGGACGGTTAGAATGGCGATGAGTTTGGATAAAGGGTCGATGGTGATGGTGTTCAGGGACAGCACTCTCGTAGCCCTGCTCACACCAGGATGACATCCAGATTGTCGGTAGTAGGGCAGGTGAACATAGAGTGTTAGTGACGGTCATAGTGGGTCTCATGGCTGTTGTAAGGGTTGTGCGGTCGTCTGCAGCGGCTGGGAATATGGTCCTCGAGAGGCTTGTAGTCACATGACGAAAGCCAATAGGGTGGGTCGGATTTCCGAACGGCAATGCTCACTGCAGGTTGACGTATGAGCGGCCAGTCGGGCATCGATGGTGTAGCTCGACTAGCTTACCCACACAGCAAGCGCCAAATGCAAAATCTGTAGTAATTGTTTCAGCCCGATCTGTTTCAGTAGCCTGCAGATAGACATGGTCGTGACCTCAATTCACATCGGAGACATGGCTGTCGGCGGCGTCTGGAACATGTTGCGTGCGCGGTTTGCACGTGCCTTGCAGCACGAAGTGCGGGAATGGCGAAGAGGGGAACACAAGCGTCATGAATAGTTTGCAACGATGTCGATTCCTGCAAGTGTCGCCCATTCGGGTCTAAAGGTGCGCGTGTGCAACCCGCACCGAGCAGTGGTTCACACCGGCCAGTGGGCCCCTGACATGCTTGGACAGCGGTGTCGTTAACTTGGTCCGCTTCCGCTTGTCGCAGCTGCCGGTCAAGATGGAAGGGGCACAAACGGTGGAGTGGCACTTGACGAGACGGGAATGGCATGGTGAGGTTGTGGGCTGGGCGGCTGTGAGAGGATATGCACCACAATAACACGCCACGCCTCTGGGTCGCCCGGACATTCGGCTGTAGACGAAGAGGGGGGCGCCAGGACCAGGGCGCGAGAGAACATCAGCTGCCCTCCAAGTGGAGCTGCAGGCCACGAGGGCGTGGCCGGGGCCTTGAGCAATAATAACAATGCTGCAAAACGAGGCGACAGGCCTGTGCAGCGGGATTTGATTTTGCTGCAAGCTGCAAGGGTGAGAGGACAAAGTTTGAAAAAAGACATGTTGTTGAGTCGAATTCCAGCTTCTTCAACGCCAGTCGGAAGACTTTTTGCGGCTACTCACCCCTGTACTCATCGCGAGTGTCCTGGTACGTCGTTGTCGAATGTGCGGCGGCGGCGGCGGCTTGGATTGACGGGCTGTGGTGCAAACAAAGACAAGGTTGTGGTTGCTCGAACTGCGTGCTGCATGAAATTGCTGCGGCGGGCGCTCAGGCGTCCGCAGCATTGAATTGGCTGACGTTGTCGAGCATTCGCGGAGTGTTGAGGGACACTCGCTAAAGGCGTCGTGGGCCCTGTGGATAGGGTTTTCCTCAGGCCATGATAACGGCCTCAATGGGCTGGTAACGTCTCAAGGGGAACCGTTGTCGCATGTCAAACGGAGCATCAGAGGCAGCTACTCACTAATTGGCGCGCTCAACCTATCGCTAGAGAGCTATTCGGTGCTCGTACTGCCCGGTTGGTATAAGCATGGCAAGCTCCAGCGATGATTGGAGTGCGTCTCAGCCACGCGCCAGCGAGCAAGTGGGTGCAGCTCATTTCAGGCGGCATGACGGCGTGCTGGGAAGAAATCTGATGCCTCACGTGCAGGCCGGCGTCCGCAGCTGCAGACGCAATGGTCATGTTGAATGTTCGTGGTGTCGTCTTGTATAGACTGGCTGGGCCAGCAGTCATAACACGCCTGACGTCGTGTGCAAGAAAGAAGTCGCGACTGCTGACGTCTCTGTTCCAAGAAAGAACGATCCGCAAGCTCCTGCCTCCGCAATACACCAACAGCCTTGTGTACCTAACATAAGGCTCCACGAGCATTTATCATCTGCATCCCTTCCCGCCTACTTGCTGCAGGTCCATAATTCCTGCACCGGGCTATCACTACACGCTCAAGGTCTACCAGCTTAGACGCCGCTCGACTGGCCTGCGCTGACAACTACGTGAATTGCAGGCCTTCTGATCACGTTGGCACCCAATTTCGCACTAGCAGTGCCCCGCCCTTAATCCCCAGCACTGCCGTCACTCAACCCCATCGTCGCCTTTCCTCACACCTTCACAAGCTCTCCATCTCTGCCGTCAATTATCCTTCACCCTCCCCTTCCCACCACCTGCTGTGACTTTCGCCTGAGCATCGTTGCTGAGCGGTCCCCCTGCGCCTTCCTTGTTCCTTAGCTCCGTCAGCCACAACAAGCGTCACCTGGTACTGCACAGACGGCACGCGGGACCACGCCCTCTTGACACTCAACCTCGCGCCTACAACCTAATCCACCACGCCTCTGCTCCGCCAAACTCGACTCCTCGCCCACACTCTGCTCCGCTACCGTCCGCCATACTCCCCACCAGCAATCCGCGCAGCGCTTGCGGACCCCCCTCCCACACGCATAACACCAAACAATGAGCCAGAACCGGCCATCGGCCTTCTCATCGCTAAGAATGGGTGGTGAGTCTCCCCCTTGAAAACACCGCGTCATTGATGTCATGCTCACAATCCCACAGAAGTTATCCGCGAAAAGGTCCAGGACGGCCTGACCGGCGACTACAAAGACCTCGCATACACGCAGTGCAAGATTGTCGGCAACGGCTCTTTCGGTGTCGTCTTCCAGACGAAGCTGTCGCCTAGTGGTGAAGATGCGGCCATCAAGCGTGTCCTGCAAGACAAGCGCTTCAAGGTACATACGCGCGACAAAACCAATTCACACAGCCTCAGCTGACCCCCAACAGAACCGCGAACTCCAGATTATGCGCATTGTCCGACATCCCAACATTGTTGAGCTCAAGGCCTTCTTCTACAACAACGGCGAGCGGGTATGTGTCTGCAAGCAAGCGCATCTATGCATTTCGTGTAACTAACCGTGTCAGCCACAGAAAGACGAAGTGTACCTGAACCTCGTGCTAGAGTTCGTTCCTGAGACTGTTTACCGTGCTTCGCGCTACTTCAACAAGATGAAGTCGGTTATGCCCATCCTCGAAGTCAAGCTGTACATCTACCAGCTCTTCCGCTCGCTCGCCTACATCCACTCGCAGGGTATCTGCCACAGGGACATCAAGCCCCAAAACCTGCTGCTAGACCCTTCAACCGGTGTTCTGAAGCTCTGCGATTTTGGAAGCGCAAAGATCCTGGTTGAGAACGAGCCAAACGTGTCCTACATCTGCTCCAGGTACTACCGTGCGCCTGAGCTGATTTTTGGAGCGACAAACTACACCACCAAGATCGGTATGTTGGTTGTGTTATGACTGGAAGTGTTCCATGCTAACACTCTTTAGATGTGTGGTCTACAGGTTGCGTCATGGCGGAGCTGATGCTCGGACAGCCACTGTTCCCAGGCGAGTCGGGTATTGACCAGCTGGTAGAGATTATCAAGGTTTTGGGAACGCCCACCCGGGACCAGATCCGCACCATGAACCCCAACTACATGGAGCACAAGTTCCCTCAGATCAAGCCTCATCCGTTCAGTAAGGTATGTTGTGCAAATCATCATCAGCAACTGCGTGCTTTTTACTTACATCTACCAGGTGTTCCGAAAGGCCGATCCAAATGCGATCGATTTGATCTCCAAGCTGCTCGAGTACACGCCTACCCAGCGTCTTTCGGCTATCGATGCTATGGTACACCCCTTCTTCGATGAATTGAGGGATCCAAGCACACGCCTACCAGACTCGCGTCATCCCAATGGAGCAACTCGTGATCTGCCTGAGCTGTACAACTTTACTCATCACGGTATGTATTCTTGGCCCTGTAAGCGATGCATAATCTAATTTGTTCAGAACTCTCCATTGCTCCTCATCTCAACAACCAGCTGGTACCGCAGCACATCCGCGCGACATTGGCCGCACGTGGCCTCGACTTCGAATCGCCGAACTTCAAGCCATTAACGCGGGATCAGATGATAGCAAGGCTAGATTAAGCCCCTGCTATCACACGAAACGATACCATTCATTCATGCGGCGGCTTCTGATCCTCTCTGGGCCTAAGCACGAAGCTTTTCCGTCCGGAGAGATGCAAAATGGAGTCTCAAATGGGCGTCGGTTCTATTAGGTGTATACTACGAGGAGCACACCCTTTCCTGCTTTATCTGAGCGCGTCTGAAATGATACCGACATTCACCTTTACAAAGAATGACCTGGCTTGCTTTTCCTTGGGGGCTACTGGCCTCCCCGTTCACGCGAAATGATCATGGACCGGCACCGCAAATGATGTTCCTCGATCCCCTTTTAAGATGACGAATGGGCGCAGATGGTTGCAACTATGATGGAAATGAGGAACGGGCAAAAATCGGCATGTATTGAGTATGGGATGCTAAGGGATGGTCTCGCTCATCCAATTTCCGACGCTTCAACAGTGGTAACGATGCGTCACCTGGGTTGCATGCGGGAGTTTTCTTTCTGTTAAGATGAGTTCGGCGGGCTGCACATTGCGCGACGAGGCTTTTATGATCGTGGGAAATGCTATTCCTGTAATGGGATCATGCAGGCTGGACGATGGACGGCTAGCCTGGGCAAGCACTAGAGCAAGGCACCGCGCTTTTGCAGCGGGACGAATGGCCACCGGGAAATGACTGTCCTGCCATTCGCCCACCTCTCAGCACACTTTCTAGAACGAAGACTTCTTTCATGATTTGTCATTTTCTGAAGTCGTTGAATATGTTCGTGATGCATTTTGTGTGAGAACCGATACATCTTTCCACATGATCACAGTATCACGTTCCTCGAGGACCCAGCCAGTCTTCCGCGGGAATATAAAGGCATTAGGTGTTATGTTTGTACGCATCACTTCATACCCTTGGATCAAGAAACAGCCCAGGTAGGTCCATCAGTATGTACGACCTGCCTTTACTTGTAGCCTCACCTCGCGAGTCTTGCACGGTCTGGTTGTTCTGTATATAAAGCTTCCTTCTGTGTCCTTCTGTAATCTCTCTCTACAACAAAACTACGTACTAAACAGTCAACTTGACAATTGCGAACAAACAGTAAGCAACACAGTACAAGCTAACAACAGCAATAATATGAATGGCTTGGACGGGGACATAGAAAACATAAACCTGGATCGAAGGGCTTTGATCAAGTCAGCAGATGAACAAACACAGCAATACTCAGTATTGAGCATTTCACCCTCCAATGATTCGTCGATGGAAGTTGACGTCGAGGGTGCATGGATCGCGCGCCAAGGTCCGGGTGGTGCGAATGCCGCTAGCCCTTTCGATACGCAAGCTCCAGAGCGACTTCCGCGCCAGTTCAACGATTCACTATCGCGAAGCATCCGCCAACATCGCAATCGAACCGCCCCATACCACAACCGTGTTTCTGATCATCGGCACGGCAACTGTTCCTCACCGCGCAAGCCCGTATACTACGACCGCGACGACTTTCGCGCTGACCGTGCTTAGATCCCGTCGCAACAGAAGGAAGATTCTCCGAAGACGTTGGAAGAAAAGGCACGCGCAGTCTTGGTCGCAAACATGGCGGACGCAGACTTCAAGGAAGAGCGTGAGGATAGGCGCGAGGACCGACGTGATGACAGGCGCGACCGTGGAAACTATCGAGGAAACAACAAGCGCCGCCGTGATGGTGAGTACACATCCATCCTCTTTCAAGCGACTGCGCAAGCTGCATAGCTAGTCTGGAAGGCTTCATTGCTTCGATCGCTATCATGGCTCCAAATCTGAACCTTCAATCTGTCTTCATCATTCTGCTTTGGGGTCTGGGTACTTACATATTTCTACGATACTTACACCTTCGCCCAGATGACAACGACAACCACTACCGCGGCGACGACCGACGCGGACCCCAGCGCCGCCGCAATGACGATGGACCTCCACGTCGCCGATACGAAGAGCCGCCGTTCCCCAAGCTGCGAAGACTGCTATTGAACATTGCCAGCTCCACCAAGCTACCCCAGGACGAGGCTATCGAGATCGCAAAGTTCTTCGGAGAGCACTTCGACGATGAGCGTCTCCGCTCTGACTTCTTTGATGTCTTGGTACAGCTGTAAGCACGACCAGGTTGTGCCCATCATCCCTCACATCACTAATCGTCTTAGTATCATTGAGCAACCCTTCAAGATTCCGTTCGTCGCAGCCGTCGCCTACTACGCCAACGATGTCAAGCCAGAAATCACCATTGAGGCCATGAAGCGTGTCGGAGACCGGGCACAGGAGGCGCTGAATGCTGGCGAGTGGAAGGAATTCAAGTTGCTTCTGAGATTCTTCGCATGCCTGCAGTCACTCTACGAGGAAGATGGTGTCTTCACCTTCCTTGGACAACTCTTCGACACAGTTGTTGACCTTCAGAGTGCCAATGAGAACGACGTAAGAGGCCCAGATACTCAATTTTGACAACCACTAACACTTCTAGGTTGTCGGAATCGAACTCGTCAAGATCATTCTTCTTACTATTCCTTACGCTATCGTCGCTGGAGGAGAGCGTTTCCATGAGCAAGCGCAACAACTGCTGAAGAACACTGGAATAGTAGCGAGCAATGCGGTTCCCATCGAGAGCCTCATTCACTCCTACGTCGGCGATTTCGAGTCGAAGCCGGTAGACCACCACAGCGTTATTGGCCTTCTTCAAGCACAGCTGTCAGTTGAGGCTGAGTCTGGGTTTGAACTGAGGTGCATTCCACGCATCGACAAGGATGCTCTGCGTAGAATGAACACGGAGGAAGACGCTTTGCCCACGGCTCCTCAGACTCACGCCTTCCCGACTTTCACTATTCCATCCCCTGTCAACCCTGGCCCACGCCCTGTCTTCCCGGAGGCGTACTTCTCCTTGTTCGCTGACCAGGAAGTCGACACCGTACCCAAGACCACGGACATTGCGTCGTCGCTCGTTCGAGATGCCATCGTTGACACGATCAACCAGCTCGACTTCAACCGTGAAATGGTCGCCAAGTTCCTTGTAGATGTCGATTGCTACTGGTCTGTCGACATCTTTGCCAAGCGCGGCTCACCCTTTGACAAGTTCCGTGAGCTGGTTGGCGACAAGATTCAGTACAAGTCGGAGGATATGATCATCGATGCTATCTTCTCGCAACTGTTCAAGTTGCCCAGCGCGGAACACAAGCTTGTCTACTACCATGCGCTCATTACCCAGTGCTGCAAGGTTGCGCCCGCTGCTATCGCCCCCTCTCTCGGACGTGCTATCCGTACTATCTACAAGAACCTTCCCATGATGGATCTGGAGCTAGGCTACCGATTCCTTGACTGGTTCTCCCACCATCTCAGCAACTTTGAATTCCGATGGAGGTGGACCGAATGGCTCGAGGATCTTGAGCTCTCAAACCTGCACCCCAAGAAGGCCTTCATCCTTGCGACCTTGGACAAGGAGATACGATTGTCCTTTGCCAAGCGCATTCGATCAACGCTCCCAGAGCCAATGCACTCGTTGATTCCCGAGCGACTGGATGCGGACAACAGTCCTGACTTCAAATACGACAACCAGCGTATGTATATTTTGCATGTGAACATGGACGTCACTAACAGCTCCTCCAGAAACCCCCTATGCTACTGAAGGCCAGACGCTACTCAGTCAACTGAGGAAGAAGGCTACGGCCGAGGAGATTCAAGTTACCATTGACACAATTCATGAGAAGGCTCTCGAACAAGGTGTTAGCGAAGTTCTCGTACCTTCGACTGATGCCTTTGTCACCGCCATCTGCCGACTAGGAGCGAAGTCACTATCTCATGTTCTATCTTGCATTGAACGCGGCAAGGACCGACTTCTCGAGCTTTCGCAAAACGAGGTCGCGCGTCGTCAGATCGTGGCGAGCGTCGTTGAATACTGGAAAGACCAGCCTGGTGTTGCGGTCCGCATCATCGATATTCTGCTCAACTATACTATTCTCGCGCCAATGACTGTCGTTCAGTGGGTGTTCGGTAGCCATATGGGAGCTGGGGAAGCCTTGACGGAGAGTTGGGTGTTTGAAATGGTCAGCAACACAGTTGCCAAGGTTACCAACCGCAACCGTCAGATCGCGTCTGCCCGCCTTCAAAAGGGTCTTCCTCAGGAACAGATCGAGATGGTTGAAGCCACGCTTGCCAAGGACCGTGACAACGCCCGCGAGCTGTTCAAGTACATCGAAGACTCTATGCGTGGCGTTGCTGAGGGCTCCGCCGATACTCTGGTCGAAAAGTCATCCGATGGCACGCTTACCGAAGAGGAGGTTGAGCTCATCAAGGCCTGGGGAAAGCGCTGGCACACTGTCTTCATCCGCAAGGCACAGGTCGAAGAGTCTGTTGTTGGCGAAGAAGCGGTTGAGGCCCGCATCAGGCTTCTCGCTGCTGAGCCCGATATCGTTGCTGAGAGCATGGAGCAAGATGGCGAGGGTGTTGCAGAGGCTACCAACGGAGAGGCGCAGATGTCTCTTGCCTAGGACTTTGCAGGCTGAGACTGAAAGGGTACGATATCGGACATAACAAAAGCACAAGGATAGCGTCTGCATTCATTGGGTGGCGTACTCTGGCAAGTGCTAATGGGCATCATCTTTCACGCCGACAGGCGAGATGATGCGCACGTAGGGTCTTTTTCTTTCTCTTTCTCTTTAACATGGGCATCGAGTTTGCTTGATAGTGTACATTACATCTCAAAAATGAGTATTTTCATGAAATTTCTATGGACGACTTAGTGCTGCGGCTTCGAGATTCTTCTATGACGACTTGGTGAATGCAGTTTGACCAGTGTAAGGAAGCAGAGGCGCTTTTTGCTTATCCGCGTCAGCGGGACTAACAAAGAACCAGATTTGGCTTTTGACTCCCACGATGCGAGGAATGAAGCCGACAAGAGAAAACGACACGTCAAAGTTTATCACATCTTCCATGTGGGTTTATTCAACTGCCTGCTCATCTCCGCAACATTCGTGCGACCCGCCGGAGTCTACGGATACTCCATGCACAGTGACCGCTAGCGTGGGACAGCATGCATCTCCGCACGGCCCACTCTGCCGTCATGTGAAAGCAGATGGGCTTCCGAGACCCCTGCAAATGTCGCGCGGCATATCCCAAGCCAACGCCGACAGCCACGCCAACCCGAGCCAACCCAAGCCATCCCAAGCCAGTGATGCGAGTTTCGTAGCACCGCCGAAACCCAGCCTTTTTGCAACTCTTTTGCAACAGCTTCGGGCGGCAAAAAAACAACATGTTGTCACCGCCCTGGATTTCTCATCGCATATAGTTAATTCCCTCGTTGTGTCTGATAAGGGAAGTTGGACGCGGTACATAGCTCTTTGTTAATCACGAAAACGAAACGAAGAAGACCACCCCTCCACGACCAAGTTCCGCCGCTTGACCTGTCGTGTATCGCATTCGTAACTACTACGACGGACATATTCTTTGGCTACGAAGCAACGCAAAGCGCATTTCCGAATCCTTACCCTTACGATATTGCGCGATGCATATACCACCACCACCACCACCCAGCCACACAGTCGCTGCTGGCCCAGCGACACCAACACCCCTACAAAGCTTAATACCCACACCAATACCATACAATGCGTTATCCTGGATATCGAAAGAGCATGGTGGAGGCGGCGGCGGTTACACGGAGAACTGGAGCAGTCTCATCGGCATCATCACCGCGATAATAGGCAATGTACTCATATCCTTTGCGTTGAACATGCAGCGGTATGCGCATATCCGGCTAGACAGGGAGTTCCAGGAAAAACGGCGGGAGAGGAAGAGGAGGAAGCGGGAAGCCGATATGATGGGTGATGATGGTGGAGTGAGCAGATTAGCAGAGGAAGTGCAGAAGATGGGATTGGCAGGGCGAAGAAGTGAAGGCATGGTCGAGTCAAGGCGGAGAAGTAGCAGGGAAAATGGGAACGGAGAAGGGCTATTCGAGGCTTCGGAGAACGATCCGTTGATTCCGCGGTCGACTTCGAGACCCCGCGTTGAAAGAGAGGATAGCGCGGAGTCGGGCAAGCAGGAAGAAGCGTTCAAGCAGACGTCGTATCTTAAATCGCCGTATTGGTGGTTCGGCATCATTCTCATGACTGTCGGCGAAGCGGGGAATTTCCTTGCGTATGGATTCGCGCCTGCGTCTATTGTGTCACCGCTGGGTGTTGTCGCACTCATTTCGAATTGCATCATTGCGCCTTTTATGCTCAAGGAACCGTTTCGCAAGAGGGACGCGCTGGGTGTTATCATTGCTGTTGGAGGCGCGGTCACGGTTGTGTTGTCGGCTAATGACAACAATCCCAAGCTGGGGCCTGGCGAGATCTGGGATCTGATTAGGAGGTGGGAGTTTGAGACGTATTTCGGGATCACGGTGGGGGTCATTGCAGTCTTGATGGTGGCTAGTAATCGGTATGGGGAGAAGAATATCTTGATTGATCTGGGACTTGTGGGGCTGTTTGGTATGTTTATTGCGTGGATTCGAGACGTCGATTCATATCCAGAACCCGTTAGCTAACTTACATTTAGGCGGATACACGGCATTGTCGACCAAGGGCGTTGCTTCGCTACTGTCATACACGCTCTGGCGAGCCATCACATTTCCGGTCTTCTACCTACTGGTTGCCATCCTCGTTGGAACTGCAGTCATGCAGATCAAGTACGTCAACCGAGCTCTTCAGCGATTCGATGCCACCCAGGTTATCCCTGTCCAATTTGTTCTCTTCACACTTTCAGTCATCGGCGGGTCCGCAGTCCTCTACCGCGACTTCGAGAGAACCTCAGGAGAAGACGCCGGAAAATTCGTCGGCGGATGCGCCCTGACCTTCTTCGGGGTCTGGCTAATCACCAGCGGACGGCCCTCTCACCATGATGATGACGAAGAAGACCATGACCCAGAACCAGAAGATGCCATCCACCTAGCCGGCGAAACCTACACAGACGCCGTCAATGACACAAGCGAAGAAGTCCCCGGAAGCACTCGCCGCTCTTCAACAGCACGAGCCCTATCCCCACCCATTGATATGTCACGTCCTTACCAAGATGACGATGAAGGCACACGCCCCTCAACCCCAAACATCACGCTCACACCCACCGACCCCGTTACACCGCCAAATCGCTCCTCCCGCCCAGCAACCGCCGACATAATATCCTCCCTCGTTGCAAACCCCTGGTCCAACCCCAACGAACCCACCTACCGCACCCCACCTCTAAACCGACATACTTCCACGCCCGTTCTTCCTTCTGAGGCCGCACCCGCACCCTCAGTCTCAGTCTCGGATACTGATCTCATCACGTCTACTACTGCTGGCACCGCACCCCGCACACCCACGCGAGTCAAATCCCACAATGAAGTCCCGACAACACCAAGCTCAGGATTGGGATTGAGGAGGTTAAGGACTGGAGACCGGGTGCAGAGTGCGAGGAATAGTATTGTGGGAGGGCCATTGTTAGCAAGTCCGTTGAGTACCAGTTTGAGTACTATGGTTCAGGATCTCAAACGCGGACATTCTGTGAGGCGGCGTGAAAGTTTGCTAGCTCTCGGTGCTAGAAATGCAGAGAGGGATGCGGAGGATGGTATGATGGGAGTGGGGTTGGGTGAGCCGTTGAGTAGACGACGGACGAGAGATAGTGCGGGTGGTAGAGAGGAGGAGGGGAGTAGGACGCCGGGAGGCGCTAGAACACCTGGTGGGAGGAGGGTGGGCAGAGGAAGGAGTTTGAGTGCACTTAGTACGCTGAGTGGGCTTTGGAGAGGGATTAGGGGGCAAGGGAGTAGAGAGGATCTTAGGGAAGAAGAGGGAAGAAGAGAGGACGAGGTAGAGAGGGAGAGGTGATGATGGTCGGGAGGGGTTAGAAGGGTTGTAGAAGAGAGTGTCTATCAATGAAACTAATACCCCTACGAATAATTATTTGTAGGCAGCGTGTTTCGACACAACTTCCTACCTCTTCCTTACTAAATGCTTGCAAAGTCTTTTCCAGCACTTGTGGGAAACAAAGTTTCTTACATCAAGATGACAATATATGTCAGTTTTATGGCTTGGCAAGAGGACAAGTGCATGTTGGGCTGATGTACTTGGTGGAGGGAATTATAACCACCGGCCATGGCAATGTTACAGAAACCTCTGACTGATAAACGAGAGCAATTGAGGATGCGGGGTTGGCATTGCGATCTTTAGCGTGCACGAGCAGGTACGTAGGGGGTATGCGTAGTAATGGCAGAGTGCTATTCGCTAACGGCAGTTGTAGAGTGAGACGATCTTGTGCGGCCCTGTCTACGCTGCCATATTTAGCGCAACTAAACAGTCGAAGACGCAGCTCTGTTTTTGGAATCGGCCTTACGCTGCACTGCAATCGCTAGCGCGGATGAGCAGATGGGAAAACTAGGCTGAAGAACAGCCTCGTGCGATGAGAACACTGCAATCTCTAACCAAGAAGGACCGATGGACAAGGCTGAGAACCAGCCTTGGGGGCCAGAAGGGATTAGAACGACTCCCATGACAAACGCTGCAAAGCCTCCCAGGGGCGACAGCAAAGACAGTTGTATCGAGTTTGAACGATGTGTTCTAAAGTCGTGAAAGTTACGGCGATTGACAGTTCCGAGTAACTTGGCTGATCGGGTCAATAGGTTCTTAGCATGTGTAAGCAAATAGCGTGTAGCGAAGAGCGCGGGTGGGTTACATGTTAGTTCATATATCTGTGGTGCGGCATTCTCCAACTGCTTGTATTGCTGTGTTGAAGAGTATGGTAAAATGTGTCTTGGCGGCACGTAAGCAAGGAGCTGGGCGGCTGATGGGGAAAGATGTACTACAATCTGCAGCGCGAATGAGGGGGCTTGAGAAGTGATTGGGCTGCAGGAGGGTGCATGCATGAGGGACTTTAAGGACTGCATGAAGGATGTCTCTCACGTCTTGGCGAAACTGCACTGCAATCTCTAGCGCGGAAGAGCAGATCGAAGGGCAAGGCTGAACATGCAGATGAGGAATGTTTGTGTATGAGTCTACCTCGTCATCACTTCAAGCGTACATTGTTTCAGCGACGAATATAGCCGTGTTTCTTCAGGGTTCTTGAAAAAGTAACAAGAAAGCAAGACCCAGTACTTTATCTGGTTGTGATATTCATAGTTGCTTGAGGATTCCGAATCCATGTGATGATGCTTCTAGACTCTACGTTTCCAACATTGCTGGTCTTAAGTTAGCGCCTCTATGACGGGCGTGTAGCGAGACTACGGAGTTTGAGTATTGGAACGACATTTGGAAACTTGATGCGCCTCTTTGAGTCACTAGATTGTGTTTGGCCCCGTCGCGCTAGCAATTGTGCCGCAATCTTTAGCATAGATGGGTCGTGACAGCACTTCGATGAGTGATTGTGGGCCTATTCAGGCAACCGCTTGGCCTGCACTGCCATTCTTAGCGTGGAAGAGGGGTTCACTTGAGGCTGCGTCTGTATTGTAGTGGCTTCATCTGGCATTACGACGCTGGGATTTCTAGTAGTGTGAAGGAACAGACATTGTACTACCTTCGTGCTTAGGACTGGTTGACGAGAGAAGGCGCTTCCAGGAGGATAGCCCTTATTAACGTGCTTGCTGATAACAACAATACCCGCTGTCTCATGCTTCTTCCGCCCGCAGGAGGTGAACAATCTCCACAACAGGCAAGTTGCAGGAGACCATTGATCCCAGTGCTTTTCATAACGTGGCAACAGCCTGTAGCATGATCTGAACTGGCTCGCGGCTTGAACAGGGGTTCTTTCCTCTCTGGATCACCCGTATATCGCTTAGCGCCCACCGGAACACCTAGATCCCCTAAACCTTCGTCTGGCGCTGCTAGCAGCTTCACGTATTATCTTTCTCAGTCTTGAGTTCACCGACCGCACCATGTCAGAGTGGGTAAATCGGTGTCATGAATGTGGTCACGCTCAGCTCATGCCCTCCGTCCCACGTTGGCGCCCTCGAGGATAAGCCTCTGTCTCAGATGGGGGCCAAACTCTCTTTCGCGCTTATCATCAATCTACATACGTGTCCACACACCTCTCACCTCTGAACTCTATCGACTCCACATGCGCAAACTTGACGTTCAAAATACATCTGTCAGACTATATCTATTGCTAGCACAGTGATACAAGCTGTCCAACATGCGCCTTTTACAGCGCCAAAGTGATGGTAGCTTCAAGCTTCTCTACCGTCTTGACCCGAACATCCCGCCTTACGCGATCCTCTCCCATACCTGGGGAGCAGACGAGGACGAGGTCACCTTCTTGGACCTGACTACGGGAATAGGCACTACGAAAGCTGGTTAACGCAAAATCAACTTTTGCGCAGACCAGGCTGCTCTTGATGGCTTAGAATTCTTTTGGATCGATACATGTTGCATCGACAAATCTAGCAGCGCAGAGCTTCAGGAAGCGATCAACAGCATGTTTCGCTGGTACAGGGATTCGGCGAAATGCTATGTGTATCTTGATGATGTGCCGGCTAGCAGCTTGGATAAGAATGAGCTGGCGTTCCAAAAGAGCAGATGGTTCACTAGAGGATGGACACTCCAAGAGCTCCTTGCACCGGAATGCGTCGAATTCTTTTCCACAGAAGGACACCCGCTTGGTAGCAAGTCCTCTCGTGTGCTGCAGATCGCCGAAATCACTCGTATACCTACTGAAGCACTACAGAAGACAGCTTTGTCGCACTTCAGTGTGGACCAACGACTGGCTTGGGCAAACGGACGAAAAACCACACGACCCGAAGATATGGCTTATTCTCTTCTTGGGATTTTCGACATCCAGATGGTACACCTTTATGGTGAGGGCAGGGACAAGGCCTTCAAGCGACTGCGCACAGAAATCTTGAGATCTCAAGGTTCCGACGGAGTGCCCGGAGGAGAAGATGTTGTTCTTCAGTCCGACTACTTTGAATTCGTCTTCAAAGAACCCACAATGTTGCAAGAGACAAACGCCCAATTCAGCCTCCTCATGAGCAACTCAAACAAAAGCGGCCCGCCAGATCTGTACGCGGTCAAGAAGACGGGCAGCACCAATGAAAATATCGAAGTCAATGTTCTTTATGGAAATGAAAAGTATCAAAAGTTCATTCTTCGAATTTCAACACCAAACTTTACGCCATTTCAGCTTCCTGTTCACAACCAATACGGTTCCCGTTGAGGTAGAACCGATGCTATAACAGTAGTTGTGTATATAACGCTCCATGGATTGAGGTAGCACGGTAAATTTGTCCCCAGCCTCTGTTTCAGATTACTAGTTGACAGGTGCTTGGCAGGTTTGACACCGGTTCACGACTGGATCAAGGACAATATAATGACGGGAAGTGAAGATAGTATCTTTATTAATGCTAGTAGTCGTTTTCCTAAGCGGCTGATCGCAAGCTGACGATTTTGGTCGCTACAGTCTTTTTATCACGGTTTAAGTAATAGGCTATTAGGCAGTAGAATTTGGTAGGAACACTAAAGTTGAATTAAAGTAAGTCTACGTGTTGATATACCGGAATGATCGGATGTCAGCAGGGTTATGGTGAAACTCTGTTCACATAGGACCGAGTACTTATCGGACCGAGCAAGCTGTACGTAGACTGCGACACTTTTTTATAGGCGAGCGAAGACCGACGGAACCAGGTATATTCTGGAATACGACGCAACCTTTATGGACATGTCGGAAAGATTAGGGAAGCTTTGGTTGGGCGAGGAGGTGCAGATGATGCCGACGGGACGAATACCTACGTAGCATCCTTAGCAAAGAAGTAGATAGTGCGTTAGCCCTGTCCAGCCGCAGAGCTGAAGGAGTTGCGTATTTAGGAGCGTGTTGAGAGTCGGAAGTGCATAACGCGGACTTCCAGACGAGGAGCTGAAATATTCGTTATGCGATGAAAAGCAGTTTACAATGCAGTCCACTGGCTTGGAGGCTACGGTGCCTTGGCTTCACGAATGGTTCGTCGCTGCAAGTCCAGACCAGCCAGAATGCATATGGAGATGTGAGAGGTGTCCAATCAAATGAATAGATAACCGAGCAGATCAATCTTGGTATTCAGCTTTCAGCTCTGCGGACGGCTTGAAAAGAGGGGTGACCACGAAAAGCCAAGCCAAGCTGAGTCCGACAACTTGATATGGCGCAATGAGTTGGAAATTATTGGATGGAAGGACATGGAAGAGTGCCAAAGCGCTACCGATAAGTGTCCTTGGTTTAACTCAAAGAGGTCTTGCAGTTATCTAAATAGCTGAGCTGTCTTGATCGAAGGGCTTCAGCTCGATCCAAGGAACGACTTATATTCCAGACAGCATTCTTGGAAAAGATTCAAGTAATACCATTACTCGAAACTCTCTTTTCCACAATTTTTGTCACATCTGTGTACCTTTCAAGATGGCAGAAATCTCCCCCATACGGATTTCTCCCATCACTATTCCTCGTACGATTCTTGACAGACTCAACCTTCCAGCGATAGATCACAACAAATTGATCTTACAGATCAACACCGACAGGATTACCCAATCAGGAATCACGCTTGAACAAATCCAGCACGCTATCGCATGGGGCAATAAGCTCGATGCTGCAACCCAAGCGAAATGGAACGCAAACCCTTGGCTAGGGAGCAGAGTCTCAACCTACACAAACATGTATCAAGCAGGTGCTTGGTACACCTCGTACGCGAACGGAGACATATGGAACGCAGGCAACGACAATACGTTGCAGATCCAAGGGACTTTTTTAGTGTACGGAGATATCCGCGAACGCCTCCGGGTACTCGGTGCTGCGAAGTCTGCTGTTGGTTTCCCGCTTTCAGATGAGCTGCCTTGCCCCGATAACAGGGGTCGCTTCAACCGCTTCTCCAAGGGCATGATATACTGGACACCCACTACAGGCGCACACGAAGTGTATGGCGACATCCTTGCAGCATGGGCTACCGCAGGTTACGAGCGATCATGGCTTGGGTATCCGCTTACTGGTGAGGTGGATGTTCTAGGTGGGAGAATGAATAGTTTCGAGAGCGGACAGATGACGTGGCGCGCGCATGATCGTCATATCGAAAGTATCTCGTTCAAAGACAAGATCCTGCAGAAGTATCGTAACGTTGGTGGCATCTTCTCGAAGCTCGGTTTGCCGACAGCGGCTGACATGACTGTGTTTCGAGCAGGAAATGTCTTTACTGCGAATTTTCGAGGAGGGAACATCACTGTGCCCCTTGATCAGCCTGCTGCTTCGCCATCGACAACCAAAAGGATTCAAGTCTGGTGGCGCGGTTTGGAGTGTCAGGTCAGACAAGAAGGCGAAGACGAACTTGCTGGCGGCGTCTCCGTTTACGTCCCAGGTACGCAGCAGAACCAGGTCATCAAATTCCCCTCCGGAGATGAGCCATGGAAACTTGGTCATGACCGTCAGCGCATCATGCCAACCAGCTCTTTGCTTTACGATGGCCCGCCCGCAAACATCATAATCACCACGCAGCTCGTCGAGCTAGACAATAGCGAGGGTGATCCACTGAAGATTGCTAATGTGATTTTCAACGGTCTCAAGGACGTGGGAAAAATTGCAGAAAAGATTGGGGTCGCGACCGGCAATGAAGTGGTCGATGCTATCGCAAGAGAAATTCAAATACCTGCCGATATATGGAGGGAGGCACAAAGGAGCGAGTGGTGGAAGTATATCAAGTTTATAAGGGATCTGCTTACCTCGGAGGATGATAGATACAATGCAGGAGTGCTAGAGATCAAGGCTGACCAGATATCACAACGACCAGCATCGCGTCAGGTACTTCGTCGCTCCGATGACCCTACGGCTGTTGTGTGGACTGATAGAGTGGTGGTCACCGGAGTGGATAACGGGCACGATCTGGGTGTTTATGCATTCTATTTTGAGGTTAACGTCATCAATGAGACTACGACCCTGAGAAGTAGCCTTATGTAGAATGGAAAGGCCAATGGCGTTTCAGAGCTTCATGCATGGTGGCTAGCAAGCGAGTGCACTGCAATCCTTAGTGCGGAAGCGCGAGTAGAACAACGAGGCTGACAACCAGCTTGTGCCATAAGGAGAGAAGATATGTACGAGAATGTACTAGCTGTGCTCGATAAGCATAGCCGGATGATTACAAAGCATGTTCATGCCATGATACGAGGCTGAGAACTAGCCTTACGTGACAAGGAAATGGTAGTAGCGTTCAGCGAAATTGAGGCCCCGACCACCGGGAGGTTAGCGTGCAAGTGCACTGCAATTCCTAGCGTGGACGAGCTGTTGATGTGGACCCCCACATGTCCAGACCTTCAGACGACGTGATGGAACGTTGTGAAAGTAGCTGCAATCCACACCTTGCAGAACTTGCCCGATGTGGACACTCTTGCAAATAACTACCAAAACGTACTCACGACCAATTTCAGACAATGCCGCAGGTAGTAGGAAAGGCTGTGAAGGTTGGAGTAATCCGTACCTGCTCGTGGAACTTGTCTAACCGGAATTGCATATATAAAACCGTGGAGGATAACTGGAAATGAACGAAGGAGCCATACAAAGTTGAGAGCGATACTGTAGGAGAGTTGTGGAAAGCACCGCAGTCTACACCTTGTAGTAAACTCGCCTGATTTGGACCAGCATTCACCTGCCGCTTCCCCTTGTCTATTGCAAATCAGCGAGCAAGTTGTAGAGGTGAAGTTTGAGGTGGAGAGTGAATAGACAACCACCGTGACGAACACCTCACTAAAATATTGTCGGAGTTGTTTCTGTGTGGTCAAGTGTAATTCGTGAACTTGTAAAGTTCAGACACCTCGTTGCAGCATTGTAAAAACTATAGTGACTTCTAGGTAGAATTGCGACTTCCCGCAGGAAGGTTCTCGCAAAAGTGTCGATTACAGCAGGAGCCCTTTTGGCCATGGACGCCCTAGAAGCCCTACAAGCCATGTGCGCCTTGGCAGCTGTAGCAGCCGTGGTCACCATGTTCGCCATGTTCGCCATGTTCACCGCAGTGGCCATGCCATGGTCACCCTGCGCCCGTGAAGGCTTACCGTAATCCACACTCATTAGAGAACTTGCCTAATTAGGAAACTTTTCCAAGAGACAAAGTCGCAGACGAAGGTTGAGAACAGCAGGGCAGTGAAAGAAGAAGGTAGTAAGAGAATAGGAATGAAACAGTAATCCACGCACTCTTCTGGACCTACCTAATTAGGGGAGGCATTCTGGTAGGAGAGGAATGCGGGAGATAGTGACAGAGTGATAGGATGGCGGGATGAGAGAGTGCTAGGAAGGTAGGAATGAAACCGCAATCCACAGCTTTTGACAAACTACCTGGATAGGAAGGAGTTTGATGGGAGATGAGATTGAAAACAGCCATAGACAGGAACGTCTTTGACATAATACCAAAGTAAAGTTGTATGTGTAGAAAGAGGTTCAAGGCACATATATACATACGACATGCATAACCTATAAACGCTATACACAATACCCAAGCCCCCATACACCGATATCCTACGACCCCACCAAAGAACGCTATACCATGCCGGAAAAACCAACAACCACTCCCTCTCCATCACCCCCGTCACCCCTCCGACCCGCCCACCCCATCAAAGTTGCTATGACTCCTCCTCAACGGACTCCTCTTCTTCTTGTCCTTCCCCCCTCTCTTCTTCTTCCCCGGCGACCCTGGCGACCCCGGCGGACTCCCCCTCATCCCCTCTCCCTTCCCAAGTCCCTGATCCGCCTCCTCAGCCTTCAATAAATCCACCGCCCGCTCCACCTCCTCCCAACTCGGTCTACAGTCCCTCGTCCCATTTGGTGTCGCAGGCCCCGATTGCGTTTCCAGGACTTGGATTCTAGCTGCCTGGTCTTCTGCTATTGAGGTTGGCGTTGGCGGTACTTCGTCTGCGTTATCGTTGTCTTGGTCGTGGTGGTCGAGGTGAGCGGTGTGTATACCGTTTATGCGAACAGAGGGACTAGACGGCTCTACGTCTGCATCCCCGTCCGCGTCTCTGTGTCGGGAGGAATGGGTGTGGGGTGTAGTAGGTGTAGGTGGGGAAGTAGGTGTCGGAGGACTATACTGAATCCTCACTGGACTTCTCAATCCATCCGTCTCCGTATCACTCATACCCTGCTGTCCCCCACCATTGCTGTCACGACGTTGATGATCGCTAAGATGCGCAGCCCCCTCGCTCCTCCACATACTCCTAAAAGTCCTCCTCTGCCTCACCATTCCCCTTCCCGCCGTATCCGGTGGACTCCTCGGCGGACTCGCCTCGAAGAAACTATTGTACTTACTCCCTAACTGCTGTACTATAGGCACATCACCCGTACCCCCCAAAGTTCCACTTCTCACGAACAGCACCAAACCTAAACACAAAAGCAGCAGCGTAGACTGCACAACAGCCATCCTCTTCTGCCAAACCAGCTCATCAGCCAACAGCGTTAATCTCTTCCCCACCTCCCCAACCTCCCTCTCCTGCCTCTCTTTCATACTCTCCAACTCGATAACTGTGCTCTGCCAGAGCTGATCGTACATATTCCTGAAACTCTTCAACTCCAACATGACCGTACTGTTCAAGTGATCCAAAAACTTCTCTGTTTTCGCTAGTTGGCGCTTTTCGACTTTCACGAACGCGTCGCGGAGGGCGCGGGATTGCTCTTCTATGTATTGCAGGGAAAGCGTGCTGTTAGCTTCGAGGTATTGGAGGCGCTTGTGGATGGACTTGAAGAACGATTCTTGGGTTGAGGGAGCAGGGGCATTTGGCTGGGTGGAGGAACCGCGGCCTTGTGGTGGTGGTGGGTTTGCGATCGTGCTGTTGCTTGATGCCTTGGCTGCTGAACTGCTCGAAGGTGAAGCGGTGGCGTTGGCTGTAGGTGTTGTAGCGTTATCAACTCGAGATACAGAGCTTGAAGAGTTGATCGCAGAGGCGTCGGCGGTAGGGCTCTGAGCTTGTGATGTGACATCCGTCGGACTTGGCGAAGGCGCTTCGCCCGATTTCATCTCGCCATTGGCTGTGCTGTCTTCGCTTCCGAGTCTCTGGTTGCCTGTCACAGATGGAGGCGCAATGGACGTCAAGTTCAACACGGCCTGACCGTAGGGTTTGTCAGTCGCTGTCTCTGCCATAGCCGTAGATGAAGGAGGGGTCTCGGATGGCGCGTCGCTATGAGGCGAATTCGAGTGAACATCCCGAGAGAGGTCTTGTTTGGCATCGTCACTAGCCACCGAGGCATCTGGGCTACTGCCAATATCCTTCACTGCTTCGATCGGTATATCCTCTGGCGGCAAAGGCCCACTATCCGCAGCCGGCTTCTTGACCTCAACACCTTCCGCCTCTAGATCATCATCGTCATCAATACCTCTCGCCTCCTCTTCCTCTCGCCTGAACTGCTCCATCATCGTCGTACCATGAACACGCAGTACACTAAGCGGGCAATAATACTCATTCCCAAACTGCGTCAGAAACTCCACCCTCAGATATCTCGCCCAGATCTGCGGCTCAGTAATAAGAAAGGGCTGAATATCTCTAGAATTGCGCGCCTCGAACGTGCCCAATGTCCGCCACTTCTCCATCTTCACAGGATAGCGATCTGAGACGCTGACCCTGAAATGACGGAACATGGAGGAGAAGAACTCGTAGTTAGCGAGAACGATGGTGTCGACGAGAATATCGTCACAGAGCTCTACTATGAGGAACTTGTTGTCTGCCGAACATATATTCAGCATGTAGCTGTCCTTGTTCTCCACCAAGATGGAAGACGAGCTCTTGGCCTGTTTGTTCGTTTTTAAAACGGTAGCTGCGCAATCAAAAGAGGCGTAGTTGAAGCGCTCCTTGCATGTCTTGCCTGCGTCTTTGCTGAGAGCCCATGAAATTGGTGCCACTTTGCCCTCGCCGTCGGTGGCTTTTGAAGCACCCGCGCTCTGCTTGCCATGCTGCATGCTGTTCGCTACGTTCTCGTCGTCCGAGGACCCAAATCCACTAAAGTCGATGGATATCTCGCCCTCATCGCCAAGCGAGTCTAAGGCATTGACGTTGACGGGTCGTCGCCGTGCGGGTTGGTTCGTCCCTGCTGCTCGTCCTTGTCCAACATTCTCCGGCGACTGACCGACCTCGGCCAGGTTCCTCTTCTTCCATTCCTCAAAGGAGAGAAAGTTGGCATTATCGAATGGTGAGTCGGCTTCCAAGTCAAGCTCCGGCTCTGCGCTTGCTGTACCGCTGTTGGATGCAGCGGAAGCTGGGTTGGCTGGATCTGCCTGGGGCGCTACTACTGATGTAGCTCCGTTATCTCCATCTGTAATGCCCTCAGACCCTTCTCCTAGCCCAAGTGTTGGGTTTCGTAGACCAGCTATAGCTCCTTCCTCAGCGCCCGTGCCATTGGTTGCGACTGTCTCGCCCGGCGCTGACCAGCTCGTCTTTGCGCATTGCTGCGGGAGCGTATGCGTGATGTAATTTATCGTGCGGTACGGGCAAGTGCTTTCGCTGCTGGTATATCTCCGAACAGACGACGGCGACGACGAGGACGTGGGCGAAGACGCGGCGTTGGACGTAAGGTGCGTCGTGGCACCTACTTGTGCAGTAGCGCTCGATTCGACAGTGGACGCCTCATTCGCTGCCTCAGCGAGGGCAGACGTGGGTATGCTGCATAGCAGCAGGAAGAGAGTCCAGTTACGGAGCGGAGTGCCAGTCGTGAGCATTGCTTGGTTGCATTTCTTCGAGCCACCCAGTGTTGTCGAGGAATAACATGGGGTAGGTCAGGAGTGACTGGGGTTGGAAGGCGCGGCGTGAACAGGCGTTCGTCAAGACACGTTTGATTGTTTCACCGCTTGCCTAATGAATCGCGAGGCGCACCCGTTGTTTAAGCGATGACGTTGCCAAGAGATAATGAAGCATGACAGCGATGCTTGACTCGTGGCTTTTCACATGTCCTCGTTCTTCACTATTGGAAAGTAGCTCTCAATTGCTATGCACTTATATGTAGGGTAGTACCAAGACGTATGCAGGGTCATAACTCAATAGCGTGGCACGCGGCACGCGGCACGCTCATATACAAAAATGCGTGCTGTTCGTATAGAATTTCATAACGGCTGCTCCACCGGTTGCAGCCTTGATACAATCCGCCAGTACCCATTAACGAGCGAGCGAAGGTCTACACCCAAAACGAGCCACCCGAACCATATATTCATTCAACCCAGCATCGCTCTCAAACGTCTTACGCCATCGTCATCTAGTACTCATGTGTATCGTAGTGGTGATCCGCTGATGCTGAGAGTAGGAGAAAACGCCATACGAGAGTGCAAGAAGAAGTTGCCGATGCCCAAAATCTCGCTATGCTGTTGGCATCGGGCGTAAAAGGGGGTATGTCCAAAACAAAAAGAAATCCAAGTCGAGAAACGAACGCAAATATCCCAGACATATGGCGACAGACTAAGAATACGAAGGATTGGCCTAGAAGCCTTCGTTGCCAGCGTGGCACACTTTGGCCTCGGATACCCATTCAGAAGCGAGCACTTGGTGCGCGGTTAGGCGACGGGCAGGTATAGGATCAAGAATTGAGTAGATGACGTTACGACATTGTCGCTGGAGGGGGTGTTAGTACTGCACATAAAGTAGAGTAAGATCAGACTCACTCTTCGCAAAACCTCAATGGGTCGATAACCCTCTTCCTCTTTTCTGTCCTCGAGATAGCGGTCGAAGAACTCGTCTTCGCCCTTTTGAGCCACACGCCACAGGTGACGACCCGTCCTCATGGCCATGTAGATGATACCGCAAGCCCAGACATCAACAGCACGGGGGTCGAACTCCTTGTCCACGTACTCTTCTGGGGCGATGTAGGGAGCCGAACCACAGAGACCAGCCGTCATGTGTGCCTCCTTCTCCCACGCCATGCGGAAGCACTCACCGTTGCCAAAGTCTGTAATTTTGATGGAACCGTGGGTGGTGAGGAGCAGGTTCTCAGGCTTCAGATCCCGATGTGCGACACCCATTTCGTGCATGTACTCTACACCACGCATCAGCTGCTTGAAGAAGCAGTCTGCCTCGGCTACCTCGAGCTGACCAGCTGCGAGGACAAGCGTGTACAAATCACCCCCGGAGCAGTACTCCATGACTTCACAGTATGTGCCCTTTTCGTCCTGGAGCAGGTCCAGTGTGGTGATGACATTAGGGTGTTGCATGGAGGAGGATATGCAGAACTCGGAGGTGAGGCGCTTCTGGTACCGCTTCGCAGACTCGCCGGGTCTCTGCTTGAACTCCTTGACGGCGTAGAGCTGCTCTCGTTTCGAGTCCTTGGGGTCCTGCTTGTGTGCGACGCGAACAATGCCAAAGGCTCCCCGTCCGACGACCTCTTGGCACTTGCCGTACTTCTGAACCAGCGTCTGTGGCAGTGCGTTGACGGCGTTCTTCTGCTCGGCAAGCTTCTCCTTCTCGTTGCGCATGACGTCAACCCAATTTGACATGAGGCTCAGCGGCTGATCCTCGGCATTGTCGCCCTTCTTCTTGCCGAGCATGAGGCTCTGGAACATGTCGGAAAGCTTTTCCTGGCGCTTCGCAACCTTGAGGACGTGCTCGTGGGTGCCGTCATCGTTGAGCCAGAAGCGCTTGTAGGCAGTGGCGGGGCCCTCTTTCCTCGTAACAGAGCCCTGGCGTACAGGCTGTGGGCGGCCGTTGGGAGGGGTGCCGTTGGCAGCCTTGACGTCGCCGTTCTTGTCGGCGTAGGCGGAGGATTTTATGCCCATCATGCTGCTGAGGCGCGACGTCATTGTGGGCTTCTTGGGCTTCAGCAGCGCTTCGGCAGCGGCTTGCACGCTGCTGGCGCCAGAGTGGTTGACAACGGGCTGGGGGAGGGCAGGTATCGTGTCAGGCTGCGAGTGGACTGAAGAGGCCGTTGAGGCGGAGGCTGACGGAGAGGCAGCGGATTTGACCGTCGTGCTAGGCGGGCGATTCGTCGTTGGTGCCGCCATGTTCCTTACTTTTCGTCTCCTCTCTGGCCGGCGCGGCTAGGATGTGGTGTGGGTCTTTTATATGGAGTAGGCTCAGTGGGATTTTTGGAGACGCAGGTGTCTCGCGGGCAAAGAGCCCAGGGTGTGTTATTGTATGGCGGTCAAAACGGCGTATCTTCGTCGACGGCGGATGGTGGAAATGAGGTTCGGAAGGCGCGCGTGAGGCGATTTATGCTGCAAATACACGGTGACTGTGGAGGAGTCGTCGCCAGCGCGAGTGGGCAATAATTCTGGCAGGTGCGGGCAACGTGAAAGGCGTCTTCAGCGCTGACAAACGCCGTCGCAGTGAGGTCCAGCGCCCTCTTCAAATTGCTTGCCGCCACGGGATCCGAGAGCCACAGTAAAGTGGCTGTGCACGAGTGCCGAGCAATTTGCGGATCAGCGGCAGATGATGTCGTTGGCTTGGGCGATGGCAGCGTGGCCGATAACCGCAAACTTGCAGCACAACAGCGAGCTGGGCGGGCTTGGGGACTACGAATCTCTACGCTGACCACAACGAGGCCGGCGGGTCTAATATTCAGGTGTGCGAGGGGTAATCCATGGGTAATTGTGCACTGCCTCGTCCAAGTGTACGTTTTTCTGCAACAGGCCTGGCTTGCGGGATTTTCATAAACATCATGTACGCCAGTCGTCGCCAGTTGACCGCTGGAATCTCACTCGGGCGCGGGCCATCGGCGAAGAAGCCTTGCCTAATCATGTCAAGAAACGGCACATGCTTAGCTATTTTCTTCAAATTCACTCCATAGCAACTATGGAAGACTCCATAACAACCATGGAAGAAGCCATCACTTGATACTGTGGAGCATGACCACTCTGTCCAGAATATGGACACCTTGGTATCCACTGACGTATTCCTGCCACAAATCCTATCTAGAGACATATGCCCCGATCCAGAGCATGACAGTTACGTCGTCTACCATCTGACTGGTTTCTGCTCTTCCCTCAAGCACTGTGACGCCACTGTACTTTGCACACCATCATTTCACACGATCCAGTTTGTCACCACTTGCTCAGACTTCCACCGTCCCGAGGTCCGCCGAAACATGCGCCGGCAATTACTATCTTCTGAGTTCCAAGCTAATTTCATCAAGCGTTGCTGCACCTCGGTCCTGTCCCGCACAGCTTCATACGAATGCTTGGTAAGCCACCCGATTGAGTCCTGACATTCTCGTCCACGAGTGGAACTTCATTTCCTTTAGCGATGCTTGCGCGAATTACAGAAGCTTTGTTTACCATTCCGTCTTGACCTGTTTACACTTGTAACATCCCGCGATACTACAAGGAAGAGGGGCATTTCCTCGAAACCTTGTGCCCCGCATCGCAGCCTGCAGCAGCGACATGAATAGCGCCCCTCATCGCACTCCTCCCCACCACTCCCGTTCCACTTCACCATGCACACCGCAACTCGCTACACCAACCACATGTGCCAGGACCTCATCCGGCCACTAACAAATACCGCAGCTACCGCTCCAAGCAGAATTGCGACTGTCGTGCAGCGAGTTTGCTGCAAGCCTTTATGCATCAACGGCTACACTTGTTCCATGCTCGCACTGACCTCTTTTGGCCCTTTACCACGGTAGGAACCATTCACTTGGGTCTACAGAATACAATTGGTACATCCCGCAAGTTTCGTCTCATTGGTTGTAGCCATCACTTTCGAATCGTCTCAACTGCCTTTCTGGGATCCACGCCATGCGGGATACCGCGCACTCGTCATTTCTCTGCCGTAATCTCGGGTTTGGATTTGGCAATGCGTGTGATCGACTCCACCTACAGTATCTTGTTGTTCCTTCTCCTTACCTGCTGCAGTCCCAGGCACATCAACAATAATGCGCTCAAACCGCACTTGGCAGCTCAGATCGAGCTGGTTCCACAACGCCCCCGTCAACGGTCAGCAGTGCGCACCAGTTGGCATTTCTTCCGCAGCCAGTTACTTAGTTTAGGTAACATACGACCACGATTTACAAGCGCACGGATTCGGCCCGGGTTAGCGGTCGCTTTTTTTGCAATCGCGTTCCTGACTTGTTACGCGACTCGAAACCATCTGTGCTGCTCGTGGCTGTCAGCCTTGCGGTGATTGGTCTGTTGACCCCCGGATTATAGAAAACACAAGCGACGCAAGTACCCGCACGTTCATATGAATCCTGGGCTATCACACTGACCGCGACTTACGCGAGTTTCGGTCCCGGTTGTACGGGTATGTCTGGACAGCGAGCTGGTACCGCAACAATGTCCGATTGTTCCACGTGCCTGTCACTGTTGGCGAAAAGCGATACTCGGGTCCGAAGAGAAGCGATCGACAACGAACAGTATCATGGAGAAGACGACAGAGCTTTCAAAATATTCACATCCTACAGTTTCCAGTAGATTCAATCACGTAAGTAGATATTGGTCGATGCCAGCGTTATGTCCAAGCAGCTTGAAAGAGATTTCAGACAAAGCATTAAGCCACGACAAAGCATTAAGCCACGACAAAGCATTAAGCCACGACGATGCTGTTCCACCGCCCCGTCCAGAGCAAGTATTCTCCCAAACCCTCTTCAGTCGAGCCGGATGGGTTGTGATCTTGTAACGAAACCACTTCATTCTATTTCACTGTGTCTGAGGTTTCTGAGGCGCGTCAAACGAACAATGAAAAGTATCATGTGCAGCCTCATCCCTCTTTACGCTCCCTTCAAAGGAATGATATCTCGCGCATTATTTGCTCGTGCATCAGTCATTAGACACGATTGATGCGCTTATAACGGCTTTCAGATTAGCCCACGACATGGCAGGTATATAAGCTTCGACTTCCTTCAACTCATATCCTCTTACGAACTTACCATCAACGGAATGAAACCCTTCTAAATGTCATCTACCAAAAATCATGATTTTCGCCGGCGGAGAACCTTCAACAATTTCACCTAGTTCGAAGTTTCGTTCGGGTCCGTCTGATGATCGCCCCGAAGTCAAACGGCAACCGCCTCATGAATTGTTTTGCTCTCCCAAAGATGCAAGAAGGACGCTGCTGTGGCGAGTCCTAAAATTCACGCTGATGATACGATGGGCTGTTTCGTCGATTCTGTAACCGACTTAAGTACACTTCTCTAGCAATTCGTATTCCCAACCAGAAATATTGGGAAAGCTCCCATGTCTTGCGCGAGTCGAGAATGTTTCAAACATGGCTATGATCAAATACCAACATGAATAAGATAGTGGCTGCCTCAAAACTAGTAGCGAGCATGTCGATGGAGCATTGGGCCGATCCTGTGACGTATATGAATATACCTCTTCTGCACACTACTTCTTCTCGTCGACATACACTTCTCTTTGTACCAAGAGAAGTCGCAAAGCTCCACGATGTCTGCGTCTCGAGACACTCTTCGATAAGAGCACAAGTTCCCCCTTGTTTCGAAACCGTCAAAAGAATCTGCCATCTCCTCATGGCCTACATGGATACAAGGCTGAGACGAAGCTGATGGCGTATCGCATGCGATAGGATGCAATTGCCTTAAATCGAAAACGGGGTAAGGAGGATTGCTGTTGATAGTAGTGCGTCTGACAATGCGCGATGCACCACTTTGTACATAAAAATAAAATAAAATAGAGAAAGTGAACAGGTGGCGGGAAATCGCGATCGCGCGGTGCGAAGAGTGTACAAAAAAGGGCGCCCCTGGAGGTCGATAGCTGGTGACCGATAACTGCATTTTGGAGGAGGCGGGGTCTCTTTGGAGGTGCAGCCCGCACTGCCCGCTCCACGAACATTGACACGGGCACCAATGAAGTATCGTATGTAGCACCAAAGAAGTATCGTATGTAGCACCAAAGTTTTCTACGTCTCTGTCGAGCAACAAACCCGAGAAAAAAAAACTTTCAAAACAATAGCTATTGTAGGCTGCCAATGTTTACACCTCATACCTAGGTACTGTTCTTGATTGTTCACATTCCCTGCTTAGCTGACTTGTTCCGCTAGAAATTACTCATTATTCTATCTAACGAGGTAGCAATGTTCCGAATTAAAGAATTGATCCTGTGTGTAAGTTGTCCCAAGGCTTTACTGTTGTAAAGGACTTCTGATCATGCGATAGTAAGAGCAAGATCAGATATGCAGGAGAATACTTCGCCGCCTGCTCACTCATGCGTACATTGTATAGACATAGTGCTTCCGGACAGCCCAGAAAAAATACGTGTATCTTTCTACGGCTCACCGGAAGATCGACTCGATGACATACGGTTTGTAGACAAGGAATGGAATCGCTTGGGTCTCTCTTTGGCGGATCTCAGGCATAGGGCTAAGGCTGGATGCGACTTTTCAAAGTACCTCCAGGGCCGCTTAGAAGACCAGATGTACAAGGACGTGAGTGCTGATGCTGTCCAACTTTTCACTTCTCATGAAAATGGTTACATGAAGTTCCATCCCTTGATATGTCTACAGAGCCTGCACCCTACAGGCAGAGTCCCTGATGGTAGCGATCTGAGTTGCCTCTTTGTACATGCTCAAGGATGGGAAGATCGGCCGGAGACCTGTTGTTGGTTGACCTCGACCTCAGGTAAGAGACCTATGCACTATTTCATGATGCGCCACCCCGAGTTTGGAAAGAAACAGATACTCACGCAGGCAGGAGATGATCTGGGTCGGGGACTCAACGATTGTAGACCGATATCGCTCGATCCACTTTCAGACCGCACAATCATTGATGTACGCGAATGGATGAAGAAGTGTGAAGACGAACGGGACGGTAGTCACAAGATCTGCTCGTTGAGCGAGGACGCGTTTGTTCCCACCCGCGTCATCAAGATAATTGCTTCTGAACAAGGGCTGCATTTGAGGCTCATTCGGGGAAAAGATATAGAGGAGCATGACACCTCAGGATTTATGGCCCTCAGCTATTGCTGGGGTGGAGATCAACCGAAGCAGTTGATGCGAAACAATCTTGATTCCTACAAGACGGATATTCCTTGGAAAACTCTGCCGAAAACACTTCAGGATGCCGCAACAACAGCTCAGGCGCTGGGATTTCACTATGTCTGGGTCGATTCGATGTGCATCATACAGGACAGCGAAGAGGACAAGGCGGTAGAAATCAGTCAGATGACGCAGGTCTATGCTCATGCAAGATTGACCGTCATGGCTAGAAGAGGCGGAAGAGTGACTGATGGCTTCTTGCATTCCAGGGCGCTCCCATCTGGAACCAGTTCGATCAAGCTTCAGACCAACGATGGCCAAACACAACGGATCATTCTGACATTCCGAGCTGCGTTGGAAGAGGAGGAGAATCTTGCCTTGAACACACGAGGATGGACCATGCAAGAACACATTCTTTCCCGCCACCTGCTCATCATTGGAACTTGGGTAACAGAGTAGAGCTGTCGACGTGAGAAACATGTTCATTTAGACGGCTGGATCTACGACGAATACGGAAGCAGCAGAAGAGCCCGGGGTGATCCGTTCGAATACTATGGCCACGGCTGGGCGGGTCAAGATTCTTATGAGTCCGACGAAATGAAGTCTATCTGCAACAGCCATGTCCTCGACGCGGTGATGTTCTTCTCCGTCAACCCAGGATATAAACCCCGTCAGCTGATCGAGGTTCTCGTCCTTAAGTACTGGTGTGAACTCGTGGAAGCTTACAGTTCGCGGTCAGTGACAGTATCAAAAGACCGAATTCTTGCCATCTCTGGAATAGCTGAAAGATTTGCAGCTTTTGTACCAAAACGAACACGATATATAGCAGGTCTTTGGGAAAGCAGGATGCCCCAGGCGCTGTTCTGGTATCGATGTTCTTCAGCTCTATCTGATAGACCGGTTGAGTACCGAGGTCCATCTTGGTCATGGGTATCGATTGACGATCAAGTACAGACTGGTGTCAACGATGATTGCGATTGCAAGGTACTATCGATTGAATACGCGCTGGAGAGGACTGATACTCCATATGGAGCCGTAAGCAGTGCCGCGCTCCACATTGAAGGCCCTGCCTTCAGTATCGAATGGCGATACACTAGACAAGACGAGTCGCCAAAAGAAGACTTGAGCGAGTTTAGATGGCGCGGAGAAGGGTACGGCGAGCACGGCGTTGATATTCGGTTATTCCAGCACCTCGACGCTCGGGAAAGGAGTACAGAATGGAGAGAAATCATCTTGCTGGCTCAAGATCGATCAGCGGTCTTGCCTAGATGTGTGGCACTAATCTGGGTAGATCAGATTGAAGTGAACAACAAGTCCCGAAATCGGTTTCGCAGGTTGGGAGCGGTCAATATCAGTGTCACGGATCCTGATTTCTCGCCTGTTGAAAGCTGGCTAACAAGGTCATATTATGTTATCTAATAAGCGTGTTGACCCAAACACCAATGACCGTATGCGTTACGCAGCCTCTGTCACTTCTACAACGCGAACTTTGGTCCATCAAATAGAAATGAATAACAATGAAACCACCAATGGCATGTTGTACCCTACACTGTTGTTTTTCCTTGAATCTATACTGCAGAATAGACTAGGGTTACTTGTTTTTGCGATAGCCCTCATCATACACTCCTCAATGTGCCTATTTTCAAGGCAAATGGTCCTTGACCCACCTCTCAGGTTCGGAGATATACTTGGCCTTGCAGTCGGCCCTCACGTTGTTTCTACAAAGCAACCACTGGCCTTTGAAGATATCCCATTTTCCCTCCAAAGACTCGTTCATTTGAGCCATTGCCGCCGCCCCAATCCATACATGCTGCGTACCCTCCTCAGGGCCAACACGGAAAGTGTTGGACTCGCTTACGTCCTTCCATGTCTTCATCTCCTGGAATGTCCCATTGACGTTGATGGAGACTGGTCCGATGATGAGCTTAGACTCGTCCCACTTCTTCTGGATGTCAATGGGGTACGGTTCCTCATTACGTGAATACCAAACCAATTTCTTCCAGTCATTGCTAAAATTCAATTTCCAGACATTGTTGCCCTCCAAGAGCCCTTGTGGCACCAGTGCTCGGATTATGCAGATGTTAGCTGGTGCGCCGATGATGTTGGCAGTGTATGCGGCAAATCGCTCCGAGACCCAGTATTCGGTACTCCAATGATACGCGGTTCTATCAAGGGAGAAGTCGCTTGGTACGACTGTACCGAAACACATCTTGTCTAGGCGGAGAGAGTTTGGCTGGAATGTCTTGACCAGCTTCGCTGCTGACGTCGCACGGAAGAGAGTAGTATGACCAGGTTGGGTCAACTGATAACACGATCTGTTCTGAGGAGCGCCGCCACGTAGAGAGGGGAACTGTTGTGGACCAGACTTGATGATGGCGAGATTCCGATTGAGCCGCTCACTCAAGTTCTCTAGTGTCCAGAGATTTTCAGACACAAGCTCCAGGATCCAGAACAGCAGAGATGCGGCGCATCTTATATGAGTGAAGTTGGGGTCCATTATCCTTGCTTGTATATCCTCTGAAATTCCCAGCCTTTTCATACTTGCACGCCAGTCCGCAGTCATGTCATCGCAAAACTCTTGAACATGTGTTGTAATGATATGTTCCAGGGTCTGATCATCTTCAGATGTCCACCTTTTCAGGAGGTGTTCTGAAGCTTTGGTCGTGAATCCTATGAACTCGAAGGCCTGGACCGAGTAGAGGTTGAGGGGGATTTGCAGGTCTGGATGCGCGGGTGCGAGTTCGGTCGCAGTGGAGGAGGCAGAGCTTAGGGTGCCGACAGTGTCAGGAGGAGAGAAGAGTTGTCCAGAGATTCTTCGTGTGCCGTTGGCTGGATGTCCAACGAGTTTGTCGTCAAACTTCTTGATGTTTTCCAGTACCCAGTCTTCCAGGATGTCCTTAGGGAGGCCCATGACGGGTGAGAAAGTGGGTTTCGGAATCAAAAGGTGAGTATGAGAGACGTGGGTTTTGAACAACTAAAGGTCCATGTGTTGAAGAAGAGAAAAGAAAAGCAAAAGGCCGACGGGCATTATATAGCTGCGGAAAAAGGGAACCCCGTAGCGACATATTACTGAAGCAGCGAAATAAACCATAGTACACGGTTCTCAAAAACTCGGTTTCTGGAACCATGGGTCACCAACTCTGCGAAGATGCAACGAGCCACTGACATCTTCCGTGATTCAAACGAACGCTGACAAGACTTGACTTGGCCAAGCTCCTCATATTTGAACGCACAGCCTATGACTGATAACAGTCTTTATTCGCATGCTAAGCATTTCAAAAGCTTCAAGTATTAGGGATGCTTGGGTAGAAATATAGAGAACTTCATTTCCTGCACATAGACCATCTGTCATATGTTTTGCTTACTTGTCAAAAATGACAAAAACTCAAAACCCCATAAAATTCGACCATGAAAGTGCTGCCATCGCTGTGGTCACTCGATGTACATGAAAAGTTACCCGATAACGATGTGTGACATGAAAACAAGACACAAATGATGCTTTCGAAAAGTGATCCAATGCACTCATGCAACAAAAAGCGATTGGAATGTGTCACATGTAATTTGCTGCAGCTTCATGCCTCGGCTATGTGACGTTGTGAGGGCTACAAGGAGCGGTGAAAGAGTTTGTATAACATGTTGTACTCTACACAGTTCATCTCCACATCTTGTCTACATAATCCAGTCTACAGGCCCGTGTTGCAGGGCTCCAACTACCACGATGCGTGGTGGGCGTAGCGCCACGCAGTCGAGGCTTAGTGTGAGGCTGTGTACATGAATGTGGGGCATCTCCTGATGGGGTGTGTGATCGTTCGGGCGCTCCCGGTTCCCCTCGAAGCTTGTATGAATGTCGACCTTTGACAAGGCTCAGTCGTCTTGCGTAGATTTCTGGGTCTTTTCATGTGATGCTTTGGTTCGAGAGCGCACTGATGTTGAGGACGCCAACTGCTCGGGGTCCTACGTCTGCGTTGTTGTATATGCCTGGCTGCCCTCCTAGTCCCATTGTGTGTCGCATGCCACGCCTATGTGCTGGAAGCCGCTCTTCTATTGCTAATCTTGACCTTGCCCTTATCGTGTTCATACAGGCAAGACGGCTGTAATGAAAGCCTCCAACCCTCTCTCGAACAGCTCATTCGCAACGCCAATACCGCCCGGATGCTCCACGGGCGCAAGCGGATTCTTGACCACATACTCCACATAGAGATTTGCCCAGATCTGATGCAGGTATTGTCTTAGGTTGATAACCTTTGTATCCGTGAGCATGACAAACTTCATGCGCGTAGGCGTCTCGTAGTAATGGAGCTTGTACTCGCCGGTGCGATAGCTCAGGAACGTGTCGTCGGCGCCACCCAGCTTGGTAACGAGGTTACGCAGGGAGAAGACCAGACCAAAGACTAGCTTCTCGTCGTCCGAATGCGACATGCCCTTGCGGACGGCAGCGACCACGTCGCCATTGCTTGCGATGGAGGCACCGGATTGCGGGCGCGCGGCGGATTTGGACGACGACGAGGTTGGGCGGGCGGGTGTCCAGCGGCGCGAGTAGATGCACTCGGCTGGGCATGTGCTGTCAGCGGCGTGCACATGACAAGGTCGATATGGCTACTTACTGTGCCGATCAAATATGTAGAAGCTGTACAGGACCATTACGAGAGATATGACGTAGGCGGAGAGTAGATGGGAGGTTATGCGATAACGGGGGAAGGTAATTGGTATGCGGAGGTGGTGTTGGAGATAGGGAAGCGCCCCAGGCGGGTGTGGTCACCGATGCCAATTGAACGTCGAGGAAATGGCCGGTCCACGACAAAAGGGTATCCGGAGCGACGGCGATGGAAGTGGATTAAAGGCGAATTAAATCAGAGTGGAGTCTTGGAGCACGACAATCCAGGCGGTGGAGTCTGGATGCCAAGTGTCCTGGCTATGGCGTGTTGAGGCGGGGGGGGGCGATATGGTGTTGTCAACGGGTGAGGCTGAAAGAAATGTCAGGAAAGGCCCCCTCTCTGCTGCATTGTCCCCCTCTCTAGTCGGGCCTCTAACAAACTGAATCCTGGACTCTCGGAACGTCACAGTCCATGGTCCCGAACTTCCCCATATTATTTCTCCCTAACCCTCTCCTAGTCCCGTGTCAATCTTATCAACTACGTACTTAGCTACCGCCTTGCCCGACTACTATTGTGGTAGTTATGCCACAACCCCCGACACCTCCCCCCAGACGCCCATCCGAATCTGACCTGCGAATCTACACTTCCCAACCCTCCCTAGACGTTCCTGCAGTCGGCGAGGCCGGACGACCGCCGCCCGTTAAGTTTATGTGCGTGTTGCTCGGGGACATGCCATGGCTACCCCGCGGAGGTGCTGGTCCTGGTCTTGGTGCTAATGCTAGACAAGGTCAACACCCGCATACCAAAGCCCGTTACGACACCACAAGCGCGCAGCTTCCTCAACAAGACGTGTCAAGGTGCGACTCACTCCACACAGGATACGCCAGCACAACATCTGACAGCACAGGAAACATTCAATGCGCGCTCCGAGTATAGCAACAGCGAAGATGACGGCAGCGCCCAACACCGCATCAACCAATACCTAGTCAAGCAGGAGATTGGCCGCGGCTCCTTTGGCGCTGTCCACCTCGCCGTAGACCAATATGGCCAAGAATTTGTGAGGACACCAGCCCTCTAGACCTGAACACCACCGAAAAGAGAAGGCTCCACCCAGGCGCATGCGCCTGGACAAGACCATGCGGGTTTCCTACGAGGTACAGGCATTGGCTTTCGCTGACGCATCAACGCGCAGGCTGTCAAGGAATTCTCCAAATCGCGGTTACGAAAACGCGCTCAATCCAACCTCCTTCGCCGACCCACGGCTGCGAAACGAATGCGCGCGCTCCCTGCTGGCATCGGCTTCAATTCACCGCTGCACCGGCACTCGGTAACCGAGGAAAACAATGCCTTTGAGCTGATCAAGGAAGAGATTGCCATTATGAAGAAGCTACACCACCCGAACCTTGTCACGCTGATTGAGGTACTGGATGATCCAGAGGAAGACTCGCTATACATGGTCATGGAGATGTGCAAGAAGGGCGTCGTCATGCAAGTTGGTCTCGAGGAGCGCGCCGACCCATACAGCGAAGAGCAATGTCGGTGTTGGTTCAGAGACATGATACTGGGTCTCGAGTACCGTACGTCAAGGCTAGGGCAATTGCAAGCACATGCTAACCTCCTCCAGTCCACGCTCAGGGTATCATCCACCGCGACATCAAGCCAGATAACTGCCTGATCACAGAAGAGGACGTACTAAAGATTGTCGATTTCGGCGTATCAGAGATGTTCGACAAGGAAGGTGAGATGAAGACGGCCAAGTCAGCGGGCTCGCCAGCTTTTATGCCGCCGGAGCTGTGTGTTGCCAAGCATGGCCATGTTTCGGGAAGAGCTGCAGATATATGGTCAATGGGCTGCACGCTGTACTGCCTTCTGTTCGGAAGGATACCGTTCGAAAAGCATGGTATGATCGAGCTCTACCAATCGATCCGAACGGACCCATTGGAGTTCGAGGGCGAGTGTAACCCTGAGCTCAAGGATCTCCTGCAGCGGCTTATGGAGAAGGATCCCAAGAAGAGGATCACCATGGAAGAGATCAGAGTGAGTTGGCCGCTTGCTTCAATCGCGCAAAACTGATGTGTTAGGAACACCCATGGGTCACGCGACAAGGGACCGACCCTTTGTTAGCAAAGTCGGAGAATGTCGTCATCATCATTGATCCGCCTACCGATGAAGAGGTGAATGCCGCCATCACAGGCAACATGGGTCACTTGGTAACAGTGGTAGGTGCATGTAGTCCCTATCGCATACAACGAGCATTGCTAGCACGGTTTCGAAACTCGTTTTGGCTAACAATCTCATAGGTACAAGCGGTGAAGCGCTTCAAGCAGTTACTATTCAGGCGACGACCAGACCGTATAGAAAGCATACTGGGTAGTGCCTCACGCATTGTTCAACCTCCCATGTCCATGCGACCATCAGTATTACGCAAATCGAAATCACAAGACACACACGACCGGCGACCAGTTGAAGGCGCACTCTCCATCGAGGGTGTACACCACCAGATCAAAGTCGACGACAAGGGCCAAAGGCTTCCCCATAAGATGGATGACATGGCATATGTCAAACCCGGTCTCCGAGCTGAAGCTGCTGGCAAACGCTCAGCACCTAAGTCACCTGCTACTAGCAGTCCGACAGCGCCGACAGTACCGGATCTTGATGGTGCCAAGGTCATAAACGAGAACATGTCAATCCGACCACCGCCAATACATTCCATCTCAACACCTACCGGCATCAATCCCTCATCATCAGCGCCAACCACACCTCTAGGCAAAGGCCATGCACATAATCCGCTAGAAGATACGCTCTTCCTCAACATTGGCACGGGTGAGGACTTCCAACCCGAGCCTGAAGACGGATGCATCGTCTCGGAATCCCCCTCAAACGTCGATATCAACGTCTACGAGACAGCCTATGAAGAAGAAGTGCAACGCATCATCGCCCAGCGCCGCGAACAATTCGCCGCCACCGCCGCCGCCGCCAACCGCCGTCCCACTCTCTATCTTACACGCCGTGTCGAAAACGTCAAATCCATCCGCGACAGCGACGCCATCTTCGATGAGGGTCAGGATCTTCGTCAGAATATCAAGGTTAGCTTGAAATCCTTTGTTACCAAGACTAAAGAAGATATTGAGGCGAGAGGTGAATTGCAGAAGATTCAAGATGGCAAGGAGGGGAAGCTTAGTAGGACTATGCGGAATGTGAGGGAGGCTAAGAGGCTGGTTGAGGAGGCGCGCGAGAGAGTCAAAACGGAAGAGCGGGACCGTGAGCGCGAGAGGAGTAGAAGCGCAACTCCTGTTCTACGCACCAACAGTTCTGCTAGTGTCCTCAGTCGGAGCGGGACACCGGTTGGGAGTTGATGAAGTTAAAGATGAGGGACCGGTGACAAGCTGAGAAGAAAAGATGCCAAGCTTAATCATAGTCGACTTGGAGTTTTCAAATGGCGTTTTTGTACACATAGGATCATTGTTTAGTTGCATGCATGGTCTGAGCCTGGAGCTTGACACCATCCATACATATATGAAGGGGTTTCAACAAGGTTTCAAAACTGAGTGAAAGCGGATGAGCATAGCCGTTGAGCGATTGAGGACGGTTCATCTTGCCATGATATCTAAGAAACATGTTACGACATCTTGAGGTCCTTGACTTTAGGGTTGTACGCCGGTCCGCTAAGCTCTAGCTATCACTCTCGGCGTGGGAGAATTGCAGGTATCATTTCATGTCTGCCTTGCGGTGTGCAGGGCTTACCCTAGTACTAGCATGAAGATGTACCTGGGACTAGCTGCGTTGGGCTTAGTAGAATTTACACAGCCTCATCCTAGATGGACTGACATTCTCATCACCTTCTTTCACCAGGCTTGAACGACACGCATGTATTGCTTATTCACGATAAAACGCGTAGAAATGACCTGCGAGGCTATAAAGGATCTTTTTGGTTTACTTTAGATGGTGATGACTGGCAGGAGCTTCTTTGCGCGCAAATGTTAGGACGTGAACACCTGCAACCCATGCATGCAACGCCCGAAAAAGAAGACCAGGACTAGCCCGTCCGCGGTAGTTCCGCTAAGGCGTCCTACGCGATTCGTAAACGGCCGTTCTGTCAGCTCGTGCACAATCGCAAGGTACCCAGATTACACACGTCGTTTCTCTTTTCTCTCTCGTGTATGTGGAAAGAAGCCTCACGACGCCCCTCCGCCCGCCGCCCCATCTCGCTTCTTCGACACCGAGTATCGTTTATGCATTTTCACTAACCCGCTTTCTCGCGTCGCCTTTGCTGGTTCTTGATACGAGATGGTCGGCTTCACCTTTCTCACTGGTTCCACCACCGGAGCAATCAGTAGTGATGCCGATAAGAAAGAGAAGGATCTAAATGTCTCGTGTACATCCGTCAATTCGACGTCAACAACGCTTTCGGAGGAAACGCCTGCTACTGCGCAGCGGCGAGACCGAGTCAGAACCTGGGGAAACGACAGCGTAGCATCTGAATCCCGATTCGCACGATGGGACTGGCAGTCCAAAGCGCGGTGGAAAGTCCGTTGGACCTGGGTTTTCCACGACGCCTGTCTGGGTATCTGGAACGCAGCAAAATGGAGTGCGAAGAAGATTAAGAATGCGCCGTTGTGGAAACATGTGCGTTGGAGCAAGAAACAGTTTTACGCTTTCTTGTTGGTGGTCATTTGGGTCGTTCTGCCCTTGACATTAATCAGCTACTTGACACCCATGTCAATGATTTTTGCGGATAAAACGCTGAGTTGCGGTGACGGTTTCTATGGACAGCCTCAGAATGCTACGGTTACTGGGATAGAGAAACTCTTCGCGCTTGATTTTACATTTGGTAAATTCAGCTTCTCGCAGGTCAAGACGATTGATATCTTGTGGGATTTACTGGTCGGAAGAGGCGCGCAGGCGTTGGCTTGGTGGGCTAGTTATAACGTTTTTTGCGATGCGTTACTCAGAGCGATCGAACGGCATCCAGCGAGTTTTGAGATTTTCCAGAGGATTGCTATGGAAGGCCCCGGATTACATTCTCTGTGGACGTTGACAAAAGAGTTGTGGGCTGCGAAGAGTGCGAGGACACGCGCGTTGTTCTTTTACATGTTTTGGTCGACAGGCTACGTGCTCCTTGTGCCCATCGTACTAGGCGCCATGACAGGTTACGACAGTACGAGTATTGCGTGGATTGATCTCGATGGAGAGAACAACATCATTCCTGCGAGTCAATTACAGCAGACATGGGTCATCAAGGGAACAGTCAACGTGACAAACACCGGGACGAAGAATGAGACGTTCAAACAACCCGCTTGTGCGGAATATCATCTCCAGTACGACCACAACAGCATTGTGTATGGTAGGACGCAGAACTGTACGCACCCAATACCCCCCCCCCCCCCCACACACACGAAATAAAGCTTGCTAACCAAACTGAACAAATAGGCGATTGCCAATTCCCCAACGGCACCATGGTCACCTCTGAAGAGCGATTCAAAGACTACTATAGTTACTACTACCACTACTACTACCAACCCCGTTACGAAGACTGCTCCTACTACTACCCCAACAACACACAGACCTGGATAGAAGACAACCTCTCCAGTAGCTCCGATTCACGCACCGACCTCCGCGACACATACTCATGCAACGCCACCATCCCCGTGACCGTGAACGGGAAGACTTATGACGCAGACGACCTAGATGGAGGATATGGCTACTGTTACAACTCCGTGGGTTACGACTCTTCCTACCTTATTGATAAATCGCGTTGCCTCCCCGATACAGCGAATCCGTCATATCAATGGGGTTTCGCGACGCTCATGTCGGGCTTGTTCATCTTTGTTACGGCGGCTTGGACGCTGAGTATGTATGTGCTTTGGCAGGATGCGCAGTTCAATTGTAAGCTCGTGAAGGAGGGGTATCGACTCACGCCGTTGAGAGCAGCGTTCGCGATGGTGGTGGCGGCGAGGCGGCGGACGGGGTTGGGTGGGAAGGGGTTGGTGAGGGCAAAGACGGGGGGTTTAGAGAGGGAGTTGTTTGGGAAGAAGGGGACGAGGGGTACGGTTATTGAGGGGCATTTGTTCCTGGAGAATCCGGAGGATGGAGAGGAAGATGGGTTGAGGACACCGGAGTCGCCGCGGTCGCCGTTGTCGCCGCCGAGTCCGGCTTTTACGCCAGGGAAGGAGAGGGAGAAATGTTGGCCCGTGTCGCCTTCATCGGTGGAGGATCATGAGATTAAGTCGTTGGTGAGGTCCGATACTGATATCTCGTTCCATGTACTTGACGATGAGGAGTTACGGAAGAGGTATCTGAGGGGTGTGGAAGAGGCTAGATTAAGTCGGAAACCGCTTAGTCGGGAGTCAACGTGGGTGGAGGAGAGCATGTGGGAGAGGGGTCGTGATGGACAGGCTCACGATGGTCATGGAGACGACCACGATGATGACAATGACGATGATGACGATGATGGAGAAGATGGAGAGAAGAAAGGTGATGAGAAACAGGATAGCGGAAAGGGTAAAGGGAAAAGTAGGAATCGGTTGAAGAAGACCAGACGCTCTGGTTGATCGATAGATGCATACGTGTTACGAAGTTACGAATGTCATGAACAAAATACGTTACTCTGACTCGATGGAAGCGGATGCAACGCAGTGGGACTCATAGCGTCGTATGGACGGCTTTTTAGACATGAAAGGGAGGGCTGCTACTTCACATCATGTAGGCCACCGTAAATGCTTTCTTAACACACCCACGCTTGACGTTCTGCGAGTTTAGCACCACTTTTGGTTCTCTGATCTCTGCTCCAATCGCCATGCCTTCGGTAAACTTTAGTCTCCTATTCAAACGAAAGTTGTTGAGAAGAGGAAGAAGAAGAGCAGAAAAGAAGTCTATTATACACTCCTCATTTGGTCAGGAGAAACGCGGACACCATGTGTTTGATGCAGGATTTTGAAGTCTCCACTTCCCATGGATCTCTCGTCCGTTTCTTTCGGTGTTTTAGTAATGGCGAAGATAGTGTGTGAGAAGCACAAGAGGAACAGCTGAGACAGGGTATCGTATGCGTTTCGTGGCCGAAATTGGGGCTGGCCGGACATGTTCCATCTGACTTTCTGTTTTTCGTGCTCTCCACCTCTCGTGGGAGACTGTTGAAGATTTTTTTGGTGTTTAGTCAAAAGAAAGACTGTACATGGAGTGTAGGAGGGAGAGCGAAACAACAGTTTTGAATGTGATTTCTTACAGAACCGACGCAGGTCGAACATTGCAAAATTGCTGACGCTTTTCGATCTTTCGCTGACCACGGTACACTTCTGCAAATTCTTTTGGTGGATAAGTCGAAGAGAAGGTTTTGTGAGAAGGGAGTAAGAGAGAGGAGGAAGGAGTCCTTTATACATGTCGCATCGTAGCCTGAACCAGGCAGACCATGACGCTCGATGTCGATATTCAGGCTCTTCGTTTTTCGTATCGCGCATGCATGATGAATCTGTTTACTTTCTCCTGTTGTGTATTGCGTGTCTATTTCGATTTTCCGTTCGTGCATGGTCGACTTGTCGTTCGTATTCCGAAGATCGCGAATCTGAACATGTGTTCTTGGTGCTGATATTCGTTAGCGAGCTCTTCGGAAACATAGTATTCTCCACTAGCGTTTTAGACAAGGGAGTGAGGCGGAAACATGAAAGCTTCTGTTACACGATTTGGAAAGAAGAAGGGGTTTCTGAGGCAAGATTGTATTTTGTAAACCCGGATTCTGATCATGTACATATAGTTGTGCGTTTGATCGGCGCCACTTCCGCAGACATTCGCAGTGTTGGTGTGCGTTTTAAGAGAGAGACTGGGGAAGTAGACATCGCGCAACCTGGTTGAGTTTTTGGAAGATGAGCAGAGGATGCAAAGTGTAGAAGGCAAACTCTTCTTCCACAAACTGTGACCTTGATCATACTTTTGTACCAATGTGTCTTGTTGAAGCAGCGTTCGAAGCCATGTGTACGTTATGTATTCTTTTCGGGAATGATGCGCGGGGCATCCATTCACGTGCATAGGTGTTTGGAGCAGAGGGTGAGGGACGCAGGCATGGCGGCACGTCGTCTTCGTTTTGAGAAAGAATAACAGAGTGTGAGGTGTAGTAGAAATGGTATATTGAGGTATCGAGAGGGTTTATATACCCATACAGCGATTCGGAATCATGTACAGAGCCCCAATGGTTTCGATATTGTGACAAAGATCATGTTCTCGTATAACTCACAGGCTAACGCGAAGTTTCCATAGCTAGATACTCGCTGTTTTTTGAAACGTACTTGAGGTAGAACTTGCAGAGTTGTTTGCTTCGTGGCGAGTGCTTTTGAGAGAGAAGATTGAGTGATGTTTGTCGGAGGACGACAGAGGCAGGAACATGATAGTGATTTTCGAAAGTTAAGAAGCAGTCTTGTGTACCTGAGAATGCATCCCGGTTCTTAGGTTCGTCGGAGACCATAGAGGCGATATTTCGATGTTTAGGAAGTCGATAAAAGAAGGGGCGACAACTATACCGTATGTCCATTTTTTTCTTTACTGGCAGCTGAGAAGTGAATGTGTGTGATAAAAGAAAGAGAAACATATCCGATAGTGACTTTGAGGTATACACAATGACGGCCCCTGTCCGAAAGCGCTCACTGTCCGCTAGCATGTGCATTTCGAACCAACCATTCAGATCTTGAACCATGCATTCAATATTCCTCTTCCGACTCCTCCTCAACATCAGTTGCTTCCTCTTCCTCACTGCTCTCTCCTTGTTCCGACTCAGCTTCGTCCTCATGAATGATAACACCTAGTTCTCTTCTTCCCAGCGCATACAGTGCTTTGTCCTCCTCTTTCAACGCTGTCGCAGTTTCACGCATTTTCGGAAGTAGTACATCGACGACAAAGTCCTGGAGGCTTTTACCGACAGAATCGTATTGAGAGATGAGCTGGGATACTAGCTCTTCGAGAACTGCGTGTAGGTGTGTGTCCTCGTTTTTTATGCGTTGTTCTTCCCTTGGAGAGTACCGAGGGTATGGTTGTCTGGTACAATCAGGATCCTTATCGCCATCGTGCTCAATGCGATTGATATCGCAGCAGATGTGTCTTAGTTCCAGGTATGAGAAGACGAATAAGCGGATATACTCATGTATGATGTGGCAAAGCTCGAGAGACCGGGCCGCTTCATCAACCCAAAAGGTCAAGTCGAGAAGCAGTTTCGTAATGGGCTGTAGTGATAAGTGCTGACCGTCGGTATCGACCAAAGCACGCTGTATCTCAATTGTATTTTCGATTTCGTCGCAAATGGAGGGGAGATGTGGACAAGAAAATTTCCCCACGAACAATCCCTTCCAAAAGCACGATAGGAAGCTGCAGCCCGAGCTGCTGCACCCACATCTGCAACCATCCAGTATTTGATCTTTCATGAGAAACTCGAAGTCTTCGTAAGCCCAAAGTCCTTTCATGGTACAGCTTTGATGGCCGCATACCCATTCATATACTTTCCCCAAGTGCATTGCGGATTGCCAGGCCAAACAATGTAAAGCAGTGATATCCGATCCTGGCCACGTTTCTCTCAGATCCGCCCCTCTCGAAAGAAACCATCGGACTGTCAGGTCGCGCTGAGTTAATGGTCTCGTCGCATATATAACAAAGTAATCTTGCGTTGCTAGATACAGCAAAGGCGAGCAGGATATCTCCACCCTACATTCGAAGCTTTCCTGAGTGATTTCACGAAAGCCTACCCTCTCAAGACCGTCAAGCAATGCAACTTTCGGAGCTAAGGATCTGATGGACATGTAATAAACGCTCTTCTTTGTTGGCCACGAATGTTGCGGTACCTCGAATCCACTGCTAACCAACGCATTGAGCATGCATCGAGCATGTGCATCCGGTAGGTATTTCTGAGCGTTATCACAGCAATAGTGGACTCCGTGCTCTTCTGCCAACAGCCTGATGTCGTGCCTTGAACTGGAGAGATATTCCACAAGAATTCGAATCTCGTCCATGTTATAGGAAGCGTTCATATTTCTGTCATCGGCGTCCAGCATGTCTTCAACACTGCCAATGACGCCGAGCTGGAAGGACTTGTGTTTTTCCCTTTGTGACAGCCAGAATTGCAACATGTCCAGTTGGTTTGTACCAACTGAGCATCGGAGCAAGATAGCAGGATTGAAAATGCGATAGTCTTTGTCCAGGCATGTCATGAGCCCTGCTTCAAGCATGCTTTTGCAGCCCTCTATCCAACCATTAATGGTAGCCATGGCAAGAGCGTAGGCCACCGATTCGGGATCCAGAGCTTGCGGGTCCTGAGCCTGATTAAGGACATGCCTGATGTGATTGTCGGATTTCATTATTATCGCCTCTAGTAGCTCGCTATCGTCTAACAATGGGTTGACAAAACTTTTGAATGGGAATCCAGCAAAAGCCATCGACCGCTCAGCGCTTATGGACACTATTTGCAGTAAACCATACCGAGTAACCTGCAAATCGTGCTTTAATAGTGTAGTCAAGAGATTCATGTAGAAATCTGAATGTTGTGGACGAACATTCATCACAAGCTCGTCTACGCATGTACTGTTAAGAATGAGCTTTGCCACTTCAAGTAGTATAACAACGCAGATCTAGCATCAAAAGGTGAGATCAAAAAGAAGTTCCAATGCAGACTTACAGGCCTTCGTCGTTTGTTTCCAAAGCCTCAGTTGACATGTGGAGAAGGAGGACTGTAAAAAGATAGCGAAGGTTCGCAGTGGCTTCAAGACTGTTTCCGTTTCCAAATGATGATGAAAGTCTAACATAAAAACATAAGTGCTATACTACGGTTAGTTTACACCAAGGACTAACGGAGCATATTGTACATACATGTAAAAGCGTACTTCCATCTTCTAGTCGATCATGTGGTGACGCTTGTTTGTGCTGAAACATTGCAAATAATCTGTCGACCTCTCCACGAAAGATCTCATCTGACATGTTGTTATCGAACCACACAAGATTTTTAACAAGGGCGAAAGCAGGAGATGATTCATCAACAACACGGTGACACTGCAGATTCTGTGTGACCGAGAATCCAGCGTCATAAGATAGTTTAAGCGACAGCGAAACCTTCGTTCTGAGGATGAGACTACACAGTGTAGCCCGGAGTTGCAGATCTGTTACTGCTCCCTGAATGGAGGATTGTGGGCATTGAGGGTCGTGATTCGAGGTTCTCGTGCATATGAGTGAGAGCTGTTTTGATTGATAACCCAGCGCGGAGGTCTGCGGTTGGCATGTACATGCGACTTGTGCGAATCGTCGGTTCAACCTTCGACCCTTCCGTTGAAGCGATCTCAGACTCATTACGTCGGTTTCCAGTGTATAGTCTGTCGTCAAGCATACTTCGTTAAGCTTTGCTTCCTGGCTTCTGTTAGTCGGTACCGCGTGGGTAAAAGACGTGAGTACCATGCGCTCCAGAGTAGACTGGAGTCGTGGCAAATGACCCAGATATGGAGTTTGAGAGACAATAGGTTGCATCGAGTGTTGTAATTTATATACATCGGCGTGAAGACTACGGAGGCTATGCGACGTGGCTGTGAACCCTGTGTCAAGGATTTGTGATTGTCCGGCGAGCTGAAGTTGGGTCCTATCGAAATTATCTCTTTGAAGCTGTAAGCCAGAAAAATGCTGCGTGCTTTGCTCCAAGGATAGCTGGGTGAAACATAGCCTAATATCTTCAGAGGCCAAGCGTTGTTGGTCAATGACGAGCGCAAGTAGCGCAGTCTGTAAACTTTGCTGTATCGTATTTAGAGCGTCCTTCCAATACTTGATGTCTGCCTCTTTGAACGGAAAAGTCATCCGCTTGCCCAGCCTCTTCAAGCTCGACTTGATCCCGCCACTCGACGTTTGATCATCAGGCTTGAGTTTCTTCCTGATAGTCACTATAGCATCTGCACACGATGCAATACCGGTATGCGTCGCTGACACGGACTGGGACTGATTCACTCGACCAATGATGGTCTCGAGTAGTTCAAGTAGATTCGCAAGCTCTTCCGTCTCCGCCGCAATCTGCTCAGCCTTGTCCTTTGCGTCCTTGACACCGCTGACATACCATTCTAGGCCCTTGCAAAGTTGGATCGCGAGAGAAACAACACCGACGGCGCTGCCGGTGATGGAAAATGGGTCTGCCATAGCAAGAGGTGCTGCGTCAACTGTGATCAGTGTGAGAAATAAGAGGAAGGGAAGCGTGAGAAGGAGATGCGGGGCATAAGGGCAGGCGTACAAGGCTGAGGCTGAGGCGCAGTGCATGCAGGCAAAGCTGTACGGTGTTTGGCCACTCATGATGTTCTCACATTGGCAAGTGCAACACACGTAGCCGGCCACTTGTTTGAACAACACGACTATTTTTAAGTAGCGTGCGGTGTAACATCGTAGCGAGTGATAAAAACATATTCCACGTATGTTATTCCTATATGCCTAAGAGTCTATATCAACAAAAAAAATTGAAGGGCTCAATGCTGCGCAGTCAGTGACCTGTGCTCCTTGTTCAGACGCGACGAATCCTCATCGTCATCATCTGAATCAAGGCCTTCCAGTTCAAATTCTTCAGCATCTCGTACCCTACGGTCAACCCTGGTGTAGCCATTGATATGTACGTTCGCATGGCCGTTCGTGAGGGGTGCTTCGGCATCAGCTTTGTCGTCTTGGCCCCAAGTGTATACGGCGTAGAGGTGGATTAGCATGTTGACGACTAGACATATATTAGCCGGGAACAGTACTGAAGGGTTTAGAGAAGACTTACAGAGGAACAGTAAGAAAGCGATGCTGTACAAGATCAGCACATACGACACGTGTGTGACGTTCGCATCTGATAGCAGCTTCATCTGCTCTTCGGTGGCGCCCATGAACATGAAACCTCCGGCCATTAACAAGAATGGTGTCAAGTATTGGAAGCTGTTCGGGTCTGAGCCATCGGTGGCAACGGAAGCTCGGTCCTTGAGCACGAATGAGATCTCAATGATGCGTGCGGCACCTGCAGCCATGAGCGTGTAGCCAAAGATGGTGTGAATCATGGTTGAAATCGGGAGATGTTGGGGATGTGCGGACATGGCCCAGCCAGTCATCAGGATGATGATACCAGGAATGAGGTTCCGCTTCGGTTGTCCATTGCGCTTTCGGCTCAGCCAGACACCGACCAGACCCGCGGCCCACCATACGATGCCCATAGACGTGTGCTGAAGGTCGTTGTGTACCCATGGTCCTCCCCAACGGTGTTCAGTGAAAGTGTTCACGCAGCCCCACGCAGCGATGACGAGCGAGTCAAAGAACTCCTGGCTCCTTCCGGTCCTCCGAAGCCACATTTGTCCAACCAGAAGCAGGATCAAGAGGATGATGCCGTATGCGATGAAAGCGCTTCCCATGATGAAGTGTGCCAAACATTGTCCGGTGTGATCCGCCCTGCAGAAGCCGAGGGCAGTGATACCTCCAAAGATAAACTGCACCCACGACACCACTGGCATGGCCTTTCCAACCACACCATGCACCTTGACAACCACATGCCGTATCTTCCCGTTTATACCCTTCTCAAGGTGTAGCTTGAGGTAAATACCCATAGCAACTTGAGAGACCAACATGAGCATTAGGACGGGCACGAACTGGGCATGGATGTTCTCGGTGAACTGTCTGCCTTTGTGCTTATGGCCGAGGAAGTATCCGATGATTGCGAGGACGGTTCCGAGGGACTGCACAGGGACGTGCCATTTCGATCGTATTATCTGGTGGAATTGTCAGTCCATCTTCCTTGGGGCCGCTATGAGGTGACGACATACCCCCAGCACCATACCAGTGGGGAAGATGATTCCCCAAGCTACTGATTGGATCAGGATGTGCGTCCATAATATTGAGTCCTACAGCAACCATCAGTCATTCTGCTCTGACTACAACGGGTTCTCCTGTTAACGCACGATTGGGTCAGGTGATATAGCATCGCCCTCTGGTATCGCATCCATCTGGTGGTCATGCGCTGTGACAGTTGTGGTGTAAAGTAGCGCCGCAAAGGCCGCTCTTCTTATCGTAATGGCCATCTCGATGTGGGTATTTCTGAATAAGATTCGCGGTGCTGCAGCTGGCGCCACGAGCAGGTGATTATTGTCGTCGTTTGCCGCGTTGAGAGTTTCAGGATGGCATCAGGCGTGTGCTAAGGCGGGAACGAATGGACAGGCGAGTGTGTTTGTTGTTTCCCTTGCATGCGTCGTCGCAATCTCGTGCTTACGTGAACGACTGGCGCCACCGTCATTGGCTTCCGCCACAGTCCGGCGGAGCGATCAACACCATCATCTCCGACACCAACGCCGATTTGCAGCTTCAGCTTCGCCACTCACGACATGGCTTTCGAGAAGGGTGTTACCGAAATCGCGGATTCTGAAGATGACTCAATGCCGTCGTCACCTGCTCTTGAATCAACGGACAAGCTTTGCGCAATGGCAGGCGCCCCGTACCAAGAGCGACAAGACGCGCTACATGAGGCAGATGGCCTTCACCAAGCACTTGCCCAACGCAATGCCAGCGCTGCTGAGGGCTTGGATGTCGATCTTCATGGCGTTTCATCAGACGTCGACGCGTCAAAAGTTGATCAGACTAACATGACATCTCATGATACCAGCAGAGTGCAAGACGAAGGAGCCATCATTGAAGTGGGCAGACACGACCTGGAGCTGCACTCACAGTTGCATTTGTCAAAAGCGGAACCCGCAACTGCAGACATATCAGATGAGTTTAACGTGGCGGCGGCACAACCTTCGCCAACAGATGCATTGCAACTTTGTAGTCATACGCCAGCTAAAAGAGCAGATACCCATATCCGACGACAAAGGAGCACTAATCAGACGGCCAAAGACAATCTTGCAGCACAAAGAGAAGTCAAACCTGTAGAGGATGCAATGGCAAAGAATGTTGAACATGATCTTGCAGCCGGCTGTCAAGAACAACAGTCTACTGTAGGTGGTATCAACCCAGTTGCTATGGAGCAGAGCGCGACTGGAAGCATACATCCCACCACGTTGGACGCGTCATCAAAAGCACCAAGCACCGCTGGACATGATCTATCAGATACTGGAGTTGACTTGGAAGTACCAAGTGGGTGGTCAACATGTAAATTGCAAGATTATGCCACGCGCGACGGTCGGCCCCAACAGTCAACCGAAGGACTTTGTCACGCTGCAAGTGGTGATAAAACAGATCAACACTCGAGCGAGATTACAGTCTGTCCTCGATCAATGCTCATCCATTTCATTCGCTCACATTCAATAGGTTCCCACTCCAATAACTCTAACTGGCGCATCAAATGACGCACTCGCTGAAGTCTCAGTGCCATCACCTTTCCTGACCGAAACCATGCACAACAGAAGTGGTGGCTCCAAACACTGTGAAGCCCAAGATCCAGGAACCACGCTTTATATCTCGCAGATGGATATCGACACTAGCGAAGCGTCCGTGAGCATAGAAAAGGCTACCTCGATGATCGATCAGGAACAGACTTTGAAAGAGGGATCCGCGAAACAACACTCAGCCGTGAACGAGGTGGCATTATCGAAACAGAGCGCAGATCGTATCTTCGATGCTAGTTCATCGGCCGCCGAACTAGCTACCCACGCCCAACCACATGTTGGCGCGCAACCCACGTCGTCAGCCGCAGAGACATCTCCACCGAAGACACCCCAGGAAGTTACTCTCGACGGACTGAAAGCACAGAAGGCTGCGCTCCTGGCATCTCTCGGTTCACTTCCAGCAATCCAAGTGCTCATAGAAGAGAACGCCCTTTTGGACGCCGAACCAGGCGATGCAAACGACGCACCTACCGAGATCGAAATCATGGCAGCTGCGAACCAGATTGTTAAAGAACACATCAAGTTGCTGCATGAATACAACGAACTGAAAGATGTGGGTCAGGGGTTGATGGGTCTTATCGCGGATCAGCGGGGCGTACGGATAGTACAAGTCCAAGAAGAGTTTGGCATCGATATAGAAGACTGATCACCCTACGAACATCAATGGAAATGGAGAAACAAATGAAAGCCATGAACTAGCGATGACGGACGCACGTCTGACTTGTGTTAGACACGGGAAGTGAGTGTCAAATAAACCTTATGCTGTATGTACTTCCTCTTTCGCTCTAGAAGCAATTTTCTGAGTTCAAACTACCTACCAGTGTACCTTTGCCTAGTGTGACATGCCGTTGATCCGTCGCGCCAGGCTTGGGCTGCGACTCGCCCAAGATGCCAGCTCCAGGTGATGCCGTTGTTCCTCACGAAACTCGGTAGCGCTCCTTGGCCTTGACACATCGTTTGACAAACTTTGACTGCGGCTGGACGCGACGAGACACGAATGGCGCAATACAAGCAGCGAGCGCACACATGGGCCTGAGAGACCCGGTCCAGATCTGTACGATGCGCCGCCATTTCTTCAGTTAGCGAGAACGTCTGCGCACAGGCTTCTCCGTGTTGCAGGGACGCGTTTGGCCAGACTGTCGGAAGACCGGAAATGCGCCGATTGGAAACGAAGAGTTCCAGTAGATTGGACATCGCAAGGGAGAACGCCACACATTCATTTTCCGACCCGCAGGAAGTTAACCTTCTCTCGCAGCATCGGAAAATTGTAGAATTACGATCAGCTGAGCCAGAGTCTCTATCCGATGTTCCATGACTCTGTACACACTGCTAATGCGGTCAATGTCGGCCACCAGCATTCCGTCATGATCTTGGGCTCGACAGACCACAGACATCGTTATGTGCAATTGCGGGTCTTCTTCGGTCTTTTTCACTCTTGTAGTCAGGGGCCGCGACGGAAGCCACGATCGTGCCCAGAACACACCAGCAGAGACGATCCCATGCTCGACATGGTCTCATGCGGGTATCATCGCCTGATGAGTACCAGCTCTGTCTCAGTCATCGGTGAACGTTGTATACAGGCCAGGTACCTCGGCATCTAGACTTGCGCAATGGCGGCAGGCACGCGACACTGAATGAGTGCTGTGCGTCCGTCTGATAGGCAAACTGACGAGGTGGCGGTGCAGAATCTGCGTCTTACTGATCGGGTGGTGGAGTCGCATGTCATGCATCCATGCATAGTGTATCAACGGTCTTCAGCAACTTCGAAGATCGGCGGACCCACGCAGTAACATAACCTTGGGAAAATCCCGAAAATCCCAGTCTTCGGATTCATCATCGCGACATCTATGTTCACCATGACTTGACTGTCAACAAATTGGGAATGTGCACTCGATATTCTGAGAAGACGGCCAGAATTTCTAGGATCTATCAAAGACGGCCACTATATTACGTCTCTGGATGCACATCATCCGTGCCCAATCTTAGGTCTAAGATGACACTCACTTTCGAATGGCAGGCTCACACATCTAACTTCCGAGTGGCACTTTGGACGTCGGACGCTAGAATTCGTAGTGCCCCGCTTGTCGACACCAGGCAAGGGTTCTACCCACTATGCAATGCACGTCTATTCGCAAACATAACCGAGGGTCCTTTGAGACACATCGAATTACTAGTGAGTAACAATTACACTTGGTGATTGGCAGACTAGAGGGATGCAGGACAACCAGGTCGTTCACTAAGTTGACAGCTCCACGGTGCATGCCGTCCCGTCTACTAACACCATCCCATTGCTAGTCAGTTACCCATGATGAGCTTACTGGAACGGACGTGCCTCCTTTCTGGGACCAGCGACGATATATGGTCGGTTTCGAGACCCTGAACTCTTATCCTCTGGGATCTCTTTGACCGAAATCCTCCTTCCCCAACTTTCGGCTTTACTTTCACCACACCATGTCGGCTTCCGTCCAGGACTTCCAGCTTGCCGCTTTGGCCGCCGGCTTCACCATCGGATTTGGGTTCTTAACAGTATGGGAGGCCGTCAAGCAGACAAGGCGAAACCACAGCCCGTTACGGTCTGCCTATATCTACATGATATGGGGTGAGATTTTTGTCAACCTTGTTATTGGTATTATCGGATGGCTGTTCTTGAATGACAGACTCGGTCCAACGTTAGTATTCTGGAAGATTATGCACTACAAAGAGTCCTTGCTAACGAACAATCACTCAGTGTTCCTGTCCTGTTCTTCATCTTGTTCTTTTGGGTCTTCGAGGTCCAGTTGCTTATGCAAATCATCATCAACCGAATTGCCCTCATCGCAGAACACCGAAACACTATCCGGAACCTCAAATGGGGAACAGTGGTAGTCATCACTCTCATCAACATCGCCGTCTTTTGTATCTGGATCCCATCGCATACTGTCCCGCCAATTAGCGATACATACGTCAAGATCAACAACGTCTGGGACAAGATCAGTAAAGTCCTTATCTTGATCGTCGACGCAGGCTTGAACTGGTACTTCCTACGGACCGTCAAGATCAGGCTAGTAGAACAACACGGCCTGACCAAATACGCGCCCCTCGTAGGCTTCAACGGAAAACTAATGGTCGTCTCCATCGCCATGGATGCCCTTCTCATCGGCCTCATGTTCCTCAAGAACCAGGTCGTATACATCCAATTCCACCCTGTTGTCTACATGGTCAAGCTCAACATCGAAATGTCCATGGCTTCTCTCGTCGTCCGCCTAGCCCAGGGAAAACAAAGCGATATGGGCCCCGAAGAGTTCCACAGCTCTTCAGGCCCCGATTCGCACTCTCGATCCGCCGCACTTTCGCACCAACCGCACTCCCTACAGCTGACCAACCGGTCCAAGCGCAATAACACTAACATGCGCAGCCCGGGGCTAAGCAAGATCGATAGCGATGATAGCCTGGATCTGGGTGGCATTCAGTGTACGACAGATCTACGCATCACGCATGAAGATAGGAAAGATTTCGTGGAGGGCAGCTCGAGGAGTAGCAATGACGCGCCGGCTCCGAGTATGTTTGGAGATGAGACACCGTTGCATAAGCAAGGGACAAGGATACGAGAGAGGGAGGTGTAGAGCGCCTTTTCCTATGTTTGCTGAGCTGTTTTAATTAATGATACCCGTGGATATGTAATCACAATTGGTGACTTCAATACCGTCGTCGTACAATAAGTCTCAGGTCACAATGTCAACTTTACTATGATACCTCTACTCACAGACTCCCTCTATCCCAGAACTTCAGCCTCAGGTCTCTTCTCCGCGTCTACGGCTTTCTGACCCGAGCTCAGCTTGGTCTTGGAGTGAGTGCCTCGCCACCGTTCTCACTCCATCACCGCCGACTCTACAAACGAACAGCCGCCTGTTCCTTAGCCTCGCTTAACCTACTTGCGGGAGTTGATCCGGAAGTCAAGCACAGAGTCTCTTGTGTCTAAATATCGGCCCGTCTCCGCAATCCGACATAGGTACGCCCCACTCGTTCGCGCACAAAAGCCCACCACCACTACCACTAAGCGACGTGTTCTAACACATCATGGCAACCGCTATTGTGATATCAAGTTGGTATCAAGTAAGTTCCTAGGATGATTAAACTATGTGGAAGTGACTGATAGCGATAGACAAACAACATGCCAACTTCGCGGTGTGTGACAACATCACGGCAACGCGCCGAAACAGCAAAATCGGCGATGCTGGTTCCAATTTTATCAGTAGCGCCGACGTCGGACGAACACCACCACCGCCCATCACTTTCACGACGACGGTTTCGCTCTCAAGGTACTCCCATCAACCGACAATACTTCGCAGTTGATAACTTACCTCAGCACTAGATACATTATGGTATTGCCCATATCATCACGGTCGCATCGCTTCCGGTTGCCGTGGCCAGGTTTTGTCTGTGTCTCTCCAAACTTCCAGTCATTTCCACAGTCAATTTTTACTTTCCTTCTCTCTCAAGTCATTTCCATCGTCATTCCCCTCACTCGTTTTCCTTCGTCACTTTCCATGAGGCACTACCATTATCCACCACGGCACTGGCTTGCTCTCGACTTCGGCATCATCTTACCTCATTATACGATACACCATCTCGCCAGGCTGAAGACTCTGCTTGTGCTCGGACTGGTGTCGTTGGAGTCGGACTTTGGGGGCTGTATTTTGTCTCACATTTTTTCTGGCGTCAGGTCTTCGACGAATGGTGTCGTCACTTATCAATCTTGAGGTCTGAGTATTTTCTTGTGCTTGTTCATATGGCAGGCCTTCGATGAAAGGTATCGTCGCGCGTCTGATCAGGCCTTGTTGCACATTCTTTCAAACTATGTATCAGCCACTCCAACTTGAATTGCTATGTTCCTTTCCCTGGTGTATCTTGCCGTGTCCTGTTCATTGTTCCCAAAGCACAAATTCAATAACGGTCGCGAAATACTGTTCAGGCAAGAGTCAGAACGGAAGGCAGTATACCCCTCTTGTTAAGACCTTATTCGTCGTGACCTTCTTGGTTGCCTAAATCTCCACATGACGTCAGTCCCGCCTTCGAACGCGTCGCGACCATCACCCAGAACGCGTCAATAACCTTCCCAACAATATCATCATGGCTTCCCCGTCGGTCCCTTCTATCAAGTCCCATATATCTTGTTGCGACAACAGTAGCCTATATGTCTACACCTCGCGCGTCATTCCAGAGCTCGCTCTTCTAGGCTGCACAGATATTGCAGGACGTCTGCTAAGCAGACTCAACGACTATGACTTCTACCACGACAGCTTCCCATGCCGGAAATTGATAGATCTTTGGTATCTTTGGGATCTGCGTGCGAAAGACGATGGGGTGCCGTGGCCCGAAGGCGAAGAAGAGAAGGTACGACGGGCTGTGAGGGAAAGGCGAGCCAAGGAGAGAAGCAGCGATGCTGGCACGGAGGAAAATGGTAGCACGGTCACCCTGGATGATATACAGAGAGAACTGAAGCTTCGAACGACTGAGTCCGACCGCCCACCCACCACCACTCGGATGCTTATTGATGCGCGAGACATCATCCAGGGCTTTGAGACCGCAGGTTCAACACCCGAGATCAGCAAAATGAGGAGTGGCTTGGTCGAAGCACTAGAATTGGTGGTATCAGCTGAAGCCCATCATAAGAAGCACAGCGCGGGCGGAGTACGAAACTCGCGTGGAGCTCCAACATCTGAGGAGCTATTACGATGGCTAGCGCACAGTTTAGGGGAAATGTACCATGAAAACCTCACGATATTTGGATCGAGACAAGCCTGGAAACTATACAAAAGCGGCGCACTAAGACAACAGCTCAACGTCGATGAAGCAGCGCTCACATCCTTCGCGAACGACTTCGAGATTGCTTTGACCGAGCGACTCACGAATGGTCGTAGCAGACCATCAGCGAAGATGTCCGTACCAGAACTCTTGGAGGTCGCAGAACACGTTACCCAAGCTGTGAAAACCAATCCCAACGTTCAAGAGTTCTACGCTCATGTCACCGACACCTCCCTCTTCAGCTCCCCCGCAACAGAAGCGCAGATCGCAGAAGCCGAGGCCCAGCTGGGTATTACTCTCCCATCCGACTATACCACCTTCCTTCGCATCAGTAACGGTACGATTGGGCACATATGGGACCATTCCTTTTGCGGCTACCAACCACTTCTCCACCCAGTTGACAAACTGCGATGGCTGGACCTAGTCGAAGAAGATTACTTCACCGGTCTGTCGCTTGATATGCCCGCTCGATGGGATAAATGGTCTTTCGCTCCTCCTCCCACCGCGATAGGCTATGGTGGTGACTCGCTCGAGCACTTCATCATTGGCCGTGCATTAGAGGTCGGCACCGAGGATATCGATAACGTTTGGCTTCTTCCGCCATCCACAGTTACACCGATCAAAGAGGCCGTTAAGAAGATACTGGAAGATGAGGACCTGGACGAACTAGATAAGAATAGCGTAAGAACGGCAGTGAGAGATTTCGTCGGGAGTGAAGAGGACTGGGAGAAGGTGGAATGGGCGTGTGTTACTTGGGCTAGTGGCGGCACGGCGGCTATGTTTGTTTATCCGGGGTTTAAGGCGTACCTCGAGAGTGTGGTGGGAAGTGGAGGACTTACTGTGCACATCAAAGATGAGGGCGAGGATGAGGGGAGGAAGATGTTGACGAGTGGGAGGTGGTTAGGGAGTTTGTTCGGGAATGTTGGAGGGGGAGAGGAACAGGAGGAAGTGCCGAAATGGTTGAGAGATGCGGTTGAAGCTGCGAAGCTACCTAGAAGATCAAATTTAGCTAATCCGGTATAAGGATGAAGAAACGATATCACAGCAACAGTAACCCTAGCGTCGTTGTCTCTTTCATATCAACAGCCACATCCGTATTCAGTTTCAGGGATGAACTACTGATCAAAATCTTGCAGGTGTATTATTAGGTATTACAACAGTATTTAGAGCCACTGTCCCAGCTCCTCCTCGGCGCTACTAATCGTTCGTCGGGGTATAATGCTCGATATAAAAATCCACTTTTTGTCTCGCTTGAAATGCACTTTTGGTCGTCGTGTCGTCGTTGATATCCTCCTCTTCCTCTTTCTTAATCTTCATCCGTGTCTCCATGTACCATCTTCGCTCCACCTACAACGGCTTGCCCTGAGTGACAGTCTTAGTGGGAGCACCGTATCCATAGCTCGCCATGTAAGCGGCGTTGACGCTCTTGTGGTGCTCAACAGCGTGTTTCTTGACGCCTTCCCACATCTTCTTGATGCTGAGGTTGAGCTTGTGCTGCGTCTTCTCCTCCTGGTTGACGAAGTGGTGGGCGTCATGCGCTGACTCGTGGGATTGACGGCGAGACTGCGAGAAGGGAGTTGTGGGGATGGAAGATGGGGTTGAAGCGGAGGAGAGAGACATGATGCGCGGGTGGCAGTCGAGGTTGTTCATTTTGGCAGGTGTGATGAGGTTGTTGCGTTGGTTGTTTGGATGACTCAAGATATATGGAAGAGTTCTTCGTTATCGAAGTTGAAGTTTGGAGTGTAGCAGTAGACTTGATGATGGCTTGATGCTGATGCTCCTCCAACGAACCCACCTCCCCGCTCCTTATATACCCCATGGCACGATGAAGAAATTTTCCTCCCCTTTCCACCACCACCCAAACGATCGTGAGATCTTGGACACATCCTCCCACGTGCATCGTGACTGATTTTTCGCAACAGTCGCACATGTGGGTCTAGCAAGGTAGTATCGCCTCGCCTTGGTTTCTACCGAGTGTCTAGAAGCCACAACGCACACCGTAAGACGTCATCATGTACCTTTCACATTTGCCCTGACTAAACCTTTTCCGTAGATAATCAACCCGAACATAGCTAATGGCGATGGCATGATCTCCGTTAACCGCTTAGCTCCCGTCAGGTACTCGTGAGAACGTGGTGAGAGGCGTTGTCGGCTTTCATCGGCTCAGCCTCGTCAGACTTTTTATACCGCAAGGTCCCACTGCGCAACCATCACGTTCTTGAATTTGACACACGAGTTACCTCTAAAGGCTATTTCGTGTGTCATAGTCGCTGTTTGCGCAAAATTGAATGTTTCGTCGTGCTAGAGGGAAGGAGGGAGATTGGTGGCTATTTTGGCCGTCAGCTGGCGCGTGCGGCTCAACGAATGTCGGTTGCGTGAGCTAGAATGTTCGCGATGGCGCACGTAGATTCGTGATTGATGGCGAGACTGTTGCGAGCATGCTCAGCATGTGAATCCACAGGTTCGGAGTAGAGTTGCGGAGTGGCCGTGCGGAATGCGGGTGCCTTGCGGCGGCACGAAGCAGCGCAATGTTTGTCGTTCCCGTCGGGTAGCGTCTCCGAAGGACAGAGCATGTTTTCGACCATCTTCTCGCCTACATCGTCTTGAATAAAATTAGAAGTAGCACTTGCCCGTCCTTGCTATGAAGCCGATGAACAAAGACTGTGCGACCTCTCAAGTCAGAGTGCTGGGAGTAATAACATGTATTCCAACTCGCTACGCTCTAGCCGTATTCCTTAACGTCTTCTGTATACAAGCACAAAGTTCTGGTATCCTAAATGGTTTACTGATCACATCATCCATGCCCGCCTTGAGCGCCACCTCTACCTGCTCGCTCCTAACATTAGCCGTTACCGCGATAACAGGCACGTGTGCTCTCACAACACCTTCCTTCTGTAGCTCTCTGATATTTCGGACGCATGTCAATCCATCCATGACAGGCATCTCCCAGTCCATCAGGATGAGCGCCAAAGGCTTCCCAGAGCCATCGGAAATACAGTACTTCGTCATGCGCAGGTATTCAAGGGCTTCCCCACCGTGGTTTGCAACAGCAACTTGCATGCCTGTGTTCCGTAGTTGCTTGGCGAGGACGCGCTGGTTCACAAGGTTGTCTTCGACGATAAGAACGTGGAGATCCTTGTGTGGTATATCGTTCGCAAGAACGGCAGGTTCGGGCGTTTCATCCGTTTCGTTGTGAGATCGGCTGGAAAGTAGCGTCTCTTGGGCGCGTATACTCAGACTGACGATAGCATCGCTTTCCTTACGGTTGAAGTGGGGACGAATTGTGCTCCTGCGGCTCTTCACGTAAAAGGAGAATGTACTTCCGATGCCGGCTTTGGATGCGAAACCAATGGCGCCGCCGTGCATTTCAGTGAGGCGTCGTGAGATGAAGAGACCGAGACCGGAACCACCTGCCGCTCGTTAGTAAGATGCACTGTCACTCTTGCAATGAGATCTTACCATAGTCGATATGTGTACGTGGAGAGGCTTGAGAGAAGCGAGCAAAAAGAAGCTGGTGTTCTTCGTCGCTCAAGCCACGACCCGTGTCCTGCACGGAAAAGATGATATAGACCTTTATAGGTCAGCAGGAGATCCAGGATTTCTCTTTCACTGTTGGCTTACTAGCTCGCCCTTTTCCCAATCCGCTTGTAATGTCGCCGCCTCCGAGGCTTCCGAACTACGTGAGAACGGCACGCTAAAACTGTGGGTTGGCTGCTGAAGAGAGACACCCAGGCTCACAGAGATTTCTCGTATCTCTTCCAGTCGTGTGAACTTGATGGCGTTGGTAATAAGGTTCTTCTTTGTTAGCAGTCGCACTTCGGTATGTGTCATGTACTTACAATGAGTATCTGTAACACCCTGGTCGGGTCGAGCGAAACATGATCAACTTTAATTTTTTTGCATGAATCCTCAAGTTGGAATCGCAGATCCACGCCAGCTGACTTGGCCTCACCTTCGAACATCTTCACCGCATCTCTTGCAATCGAATCGAACTTTACATCAACTGGGGTCATTACAAACAACCCTGAGTCCAGTTTGGACATGGTAAGCACATCGTCAACAATGGTCTTCATGTGCTTCGAGCACTGAACAATGGTTTCGGCAGCGTCCAAGGTGGTCTCCAGTATGCTTTGGTAGGCTTTCTGATAGTCTGTCGACCTGTGGAAGCTTTTGTGAGCTGAAATGATGCTATCTGCACATTGAACGATGGCAGAAAGAGGATTTCGCATCTCGTGCGACGTCGTGTCGATAAAGTTCTCCAGACTGCGCTTAGACTCCCGAGCTCTTGTTGCCTGGGTAGCCTGTAGCTTCTCGCCCCATTTCTGCTGACTTGAAGTAATTGTTAGTACAAGAATAGTCAGTCGACGCGATTTCATACCTGATGTCAGTGCAGCAACCAATGATCTCTATTACTTCCCCTTCATCATTGAGCTCGGGGAAGATCGATGTGATGACCCACATTGGCTCTTTCTCGGGATATGTATCATCCAAATGCTGACTCGGCGCATTCCATCTCTTCTTGAGACGTAACTCGAACGACCTGTCAATCATAAGCTTTATCGCACATCGTGAGATATATATCAATTACTGGTGTTGTTTAGTCTTGACGAGTGCTTCGAACTTTTGTTGACCCATTTCAACAAACTCATCATCAATGAGCATTTTCCATGCATCATTGAGATCGACTGCGGGATCCACTGGACCGAGCATCTCGAACCAAGCTTCGTTTCTGTACGAGTAGACCCCATCCATGCCTATAAGGAATATACCAATGTCGGCACGTTCCGCGAAGCGTTTGAACTTGGAGAAGTTCCGCTCAGACTCCTGTTGAGATAGTGTCAATTGTTGTTTGAGTTGGAACTTCATTGCTTCAGCATTGGCAATAGTCCGCTCTCGGCGCCCAATGTCCTCTTCATGAAGTAGAATTGAAGTCAAGCAAGTAGACAATAGTCGACTTGCGACGAGGATGAACTGAAGATAGTCTTCGTCGAATGGCCGGCGAGGATTGATTCCGATGACCATAAAGCCAAGGATGTTATCCTTTGAAGAGGTTGGATTTAGCGGGCAAATAGCTGCCACTCGGCAGGGGTCACCGAAGCCTTGCCAGTCAACATCTTTTACTAAATCTGCAGCCACAGGATCTTGATCGAACCGAATGATTATCGGTTTGCGGGCTGTGAGCGCTTGACGGAAGTACGGCGTGAAGCCATGGTCTTGCTGGAAGTCGAGATGATCGGGACCTGCAGGTGAACCTTTCGGCAAGCCAAATGAGCCGCGCAGCTTGCAGTGTTGCTGGTTCGTATCGGAAAACCGTGTCCTGCTCGACTCCGACCCATGGCCGTCTGCTTCAGCCGAGTATAGTAAAGCAAAAGGAACGTCTTTGTCATTGCGTGATAAAACTTCAGTAGCGAGAACCCAGTATGTGTCTGTGTTACGCGCTCTCGGTATTTCTTCGCTCAACTCCAACAGTGTGCGTGAACGTCTTTGCGTGATAACTTGCTTAGTCTGGACGTGCGTTAGCGGGCCCAAGAATGGCTTTACGATAAAGATAAATTGCTTCCAGAAGTCGCAATTCCGCATGTACATAGTCTCTTATATGTGACGTAAGATCCTCGTAGTCAGGTGAGTTCAAACATGTCGATAGAGGACCCAGCGGCGGAAGAAGAGAATGAGGCTGCACGGGGCCTGACGTACCGTCTCTACCAAGGGCTCGTAATGCCCAACTGTGATACCTTCCGAGTCAAAAATAGGTATGAACTTCAAGGAGAAGTATGTCTCTTCCATAAAACCATTGCGTACCATGTGTATGGCAGTATTGGTTTTCTCTACTGTCTCTCCAGCCAGGTTCTTATCTATGATAGGCTCAAAATATTCGCCCCAGACCGAAGCAAGTGCAACACGAGCACTAACACCCATGCAAGGGTGGAAACCGCCCAAGAGCTCTATCTCTGCTTCGTTGTAGATCATGATCAGATCAGGTCCGTAAAATACTACCGCTGGCCTTGGGTCTTGCATAACAAGGTTAGCAATGCTTCGTAGCTGAGATGACCAGGAAGACATTGGGCCAAGAGACGTGGAAGCCCAATCGATGCTGCGTGCCCATGCCCCGTGTGGCGACAAGCGCAGTGGAGGAAGCTCATCAGTCCAATCAAAATTTGGGGGTTTTGTTTTGGATGTTTTCCGACTTAAAGGTATTATTTCAGATCCTCCACTGCCTGTACACGTGGTGGCGGCTGCACCACTTATGACGTTCCATCGGCTAGCCACGTGAATCTTCATCCAATTGAAACCATGGTAGAGAAAGGGCTCATTCGTCGTATCTTGTTTCAAAGACCAGCTTTGAAATTGGGTGAATGGAGCATAGCCCTTCGCGTTGGTACCGTATGCACCACCTTCTCGGCTGAGTAACTGCAGCAAGCCTCCCGGGTCGGTGGCGGCCATGGCCGGATTCCAGTATTCCAGAAGGCATCCATTTTCGGTCTTCAAGCTGTCTGGCGACGTATCGGTAACGAAAGTAGGTCGTGGGTCTCGATCTAGCAAGTCCAGCATGCCGACACGATGCAGTGGTGACGTGCCATTTTGAGATGATGGTTCGAGGGGTCGCTTATCGCGTGGAGGCAAGGCCGTCATGATTGAACCGATCTCAGCGCTGCATATGGCCGTCTGTCCTCCTCTTGCGCAGTCACTATCAAAGATGATACCGTGCCAAATGTCGCTATCGTCGCAGCCATATGGAATCGCTGTCATGCAGTTCTAGGTAAACTTGGAAAAGTGGAATGGATCTAAGAGCCTAGGCTGGCCGTGTGGATCAGCCGCATGCCGCTTGCCGTGTCTAGCGCCGATCCTCGCGATAGCTATCTAGGTAGAAATCGTCCCGAGCTTTTGGATCTTATTTCTCCATCACCTACCATCGCGAACTCTGTCTCTCAGTCTGTGGACCTAACAGCAAGAAGTCCTTGGATGGCACAACTGGCTGCGATCGGTCGTTCATCCCTCATATACGGCCTGTTCGATGACGTCGCTCCTCAGCCACCTAGCTTTGCCATGTGCAGCAAGGCGCCATTTTCATCGGTTGCGCGAAATCTCAAAGATGAGTCCAGGACGTGGAATGCGCCCTCTTGCTATCGCGATGTAAAAGGATCGGTACCAAATGTGACCGGATGAAGTTGATAACACGCCCGCATGACCGCCTGATACCGGACGAAGCGGAGAACGAAAGAAACTTGATTGCGATGCTGTTGTTTCACGGCATGAACTACAAATATCGCTATACCAAAAGTTTTCTTCGGTTTCTACCTTTGTTATCGAAAGAAGTCTTCCCCTGGGCAAACAATACCCGCTGCGCAACGATGCAAGTCTGCGCAGCCATAGCCAATCGATATTCATGAACGTGGATACTACTGGTTGTGCTGTGCCGCGCAACAGCCATAACCAGAATGGAGCTTATCGTTTCTGCTGGATAGTCGGTATTGCTCAGCCCTGTCTGGAGAGTTGCTCAAAAGCCCCAGGTTTCCCTAGATTCACATATTGATTGCTTTCCTAAGCGTCTCAACATCGTGGAGGTCTTCATTGTCGACATTCTACCATTATCACATAGTCATTACTGTGAATATGCCGATAATAAGCACAGCTTCCTATCTGACTACCGTCACGGTCTGTAAACCGACTGCACAAAGTATGGTTCTGCCGTCATCGGAATTTCACAAGCTCGTTAAACGGGAGTTACTCTGGTCACACAGTAAGGTGTTTTTCACGCCATTTGGAACACTATCAACCCTCGAGCATCCGAATGTGCCGGATCTCACAACAGTATACACCCCTGATCCAACGTGTTGAGATAGATGGGTGCTGCCTACCTCAGTGTCAGGAGGTTGCAACGCTGACAGCACTACCGGTGATGTTGTGTGGTCTACAAACCCTACACGAGGCCTTGTCTCCGATCCATCGTACACTGGATGCCAGCTGTATGGTAATTCCACATACAGTCCAGGCATATGTCCCAGTGGGCAAACCGTCGCTGAAGTGATTGGGTTTGAAAGCACTATATCGAATGGAACGAGGACGTTCTGGAAAGCTAGCTGTTACAGAAGGTTCGATGCTAGCGCTGCTTATTCCTCAGTGTCGGAGAAGCTGACGTGTTGCGAATAGTGGTATGAGCTTTGGTTCCGAACTCGCCGATATCTGCCTGTCCCATTTTTCAACACCTTTTCCCGCTTATGCTGTGATCACAACACAGCCTGCGTATGATGGCGAAGTGGTCACACTTCTCTACGATTATACAACCACCTATGCGTCCAGCGGGAGTGTTCTTAGTCAGCTAGGATATCAGATGTGACAACACTTGCAACAGGTCTAGCGGTAGCCGACCCTGTGATAGTAAACTGGCAGATGGAAGACATTGGGATGTTCCCAAATGAGTATGCCAAGTCCTTGGTTGCAAGATATACCGACGTATCTGCACCAGCCAGTACGTCTATGTCGATGACCAACGCCTTGAAGCCAACAACGGCACCTGCGCCCGCACCCACACCCGCACCCGAATCCGATGGTCTCAGCACTGGCACGCAAGTAGGGATTGGGGTAGGGTAGCGCTTGCTGCCGCTCTCGTTGGAGGCTTGTTGATCTTCTGGTGTCTGCGACGTCGTGTAAAAGCTGCTGCAACCGATGAACCGGATGTTGTTATACCAGAGATGGGGGATCAAGACCACACTCACAGTCAGCGTAGATGGTATCTAGGCGGACGATGGAGGAGTGAAGTCGATGCTCAAGCTTCCCGGAATGAACTTGACTCGAAGCCAGTGCATGAGTTACCCGAACCACCGGCTGAACTGGAGGCACATGAGCCTTCTGTTGAAGATGCTCACACCGCAGCACAAGGTAACGACTGGCCTCTTGAGCGGGTGTAATTTTACATAACACGTGAAAGAAGAAAGCGAAGGACAGATGGCGATGAGCCGATCAACTTTCAGTGAGTAGACACATGACTACGAAGGGTACACAGTTCTCTCTCTTCTTTTGTCAACTTACATGGCTCTTACACGATGTTGCAACTCTAGTCATAACGGCTTTTTCGTCTCTTTCATGTTTAATGGTATTCAATAGCACTATTGAGTCTACGAGGAAAAAATGCACTAATCTCCGCCTTGGTTCAACTAATCTCCGTTTCGGTCTCGCGAATCACTATGAAACAAGCTTCTATGAGCAGGGAGCGTTTCATGAATCCTTCATCTTGAAGCCGCCCGCACTAGCCCTTGATCGAGTAGAAAGCGGGTCCGACTACGGTTCGTTCGGGCTTAGCGTTACCGACGCGAACGTTTCACACCGGACTTTCCCTCATCAAACGGCTGTCCTACCATCTGGCGTCCTGTCAAAACTGGTCATGCCTGCAGATACCGCTCGCGCGATACTCTATGTAGTTGCGCGCGTTTCCTCGATATTAACCATGCGATGCGTTCGCGCTGTCTGGATGCCGAGCTAGGCTTTGGAGGTATATGCGCCGAGTCAAGTAGGATTCTTATATTGTCTGCTTGGTCTCGTCGTGCTGTTTTGTTCGTGTTGTTCCATCGCTCACTACTGTCATTCATTTTTCGTCTTCGTAGTATCTTTCTTCGTTTCCAACAACTTACAGCTGGTCTCTGTTTCTTACTTTCCAAACATATAGATTCAAGATGTTTGCCAAAACTACTCTCATGAGCGCGCTGCTCAGCGCTGCGTCTGCTGGTAAGCCTTGTCACCCCCAACGTACCAACAGATACTAAGGATGTTTACAGAAATCATTTGGGACGGTCGCTTCAACGATATGACCTCCTCCAGCGAACTCTCCAACTGGTCTTTCTCCAACCCCGTCGGCAGCTACCAATACTACATCCACGGTTCGGGTCCCGTAACCGACTACGTCAACCTCGACGCCACTTTCAAGAACCCTGCCGACACAGCTTCTAAGCAAGGTGTCAAAATCACCATCGATGAGACCGCGAAGTGGAACGGCCAAACAATGCTGCGCACAGAGCTCATCCCAGAGACCAAGGCCGCCATCAACAAGGGCAAGGTCTACTACCACTTCTCCGTCAAGACAACGGCTGAGAACGCGCCGACTGCCACCAACGAACACCAGGTCGCTTTCTTCGAGAGCCACTTCACCGAGTTGAAGTACGGCGCGTCTGGTTCTTCCAACACCAACCTGCAATGGCACGTCGGTGGCGTCTCTAAGTGGGACGTTGAGCTCGTAGCTGACGAGTGGCACAACGTTGCCTACGAAATCGACTTCGATGCCGGTTCCGTCGCATTCTGGCACTCTACAGGTGCTGATGAGCTGAAGCAGACAGCTGGTCCATTCGATGCCAGCACCTCTTCCAACGGTGCGGACTGGCACCTTGGTGTCCTAAGGCTGCCGGGTAATGCCGACAAGGATGGTGCTGAGGATTGGTTCTTCAGCGGTGTATACATTGAGGATGGTGAGCTTACTACCAAGGTTGGTAGCGGAGCTGCTGGTGCGGCCCCGGAGAAGCCCGCTGCCAGTGCTGCCGCGCCCTCCAAGGTTGTTTCTTCTGCTGCTCCTGCTGCTACTTCCTCCAAGGCTGCTGTTGCTCCAGCCTCCTCCAGCGCTGCGACTGTTGAGACTCCCGTCCCCTCTTCCACCGCCGCTGCTTCCTCCATCGCTGCTCCTGTAGAGACCCCAGCTGCCTCTTCTGCTGCTGCCGCTTCCAGCGCTGCTCCCGTCGAGACTCCCGCTGCTTCTTCTACTTCCGTTGCCGCTCCTGTCGCTACGCCTACTGCTGGAGCTGGCTCTGACGCTAAGCTACCCGAAGAGTTCACCATCAGCCAGTTCGTCGCCTGGCTCAAGGCTAAGACTGGCAAGAACTAAGCATATGTTCTGTGTGAGCTCAGCTCGAGTAGTCCGCCATTTGGCAACCCATACATTCTTGTAAATCTCTTTTATACTTGTTAGCTGTTGCAATATGGTATTCGGAATTCCCATTTTACACTTTGCTGCTTAGTGATGTTGATACCCAAATCCTAGGTTGACCCAGTCTGTGGACATCCGCCAACAAGTCCAATAGATCAGCGAGATTGCACCTCATTCTTTCCACTAGATATTTCTGTCTCTGTTCCTTTTTCTCTCCAACGCTACCACTGCTGAATAACTTCGGCTCCATTCAAATGATCATACGCCAATGCATCCTCATCCAAACCCCACACGAACAATCTATCAAGGCCTTCATTCTGCAAAATGCCCTGCGCCCTCGTATATGAAGACTAGGGCATGCGGAGAGAGCAACACTTATTATAGGCAGAAAAGAAAGTCAAGTGTCGAGCTGATACGGAGTGCTTCGACCCGCGGTTCACGATATCTTACCAATCTAGAGTTTCGTTGTATTGCGCATAACTGGAGAAGACAGAGAGAAACTAGTAAGATAGCGATTCGAAGTCTTTGCATTCCTCCGAAGACCGGTAGAGATAAGTCATCGTGTTGCAGTTTTCGACCATTGGGACTATGCCGGCTTTTGCTACCAAGAGGCTTAGCAGTGAAGACAAGCCTTCTCTAGAGTCTAGATCGTTCTGAAGTCTTCGGTACTGGAGAAACTGGATTGGTGTAAGATATCTCACTGTTATTGTCCACCTCCGACTACGCAGCAGGGAATAAAGACCACTGTCAGCAAGGTACGCGAATTTGCGAGGTAAGCACCAAGCTCTAGGGCTGATGCTGGAGATCTGGACCAGATCCGCACAGTACGAGGCTGACTAAGAAGGTCCGATTGATCCGGCACTAACAAACCTGGGGAAGAAGTGGTCAACGAGACCCACGATAGATTCCGTCCATGCGCACACCATGAAAACAACGTTTGCCCTTCATACTACCTGAGGCTGCTAGCGGTATACGAGCGAGAATGACATCAGATGCGACCGTTGGAAGTGTAACGTAGACCAAAAGAAGGCTTGCTAAATATAGGGCTGCCAAGTGCACGTGCGGTCGGGACGTCAGCCAAATCTAACAACCCCAGCTTCATCGGCCTTATCACTCGCCATGCAGAGCCGCATCTCAACCATTGTTACACCCTTCCCCCAATTCGGCTGCATATTTCGATTTTCCTACAAGGGGACAGATTCTCCGAAATGTTTCGGAAAAGATATTGAGGACATTTCGGAGAAGATGTCCCCGAGGTCATTGAAGCGCCTTTGCGAGCATGTACTGTCTACTGTACTGCTTGTTTCCTTAAGTTCGAGATGTGGGGTCTGGCCTCTTTAATGCTTGTCATACTGCGTTACTCTACTACAGCCTTCTATGATCTGCGTAGGCATCGATTCCAGTCGTTCACGACGAGCAGGATTTACGTACCTAGGTGGGCATCGACTCTAGTCATTCACAACGCATCCACCATGCATTCACCACGAACAGAATCTCCGAAACACGGCCTTACTTAGGTAAGACAGGGTGCGCAAAGACCTTTTAAAAGGGACACAGGCCAATGAAAGCCAAAGGGTTGAGCAAACTACGCTATGAACCCAAACAGGTAAGGAGGGTGTAGGCATCCCTAGACGGCCCATCAACATCATCTGCTGCGCACGTAGTGGTCCAGACTCACCGGTCATCTAGAAGCCCTACACTCAATGATACAGATTCACCGCTCGGGGTCGCTCAGGAAGACCAAGAATTAACTCTCGGTCAGTGCCAGAGCCACACCCACAGCTGCCGCCGGCATCCGAGGCTAGAGTAGTATTAACGGATGTGTATATAAGTCTGGGAAATAGATGCAACTGAAAAGCATTCATAACCAGGAATTTATCTCCTCCAAACACTCTCCACATCGAGTTCTATCCAGTTACTCATATCCGCAATAGTTCGCATTCAAGAGCATCTTTCCGTGTTCTATCCAGTCGTCCCTACTTTTCTTTCTCTTTTCATAATACACATCACGGATTCACGAGAATGCCTGCCCGCAGCATGATACGAAGACCAGCAACGGTCCGCACCCTCTCCCGGGCCTCCACACAAGCTAGCTCAGTCCGAAGATTAGCAACAATGGTCGATAACAAGATCGGCACCATGCCGCCTGGCCACAAAGCTACAGTCGGTCACCTCCAGACCTTCGAGCTCCCAGAATCACTCAGCGGCAGTGCAGCAGACAAGGCGCTAGGCAACAGCATGATCGACGCCTGGAAGCGAGACGGCATCCTCCAAATCTCCATGGACCCCATAAATCGCAAGCTCGCCGACGCCGCATTCCTAACCAGCAAGAAATTCTTCGGCCTGAACTACGCAAAGAAGGCATCTTGCTTGGATGACCAGTCTTTCGCTGGCTATATTGCTTCGGGGGAGGAGATTACAGATAACATTGCAGACTACAGCGAGATCTTCACCGTCACCAAAGACCTCGCGCTGTCTGATCCCCGCGTCCAGCAAAAGTGGCCATGCCATGGTCCTTGTCCCTGGCCCTTTTCTCAGATGAAGACCGTTATGCAAGCCTACATGGACTACCTCGGCGAGAGTGGGGAGAAGATGCTGCAACTCATCGCTTGGGGTCTTGGCCTCAAGGACGGCAATGCCTTGACTAGATACACGCAGGACGGCTGGCACCACATGCGTGTTCTACGCTTCCCACAGGACACCAAAGTAAACGGCAAGGGCAAGGCTGGCCGCGGCATCGGGTCACACACTGACTATGGACTGCTTGTCATTGCCGCGCAAGACGACGTAGGCGGCCTCTTTATCCGCCCTCCGATCGAGGGCGAGACGTACGCGAATTGGAAGGAGACCGCAGCCGGCAAGCACGAGGATGCCGATGGTTGGGTCTACGTCCCACCCGTTCCTGATGTCTTTACCGTCTTCCCCGGCGACATGATGCAATACATCACCAACTCCTTCCTCCCGTCGACACCTCACAAAGTCGGTCTCAACACCCGCGAGCGCTTCGCTTTCGCCTACTTCCACGAGCCCAACTTCTCCGCCGTTATGAAGCCTTTGCCTGGCTTCGAGGCGGATCAGGAGCCTGTCGAGGGTATCCACTACGGTACCCACTTCACCAACATGTTCATGCGCAACTATCCGGAGAGGATCACCGCTGACCGGATGAGGGCTGAGGGAAGGATGGCTCTGTTGGACTCGTCTAGCCTCCGCTGGAAGGATACGCCAGTAATAGGTGGTCATGATATGGCCAGCACTATTCCGGTTGTGTCTATTCCCGAGAAGAGGGCATCTGTGTAAAGTTTTCTTTGTATTGTGGTGTAGTAACTAGTCACGTGACGTCCGACTACTAGATATAAGTTCTGATAGCCCTTCGCAGCGAGGGGGCAGCTTCCTTCGACAATACCAACTCAGCGATTGCTCCTCGGCAACTCTTTAACTCTGTTTCTCCCACCGATTGCGGGTCGAATACCTTCTGCCTTCGCTCGACATCTTGTTGTGCTACAGTATTCTCCTCTTTTGACGAGCGTCTTTCTTTTGTGCGCATGGAATAGCAAGGGGCTTAACGTACTCTGCAAGTTAACGGCGTACCGGCGCACCATAATTTAGACTCCACTAGAATCCGCAGTCTTCGCAACAGTATAGAACAGCGTATAGAATAGTCAGTTATCATAAAGATAGCCGACGAACTCCTCAAGTCAGCAATACTAGAGCTCACTCCTTTCACCAAATATGTCTCTCTCGATCTCTTTTTTCTCCAATGCTGCCATCGCCTCATTGCTCGCTCCTAAATGCTTGAACGCCGGCGCATCTTCACCCAAACCCCATGCAAAAATGCCTCCAAGCTTCTTCTTCTCCATGATGACCTGCACCTTTCGCCCGATAGCCTCAGGCGTATCCCACGTCCAGAACAAATCCTCTTCACTATCCCAATAATAATGTCCACCACCAACCTCATCATAAATACCTTTCTCCATTGCACGCTCATAAGACGCAGAGAGTTCTTCAGGAACAGCGTCATGCCACGAGAACGCACCGGCTTTACCTAGATCAGCGCCTGTAGTGGGGTCTTCCATGAGTTCCGTCGCACAACCGATAGGATCGACACCGCACGTTGAGTTTGCAGCGGTCTTGTACCATTTGATGTAGAATGCCAACCCGAGGTTCGCTTTCTCGGGTGGTACACCGGCATTTAGATACGCGTCGATAGCTTCAAGAGAATTCCGGATTCCGGTATGATGTTTCGTTACACTGTCACGACGGTTGAAGAGGTCGTATGTCATGATGTTGAAGTAATCGACGGACTCTATAATGGAGGGTATGGTGGAAGGGGTGAAGGCTAGCATGTCGCGTGGGAGACCGGGGACAGCTGCTGAAATAGTCTTCTCTGGGCCTACAGCGAAACGAATCTCGGCAAGAAGTTTGGGATAAGCTTCGATTTCCCAAGCTTTGTCACTGTTGAGGTGACCGGGTGTTTTGTAGTCTTCGCCGTTGCCGCCCGGGTATTCCCAGTCTACGTCGATGCCTACTTTGATCAGCAGCTGTCCCATTGTGAGAAACTGTGAGATGCAACATACCGTCAGCGCCTGTCGCGTCAAGCATAGCTTTGACATTGCTAGCAAAAAGCTTTCGGCTTTCTTCCGTCTTCGCTGCTCTCGAGAAGCCGTCTGTATCTCCCCACCCACCAATCGCAACCTGAATGATTGTCCCCTTAGAGAACTTTGGTCTCACTTCTTCGATAGTGGTGAATAGCGGCCAGTCGCGTTGCTTTGGAGTGTTGAAGATGTCAGAACGCATAAAAGCAAGAGCAACATCGGTAGTGTTCTCAACCAGCGGTTGCTCCGGTACTACATTGTGCTGTCTGATGGCTATCAGCAACATCGCTCCCCGTAGTAGTTGCAGATATTTGGCGTTACCCTGTCAAGTACATGTTGTACTTCAGTCCAGGTTTAGCTGCCGTTGCTGCACCGAGCATCAAAGCTAGGCAGAGCCATGACCATCTGGTTGGAGTCATCATTCGCGACGCATTCGTAGAAGATGATATTCTTGGAAGAGACTAACACATGTTACGCTCGTGATGCGATGGAAGTGGCTGGTGGCACGACGCGTGTTCGGAACCGTGCCCCGCAGTGGGCAGACGCGCGACTTTTCTGGGCTAGCGTCTTTAGGCGGCGATCACAGTGAACCGTCTCGTTTGGCGCTCCACTTACAGGCTTGCGCCATTGCAGTGGCAGGATGTCACGGTTACAACATGAATGGAGATATCAAGCGCCGCATGAAGTATCCTGGGCCGCTGGCTGTTACCAGCTCGCGACGCATAGACACGAACAGCCATGTGGCTAATTGACATCAGTCTGACTCCTTTCCTCAGCTGATTGCTTGTTTTGCTTATCATGTGTCGCCTATCGCTCAGCTGTGGCTTCAAGATGACGCGGTATTGGTGGGAGGAAGCGAGGAACGCCAGCTGCGTGTTAGGCGCGCATCTCATATTCAGCCTGGTTAGTCTGCTTGAGAGAGCCTACTAAGTATCAACTCATCCTTTCGCTATATCAGCACCATCCTCTTGTCGAGAGTGCTAGGCCAGAAAATTCCTTCAAGAGACACGACCATGTCTACGCAAACCACTGCCTGCGCTTCATCACACTACGAAGCTCTAGACCCGACTGCTAAAGAGATACGCGTTCTAGAAATAGTGCCCGCGAGTGGGGACGATATCATTGAGTGCACCATGAGACGCATCTCGCTTCTCGGCGATCTTGTTCCAATCTACGAGACTATCTCATATTGTTGGGAACTTCCTAGAGCTCCCTCCTCAATAAAGCTCAATGGCCGTCTAACACCTGTACCGGCAAGCTCAGAGGCTAGTCTCAAACGGATGCGCCTCAGCGACCGACCGCGAGTACTATGGATCGATGCCATATGTATAGATCAGTCATCGGTAACAGAACGCAGCGCCCAGGTAGCTTTCATGGCATGCATCTATCGTGCCGCAAGGCATAACCTCATTTACCTTGGCGAAGATGACGGAATGTCCGAGAGAGGTGTCAAGGCTATCCAGGACGTTGTTAATGACATGCGCACCGCTACCGCGGACTTGACCCTGCTATTTCAAACTATACATGATGAGCCGACGGGCGCGTTCCTTTACTCGACCGAGGCTTTCAGTACGGACATTGACTTCGAAGCACTCGAGGCTCTTTTCAATCGTCACTGGTTCAGGTAAATTTGTCCGACCAAGACTCTAAGATAGTTCCAGTTGACTCAGCGATTGCAGACGGCTGTGGGTCCTGCAGGAAGCCTTCCTCGCACAATCCAATACCTGCCATTGGGGTACTTCTACATTCGACCTTCTCGATACAGTACGGGCTGCACGGTGGCTCCTCTACAAGTTCCGATCCATCCCTAATGGTCTTTACGACTGTAATGGTTGGCGCTGTGCCATTGAGATGTTTGCTTTCCTTGACCCCGACCATAGTCGCGAAAAGAACCGCAGACTTCTGTTCGAAATGCTTGAGATATCTCAGCAGTTCGAGAAAACCGAACCAAAGGATAGCATTTATGCTGTTCTGGGCTTGCTTGATCACGGAACATCCCTGGAAGGTGATCGGGCGACATTGCTTGAAGTTGACTATACGAAGTCACTTGCTGACATTTTGCGAGATGCTACACGATACGCCTTGCGTCAGACTTGCGACCTGAAAGCTCTGGGTGGAATAGCTTATCGCTCCGATGAACTAGCTAAATCCCAAAAGTTTCCAACATGGGCTATTCGTGCAGACTCCCTTCGCCAAGAACACAGCATTAACCACCTGCCTACGTTCTTCCGCGCCTGCGATGGCCTCGGGGCACCATCCTCACTCGGGGATGTGCCTTCCAACGAGAACGTACTACTGCTCGAAGGGATAGTGGTTGATGACGTTCTTCAAGCAACCACTGTTGGCCTTTACGATGTCTCCGAGGATTACGAAGAACATTATGAGTGGCTGGTCTCCGTAAAAAATATGGCCATACACCATTGTGACACTGCAATTCACGAAGATCCTTTCCTAGCCATAGCTTTCACACTGGTGGCCGGCGAGACGCATAGTCGAAAACAGGCTCAGCCGGATGACTTGAAGGTGCTAATGGATTATATCAAGGATTTGACCATATACAAGGATGGTGTTATCTCGAGCGGCACCAGTATTAAACCACGAGTTGACGAGGAAAGCATGGCCGCAGTGTACGAAACCTCAAGATTGACCTGCTGCAGAGGCCGTCGTTTCTTTGTTACAGCGGCTGGACGTATGGGTTTAGGACCTCATTGTATGCGACCTGAAGATATCGTTGTAATCTTAAGGGGAGGTGATACGCCCTTCATCTTACGGAAGAAAGTTGAGGGTTATTGGCTACTTGGTGCGGCTTATGTGCATGGTATGATGTACGGCGAGGCGGTGCAAATGGAGAGAGACCGCGGCGGATCAGAAGTAGTGTTTCCGGTGCGGTGAATAAGTCTTAAGAAGAGATGAGGTGAGCAAAAACAATGGGACACATACAACAGCGGGGATTCGCTAGTGGTCACCCACCTAACTACTAATCCGCCGGTACACTGCTTGTATATGGCTGAGCGGACGGGAAGCCTAATTTTCAGTGTCCTATGGTCGTATGTGAAAGATAAGCAAGTTTTTGAATTTATAAAACCAATGAAACAATTGACAGGCCTGGGGCTCGTGCTGCGCGTCGGTCGATTAGCGTGCTTTCAAGGATCCTGTAGACGATGCAGCACGTTGCAGGAAGAGCGTCGCGTCTTGTTCAATCGCTTTAAGCGCAATCTGTATTTGAGCTCTATTAGAAGGTTCTGAGTGCTGATGTTCTGAGACATGGTGGTCTGGTAGTAGTTTTTGTGGGGGCTTAGCGATAGCGGGCAACTCGCCAGTGCCCAGGTGCAGGTGGGGTACCGAGAGTTAGCGTGGCTGCTTCTGGTTAATACGGGACGTGGCAATCTCATGCAGCAAACAACCTTGGTACCGCACAAAGACAATCTCTCAACCGCACCACCCCATATAGGAGGGCACTCATCAGTGAGCTTCGTCTCATCTAGCCTCGATCAACAGGAGTACCGGTGTGAACACCCACGTCAAGCAGACTGACAGTGAGATGAATCCGGATACCAATTCACCCTTGTGCCCCGACTGGGTCTTTCTAAACAATGCCAACGTACAGTAAGTGTGCTACAATTGAATCCAAAACATAAATGGTTAACACTGGGTTGTTAGCGTCGCAAAAGACCGGGGCTGGTTCAAAACGTACACACCCTTCACATCAACAGTTGATGCCTCGCCCTTCGTCAGCCCCCACAAGCACATTCCCGTGCTAGGAATAGGCACCGTCGAGATCCCTACAAAGCGCTCGCCCAATACTTCAGGTGCATCTTCGCATGGATCTCTCCTTCTCCACGAGGTCTTGCACGTGCCTGACTGCCTTTGCAACATCATTGGGCAACCACTCATGTTCACTGATGGATACTATCCCACCCTTAAATTCAGCGCCAAATCTGGTGGGACCATTAAAGATAGTCAGGGCAAGAATGTTGCCTATTTTGACCCCAAAAGCCCGCTGTCCGCAATCAAGGTGCGCTGTCCACCAAATGGGCCAGCGCTCGGTCCGCACGTACTCAAGAAGGATGTGCTATACGTGCTAGGTTGCCGATGGGAAACTGCCGAGAAGCGTAAGTGGCAAGAATTTAAAGCTAGAAATGGGCTGTTCACACCGGCGCAAAATGCTGCGTCCTACACAGCCGAGGAAACTGCGTTTCTCAAGAAGAACTTTGGCTCCGAGTACCACTTCCTGATCCAGCACGGGCTCAAGATTCACGTAGATGAAGACCGCGAAGAGGGGCGGGCTATTCTACGTGCCGTAATGCGTGAGGATGAGATGTCCGAGGATGAAGAGTCCGATGACAAGGAGGATGGTTTTGACGAGTCAGAGTTCGAAGGCCATCAGGCAGACTACAACTTTACGGACCGCCAGCTTGATTGGATCGAAAAAAACTATCACAATTCGGAGCAGTTCATGATGTCTTATGGACTCAAGTTCTATGATGACGACGATCTTCAGGAGGCTAAGTTGATTGTGGAGGCTATGATGAATGAGGATGATTAGAGATACTTTGAAGTATTGCTCAAATCTACGAAGAGGCGGAGACTGAAGCTTCACTATGTATCAGTTCATCTTTAACTCCTCAGCTGGTACGCATAAATCAATTATTCATGCTCAACAAGGGGAATCCAGAGCGTACAACAGCACGTATTCTGACTTACTCGACCACCGCGACACTGATGTGTCATTGTATTGTTTGACGTTCCCAGCGAATGAGAAGCCGTGTTTCTGACCCCCTATGGTCGTATGTGAAGGAAATGCTGATGGTTGGAGTATATCAACCCGGCGGAACGACCAACAGCTTTGCACTAGATTTCGAACATTAGAAATCGATTCCATCAGCGTCTAGCTGTATTCCAGGCCCAAGACTGTAGGTTATGGGGCCTTGGTGTTAAGTAAGTTCTAATTTTGACATGCCGTGTGTAAGGCACACTTCATGCGCAGACGAGCGAACTAGTTCAGTAGAAGCTTATATTTAAAGTAGAGAATAGTAGACAAAGACCCTAGAAGAGGTAGAGTGTACGCGTGGTCATATAGCTAAAAGAGAGAAGCTAGATAAAGGTGCTAGGCTATAAAAGGTCTAATAGTTTAGGCCTCTAAAGGTGTAACACGGGATGGCAGAGGCTGAGCGAGGAGGACGACTATGGTCCCAACATGTTTGCTTCTCTCGCTCGCGCCTTGGCCTCTGAACCTGCTCATAACCTGCGCTCCGCGTGTTAGGAGATGGACAAGAATTATTCTCACGACCTCCCCACCTAGTGTAGTAATACAGAGCTTTCCCCCACTATTCTCTTGTAGTGTGAAGCAAATACTATTGCCTATAACTACCCCTCACATAGGGCGCTTAATAGTGAACCACGTTAAACCTTAAAATAAGTACTAGACAAGGAAAGGCTATTTTCTTATAGGTTTTCCCTTACTACTACCGCAATTAATCGCTAGCATATACCTGATTTATCATACGACGAGCTGTATATCTTGGCTTCTATAGGCTAAAGTCACAAGATGGGCAAAAAGGGGTTTTTTTTGGATTGGCAATCCGTGAACCCGAGGAACAAACGACCTTCCTGCACCAGTTTGCTGCACTAAGACTTAAGCCTCTCGTGCTGTCAACGATCTACTACTAGAAATTAATAAACGCATGATGTTGCTACCTCATCCGTAGGTCTCGGGTGGTGGTTTTGATAGTGGTCGGCGTGTCGGCGTAAAGCTTTGAGAGCTCCTACACCAGCACCATTACTACCAGAAACTAGGGACTTGCGTTGACCGCGCTAGGCGCACAACTATCCTCGCAGAGCTACAATTTTGTATACCGAAGTCCTGCCTCAAGAGGCTGGTGGCGAGGCTTTCTAACATACTGCACGATCCAGGGCTTAGACCCGTCTATGCCAAGCCGGTGTATAGTTGCGGCTGGAAATTCTGCATATAGGTTAGATTTCAACCTATGTGCTAGACGCACGACTGAGAGTTCATTTTCTCGAAGGGTAGTAGTGCTATACGGACCTGAGTACATGGATACATAGGCGTTCGATCATGGCAAGCTTAAGGCTGGTCCCGTACCGCGTTTCATAGGTTCCTCATCATTGTGATATCAATATATCGCCTGAAGTTGGCGGTCAGGCATATTTTGAGATGACTGAAATGATGACAGCAGCATGTCAGGCTTAAGGTTGTGCAAGGGTCTGGCATGATGTCAGACTTTGAACATCATTTCAAGTACTCAACACATAACAGCTCTTGATACCTAGCTATCACAAGACTATAGAGAGAGGTTTTAAGAGCTAAAGTATCTTACAAAGAGCGATAGACGAGAGGGGAGGGTGAAGTTCCCTTATCTTGGCACACCTCGGATGAGCTCCGATTCGCCCACTACCTGCCCACGCCGGATCCCTGCACGCATGCGCAACATGCGCAAAGTAATTTATTGATCCCCTCCTTGCACTAGGGTTATATGCATGCTAGATAAAAGGGTAGGTAGCTGTTATCGCTGTCTTCTTCCAAGGTTAGATTCAGATTTTAAGTTTTTCACCGGTCACCATTTCAGACTCCTGAAATCGTTCTCTCACAGATTTGATCTATCACGATCCTAACTGTGTAATGCGAAGCCATCAACTTAGACATCATGCCTGGCTCTGGCATTATGCCATCAATATAGTTACACGCGATCATGGATACCCCTAAACGTGGTACAGTCAGACTCACTGCCCTTAAGTTACCATCCCTTCTGAAAGAGGACGATTCCGTAAGCATTTATATGCAGACCTGCGTAGAAAAAATTAATTCCTGCACAGCTACGAAGCTTACTTCAATCTCAGCGCAGACATGAGGCACACTTGGAGGTCTGTTACCAATTATCTAGCATCTAGACCATTGGCAGAGTGCAACGTGATGCTGGAATACCTACCTACCTCGAGATTTCAGGCTTGTATTGTGTCTTCCAAGACAGATTCTCTTACTCATATCTTTCTATATAAGGCGCTGCCACCTCTAGACAAATCTTGCACCAGCATCAACAGCATCAACAGCATCAACAGCATCACCAAACCCTCAAAATCCGATAATTGCCAATCTTCATTATTCAAGATGATCTCCTTGAAACTCCTCAATCTTTTTACCTTGGCCCTACTCCCTCTGTCCTTTGCAGCTCCAGCTCCAGCTCCAGCTCCTGAGCCCCTTTCAGCCGCTACTGCCGCAATTCAATGGATACCGATCGACTTTGATGGCAAGACACTCTATCTCAACAGCGCAGCAGTGGCCGTATCTGCCAACCCCGCTGAGGGGGCGAAACTAGCTCTTCTTAACGGCAATGCCCCTGACTCTGACACCTGTGATGGCACCACTCTCGACCCCCATCCTGCTCCTTTCGCCAACACCGCAGACTGTGCGGTGATCCGTGACTGTAAGCCTCCAAGAACCTGAACTCATTGCTCTAAAGTAGTTATGTCCGACTGAGCGACAGATTGACCATTCTCCAGGGACCCGCTCTCAGAACACCTACTGGGGCGTTTGGAACAACACTCCCGACACACACAGCGTCTTGTACTACGGCACCTGTGTCTTCGAAGCAGGCACCCGGAACATCCAGACAACCTGGATTGGCTCTTCGAACATCGCGGACATCACTGAACTTGCCCTCAATAGGTGGCAGGTACATTCTAGCTCCCCTGATCAAGTGCCAAGTTTCTCTGCTGACAAAAATAGTCTGGTGGTGTCGTTGCCTCTCAGGGACAGACAGAATGCGACAACAACGGCTTCGGAACATCAACTGTCAGGTGGACTATCAAGCATTCTTAAGTGGTCTCTAGTGAACGACCAGGCGTTTTTATCTGGCCGATTGGGATAATTCCATAAGCCTAGCTTCGTCGAACGTCAATAAGCAGAAGTTGGGCGTAGTGTTGTTTTGGTTTGTAGTATGTAGTAAAGAGTTTATAAAAGCAGAGGCGCGATTTAATTTCTATAATTGCTTCCTAAATTAGGTCTATGATAGTAGTTTTATAACACGTTTTGTATAGGTTTAAGAACTTAGTGGGGTGGGCGTCACTCAACGACACGGTAGGGGTCTGGTATAGTAAACGTAACGCGTCGAGTCGCGGAGACATTCTCGCGCGCGTTGCCAAAAGACTTACGTGCAGAATAGCCTCTTATCGTCCCTTCGGCTAGCTAGGTCTGGAAGTCGTATAGAGGTTGTTAATAGTCAGGCAAATTGCGACGTAGGGATCGCTGGGTTGGCAAGATGCCCCCGCCGCCACATGAAGTTACGGCACGTTCACATCACGAAACGTCGCGTAACCCAAAGCACGTCGAGATAACACGCGCACACAATCCGGCGTCTTCATAGGCGCATTCTGATATCTTTAACGAGCAAGTACTATCACCGCGACACTAATATGGTCGACCCAGCTCGAAGAAACAAGATCTGCTCCAGTCTCCTGTCCTAGCACCTTAACAATCATACATTTCTCCTGCGCGAGGTCTCTGGACGTCCGTTGCTAACCCCAAGACCAACCTTCGACTTACTGTTCCCGAGTGATTAACCATATTTCCCCTAAACTGCACGCGTTGTTCGCACGTAGTAATTCGATGCGCGTTGTCTTCATTAGCACCCTTCAGCAACGGCGCTTCAAAGGCCGATGGTACAGTGCCCGTGCGCCATGTGAGCCAGTTCGCCGTGTGAGCCACCCGAACATCATAACAATATAATCATCCCAACTTCAACGCGTCATAACTCCGCCACTATGGACCCGATTCAAGAAGCGATTGAAGATATCGAATCGCGCGAAGATGGCGCATCTTTTTCGTACCGCGAAATCGCGCGTAAATTCAATATCAACAGAACGACGTTATCGCGCCGCCACCAAGGTTTAACACGCTCAAATGCAGCTATAGCAGAAGCGCAGCAGTTACTTAACCCACAACAAGAGTTAGAACTTATAAGATATATAGAAAAGTGCACAAGGCGAGGCTTGCCACCTACACGAGAGATGGTACAAAATTTTAGCAGCGCGGTTGCGCAGTAGGAGGTTTCTGAAAGCTAGGTAACTCGGTTTCTATGTGATGGGCTGGAGCCCAGTTGGTGAGTCCTCGATGATATCTCGGTCACGTGCGCGAGGCGCACTGTCCACAGATTCCGGGTGCCCCCCCTGAGCACCCGGATTCTGTGCAAGCGAGCCCGGCAGAAGGTTATCCCGAGCCGCCGCCCCCTGAACGACCTTCAGAACCCTAGCTACCTGTAGTTCTCTTCTCTATCGAATACAACTCCAGTATACCTGTGCGATAGCTCCCTGAGCGTAGCCCCTTACATTCTACATCGCTATTCTAACAAGCTCACTACTAAACTGAGCGCAGGAATCGACCGTGATAGGCACAAAGCTGACGACAGCGGCAAATACAAGTCTTACTTCAACCTCCTTCATGCGAAGATAAAGCAGTACGGCATTAACGAGCGTAACACCTTGTGAGGAGTAGTTGGGCAGGCACTGAGATATCGGTATAGGCTTGTATTGAGACGAATCCTTGAGGAGCTATCAAGCCTCTCAGAGGGATGATATATACCTACGTCACGTGATTGTGGCTGGTGTGATCCGACGGTGCCCCGAAGGGTTCCCGGTGGCTCACCAGTCTGTGGCTGGAATCCTGTGGTGATGGAACATCGTGACACACCTACAATATAGATAAGAAGGGCTTCTTTGTCGGTCGCGTAACGCGCTTAAAAAGAGTCTTTAGTAAGGCTTCTTTAGCTTAAAAAGAGCGCACAGTAGCGCTCTAGGATAGTAACAGAGAATAGGTAACGCTGTTAGTGTCACGGTAACCACCGTGGTTCCCTTGACACTGAACGCGCTACAGAATCCGAGTGCTCCGCCAAGCACCAGGATTCTGCTGATTAGCCGGCCGGGCCTAGCGCCATGCGCACGGCCCCCATCGATAACTTCTTACCGCCTGTACATGCTGATTCTGTTTCCTTACGCAACGTCTTGTATTACACCAGATATCGTACGTAGCCACAATTAACGCTTCTAGTAAGCTCTTAAACACGTGCTCGTAGCATCTCGTGACACGAATCTATTAGCGTCTTTTGATCCTTAACGGCCACGGAAGCCACGTAACGCGCGAGTTTATAGAGTTTTGCGATGCTAATCGCATCCTTCTAGCTATATTTCTACCTTATTTAACTTACAGCTTATAGCCGTTAGATATAGTGCTTTTCTCGCCGCTCTCGCGCAACTATTGTCAGGCACCAGGTTACTCCGGGCCCGTTCGGGCCGGTATGCCAAGCAATCGCAGTATATTAGCCTACCTTACCGCTGTTGTGGCTCGACAGCGGTTCGTCTCTAGTCTTACAAGGCAATATACCTCTACTTCCACTATCGCGGTGCATCTCGTATCTATAAAGACTCTATTGCTTGACAACTATACAACAGAACTCAACTGCAGCTTGCAGCGCTCGCAAGGCATTACTAGAATTACGAAACGCGACTTCTTCCGCATCTTTTAGGCCGCATAGAGCTCTACAATAAGGCGGGATATTATTTTAAAGAGTTTTTAAGCTACAGGCGTGTAGCTAATAGATGCTGACGTCGTACTAAAGCGCTTCAACACCCGCTCCCAACGACATGCGCACAACTTAGAAATTAGAGAGTAAGGTAATAGCGATAGCTAGATATAGATGCGAAAAGTCTTTAACGCTGCAGTAGCTAATAAGGCAAAAGTTAAAGCTAAACGGCTGTCGCAAAGCATACACTCGCTACAGGTTAACAACGCCATCCTCCACGATTAAAACGAGGGCCTACGACACGAGCTTAACCTTACAAAGAAGCAGCCAACGCAGCGCACAATAATTAATACACGAGAGGGCGATAAGTAGCATAGCGGCGCCGTGTTCTAGAGTCCTACGAGCCTCCGCACATAGCGCTCGCGCAAAGCTGTAGAACAAGACGAAGCCAAGCAGCTACAACTCCAAAAAACTCACGATAGAGAGATAAAAGCGGCGGCAACAGTATATAGAAAACAGCAACAAGAAGAGGTAAAGGTAGCTCGTTAACATGCTGCTAAGGAGCGTCGTAAGGCTAAGAAAGCGCACAGCAAGTCGTGCTAACGCTAGTCCTCTAGCTGCGTCTCCCCCACCGAAAATCAGCGCACGCGGCCGCAACATTAAGACACCAGCGAGATATAAGTAGATAGAAAGCTTCCGATACATTTATAGATCAATACACCAAGAAATCTCGCGATAATAGCTATTGTGTAGCGTTCTACAGCCTCATCTTTCTAGACGCTCGAATATTGTTGGGGTGGCTCACACGGCGAACTGGCTCACATGGCGCACGGGCACTGTAGCTCCAACGGACCCATAGAAAACGGCCTTCTCAACTCCCGCCATCGGTAGAAGATTGCGCCAACTGCGATGATAATTAGGAAAGTCAATGTGCTATTTGTGAAGCAACTAAAACTTACTCTGGTTGTAGAAGATACGTAGCTATTACTCGGCTAGCTGAATTTAGAATAGATCCTGTTACGTTTTGAAATTACCACCTGAGGTTCCTTGGCAAGGCTTCCCCCAAGGCGGGCTTTTCCTTGGCCGAACTCGCATCAACTGTTGCGCAACTCCTCATCATCTCGCTGCTACACCTTCGTTGCCTAAACACTCATTTTTGTGCATTAAGAAGACTTCAGCGAAACCTGGTCCACAACATTCTTCGTTCATTGTAGCCCAAGCTTCCGATGGAACCTGTCGGCCTTACTATTGGTGCAGTTGCCTTGGCTGGGCTTTTCTCTTTGTGTATACAATGTTTCGACCTGATCGAGATTGGCCGGAAGACTAGCGTGGACTACGAAATTTTGGTTGTAAAACTCAGCATAGAGAAGCGGCGATTGATGGTCTGGGGCGAAGCAGTGGGTATACTCAGGCCAGATCAGGACAGAGATCCTCTTCTGGATGACCCGGAAACACGGACACTGGTCGAGAGAATACTCTCAAGCGTTCAGAGACTGTTCGATGAAACACAGAATCTTAAGTCGAAGTATGGTCTGGAGAAAGCATCCTCAACGCAAAATGGTCCGAAAGCAAAGGTTCAAGGCAGCGCGGTTTGCGCGTTGTCTTTTGAGAGCTCACCACTGGTCCAGTTTCAGACGGGATTCTCTGAGCATATTAGAAAATTAGGGCTTGTGGAGAAGACTCGATGGGCCATTCGGGATTCAAAGAAGTTTGCCACCTTGATTCAAGACTTGAAGGATTTGCTGGATGGGCTTGGTGAGATCACAACATCTTCCAGATCAACAATCCTCAAGGGACAGCTTATTCGGGAAGAGACGCAATCAATGTCGGATCTTAACATGTTGAAAGTTATTGAGCGGACTTGTTCTGATACAGATTGGAGGAGCTCTGCCAGTTCTGCGAGCGCCTACTTTATCAATCAGAATCGGCTAACTACTGAGGGGCGAGAGGATATACAAAAGTGGGTGCAGATTGATCCTCGCCGAGACATTGCAGAAGGAATATCTCCAGGTCAGGATCATAGTCAAATGTTGCCAGATACCAGCGAGATTGCCTATGAATCATCACAACTCGCAGGTTCCCTGCACTCGCCACCTCAAACGAGACCGGGCAGCTCTCGTAGTCCTAGTCGTCTTAGACTGAAGACTTTCGGTACATGCATCCCTGTCATAGGTATGATGCAGACTTTATGCTTACTTGCGCAGACACCCCCTATGAGAAGACAGACACGCAGGTACTTGTGTTATGCAGCACAAGTGCACTGATAGCATGGATTCCAAAGACAGACAAGACTTTCTACGCCATTTACGATATTCCTCGGATCACGACCGCAAACGCAATCACCGCTTCCCGAATGATGAAGGCTATCGTGATTCCACCTCGTTTTCAGTACCCTAACATCACCATCTACTGCCCTCCTCGCATGCGCTTCGTGCACATGGCGCTGAGTATCCTGAATCCGCGTGCAGATGTCCAGGAAAGGTCTCAGACACAATTTCAAATTCGTTTCGACGACCGTCTTCTCGATCGGACAACTTCTTTTAGTGGCATTGCGAAGAGAATGAAGGGCTACCACAGCGACATTGAGAACTGTATCTCCACCAGAGATAGTTCTCAAAAGAGAATCTTAGAATCCATCGACATGAATTGGCTGGAACAGCGAATAGAAGTTCTGGAGAATCCTTCCTACCAGCCGGTTCTAGACATGCTAGAGTGGAGTACGATCTTCCGTCAAAGCAAGGACGACACACATTGTGCAGGGATTATCATTATGGCGGGCGAGGATACATGTTGGAGAATGTTCAATACTGCACCAGTGGTGCCGCCCGATACCTTTCAGGATGGGAGAGTGTACCGTCTAAGGGAATTGGATGGCGGGGAGCCGAGGTATAAATGGAAGGCTGAACACTACTGTAACGTTTCCACCGACCTCGATTATAGAGAGCGCTTTGGTGCAGGATGAACTTACCGTTTGAGCTATGCATAGGTGGTAGTTGAGATATTTGCGCGTGGGCTGGAACGCTGATATACATAGAATGAGATCATTCATGGTATTGTACTTTTTCCGAGGCGACCGCATAACTGCCCTAGTTTTGTTACGGTCGGCCCAACGTCGAGCCCGCTTTATTTTGATCTACACACATTCTCTAATTGCATACATATCTCTGGTTGGAATCGATATAGACTGTTACCTTTGGTATTGCGTATGTTTGATAAGGTTAAGCCCTTGCAACACTGAGAGCTTCTGCGTTGTGCCGATGAACCCAAAATGGAACACAAAATTGCAATAGTGACTGCATGTCTACAGCAAAGGACGTGTAATACTTCAGGCCAACGTCGAAATGTTAGATTCCAGTGCAAAAGATATCGCGCAGCTCTGCTGCTGAATTAGTGCACATATCAGTCGTGTACCTACGATAGCGTGCTTACCAGTAGTATCCCACCGTCACGTGTGCACAAATGTTGACTACCATAACTTGGAGAATAGAGGGCGGCCGACCCGCTCTGCCACACCTTTACCATGAACGCCCGCACTGAATGGTATCGCGAAGGGATATAAGGGCTACTATCAGTGACAGGACGGCATGCAGCCTTGATAGCCATTCGCTGTATAACTGTACTATGACCTATCATACGGAGTCGCCAAGACGTGACGACATCCGATATGACAACGGTTCGACAACGGTTCGTTTTTGATGGTTTCGCGAGCTCTGGCTGTATATAGAGTGACGTGTGCACGTGATCTGGTGTCAAGTTCCTCAGCTGAGAACCTGTTCTCCGGGATGTGGATCGGACAAAGACGGGCCCATCGGTTCGTGACGTGTTCGGAACTGCGGCATGCGGCGACAGTACGCGCTTATGGTCCACAAAGAAGCGACTGCCGGATTCCGTTGTCAACACGACTGCGATGCGTCAAGTCGGATTGTTCGTATCGTCGCATAGTCTATTACCACATACTCGAGGCTAGTCGCATATGTAGCTCGCGGCGTTATCGGGAGTAGGGCTAGTAAGCAGCGATGATTATATCATACCGACGGCCCGAGCTTTCACCTCAAAAGTGCCCTCGCGCCGCGACCGCCTCGACACCTTCTCGCCGCTTTCGACGTCCTGATCTGCCTGAACTCTGCAATAACCAGAGTCCTGGCAATCACAAGCACCATCCGATCGATGCAGGGCCAACAACAGACGCCCTTTCTCCCCAGCATCCCGCTCGCGCATGGCTATCTGACAGCCTCGAAGCACCATCAGCAGCCATTATGCGGTAATAGCGAGGGCTGGGGCCCAATCAGCCCCATAAGATACGACTTCACACCATGCTTCTTGGACGTGTGGATAGCAGTCGTCGGAGCGTTTGGAATCGTGGGAGGAGCAGGCGCGTTGTGGTACCTGTACAGCAAGTGCCCACCGCAGCCTGTAAAGCGCAACTGGCACTTTTACGCGAAGCTGGTATGCAGGACATCCCGAGTTTGTATGGGGTTTATTGAAACACCTACTAACAATTGGCGCTACCAGATATCTCTCGGAGCACTCATTGCCACTACGGCCGTACAAGCAGCGCTCCAAATCGAATACTACAAAGACGTATGGGCCGGCGACTTCCGTTTTTGGACATCGATAATTACCATCGTTTCACTCGGCGTCATCTTCTACATCCAATATATCGAACACTGGCGGTCGCGGAATGCCAACGGCGTGGCCCTCTTCTACTGGCTCTTCCTACTCATCGCATACGCCGTTAAACTTCGGTCGCTCGTCTCCCAGCAGGTACATCGCGAGCATGTGGCATACTTCGCAGTCTTCTGCGCTAGTGTTGGATTGGCTGCGCTCTCCTTCATCCTGGAATGGCTGGTCCCAAAGCGCATGAGCGACTACGACATGCTTGGGGATGATGATGAATGTCCATACGAGTATGCAGACGTCTTCTCAGTCTTGACATTCGGCTGGATGACACCTCTGATGAAGCAAGGATATAAGACTTTCCTTACCCAGGACGATCTGTGGAATCTGCGAAAGCGCGACACGACCCGACACACCTCGCAGACATTCGAGGATGCTTGGCAATATGAGATGGAAAAGAAGCACCCTTCACTGTGGCTGGCGATGTTCCGTTCATTCGGCGGCCCTTACTTCCGTGGCGCCGCCATCAAGACTATAAGCGATGTCCTGAACTTTGCTCAACCTCAGTTGCTCAGACTCCTCATCACCTTCGTCGACTCGTATCGCGCTAACTACCCCGGAGAGCCCCAGCCTCTCATTCGTGGCGCGGCTATCGCACTTGCCATGTTCGTCGTGTCCGTTTCTCAGACTGCCTGCCTCCACCAGTACTTCCAGCGTTCTTTCGAGACTGGCATGCGCATCAAGTCGTCGCTTACAGCTGCCATCTACTCCAAGTCTACTCGTCTATCCAACGAGGGCCGCGCATCCAAGTCAACTGGTGATATCGTCAACTACATGGCCGTGGACACACAACGTCTCCAGGATCTTGCACAATATGGTCAACAGCTGTGGTCTGCCCCTTTCCAAATCATTCTGTGCATGCTTTCACTTTACCAACTGCTCGGTGTTAGTTGTTTTGCAGGAGTTGCCGCCATGTTCGTCATGATTCCCATCAATGGTGTCATCGCACGATGGATGAAGACATTGCAGAAGGAGCAAATGAAGAACAAGGATTCGCGTACCAAACTAATCTCCGAGATTCTCAACAACATGAAGTCGATCAAGCTCTACGCCTGGACAACAGCCTTTGCCAACCGTCTAAACACCATCCGAAACGACCAGGAACTCAAGACACTGCGCAAGATTGGTGCTACTCAAGCATTCTCTACCTTCACCTGGTCCACCACTCCGTTCTTAGTCTCCTGCTCAACTTTCGGCGTCTTCGTCTGGACGCAGAACCGTGCTCTGACAACCGACATCGTCTTCCCTGCTCTCACGCTCTTCAACTTATTAACTTTCCCTCTTGCTATCCTCCCAATGGTCATTACGGCCATTGTCGAGGCCAGCGTAGCCGTTGGCCGTATCACTGGCTATTTGACCGCCGATGAGTTGCAGGAGGATGCCGTTATCCGCGAAGATGCTGTTACCGAGAACGGCGACGAATCGGTTCGTATCCGCGACGCTAGCTTTACGTGGGACAGGAACGCTGAGCGTCGAGCCCTTCACGACATCAACTTCACCGCGCACAAGGGAGATCTCGCGTGTATTGTCGGTCGCGTGGGTGCAGGCAAGTCATCGCTTCTTCAAGCAGTGCTCGGTGATCTGTGGAAGATACACGGAGAAGTCGTGCTTCGTGGAAAGACCGCCTATGTACCACAGTCGGCTTGGGTAATGAACGCTTCGGTTCGTGAAAACATTGTATTTGGCCACCGATGGGATCCCCAATTCTACGAGAAAACCGTCAACGCCTGTGCGTTACGAGACGACTTTGGATCGCTTCCTGATGGTGACCAGACCGAGGTTGGTGAACGAGGTATTTCACTATCAGGTGGTCAGAAGGCCCGTCTTACACTAGCTCGTGCCGTGTATGCTCGCGCAGACATCTACCTTCTCGATGACTGCCTGTCAGCTGTTGACCAGCACGTCGGACGCCATCTTATCGACAACGTACTCGGACCCAAGGGTTTGCTTGCGGGGAAGACCAGGATTCTGGCAACCAACTCTATCCCGGTTTTGATGGAAGCGGACATGATTCTACTACTGCGCGAGGGCAAGATCCTGGAGAGAGGCAGCTATGGACAACTAATGGCCATGAAAGGCGAGATTGCTCAACTGATCAAGACATCTCAGAATGAAGATCAAGGAGAAGATGACAGCACCCGCACATCTGACAGCATCATGAGCGACGAAGATTCTACTGTGTACGGCGGTAGTCCCGCTGGCGAAGACGACGAGGAAGACCAAGCTGAAGCCGAGGCTGCGCAGGAAGGTGGCGCGCATCTCGCTCCCTTGAGGGTCGGAGGCGGTACGGCCCGCAAGTCGAGCTTCCACACGCTTCGCCGAGCTAGCACTGCAAGTTTCAAGGGACCTCGTGGCAAGCTGACCGATGAGGAGGGTGGCGGGCTGAAGAGCAAGCAGACCAAGGAATTTTCTGAGCAAGGCAAGGTTAAGTGGTCCGTCTATGGCGAATACGCAAAGACCAGCAATCTTGCAGCTGTTGCCATCTATCTGATGCTTCTTCTTGGAGCCCAGACATCATCAATTGGTAAGTCGCAAGGTCATGGGTACTTCCGAATCGCGGTGAACTTAGAGTAGCATACTATTGGCCCATCGCTTTTTTGTCGTCTTGGACGCGACGCTAACATCATGCAGGCGCAAGCGTATGGCTCAAGCATTGGTCAGAGATCAATCAGCGTTTCGGTGGAAACCCTCATGTGGGGAAATACATCGGCATCTACTTCGCGTTTGGCGTAGGATCTGCTGCCCTTGTCGTTGTGCAGACTTTGATCCTCTGGATTTTCTGCTCCATCGAGGCTAGCCGAAAGCTACACGAGCGGATGGCGTTTGCCATCTTCCGCTCTCCAATGAGCTTCTTTGAGACAACACCTGCAGGACGCATACTCAACCGATTCTCAAGGTAGGTCAGCATCCATACTTAGGTTCATCCCGCGGTCCGATCCATGTCTGCTGACAACCTATCCACCTGTTGTCCCGCGGAGCATGACCCTGGACCCATTTTGTACACTGACACTGGCTAACTTGCTTGACAGTGACATCTATCGAGTCGATGAAGTTCTAGCGTGAGTTGATTTCCACTCTTGAACTATCTGCTAGTAGATTTCTAACATGTCCCTTTAGCCGAACGTTCAACATGCTCTTCGTCAACTCCGCCCGAGGTATGCAGCCACCCCCCACATTGATCCGTTTTGTAACACAGTTGACTGACCGACGTAGCCGGGTTCACCCTTGTCGTTATCTCGTGGTCGACCCCAGTCTTCGTTGCCTTCATCCTGCCGCTCGGCGCGCTCTACCTTTACATCCAGCGATATTACCTGCGCACATCGCGCGAGCTCAAGCGTCTCGATAGCGTTAGCCGTAGCCCGATATACGCCCACTTCCAGGAGAGTCTGAGCGGTATGAGCACGATTCGTGCATACAACCAGCAGAAGCGATTCGAGATGGAGAATGAGTGGCGTGTCGATGCTAATCTGCGTGCATACTACCCTTCCATTAGCGCTAACCGATGGCTGGCTGTTCGTCTAGAATTCCTTGGCTCAGTCATCATCTTGGCTGCTGCTGGTCTCGCTATCATTTCCGTCGCTAGCCACAGCGGTCTAACGGCGGGTACCGTGGGTCTAGCCATGTCGTATGCGCTCCAGATCACGCAGAGCCTCAACTGGATCGTTCGTCAAACTGTTGAAGTGGAGACCAACATCGTTTCTGTTGAACGTGTGCTTGAGTATGCCGCGCTACCCAGCGAGGCACCTGAGATCATCTCCAAGAACAGGCCACCAATCAGCTGGCCGTCTCAGGGCGCTGTCGCCTTTAACAACTACAGCACTCGGTATCGGCCTGGTCTTGACTTGGTGTTGAAAAATATCAATCTATCTATCAAGCCAAAGGAGAAGATTGGTGTCGTAGGTCGCACTGGTGCTGGTAAAAGTTCACTTACCCTGGCACTATTCCGCATCATCGAGCCCGCAGAGGGTAACGTAAGCATCGACAACCTGAACACCAGCACCATAGGCCTCCTCGACCTCCGCAGACGTCTAGCCATCATCCCACAAGATGCAGCTCTCTTCGAAGGCACCGTGCGTGACAACCTCGACCCAGGACACGTACACGATGATACCGAACTCTGGAGTGTACTAGGTAAGCCCACCCACATTTCCATCCACCACATCATCATCATGCTAACTCCATCCCCTCCACAGACCACGCACGCCTCAAGGACCACATCTCCTCCATGCCCGGCAAACTCGACGCCACCATCAATGAAGGCGGTTCCAACCTCTCCTCCGGCCAACGCCAACTTGTTTCCCTCGCCCGCGCCCTCCTCACCCCCTCCAACATCCTCGTCCTCGACGAAGCCACCGCCGCCGTCGACGTCGAAACAGACGCCATGCTTCAAACTACACTCCGCACTAGCATGTTCAACAACAGGACGATCATCACTATTGCGCATCGTATTAACACGATTTTGGACAGTGATCGCATTATTGTGTTGGACAAGGGCGAGGTCAAGGAATTCGATAGTCCAGCTGAGCTCGTAAGGAGGAAGGGACTGTTTTATGAGTTGGTCAAGGAGGCAGGGTTGTTGGGAGCGTTGGACATGAGTCAATCGAGCGGTTGAAAATGGTCGAGCTTGAAAAATGTTGGTAGTGACGGCGAGGAAGGTTGCCGTGAAGTAGCGCGAGATCCGCAAGGATCAAGGAAGACATTGTGGAGTCAGGTGGACAACCACGACTGTGTAACGGCGCTTTAAGTGATGAAGCCTGCCCGGAGGACTTCTCAAAGTATGAAAACATCGCTGGTGTAGGCATAGAGACTATTCAAGCTACCTCGTGGCCAGAAAAACTCAGACGGTGGAGGTGGGGGTGGCGAAAAGGAAAAAGGAAATTTAGGCTTTGGTAAAAATGTGTATAAAATTGTAATACTGTTTTCAACTTGCGAACCCTTGTTGGTGTCTCTTCCCTTTTGTGACAAGTACGTAGGTGAGTTGGTAAGTGATGGCGCTTTCGCTGTGGTAACTGAAGTCTATTTATCCTGTTGCCTTGTGTTTTGATCATATCACAGTCATCAAGCTGTTGCGCCGCACTGTGTACCGTGGTACTTGACGATGATGCTCTGAGATCGTGCTCATCTCTTCATGCAACTCATGTTCAGAGCAGGAAGTCGCCACGATGTACAAATTAGAGTACTGACCAGGATGACGCTGTTTGGTATATGATGCTAGCATCATGTCCTTCTGGGTGATGCATGGTCTTGTGCGGACCATGTGCTTTTAGTAATGATATGCGTGAAACGGCGTTCGAAGCTGCGACCCAGTCTTCATGCCCAGATCGTTGATTACCTTCCATCACGTGCACTGAAGAAAAGACTCGGAGTTCTTGATACTATAACCGTACTTATGGTTGTTCAGCTGGAGAAAACGATGTTTGACTATCCAGTCATTTCAAGCCGAAACCTTTTGCGTTCTCGGAAGCGCTCTGACTTTGTTCTTATGAGAGATGGAGAAAAAGGCTGGAAGGAGCGCGTTATCTACACATGTGCCACAACGGCCGTTGTGGTCAACCGATGGAATGAGGTGACGGCAGAAATCTGGATCGCGATCTGCATCTTGCAGCGGCGGTTGCCAGTTGTGTGTTGTCGATAGAAGCGAAAATTGTTGACAGCAGCAGTGAAAGCAGTGCCTCATCGCTTCTCTCGCACTAGACATGAGCTTGGGTTCCGGAATCTATGGTGCTGCCTGTCGTTGATAGTATGGTTACTTGGATATCGGAGCAAGTGTTTCATCATGCACACTTTCCGGAACGATTATGGGGGATGGTAATTCCCTCTGGCGGTGAACGTCATGCGCCACAGTACTGCACTGCATCTAGATAGACACCCGCCGAACGTTCGAGAAGATTGCCGAGCCAATGGAGACCTGCATACAAATTTCGCCGCAGATTCTAGTACCCGTGCACCCTCGTTACGAAGGTATGCGTTCATAATCGTCACACCGACCCAAAGCAGAGATTTCGAGCGAGATTCATCGCCTGAGCATGTGCAGACTTCTGTGTAAGCGATGTTTGTTACCTTGCCGACACGAGCGGGAAGAGCCATGGCGTAGGCCAGCGTGTCACAGCTTCCGTTGACAGGGTAATTACCTTCCGCTTCTTGCGGGTGGCGCATATATGCCGGATCCTAGTGAGAAAGGATCGGTGGTGTGACTGGCCAAGAGGCCCAGATGGGTAGTCGGACATAGTTCTGTATGCTTCTGATGTAGGTTTAGTGTAGGGTAGCGGCCCGTTGCCGTATTAGCAGCAGCTGTGCAACGGCGCAGCACGTTATCCCCACTACACTATCCCAGTGTGGCGCCGTCGAAGTCTAGAATTCGGGTCTGTTGCATCGATACGAAATGATCTCATGGCCGACTGGTTTGGATACGGTAAATTGTTGTCGGTGAGTCGGTCCCCATCCGTCGAGAGCGAAACAGCGTAATGGAAGACGCATCGCGCGGCGACCTGCAGAAATTGTTCCATCCATGCACCAGTGTGCAAGCATCAGCGAGGTAGAGAGCCTGTCTAACTTGCTCTGGACGTGCTTACAGACAGATCGAATCGATCAGGCATCGATCCAGATAGATCTCAATCTCTTGCCAACAACCTGGTAAGCGGTAGACGGCGCGGACCTCACCGAGATCGAAAGGATTCTGCGAAGGATTCTTGTATACCTCGTCTAGGTCTAGTTCGTAGCGCTAAAGTGGGCGCAAAATTATGTAGACGAAGGCCCTTCGGCTGTTTGGGGGCTTTGAATTTGTGGTTCGGGGATGCGGATACGTTCGCTTAGTGTCTCTCCCGTATGTGATGTCCAATCTTCATACTGTACATTTGGTGAGCCTTGCTATGGTTGGCGGTAATATGGTAAGCGAGATGGAACAATGAGGAGGATCCCAGATATCACTGTGGGTCGTGGGACGTCTGCTGCCTAGTCGGCTTCAGGCTATGTGCGAGACGCCATCGTAGATTATGTCAAATTGTAGGCTAGCTTGATGGCTCGCGTGGGATGTGTGATGTGGGTTTAGAACGCCGTGTACACTATGCAGCAGGCTTCACGCTAGTTAGTGTACACCTGTGCGGAGCAACGTCAGGATCCCTGTTCGACCCGCAGCTAGTCGTTCCTTCGATTCGATGACAATTGAAAGGAAGCGCGGGATCTCCAAATAAAGCTACAACGTGCGGTCGGGGAAGTGGAAGTATGCAGGAGACATCTCCACAAGCCCTATTTCAGACGCTCAAGTTGGTTCAACCCTCCTGTCACTCAATGGTTGCTGTAGTCCTTCCAACGACGTCCGCGGACGGGCATGTCATGCGATGTGTTCTGTGTGTTTGCTCGAAGAGTCCAGGATGCCTGTCGTCGCCGAGTGAATGCCTGTGAGGGTACGTGCAGTAAATTAGAGTCGATAGATCCAGGGCTTGTTATAACGAATTAAGGCCTGCTTTATAACCTGAGAGCCTGGTCAATACTTTCGGTTCTATTATCGTTGTTCTATCGAGATCCCATTTTTGCTTTTTTACCCTTGATACTGCAGCTCTGCTTGGGTTCGCAGCATTGGCACGCACAGTGATCGAAAGGCCGGTCAAACTTGTGTGCTGTCCTGCTCCGATTCCGCGATCAATCTTTCTCGCCTAGCTACCTCATCCAAATATCTTCGGTGTGGCTTAGAAGCTCGTGACAATTCGGGACTTTCGTCAAAGGTGGATATAGCTGCAGGTTTGCACTCAAACTGAACTCAGCATCGAGCTCAGGCTTATCTCAGATCTGCAGCTAGAAGAGGGGCATCTGTCGTTCGCCCGAGGACTGCAGTTTTCTGGTAAGCATTGCTAGCGCAAGATGTTAGGCGACGTGTGCACAGCCCAGAGCTATGCTCAGAGGGTCATCTCTAGATCATCTTGATCATTTCGTCCTCTCATTTTACCTCGATTATTGCTCCAATGGAGTGGTTCCTGTTGGGCATAAGATATCAACTGACAGATGCGCAGCCTGTTTTTACTTCTGTATTCTGATCGAACGTCACAGCACGCAGACGCATGCTCACGTCTGAGAAAGGCGTTCATCGAGCAGTTCGCGGGCTCCGTTAGCTGCAGCTACATAGCTACCCATGGCGAGGTTTCGGCCCGTGGACCCATCAGCTCCTCTCAGGAGGGACCGACAGCCAATGCAGAAGAACAACGGCGCCGCCATGGCAATAAACCGATTTGCAGAAGACCCGTGGGCGATGATTCATGGCAGTGATGTGTCTCCAAAATCGATGGTGAGTGTTGGTTCTTTTTGTGTTTCGGGGAGTGGATAAGGTTTCGGTTCGCTTGAATTACTTGAGCCACCGGTGCAGCATTTAGCGGCCGCCGCGGCCCAAGCAACCGGAGCCGGCATACGCCTAGCATAATCGGCAATAGCGATAGGCATATGTGCTGACTTCTTCAGGCCATATCCTCGTGCGCTGTTGAAGCCACCATCAAGCAGAACGAAACAGAGGAGGCTATCGCTTTGCCAACACCCATCGGCTGTTGGAAGGTCATCTCGCCTGATGGCCGTGAAGAGCGTGTCTTCAAGCCCATCCCTGGCTTCGAACATTTGTTTAACAGTCCAGCACAGTCGCAGGGAGTGCCCCGTCTGGAAAGTTCGCCTAAACCCGTCGCAACGCCAGCCTACCAGACATCCATAGCCCAAGTACCGGGTAAGATCAAACGCCTGCTCTGGATGCTCCCTCCGCTAATTGACCCAGCTATACCGAAAGAGAACCAAGTAAAGAAGCGCAAGAGGACTCAGTCCCGTCCTCGAGCACGTCCACTGCAGGCCATCGTTCAACAGCTTAGTGACGAAGATGACGACGAACAGTACGACGACGACAGAGATATCATCGTACCGACTGGGAAGTCTTACACCTTCTACATTGGCGATGTGGACGAGTTGAAGCGCTTCTTCCGCCGACGATTGGACGAACTCACCATGAAGCCAGTGCGACCCATTGTCACGGCTTGGGTCAAGCTACTGGAGCCTAAGCGGCTAACCCGATTTGGACCCTACCACAAGAAGTTGCCCAGAGAACAGCCCCCACAGTGCACCCCGCCTTGGTGGCCCCAAGATGTGCCCTATGAAGAACCCTCACATCTGGACAAGGCTGGTAAGCTACTACTACTGTATAGAGTTGAATCGCAACTAACTTTTTAAAGGCCTCTTGACATTAGCAGTCGATCTTATGCTCCAGCACCGCAATATCGACGTGGTCAAGCGTACTTTGGGCTGGACCACCAAGCTAAGGAAAGCAGCACGCTATGCCGTAGAGACAACACCGCCGGACCAATTCTCCTCGTCGAAAGGATCTGCCTTTAGTGAGAAAATGCAAGCGCGAGCCCTGTCCGAGATCTTACCAAACCTCTTCGACATCACGCTATCATACGAGGAACATCTTGCGACATATAACCTCTATGAAGGTTCGAACCATCAGGATCCTGGTATAGGAACGTGTGTGACCTGGCAGCCACTTACGAGACCGACCCGCCAGCCTTCTGCACCTAGGAAGCGCCTTCGACAGACGAAGGCCACTCCAATTCCAAGGGTAGAGTATGATGCCGATGGGTCTGGCCACGAGACCGAGGTTGATAATACCACAACCGAATCGCATCTGCGATGGGAAAGAAAGGCTGAGGAGCTGCGACAACAGGTGCAAGCTTCGCAACCACAACATATGCGCCCACACAACTCTATCACGACGCCCAACACTTCCTTTGGTCAGCCGATGTACGCTCTTCATCTGGGTGACGACATGGATTTAGACGCTAAGGTGGCCGACCACACACCGTACCCCGATCAAACCCCAGGCCACAGTGACTTCCACAGTGGTCAGCCAATGCAGTATTATACTAGTCACTCAGGATACCATCATGTACCACAACCTCAACAGTGTGTTAGCTCATCCGGTGTGGCTTCAGTGTCCGCACCAGGATACGACCAGCCGTTCTCCATGTTTCCCACATCATATCACCCTCAAGTTGAAGACATGGCCTTCAGCAGCAACGCTGGGCTTCCCTACGAATATGACATGTTCGTCCCGTCATTCTTCGAGGGCTTACCGGATTTGAATAGCATTCGCTGTCAACCGGAAGCTTCTCACGATTAATTGCTTGTGACTTAGCGTGCATCTCTCGCGTTTGCCTACCTGCTTGTATCTTTGTCCTTTGCTTGCTTTTCATCGGCTTCCTTGACACGACTCATGACTACGACGCTTTCCTTGATCTTCTTCTATCGCGGTCACGTTTGTTAAGCATCGTTCCAGCACAGCAACCGGACACCTCCCATGCTGGTTTCCTCGGCACACTTGCTGGAACATGTTTTGTTGCGCTTCCTTAGCTTCATCTTCTCGATCGTCCATGTCTTGCGATATACCCCGTACGACGTCACGCTGCTCACGACTGCATTGCAACGATCCTGGTATAAAATTTCATGGCTGCATAGTGGGGGAAGTAATTAGATATGAAACAAGTTTCTTAGGTTTGGGATTGTGCTTGCTGCAAGGCGTTGTACAAAAGCTGGAGGAAGTTGGTCCTTGTTGGAGAGAAGGCGGGAAGACGGCCAGAACCTACGTGAAGGTATCTAAGTGGTAGAAAAGACATGTCAGTCAGACACATCGATATTCACAATATTTCGGGTATGTTAGATATCAAACCAAGATATCGAATCAGAGAGCTCCTTGAGCGCAATGCGTGAAGTTCCGAGTGAAGTGGCGCAGAGGTGTGAAACTAGGCGCGGAAACCCGGGGCTCCAGCCACACGTATGCCAAGGCGCTAGTGCCGCGTCACAGGCCCGGGCGTGGAGCTCACGGCTTCTCTTGTTCGCGACGTGGATGGGACTTTGTTGCATCCAGCAGCAGCCGCCAGTCGCATCCAACCCGACTCGGCCAAGCAGCCCAAATCACGACTGTCGAAACCTCGCCCGCACCGAAACGTCTTTGTCGCATGCACACGGACCGTGACGTTGACGTGGATTGATCGCGAACTAACACCTTTCGTGATAGAGCCGCGACCATGGCGACACCGCGAGGTGGAAGAGGCGGCGGCGGAGGCGATCGAGGACGCGGTTCAAAAGGAGGCAACAACTCCAATTCCAATCGCGCACGCGGCAGAAGTAATGCGCAAAACGAAGAGCGACCGGCGCAAGGCCTATACACACCTGGACAAGGACGGGGTCGGCAGCACGGCAGCAACTCGTAAGTCTGCATCTTCCCTCTGACATTAGCACAGGGCGCGGGCGGACCGATGGCGCCATCACCAGGAGCATACTACACCACTACCATCGTTGCGATCCATACCAGACGAGGGCCTCCCACGGCCGCTCGCGGCCTATTCTAACAAGACTCTCTCAGGACTTCTTCCAATTCGAACCCCTTCGGTACGACGACTGCGCCATCGTTTGCGCCCCACGACTATCAGAAGCGACTACAACACGTAAGAAATATGGACATGTTGGCACCTGTCCAGTACTGACAGGCACAGATCAAAGCGGAGCGCCCAAAGATTCGCGAGAAGTTCATCCGCGATGGCCTAATGAACCCAGAGGGCCAAATGCGCCTGGCCGATTCTGTCAAGCTATACGGCCTTTGCCAGGAAATGTGTCCGGAATACGAGCGCGTACGTCGCATAGTCGAGCTGGATGTCAAAGCGCCAGAATGTACACCCGAGACCCAACATCTACCGTCCCGTAGTCAGCGCATTGCAGACGAATCACGAATGGTCAAGGCATACGCACGCTCAGCGGCAGGCATGGACGTAGAGCTTGTCTCGGAGATCCGGTCGCCGGCCACTTGCTTGGTAAGTCAGTAGTATTCTGTCCGAGTTCGTGATTTAATATCTGCAGAAAACCCTCAAGTACTTGTACGGACGCCTAGACCAAGATGACTTCCAGTTCCTCCATTCATGGCTCTGGGACCGCACACGAGCCGTCCGAAAAGACCTCCGCACCCAGCGTATCGAGAACAGGCCCGACATCGCCATACTGCTTACCTCCCTCGAGTACAGCGCCCGTTTTTACATGCTGTCGGCCCATCACATGTCACGAAGCACCAAGGACGACTACTCTCATCAACAGGATGTCGAGCAGCTGAATCAGACTCTAATCTCACTCAAGGAGCGATACGCCGACAACCGACGCGCCAATATCATATCAGCCTGCGAGGCTGAATTCTGGGCATACCGACTGATCCTGGCTCCCATCTACGCCAACACCCAGCTCGAAAACGAACTACATCGTCTACCTAGCGACCTACGAAACAACCCGCGAGTGCAGACCGCTTTGGAGATCTTCCGCCTCCTCAAGTCCATCATCATTCACAGGGACTACAAGAGCTTTGTACAATGCCAGTCCAACTGGAAGCGGTTTTGGGATCTGATCAAGTCGCCAAGGGTATCATACCTGATGGCATGTGCGGCCGCTATATCCTTCAATAGGGTCCGTCACGTTGTGCTAGACGTGGTCTGGCGTTGCTACCGAGTTGGCTTGTACAGGCATCAAGTTCCTGTCGAGTTCTGGACAACGGACAAACTGAGAGAAGTACTTGGCATGGATACCGAATCAGAAGCCGTGGAATTCTGTGAAGCACATGGCTTCGTCTTCGAAGTCAACGAGGAAGGTCACACTTTCATGGACATCAAACAAAAAAGCTATGACCGGAAAGCCAATGTCCTCCCCAAGGCTGATATCAAGCCTCAATCTTTCTCGGCAACAATTGTCGAGGCAAAGCGTTGTGGTCGCCCGTTATCGGCTGTCATTGCAGGCTTGACTGTGCAGGAGGCCAAGAAGGGCGGTCTGTCTGCTGCGCAAGCTCAGCAAATGGAAGACCAGACTTCGCTATTCGTTCCGGAGACCACTAGTGTCTTCAAGCAACAGCCGATCGAAACAGCACCTTCCGCCGGTGGCTTTGGTTTCAGTGCGACAGCGTCCCCCTTCCAGCCCAATAGCATTTCTACGACGGCTCCAAACCCACTCGCGAAAGCCATCCAGCCCGGCCTTTTCGATCCTTCAAAGAACAATATCCAGTTTGCGCAGCCCGCGGATGCGACCGTCAACCCATTCCTCCGCAAAGACGCCATTTCTTTCCCTTCGACATCGCCTGCACCGTCGGGGAATCCTTTCCTGAAGAACAACGTTGCGCAGTCGGAATCTACAACGCCACAGACGGCCGCAAATCCTTTCCTGAAGTTCAACAATGCTGCGCAACCAGAGTCGACAGCATCAACGACCCCCGCAAATCCTTTCTTGAAGAACAATACACTCAAGCCTCAATCTACGACACCTCCTACGCCAGCGAACCCATTCATGCCAGGATCGTTCGCACCCTCGCAGCCGAAACCTCAAACTCAAACACAGACACCAGTTCAAGACCCCGAGGCACCTGCTGCCATAACTACGCCTAAGCCCGCTTCTGCATTCAATTTTACTGGGGCGTCGTTCAATGCTACACCATCGCAAGGAACTTCAGAGGCTGGGTTTTCTTTCACTCCAGCAGGAACGCCACCTCCGACTGACAATTCTCCACAGGAAGAGGAAACAAAGAAGGCGGAGCAGGCGGAGCAGACGAAGCAAGAAGCGGCTGAGAGGCAACGACGAGAGGATGAAGCACGTCAACGCGTACAAGAAGCACAACGGGCAAAGCAGGCGAAAGAAGCAGAGCGGAAGCGTGAGGCGGAGGCTGCAGAGGCGGAGGCTGCACGACAGCGACAAGAGCAGGCTGATCGAGAGCGAAAGGCACGCGAGCAACAAGAAGATTTGGCTCGACAGGCGAGGCAACGTCAACTGCAAGAGGAGGAGGCGCGGGCAGCACGGATACGAGAGAAGGACGCGGCATTGCATGCGCTTACGGCGGATGTGATGTTCAACCCTCAGGAAGGACTGTTGATGCAGTTCGTCGAGAACGATATCATGAACATAGCGAAGGCGGCTGCAATGACAGTAGAGATGGAGAGGAGGGTGGCGATGGTAGATCGAAAGTATGAAAAGTATCTGGAAGAGTTGAAGCGGGCAGGCTTGGCCAAGATGATGGCGGCGGCGGAGAAGAAGAAGCGACTGCAGAAAGCACGAGAGAGGAGGAAGCGACTGAAGGAGCAGCGAGCAAAGTTGGAGACTGGACAAGACGAGGAATCGACAGATGCGCCTGCACCAGTACAACCGGCGACATCGAACGGTAAGGCGTCAACAGCGGTGCCACCAGAAGGACGATCGGCATCGCAGCAACACACTGCTCCCCAGAATAGTCGACGCGCTAAGCGAACGCAAGAGCGTCATCACGCGCAAGCTTCGGTGACGAACGGTGTGAGCTCAGCCAAATCGGTGCCGGCACAGGCAAAGGACACGACTACCGAAGCTACATTCGACAAGAGCACAAGTAACGCCAGCACATCAATCTCCGCATATTCACAGGCCTATCAACAAGCAGTTGCGAACGCACCCGTAGACCGAACTGAGACTGATTGGTTCAGACTTCGGGCTAGGGGTATCGATCCAAGCAAGCACCGCAAGCGTAGCTTCGACTTTGGTTCGTCAGACGAAGAGAAGCCAAAGTTAATCGAGCCCAAGCGACCCAAGTTATCACCAGCGTCTCCTGCACTGGAGCACCAGGAGCAACCAGCACCGAAAACCATGCTTGATGAGCAGCGCGCTCGTGTTGAAGCCATCAAGGAGTCCTTTAGGAGATCAGCGTCCACAGTATCACCTTCTCTCTCCTTTAATGGTGCGATGTCATTCAACGGACGATCCTCCTTCAATGACCCCACAAGCAGTCTCATTGCAAGAGCCCGGCAGACGCTGGCAGAATCAAAGGCAGAGATGCCGCCACCATCATTCACCCCTAGCAGGTCCTTGTATCGAAGGGAATCCTTTGACGGAAACGCCAGCCAGCTCATCGCACGAGCTCGGGCTCTCGCATCACCTGCCGCCACTCAACCAAACATCCAACACGACTGGAGTCGCAGTGTACCCAACCTAGGTTTCTCGGCATCTCAGACCCAACATTCCACATACGGTACATCCATGTATGGCAGCACTCTACGTACCAACTCATCAACCAATAACCGTCCGGCATATTGGGAACGCACAAGTCGCTTCGTGCCTCGCCATCTCTACGGTCAAGGTGCGGAAGCCGTTCGCGCATACAGGATAGAGCAGGGTCTGAGTAAATCACCCGCTAGTACGCGACCAACTAGTACTGAGCCTCTGAATATCTCTTCACCGATACCGACACAGTTGTCGTACAATCAACAGGCGAACACCCAACCGATGAGCTACAAGCAAGAGCAGTACACTGCCAATTCCACGGAACACAGCGGTCTACACCTCACCGACGTCGACGACCAGGATGGAAACGCTGTCATGACGGACAACGAAGAAGAGTTCCAGTCTTACAACCACTTTGGCACTACTTCTTCTTATCCTGGCGGGCAGTATGCTTCTTCTTCCCAGTCACACCTTCAGCAGCAGCAGCAGCAGAAGCAAGAAGAGTACTTCGACAGCGATCAGGACGCAGATTCCGAGATGCTCGACGGCGAGGAGGACGAAGAGCTTATTGATTACGACGAGGAATCTGACCTCGATGAAGAAGAAGAAGAAGACCAAGAATCTTTCGACGAGGAAGAAGAGGAAGAGGAAGAAGAAGAAGGTAGCGACGAAGACGAAGGTGCCACGGGTCCTGGTGGAGACGAAAAACCAGGAGCTACCGAAGACGATGCTATCGAGCTCTCGGATTAGGCATCCGATCCCACTTGGTGTGGTGTTGAAGGGAATTGAGGTGGTTGAAGGTTGTATCATATGATCATATTGTATGCATAGCGAGGGCGTTTTTTGGTTTCACATTCTACACGAGAAGGCATAGCATGGTATGGACTGGGGGGTACGGATGATACCCAATAGTGCGGGCATATGATGTGCTGGCTACAAAAGTACCAGATGGTGCGCAGACGTATGTGTAAGAATATCATGTCTTAGATCACATTGAGAAGACTTTATTTGTGTGATTGGTTTCTGGCTTGTCTCGCTGTACGTAGTATTGTTCATGTTTGCGTGATAGTTGGACTGGATACGCTCAGTCATGGTGTCGATGCGTCAACAACGTAGCGAATAGGTGGGCGCTGAAAAGATGATGGTGCTAGTATTCTGCCCCCAAGTATGCCATGCGTGGTAACTCCCTCTCTAAGATCACGGTCTCTCACAGGACTGACCATGTGGATTGGCCCATGTACATCGTTCTCCTTCATCGCGAGCATTTTAGCCATGTGCTTTCACACCGAAATGTTATACAGTCCAAGCAAGATCTGACCGACTCATTAGTGATTCCCTGGATCATTTGCGAATGTGATACTTACCTTCTCAATGTAGCGTACCCCAATAATTAAACCATCCTAGTCCTCAATGGCTCTCGTCACTAAAATCTAGGTTGCTCTTGTCAAGACATGGCAGACATGAGACAACTGTGCCAGTATACTTATCGCCCATGCAGCTGGGTAGTTCGCGTTGCGCGAGGGCCACGAGTGAGTTTCTGAGTGACGTAACCTTGCCTTCTTCGTTCTTCTCGGTGTAGTCGGGTGGCGGTAGAAGTTGCGACGGCGACCCCGATTTCAGTGAGTCACGAATAATCTTCACCGAGGAAACGAATTGGCGCTCAGCGTGCTCCTCTGACGCGTTGGTCTTGGAGAGTTCGAACTTGTTCAATTTGCCATCGATAAAACGGTTTACAGTCGGCAGATACCAATGCTCTCCAGCAGAAGATCCGAAACAAACAGAAGTAGGTAAGGCTGGACCCAGTTGGAAATGGAAGTTATGGCTCCGTTTGGATGGAAAAGCTGGTCAAAGGCGAACATCGCACGCAGGAACAAGCCGTTAAGATTGTGAGGAAACATCCGGGCGTAGATCACGCCTCTGAGCGGAAGGCTCTGGCGAAGTTCTTCAAATTGCATGTAAGTTTATTAACGTCGCATCGAAAATCTATAGCAACAACCATCTAGTGCATACAGTGCATATTACAGGTTCGACCATTCTAGCTGCTATTTCGTAGTCCACGACTGACCTTTACAGTGCTTGCTTCGTCGAATCGTTCGATTGTTATGAAGATGAGAAACAAGTTTCTATCGCGATGGAGTACCTTCCGCATGGCGACCCAGAAAACTACTACGAGAGCCTGAAGAGTCCGCTTTCAGGAAGTGAGATCTAGCAGATCGCATCTCAGATACTAGAAGTTCTCGTATACATGCACGACGATGGATATGTTCATCGCCATCTCAAGCCATTCAATATCCTCATTAAAGCGCACTGTTCCAGACGGTGGGTTAGGATCGGTGATCTCGGCTTCAGTAAGCGTACGGAAAAGGGAACAGCACTGCAAACCTATACTGGTACACCAGACTTTCTGGCCCCTGAGGTTCTAGTAGAGACTGGCTTTCTCCACTGTTAGTCAGTCACTAGGCGCGGTGTATATACCGTTGCTGTGAATATGTGGTCGTTCGGTAAACTCATCTTCCAGGTATTAAATCAGAAAGAGCCTTTCGCGAACTTATCATATGTTACAGGTAGTGGACGACGACTTAGCTAAGATCTGACTACCTAACGAAGAGATGATGGTAGCTGATTGCGATCATTATCAACTATGCACATATAACGATACTGAATTTCGAGAGAAGCTCATTGGTTTCTGTCATGAGAAGCTCCTAGAAGCACACAACAGAACGTTGGCGAGGTTAGAAAGACCATCTGTGGCTTTAAGCACCGGCTTAGGCGGGGTGTCGGCTGCGTCTTCACCTTTATAATGAGCGTCACTCCATCCACTTATTGAGGACGCATATTCCCACTAACATATACTATTTACTATATCACTACCGCTATACAACATCTAGACAACTATATGTATCAACGTTCGCTATTCACGAGAATCAAGGATGACAAAAGGGTCAAGATAGTAACATGTGCATTCCCAGTGCTCACCTTGTCCTCATGTCAGACTTTGGAAGAGAGCCGTAGTGAGCATGTCAACGTAAGAGTGCAATTCTCGGCAATGAGACTTCGTGAACACCCAGGTAAACTACGTTATCGCGGGCAAACGGATCTGACATTGAGAAGCAAACCTCCTGGGAAGTATTCTTGTGCAAATCTAGCGCTACAAGACCGACCACGCGTAACTCATGCGGGGTTCACTAGCCATTCGAGGCAGCAAAACCCCTCAATCCAGCGCCAACAACGCGGCTCAAGCTCTTGCTCAGGCCCCTCTTGTCAGCATCACTATTGATTACCTCATCCGCTATGTCGACCCAGAACAACACCATGAATGCGGAGAGCTCTAATGATCTCAACCAAGGCCGAAGAGATCGCGATCAGATGTAATGTTGCGAACCCCAGTCACCGATCCTCTGAGATAAGCAAACAGCCGTGGATGGCGCGAAGCCATCCTATCCCCATGTCCAACGGCTTCATCGGTCCTTCTTTCGGAGAGATCATAACCGTTTTCTTGCTGATCATGAACGGAATGAGTACTACACAGTCAGCCCTAAACAGCCAGTACTCTTGCACCCCTCACCACAATATTCCCGGTTTTCTTGCTTCACTCAACAAGTTCAACCAGTTGGACGCTGTTGAGCATAATGTGTAAGGATGGCCGTTGTTTGTCTGTCCGTTTTGGTACTTCCCGTAAGCTGGAAATGGGAGATGAGGATGCGCCGGCATTACTGCAACAGGAAATGGGTGTGTTTACGGGACGCTGCACCAGTGCCCAATCAATCTTGCTCTACTTTCGTTGGGGAGGACGCACGCGCAGGGTATCGATTTCCAGCTCACTCACCCGGCCGCTCAGATCTGCTCCTGCACATCTTGCAGCATCGGAGGCGTTTCAAACATCAAGCGAACGACTAGGCCAAACGATGTGAACGGCTCATCATGGCATCATCGTAGAATTCTATCTGCCTGCAGGATCACACAGTGGTTAATTTCGGTGGCATGGTGGGAAGTAAGGTTGACGCGTAACTGCGATTGACTTGTCCAGCCAAACGGTCCGCACCGAAGTGTTCGATCATGCAATGCCTGCAGTGGTCGAAACTTTCGACTTCGATTGAACCTACCAGACCACACCCCTTGCAGCGATCGGGAGGATAGTAGAGCTGTGGAGACAAGTAGACCAGCACTTCTGTGATTGGTGTGCATGAGTGTGTGAGGGTATCGCCGTGCAGCTCGCAAATATTTCCTCAAACCGACATGAGGTCAGAACCATAGCTCACGTTACGGAATACGATGTAGCGCGCCCAGATTTAGGGCTGTCTGTCGACGAATGTGGTGGCGGTTGTAGCTGCGCACCGCATCACTGTCGTCCGGATCCGTTGTGCAATGTCTTCCGCTAAGCCGAAAAAAATCGGTATCAAAATACCAAATCGTCGTCGGCCTGGCGGTCCGCTCAAGATGTATTGGGTCCATTGCCAAATGACTCGGTTTCGTCCTGTTCGACCTGCCTCTCCGCAATTTCCACCTCAGATCCACGTGGCAAAGGTTGTCGAAACAACCAAGTTGCCCTATTAGTCAAACGGACTTGAAGAGGTACACGGATGAACGTGGTGCAACTATGATGAACGTCCAGTGCGGTAGGGCTATTTCGTGATCCGCGCACGACGACACCAGATCTTGGAGTGATTGAGGGCCAGTACAACCTCGCGGATCCGCGTCTAGACGCACGAAAGGTTTTGCGCACGAAAAGACTTGCGAATACGGAGTGACCCGCTTGGTGAAACGGCGTCACTCGCGTTCGCGATGCGGGTATGAGCGAACGTATGTGACGACCTCACTCTTAAGAGGGGCTGTGGATTTGTGGCTGAACAAACTTCGTCAGGTGGGTATGTACCTGGACTACCTAGCTTAGGTCGGCATATTCAACGGTTGTAGCAGCAGTGAAGCAACGGTCGTAGTACAGTAGTGGAAAGCTGACAGCTCAAGTGCGCAATCTCGAGGCGCTTGTATGTACGAATTTGGACATGATATCTGTCGTAAGGCATGCCGGGTTTGGCAGAAGCCTCCGATGATGTTCAGTGGATTCGCCAATCCTGCTATGACACGAAGGTTTGCTCCAGAAAGGTTTTCAACGCACGTCATTCCGTCAAGTACTGCACTTACAGAACACAAATTTAACCCAGACGTTAGAGATAGTGAAGCACGCACTTCAATGCAGTACCCAGCCTCCAATGGCTTGAAACACTGCTGGTGCGATGTCGTACCAGAATGCAAGCTATTTCGTTCAATAATCGAATCCTTCGTGCGAATAGGATCAATTCAATTTTCCGGACACAACACCGGCTTGGCTCATTCGCCGAAACCCGTTACGCTGGGCACCAGGGCGACCAAGATAGGGATGTAGCCGGTTAGTGAAACTGCTGAACGCAAGCAAGTAACAGAAGGCTAGTCGCCTGCAGTAACTCCAGCAGATGTCAGATAACTAGATGGGAAGTTTAGTGAGGTTGCAAGCGCCACTGCGGAAGGGTCCAGCCCCGAGCGATGACTGAGTCATTCACTGGGCGAGAGTGTTTTCTCCGTTGACGTTGTAATACGACTGCGCTGCCCACTCTTGGAAGCCCGTATGTTGCCCGAGTTGACAGGACATTTCAAAACTGACTGTGCGTTGTGGCGGAAGATCCACGGCAATGTTAGACGATCTATTGATATGCTAGTCGCTAGCTTGCCCATCGTCACGCGCCATGGCGGACGTATACCATGGTGTTTAAGGAAATCCGGCAGCGTGCTCGAAGCCACGAGAGAAGAATTCAGCGCCGCTGTTTCTGACGCACGATGGTCGTGGCGATGTTCCTGGAGAATGTGCCGAGGTTCAGGCGACCAAGACAGATAACGTGGTATGAAGCCGATAGCGGGAGGTTACGGGTATGTCAAGTGCCATGAAACCACGCAGTGGGCGATGTACTTAGCAGCAACTCCAGCGAGTCTATAGCAGCTAAGAGTGTTGTTTGCTTGCGGTGCTTCTCATAATTCCCAACAGGGTCTTAAATGAGGCGTCGATTTATGCTCCGCATGCTACTGCAATACGGCTAATTATTTCCTGTACTCGAGTTAACCTCAGGAGAATATTTGCTGCAGGTTGCTGGTTATCAAGTTCACGTGGCACCCGCACTTACACTTTCAGCTACAGCTGCGCGGGCCGGACCCCTCCACAACGCTTGACAAATAGGCGTTCGACATTGGCCGAAGTGGCCCCGAAACAAGCTTTCCTTTTGGTCCCTGTAGAGGAGTTCGCCGCACACAAGTGTTCGCATTCGTTGCGCTCCGCGGATGATAGCCGCTTAGCGCATTGCTAGCAGATTTTATCCGTACGATCCGGATCTCCAGGATCGTCCAGGGACCTCATACTCCAGCGTAGATCATCCCCGTCATGTGCACATATCTGCGCACCTGTGATTGCTGGCCTAGTGGAGTTTGCCGAACGGTGAGGTCGGTTATCTCAAGGGAAATGGATGCTGAGGGCGGATCATGCCGTGAGTAGTGCCAAGGTGCACTACCAATCAATAGAACTCGCCGGGGGTAATCCTAGGTAGACTGAACGCCGGAAGGGCTTGATCGTCATGGTATCTTCCCCCCGTCGACAAGACGGCAGGACGGCTTTCTCAACGTTTGTTGAAAGAGTGCTCAAAATCCGAGGAAGCTGACTCAAGTTGGCTTTTGTGACAAGCGGATGTTGAGTCGCCTCTTCCTTTCCATTGCGAAACCATCCGGTGCGGAGCAAGGCAGTGAAAAACGAAGCGAATACGGGCATGTAATAGCTGCGACATGAGAGACCCCATCACAGCACTGCTGTGCACTTGCGCGTCGCGGCGTGATGGTTGACCGGTTGCTGCAGAATGTCACATAGCAACATTGTGGTGATCGTGCCTACACCAGAAGTAGAATCGATACAGGAGTCTGCGACTGGGCCATGATCGTACCGTACGTAACAAGACCCTGCTATGTTATTAGCGTGTCGTGGTTGATGTGCGAATGCATCACATCATCCAAGTTGTGCTGATCGTAGCCGATTTTCGCCTACCCGCGCACTTGAAGTCACACTTGCTGCCACCTGCTTTTCGGAAGCAATCCGGGGCAGGCGAGACACTGGCGTAGGCCCAATGAGTTATTCACAGAGGACTGTTCCAAAACCGACAAGGTACAATTCTTGGTTTGACGATTCGTGGGCTCAGCTGAACTTCTGGTCATAGCAGTGGGAATAGCGTGACTAAGAGTGATGCGATAGGTCTGGTACTCCAAGAATCAGACCACGACGACACGGTCGAGCACGTGGGTGTTTTGACGACCCCATAAACTAATTCGCGTCAGCGCTATTGCAATCGAAATGCGAACAGTGCAAGGAAGACTAGGTTAGTACAGTCTGCCATAATCTGATCACCAGGTTGAGAGTGGACTCACTGATCAACGACAAATTGTGAACGTGCGGCCTGAGTCGATGCTGGTTGTATATATGTCCGGGACCTATATTTGCTTTCTTTAAGAGCTTGTAAAGCAACGATGTTCCCAGTCAAAGCCGTGCATTGGAGGCGCGCGCTGCGGCCGGCAAACATGCGTAACCCAGCTATGAATTGCCCTTCAAAGACACTTACTTCATGCCGGTGGAGAGCTAGCACATGTTGAGTTGTTTCCTCACGGGTTGTCTTCTCGCTGAGACCCCGAAGTATCTAGCGATAGCCGTTGGAACCTGGTTGTTGTCAGGCGCGGTGTCAGCAAGCCTCAATAATGATGCTAACGCATGGATGCGAGACGAGTGATGCCCGTCCTAACCAAAGGGGGACGATACCTGCAATGCCGCCCGGCCGAAAAGGGCGAAGTGCGTGACTTGCAGGACAGCACTGACTCGTACCTCAGAATTCTGGCTGCGGACCGGACTTGATAGCGCCGTTCGCTGTCTGGCTAATCGGCGCAGAGTACATCATCGGCTATAGATGACGTTCCTGACTAGATGATGAGTTATCGACTGAGCTTGCAAGGGACGATCAAGGCTGAAGCGCACGTCTGGGGAGAGAGCAGACGCGGCTCTATCCCTGGCCCTCAACGGCAAGGATGTCACGTCAGTCACCAAGCTGCCTTTGCAGTAGACCATGCAGTTCTGTTGCTGCAACTGCACCAGGACCCGCTTGGTCGTCACGTCTCAGCTGCATCGTCGTCACGTCTCAGCTGCATCGTCGTCATTGTCAGCCCCGCGTCTATTGCCTGGATAGCGATAGCTTTCGAAGCTGAGTAGCATGGCGATAGCATTGGCGAGCTTTGAGATGTGTGAATGGGCGGCAGTGGGTGCCGCGACTCCACAACTCCATGGAATGCTTGCGTGAAGCAAGCATCACTGCAAATCTCAGGCATACATACATAGCTCCATCTTACACGGACTATTGGAGAAGTTCGCAGGTCACGGCGTGCTGAGCGGTGCAATTTTTCAGATGGAGTGTGATGGGCGTGCATGATTCTCTCCAGGATGAGGAGGAAGGACTTCATAGTGGCACGTGCACGCTATGCTGTGTTCAGTCGTCACTTGACCTCGATAGACGCAAGGCGAATGCAGAACCAGACGGAACCTGCGCGGAGATGCGCAATGCTCGGAAGATTATCTGTCGCCCTGGATGTACCCAGCCTCTGGTGGTGCGGCGTTTGCATGGCCGCAGTGAATACTAGAGGTAGGGGTTGGTCGACAACACCGGGGCAGGGCCAGGAAGCAGACGCGACCGTGTGAAACATAGCGCACCGTCCCGGATCCGCGTGGAATAGACCAGTCTGCGTGGTCCTTGGCCACTCTTCCTTATGACGCTTGTTCTCATTCGGATTCGCATATCCTCATCCCAGTCGCCATGCTGGACGTCTGCGCTGTGCCTTGTTCCGGCTGCATCCTGCTCTCTTGGCCATCTCCGCACTGCTTCCTCAGCATCCGACCGACTTCGGGCCTGCTGAAGCGACGCGGAAGGGCCGCATTGCTCACGCTGACCCGATACTCGTCTTCAATGCAGTCCGACGACCGTTTCTGGGTCCAGGACGTTGCGGGATGAAAAGAGTTTCGCGTGCTGCCTCACCAGCGGCCGCCGTCCAGGAACATGAAGCTTACGCTGTCCTAACGTCAGGCCCTGGCAGCTGTGGAGTCATGGCACACTAGTTTAGCTGGTAATGGTGCGGTGGGCGGCGGTGGAGAGGGCGCAGGGAATGCTGCTTGTGCGCGTTGATCGTCTCATGGGCCAGACCCACGAACTGGCGGATGGCTGGAGGCGAACGTCCCAGCAGGACTGCCTCACATGTCCAGTGTCTCCGTCCAGGGCCTAGCAGTGCGCTCAGCAGGGGGCGATCGCCGCGCTACTGTGGCCATCAACTGTCTGCCATCCGAACCAGGTAAAGCCTTCCTAGCGGCCAGTCTCACAGTGTGTCATGGCCGCCGGAGACAAGCGTTTTCCTCCCAGGCACTTCATCACGACGTATTGCCTTCGTGCTCTGTCGCAAGTCGTGCATATTCCCTCACGCTTCACCTGCCCCATCCATTAGAGTCATTGCCAGGAGTCGCCAATTATCTCCGACAGCCCATCCTAGCTGTCATAGGCTGGATAGCGTCTAATCGCAAGGAGCCATGTCCATGTCCACTGGCTGATGCCGCCGTTGCTACTATTACCTCCACTCCCTATTATCGTCCCAGGGCCTACCTACCCTGGCATCCTTGTTGCTTCGCAATTCGCCGACGCATCGATATTAACCCCCAATTATACATACTTGTACCCGTTCCCTGGACCGCTCTCTGGTACATCCTGTCGGCGACTTACACTCTCCATATTGTTGTTTGCATCTGCAGCGCCAGTACGTGCACAGTCCTGCCTCTCTACCACCTTGTGGCTTGACGACCATCCAAACAATTTCTGACCCTTTATACAGTTCATCCACTGCTGCTGCAACCCATCACGACGGCCAACGCATAATTCTCGTCCTCTAAGCGAGATCACAGACTGGACTCGGGATAGAGCTATCCATCTGCATCGTCAACGCACCTGCCCCGCCTTTCGTCCCGCCCATCTCCAACCTCAACATCTGGAACGACACTGTTTGTCTCGACATATCTCACTCTCTACAACACTCATTTGTTCCAACATTGACACTGGTAAGTTCCTATTCTATCACCCGCTGCTGTTGCACGCGCTGATTGGTCACAGCGGCTTATACTAAAACTGGTATTCCAAGTTCTTGGTCTTGTGTAACATCTGCACGTTTCCCGTTCCATCCGTTGACATATCGGAATTCGACTGCTGTGCGATCGAAGATCATTTCTTATGGTTTTCTGCTGATTTAAGCGATTAACCCATATCGCCTCTCTGGATCACTTTCGATACGATACGGCCATCTAATTACGGAATCGAATCCCTCGAAAGCCACTCTTCCCCATGTTGCAAGGTATCAGGGCATCGACTCTGACGATGCCTCCCTTCGGACATGACATGTCCCTCGGTGGCGTACAAAAGGTGGAAGGCTACAGCGATACGGATTCGTGGAACTGGCCTCAACAACCGACCTCTCACCAAGCTTCGTACCCGAACATATTCGATCCCTCCATGTACGCCAGCTTCACTCCTCCAATGCAACAGCAAGTTCGCCAACCGCCTCGCCATCACTCAATTGCCACATCTCGCGTCGTTTCAACTGCGACTAGCACGCCACCACCCCCCAGGCCCCAGGTCACAGGAAACATGGTCAAAGCGCAGCCAGCATTCAAGCCCACATGGCAGGGGTTCCTAGATACTACCAAAGATGCCATGACCGTCGTGGAAGCTGCACTCCAGGGCCGCCTTAGCCATATCAGTCGCAGACCGCACGACAAAGAGCGCGCAGAGATGCTTACTTCCGGAACCGTTTTGGTGTACGAGGAGAACGCTTCCGGTATCAAGCGATGGACCGATGCTGTCCATTGGTCCCCAAGCCGGGTGATGAACAACTGCCTTATCTACCGCCAGCTCGTCCGAGCCTTGAAGCCTGAGGAGAAGAAGTCGGCTCTCAACCCATCGTGCGGAACCAAGAGGAAGCGCAAGGAAAACAGCGGCCCGGTTAGGTCCAAGACTGGCGAAGTGCTAGAGAACTCCGAGGATGAATACGAGAATCCCTCTTTCGACGCTTCGCTACCCGGCGATGTCGACTCCATGAACAAGGTGTACGCCAACTTCGCTCAAAGTTTAACCCCCGATCAACAACGACGGTTCTGCGGCTCCCTCATCGATAGCTACGAGTTCAAAGAAGGCGGCTTGATGAAGAAGACCATCTCGGTCAAGTACCAGGGCACTCACCACCATGTCATCTCCTACTACAGTCTTGAAGACGTCGTCAGCGGGAAGCTCAAGCGACCGTTTCAAGACCCAAAGCTAGCCGACATTCAGCCAAGACCAGAGCTTCTGAATGGTTGGAAGGTCAGCCTCGAGGACGAGGAGACCAAGGATATGCCCCTTGTAGCAGGATACCCACACCACATCCAGCCAAGTCATGTGCAGCATCATGTCATCGGAGCTGTAACTCAATCCATCGGCGCACAGGGTCAGATTCAGACGCATGCTCCTCTTCACCTAACGGTTCCCGACTACTGGCATGGACCCCAGGTTTCGCAGTACTCGTCGAGCCACCATAGCCCCCAACACTACGCAACACCCCAGCCTGTAGCACCTCAGTTCTCGGCTCACCAGCCGCCACACCAATACTCTGTCCCGCAACCCTCGTCGCAGCACTACGCCCATCCTCCATCCCCTCAACCATACTCTTCGCCGCATTCAGCAACCTCTCAGTATTCCGCGCAAGCTGCGCCGTCTTCACACTACACGCCGCAACCACAATCTGCTCGCCACTACTCTTTCGACCCTCCGTCGGCTACATCAGCAAGCTCGTACTCTCAGCATGCGCCTACCTCACAATATCAGGCACCACAGCCTGCACCATATGCATTGCCTCAATCTGCCGGCTTTGAGGCACAGACCTTGCCTCAACAAGGCTCACCAGTCGGTCCTCAACAGACGCAAGTCCCTGGACCGCAACATGACCAACAAAGGAGGGCCTCAGCACCTGTGGCTCTCCAACCATTCACTCAGCCTCAATTCCCCGCGGCTCCCCACCCTCACTCATACTACGTAACGGATCAGAAGTACGTCCCAGAACAAAAGTACACATCTAATGCGCACCACGGTTACTAAGGTGCTGTCGCCTTGCATCATTTCACACATTTTCGATATATCCACACGATCTACAGCGCATACACGAGACATTCATGGAGGATTGTTTGGTTGCGATACCCCCTTAGCGACATTTCCTTTGGCGAAGGCGGCACTTTCTCAATACCGGCATTTTGGCTCATGGTAACCCAGTTATCCTCTTTCCTACGGGTACGGTCGGAGTTGTTGGTCCTTTCGTTCTCCTTGCTTAAGTTTATCGACTTTTGTACATGTGCTCCAATCAGTCTGTTCAGCATGGTAGTCTTCTCTACCAAAAGCATCTCTCATGTTCTACTTCGTACGGTCGTCTATGATACCTGGTCGCATTACATTGCATGTATTTCCTCTCGTTTCTATTGCCATGCCTGCTTACTCTTACCGACATACCCTTGTACAAATATAATCCGATGAATGTAGTTAGTGCTCTATAGTAGCAATGTTTACCATTAAACACCGCGGAAACGCGCGATGAATCAAATAAATCAACCATCCTATCAAAACATTACGCTTCATTTATCTTGTGCCGTATTTCAAAACGTGTCCACTTGGTTGACTATCGTTTGCTCTTTGTCGATGTGCGGGCTGTCGCCTGCCGGTGCAGTCGTACGATTATTCCTACTAGGCGGATCACGAAACACGACAACTACATGACCCATCCCAGACATCAACCTTCTATACTACCCAAAGCGGAAAGAGAGACAACGAAAGTTTCTACGCTGCATTCCCACGCTAAGTGCACAGCACAACAACCGTGCCGCAGCGGAATCCGGCCCTATCCTACTGGCCAACGGAGTTCCCCTTTCATAGGAACGAATATCACATCATTCACATCACATCTTGGCCACGCCGCGCTGCATCGCCGCGATATGGTTATTACGCAACGCACATCGATGACAGGATTCCGATTCGCGAGATGCGGCGACCGGGCCAATCGGCACAGCAGCATCAACAGCAAAAGCTTCTGGGATTGAGAAAGGGATCGAGAAAGGGATTGCTGGACTGAGTAGTTGGTGTGATGGTGGCGTGCGGGACGGGATGGCTAGGTTGAGATCTCGGTGAGATTTTGAACGAGTAAAGGTGGAGCATTTGGATTGGGAGAAGTGGATTGATGGAGAAAATGGCACGGCCCCAAGATTGTTGGAAGGGATGAAGAGTTGCAAGTATACGCGTGAGTGCTTGGCGATGGTGACTGAGATGTATGTTTTTAGTGCCGGCGCATCGCTGCATGTCACACGGATGGTATGCTTCCTATAGGATGGAGTTTTGTTCTGGCTACAGGGCTGCAAGTATGTGCTGCATAAAATTCAATCGCGGCTCGATGTGCGTGATGGAATCTGCGACTCATGGTCGCGCTCCTTCATGGCTGTACCTTCCTTCGTTCAGTACTTCTTGGAAAACGTTGCATGGATGACCTCGGGTGGTATGAGTGCGAAAAGTGTCATACAACGAATTGCTATAATGGACGAGCTTCGTGTCCTCCGTGATTTGATTGCCAAGGGTTGTGTGTGATACTGCGACTGCGCATCCATTAACGGGGAAGAAGAAGCCACAGATCTGACTTGACATACTGCATATGCCCTTGTAATCGTTGTCAGACGCGTATTTCAGGGGCGCAATGTTCGTAGTAGCTGTTGGCTGTCCCGCTGGAGCGTCATGTGTCACCACACTATGATTACAGTGCGCATCCATCAACTGAGCAACTTCCAAATCACTGTGCATGCTCAATCGGATGCCGTAGAATGTACTCGTTCTCTGAGTATGTTCGTTGTATATAGGTCGTCATTGCGCGAATATGATGAGTAGTGTAGAGAACGTGCCATCCCGAGGAGCCGCGTCGCGTGCGATCTCGCTTGTTCCTCCAGCCACTCACTTTCCTCCTACCATTCCGTTTTGTCCCATCATCCCAACACTGCAATCCATCAACGAAAACCTCAGACGTCCATTACTTCTCATTGCGCATTCCAATAACATGGCTTCAGCTCATGTATCCTTTGTAGGGTGCTTCCATTGCTGGTATGAGACGTAAGCCTGGAAGCCGGAGATTCCGAGGCCTAGGATCCCAATGAATACCGCGATGAAGACACCGATCATTGTTGCCATCAACATGTACCTCTGTACACTATACTTCTGGAACCAATTCTCCCAGTCGTGGCGAGGGGTTGGATGCTGCATCTCGTCGTAGATCTCCTTCAGGCGAATACCAAAGTAGGTGTGGTCGACCTCGGGGTCATCCTTCCGTCGGTATCGCGATACGTCGTATTGCAGCAGATCCAGATCAAATTCGTATCTCGAAACGAGTGCTTCGGACCGATCATCTTTGAATAGGATGCAGTACAGCGTGTCCAAGACTTCCAGTGCGAGTAATCGAGGGACCAAATAACGACTCTTGTCTGGTCGATTTGCTAACAACATCTCCTTCAGTACGGCGGAACAATGAAAAACTCGGATGATCTTTTTCTTTCCGCTGTAGTTCATCGTTAGGTGGCTACGCAGATCATCAGTCGGTTCAAGCCTGAACCCAGCCTTCACAAGTTTACTTGCAGTCAGGGAATCCAGAAAATCGGACAGTCTCATGTCGTTGAGGCTGTTTGCTAGGAAACCAGCGCTTGTATGTGGGAATGCTTCGGAAACGAACGACGTGGCTGTTAAATTGCTGCGCCACGAAATGGACGGGCCGCCTTCCTCAAGGAAATCCGCACAGTGGTGCGATGTTCCACAGTTGGTCATGAACATGATACTGGCTGCTATGTTTACCGCTCGGTCTTGGTCCGCGCCATCTGTACAAACTTTCCCGTCGGAATTTTCGACCGAAAAGTGAGATTTGGTAATGCGCTCCCGGTCCTTATCTGGGTCATCTCGAATAGTCTGAATGAGTCGGAGAAGATCGTCATGTGACGACAAGGCTGGAGACGAGCCTTTGGTGTATTCCGGCACGTATGCGGTAGTGAGAGTTCTGTACCGATCCCAGAATGTTTGAAGACGTTCTGCTCTACTCCACGGGCACTCTGCCTGACTGCACGTTGCGTCTCCAGTGCATGCGCTGCAGGTGTGCCAGTTCCACATGGCTTTGCCCAGCTTTTGCAACTGTTCGGAACTGACATTGTTCAACAGAAACGGTGTATCTAAGGTGGTCGTCATCAGAGGATGGTTTTAACACACTACCAACAATCGAGCATGAGGGGATGCTCCAAGGCTACTGCATGTTCTTGGAGCTCAGCCCTCCTAGGCGCATGCGAGGCAGAGCGACGCAAATGCATGATTGGTCGCCACTATTGCAAATCGATGTGGCTCTACCGCATCTGATTGGAGTTCTGAACGTCAAGGCAGTCTTCTGGGCAGAATTTTGCGCCGAAGCATCAACACCACGCAAATTGCCTTGCTTCTTACCGGTCATGTAGATCTACAGTGGGTTCTCGGCTCTGAGAAGTTGCAATGTCCCTCTTTCCTCGAGGTCTCCGCCGTTCCTGTTTTCCTGCGTACAGTATGCAGGCTCCTTCTACCACGACAACGTCTCCGGGTGGGGCGACGGCCAACAATAATCCTTGCAAACCTCTCGATACGATCAAGGGCTTAACGCGATTTGAACAAGATGTTGACGAGACGACCTCTCTTTATTTTGAAGATGTTGTACAGCGACTGAAAGGACCGCTCCTGTTAAGCTTGCGCAAATCCAGGAAAAACTTTCGGCCATTCGTCATACGTCTACTAGTCCTAGGTACGGACGAAAATTCGGCTAAACCTTACATTGTCGTTTTTTGCCCAGCCTGTGTAAGCGGTTTGGTTGAGAATTACTTCCGAAAAGACAGCTCTAAACGTCTTTGTCAGCCTGGCAAGGCTGGTCCGGCGTCGTTCGATGTGGTTGTTGAAGGCCACCCGATACAACCAACCACATCGCAACATCCCCACTCTACCTCTATCTGCATGGGCCACTCGACTACTGGTTCCAGGAGATTCAGGGATACTCCTCTCAAGATTGACGGAATCCATGGAACTCGATACGCTACGATGGGTGGTTACATCGTCGTAATCGACCAGGATGAGGGGCTGACGATGTACGGTTTGACTGCTGGCCATACCATTGTTCAAGATGTTCTTGAAGAAGAGGTCCAAAGCGAGCAGGCATATAAAGAACCGGATATAGAGGGAAGTCTTTTTCCTGACCTTGCTATTACTGCACCTTCGCAGGTGCCGAAAGCAGTGGCAAGCCGAGCGATGAACAACACCACATATAACCTTGCCACACATTCCCAGGAAGTGGGTGAGTGGTCAGGTACCGCAAGAGTCGCACCAGCATCTTTCTCCCCTCAAGCATGCGATCGAGATTGGGCTATATTGGAAGCAATAGCAGGCCAACCTGGCTGTGGTAATCAAGATGACCAGCCATTCGAAAGATATCTTCTAGGCGATCCCAGATCTGGTGCCGTATTGAGGGATGATCGAATGGAGATGAGTCTTCAGCCTCCATTTATAGGAAAGCTTTCTCGTCTTCCATCGTATGCACTATTGTCTTATGGGAGCGACTTCGTATGCGTTCACACCATCACAATGCGCAATGCTAGTGGTAAGTCACGAAATCTGATCCCTAGCATAAAACTCACACATCATAGGGATACCAGCAGGCACTTCGGGTACGTGGGTATCCACGGAAATGACGGAACCAGCGAGTAGCGTCCGGCATCAGAGCGCAGCAGCAAACGACCTAGACGATCAACCAAGCAGGAACATAACTGTCTTCGGACATGTAGTTGCAGATGACTCCCTAGGGGATGTTTACATGGTGCCTCTTTGCGATATTCTTGATGACATCAAACACGTTCTCGGCGCTCAAGGCGCAAGGTTACCAGAAAGCAATTCGGAGATAAGCACTATCCTGCGCAGAATGAACGACACCGCAATCACGAGTTCTGAAGCCGCGGCGGATGACCTGACAGCGACCCGGTTGTCTGTGAACGAAGCCGAAGCCACGTCCGATCCCCTCAACACTACGTTTTGTACACGATGCGGTTCCGAGAAGCACACAAGGGAATGGTGTGAAGTGATGACTTCCAGTGGCCGTGAAGAGAGTCTGGCATCTATAGTTGTTGCACCACATACTCCAAGCTCGAACTCGTTCAGCTATAAAGCTGGGAGCATGGTGTGGTATTGCTCTGCCTGTGGTGATGGCCCAAAAGGTGCGTGGCAGAACAGTTGCAGCAACTGTAGCCATCTGAGGTGCGGGAGATGTGTGACGGAGTGGGCAAAGTAGCGTAGCGCATTGATCATAGGTGGTTGGGTGGATGGCTGGTAGATGTCCTCCTCGCTAGTGCTCATCAAGTACCGTACAACACTGAACTCTTAGTTTCCACTCATCCCGTTTTTTCAATATGCCCCCCAAACGACGCGAGACCATACCGCCAGATTCAGTACCCGAGCCTAAAAGACGAGTTACCCGATCGTCTACGAAAGCTAAAGCAACAAACTCACAAAGTCAAATCAATCACGTGGCAGAATTAGATACTGAAGCTAGTGCTTCAGAACTTACATCGCATGCGAAAGGAGCCACGAAACGCGCCCCAAGCTCAAAGACGGCCAAGTTTGACGAAAATGATATCGCAAACGAGAGCTCAACACCATCCAACGTCACAACCCTAACCATCACACACGTCCTAGTAAAAAAACCAATTCAATGCCACCAATATACACCCACATCATTTTTCTCAACCCCATCACCAGCTCTAATCTTCACTCACGGCGCAGGCGGCACACTCTCCGCAGATGCAGTCGTAAACTTCTGCACCGGTTTTTCCTCGTCCCTCCCCGTCCTCGCATTCCAAGGCTCCATGAACCTCAAGGCGCGAACGAAAGGCTTCGACGCGTGCATCAATGAACTTTACTCTAGCCAGGAAACGGGGTATAAGGGAAAGGCGAAAGAGGAGGGTATAGAAAAGAGACTGCTGTTAGGCGGAAGAAGCATGGGTGCGCGCGCCGCTGTTATTGCTGCTAGTGATTGGTTAGCTGAACGAAACGACGACGTCGGAGACGAATGTAGTGTACAACTTGTACTGATATCTTATCCACTGCAGGGTCCTAAAGATGATTTGCGCGATCAGATCTTATTGGACCTGCCAGAGACTGTCAACATACTTTTCATAATCGGCGATAGAGATGCCATGTGTTCGCTAGATCTGCTGAACGAAACGAAGAGTAAGATGTCAGCGAAATCGCAACTCGTTGTTGTGAGGGGTGCGGATCACGGTATGCAGGTCAAGCCTGCTAGCATGACGAAGGAACTCGGAGAAGAGACGGGACGGGTGGCTGCGAGGTGGGTTGAGGAAGGGTTAGAGGAGGATGTGATATATATTGGCGAGGAAGAAGAATGAGTACCCTAGTAGAAGGCATGAGTAAAGATCGTTTCTCATACACCATGCTAAGCTTTCCATATTCGAAATTTTCCTTCACTATTTCTTCTCCGTCCCCAAACCAGGATGTCGATACCGTATTTCCTGATAAGACTAGAGTCGCATATCCTGCAGCCCTTGAGATACCTCCCCATCGTCGTCATCCTCATCCTCCTCAAGAGCGGAATCGTCATTTCCCTCCACCTCGGCTTCCGCCTCGATAGCTTTCATCCACTCAAAAACATCCATCTCGTCCTGTCGATCCTCTTCGAGGAACGTCCCCTCCTCTGCTTCTTGACCCACCACTGTACCTTCATCACAGCCACACCGCGCATTCAAGACGTCGCATCTCCACCCGCAGACTTCCCACCCACCTGCGCCTCTCCACCATCCTCCGCATCGCCATGCCCACCATCAGACACCCTACTCTTGAACGCCTTGAACTCCTTACTAACAATATCCCCCGTACCATCCCTCAACCTCCTCACCTCCACAACCCCACTCTTCTTCCTCAAAACCACACTATATACCCCCTCATCAACCACAACCCCTTTCAACCACCCCAAAAACTCCGTCGCGAAATTGATACACACATTCCCATCCCAGCAGTTTGTTCCCCTGCGCACCATACCAGGAATCTCATGCGTATTAAACGTCTGCAGACCCCTCAGGATACCAGCTTTACTCCTGAATCCCACGGTAATCTTGGGTACGCCGAGTAAGAAGGACTGGGCCCAGAACTTGAGGAGCTTGCGCTCGAATTTGAGCACGTCGCGGTGTTGTTGTTGGCGTGGGGGAGGAAGCTCTTCGCTGGTTTTTAGCTCGACCCATTGGGTAGGTTCGTCGGGATTGGTAGGTTTGGGTGCGAGGAGACCATCTACTTCACCACCGAGGATGAGGCTATGGGGTCCAAAGGATGTGTTGACGATGGAGCAATGTTGGGCATGGTTTGATACGATGCCCTTTTGGTGCTGCTCGATTTCTTCTCTCGATGTGTCTTTTGGAAGCGTGGGTATGAGTGTGAGTTTCTCGAACTTGTAACCCCAGTACGTCATCATCTCGCGTGATTGCTGGTCGGGGTGTTGGTAGCGAGGTGGTGGTCGGTCGCTTTCTGCTGCACGTTCGGCGGCTCGTGAGGGGAAGTCTTCTTCGATGTAGATGGTGCCGTTGTAGAGTGTTGCGAACATGCCGAATTCTGCGAAGTTGTCGAAGGGCGCTGTCATGATCTGATAGCTGTTAGCAACATCCCCGAGTCCAAAGCAGCAGCAAGGTAAGAAAGCTGATTTCGCTTACCTTGCCATATATTGCGCCAGTCCACTTCAACATACCTTGGTCATCATGCCTCTCCAGGTCATGAAGTCGGCCTTCACATCTTCCTTGCCCGTCTTGTCTTCCATGAGCGCCCTCAACAGACTGTCTAGATGTGGATCTTCCTTGTCCTCGTAGTGTTTGAAAGTCTCGAATCCCTCTTTCAGATCTACACCCATCGGCGGTGGTACATAGTAGTTGATGCCCGACTCATCTGCCTGGTATTCGTGGTTGTCATCGTATGAGAAGTGGGCGACTTCGCGTGGACGCTTTATCTTGGCTGACGCACCGCGGAAGCGATTGAGAGGCTGTACTGAGAATCTATGAACTGGTGCATCGGTTGTGGGAACGTCCATCGTGGAAGCTGATATCTCGGTATTCGTCGCTGTCGCTGAGGCTGGAGCTGAAACTACTGCTTGAGGGGGCGCGCGAGTTCTGGGTCGCTTCCGGGGCGGCGATCTATCTTCGGCATCGACAGATGGACTTGGCGACTGTGCCGCAATATCAGTAGGAGCCGCTGGTGGTGTTGAGTCCGTCATGATGTAATTGCGCGCCGATAAGGTCACAAGACTCGCACCAGGTTTCGCCGCGGGAGTGTCGCAATCCAAGAATCCCAGCCGCATCCCCCGCCAAACGGTACCTGACTAGCTACGGCGCGCCATTCGTTCCATCATATCCCAAACACAACCTCACTCCACATCTCATTCTCAAACTCTCCAAACATAGCACACCATCTGGCTTCATACGATCTTACACGTCGACCAGAATGGACAATCGCGCAATTCGCCTCCCGCCTACCACCCGGCGCAACATTTTCGCCGCCCACACCGCTCAACAACCAGAACAGCGACAACAACCACATCAACAAGCCCCTCGTCGCCAGAACCAAAACGTACCGTCCATCCGACCGGATAGCCGTGAGATAGAACAGGACATCTTCATGCAACCCGCCCAAGAAGAATTCGTCGAGCGCGATGCAATCGGAGAATATGTTGTAAAGGCGCCTACGCCAGTGTATAAAGATATGGGTGTGGGGAGTGAGGGGGATGAAGAGGCTGGTACGTTACATTCGCACATTTTCCCATTCCCATTTTACATATCCCGTCTTCCATGCGACCTGATGAGGAATGGCAGGAGGAAAACAAGAAATATGAGAGGATATGGATGAGCTGACAAGACTGTAGAACAAGAAAATGAAATGATAAACCTATACGGCAAAACAAACGCTCAGTGGGATGCTGTCGCCGTGGAAGAAGAGATCAGGGCTGCTCTTAAGAGTAGTTTGAAAAAGAAGGTTGCTAGTCTGGAGGATGATAGGTGGATGTTCGAGGGAGGGGGAGAGGGGAGGAAGTAAGTTTTCATCTCGCGGTCGTTGGATGTGTGATGGAGGGAATAGGAGGGAGGCGTTTGGTTGTATGATACCCTTGTATGCATATTTCGTTTTTGGGAACTGAGACATGGTTCGACTGATGTAGGTGATGTGGTTGATGTGGTAAGTCCTTGTGCAGTGTGAATGGTGAGATCGAAAAGATTTTGTGCTACCTTTACGTCGAGACTGAGTGGGGAGTGGAGTGCTGGTGCACTACAACTACATGTGAATCGTTCAAATTGATGTCATGGTCACTTCCTCGTGTAGGTATTCGAGGTAGTTTTGAAGATGTATCACAGAATAACATAGGGCCGTGTTGGATGTCAGATTTCTGGGTTGGTATACCTGACCGTGTCGTTTCCACTTGATGCATACATGAACGTGGAAGACTCACACTTGCTTCGCATAGGAACGTCGACAACCTTCAGAGAGGGCCAGAACAAATCAATTCGCGGATTTATACTCGTCGTCGCTGCCGCTCCTACTAAACCCCACCCTCACTCCTAATCCGACTGCCAGCCCAAACTCCCACCAAAAACACAAGCCCAAGGGGGTATCATATCAAAACACATCCGTTAACGCCTTTATTCCTCCATCCTTCCCCACCGCTGCCAAAGCTCAAACGCTGGTATCCATCACTGGAAACGAATTAACAAAACCGTTCCAATCGTCAACAAACATGAATTAAACTTACCCTCCTCGTCCCCAAGCAACTCGCAATTGCCATATGCCTTCGCAGCCCAGTCCACCGCCGCCGCCAAAGCATCCCGATATGCCACCATCTCCTCGAAGACAGGCAGCTCCTCCTCCACCAACAGCCCGGTCGTCAAGACGAAGTCGCAAAACGGCTCCATCCGACCGTAAAGGTCCGCGAGGACGCTCTCAAGGCCGCGCCAGAAGAAGTACAAGCGCTTCCGCTCTGAGGGTCGGACGCTGGGGGGAGGTGGGGGAACTCTTCGGCGGAGTCGGAGCGGAGACCATCCAGGTTGATGGTGAATTCCATCTTGTTGTTGATGGCGCTGGTGGCGGTATTGGTGGTATTGGTGGTATTGGGAGAGGAATTGTAGCAGTGTGTAGTATGTTGAAGAGGTTTTGATGACGATGAGGTTATTGGTGCTAGTTTGGTGGTTGGAGGGCGCTGGTTTCAATGACTTGCGTTGTGGGATTTTGCGGTGCCAAGACCACCTCTGGCGACAGTCTGGCATCGTTATTGTCGAACCTGGATACTGTACTGACAGTGACGGTGATGTTCGGGTTGATTGCGAGTACCTTGTTCTTCTACTGACAAGATATCCGGCTAACCTAAAGTGTAGTGCATTAGGAGTGCTGCACGCATCCATGGGATAAAGCTCCTGCACCACCGCGGACACCCTCAAGGCAGCTAGGCCTTTCGACGAGCCCATTTACAATGCGAAGTAGCTATCCGCCTGCCACAAGACGTCGTCGTCGTCTTCCTGCCAAATCCATCATCCTGTACACCCCAAGCCGCTACCGCAAGCGCCCTCGACCGTACACGAAAGCAACCAGCTAGACTTGGGATAGAGAATAGGCGGCAAAGGAGAAAGGATGAGGCTATTGGCGATTTGACCTGGAAAGGGACGGCGCAGTGGATGTATAGAACGATCGATTCAAGCTCCGTATGCTAGTCAATCCCTCCAACTGTACGGTATAATCATGGAAGTTGTGATGTTCTTTCCGCGCGGTGGTTCAGCTGCCCTGGCGGTTCGACTTGAGGCGCTGAATGCGAACAACCAACATGAAGGAGAGTTTGCTTGCCAGGAAAAGGGTGGTGTAGTAGCTACAGGCCAAAGTCAATTGCCGTCCTCGGGTATGCCCGTTGGTTTCTGAAGTTGCACAGTTCCAAGCAGAAGATCGTGGTGTTCTCGTCGTGCAGCTTCCCTGCCCGCCGGACTTGCAGTCCTGGACGTGTCATCTGGGCAGCCGCACAGTGAGCTGTCGGCGTCGCTCGTGTGATACCCGTAAATAGCTTCCTTCTTCCCGCGATGCCAAAGTATAGCCTAAAGGTATCCGCACACGTCTGGGTCACTCAGATCCTCATGGCGGAAGTCGCGAGGACCTTTAGGCCTCATTTCCTTTGTGGCTGTTACTGGCATGCTGTCTCAGGGGCGGTGTTGTTGTGACTATCGTGTGCACCTCATCATCCGATCTATGGTCATGGGTGCCAGTTCGTCCTTGTGCTGTCGCTCCTGCTGCCGTAAGTCGCGAACCTATAGTTCCTGTATCTTTGGCAGTCGCGAAGCGCCCTCGATGACAGAAGTCACCATGGAATGCTACATCTCTGTGGTGAGACTGTCTTCCTTCCCAAGACCGTTGAGTCTCTAAAATCACTCTCTTGAAGTCTCAGCTTCCCCAAGCAGACTCATACTGAGGTTTCAGTTTGAGTTCGCTCTCCCACGCCCGCTTCAATGTGCCTTCTCAGAGTGACCACGTTTCTCTCAAGCCTGCCATAGACAGCAGCGACTTCGCCAAAAGAGACAATGACGTGCAGAAGGTTGCAATCTTGAGCACCATGCTCTCGCATCGCTCCCCATCAGTCCACACGCTTGAAGCTCGTGATGTACATGTGCCAGCCTTACGAGCTTGCCGCAGACATCGTGGGATCTATCAACATGCCCCCAACGCGAGTCTGAGCGCTTTCCTCAACCTTCTGTCAACGAAGCCTGGCTATGCTCGTAACATCACAAGGCTTGGACCGAGATCTGATGCAGCCACGTAGGCTTCACAGCAGTTTATAGCACCCCTTTGCAGCCTCAAACTCACTGCGGGCATCTTCCAGTGCCACCATCACACGCTCTCACACGGCCTCCGCTCCTTCCTTAGGCTCCGCCCGCGGAGACTTCTGCCTTCCGTTCCTGCCATTCCGGTGCCCTCCGCGAGGCGGTCAGATGTCTTGGACGACGCTAGAAAGTGGTGAGTGGGGCTCCACGATATGGTGAAAAGCAGCTGAAGCATGGAATTCCAAGCTCAGGAGTGTTCTTGCAGCCACGATGCATCCTCAACTTCATTGAAGCCTCGTATACTTGGCTAAGGGAAGTTGTAGAGCTCGACGAGCGCTATCTTGTCATGCCCGGCTTTGTCTCGTCCGAGTAGTGGTTCGTTGGTTTCCATGGGATATCTGTACACGTTCGTCTCAGTTCATCCGCCACCCCTCGCTCGGAACTTGCTCAACACAACCTCCTTTCTGGTTTGTGTCTCCATATCGTGAGCGATGAGTTCTTTGCCCTGTTATACTGCCGCTGCCTGCAGCAGTGCCAGTCACCTGACGCCTGGAGCTTCGGCGCTGGTGGCAGTATATAAAGTGCCCATCCCCCGCTCCTTCCACCTCTTTTTCTCCCCACCCACACACCCACACCTCACCTTGACAGACTCGTTGCTTGAGCTTTGCCAATCTTCCAACTCTTGCCATCCACTTTACATCATACACACTTGCTTCATACCAACAACACTCTTCAACATCTCAACATGTCTCACCATTCCCCCAACTCCTCGTCGGCCAACGGTCCTCCATCAAGCCCATTCGGCGGCACCAATCCCACCGTCTACTCTCCCGAGGTCAGCCGCAAGCCACACCATCGCCGACAGATCACTGCCATCGCCCCCGGCCAGCAGGTCTCCAAGAAGCTTCTTCCTCAGCCTCCGATCTACGTCGAGGGTGCCTTCGTCAACGAGTTTGATGAAGGTGATAAGTCCTACGTCTCTCGGTACCAGCACATCCAGGGTGGTGCCGACCTCGATCACCTCCAGTTCCTCGTTCAGTCCCAGATGAAGCGTGTAAGTGTCTTTACCTCCATCCATCATACAACATACTGACCGTCTCTAGTACGCTTGCTTCTTGCATGCAATCCCTTTCAAGCACGAGCGTTCGTTTAGTATGTTTGCCCGTTACGATACCGTCTCCGATGCTGCGGAAGGAAAGGACATCCTTCGTCAGGCCGGCTTGTCTGTCGACTACGTATCCATCTTCGACTTCGCCAACGTACAAGGCAAAGATATCGGCAAGGTCAAGGAGTTCGAGGGCCAGATTTACCTATCGGTGTCGATTGAGGCCAACCCTGACCACGCCATCTGGGAGTTCTCTTCCGAAGATCTCACTGGTGTCACCAAGAACGTTGAGACCATCGCCAAGGTCTTTGGTCCAGTTCGGAACGTCGTACATGTCGACACTCTGCACAACAAGATGCAGTTGATCTACCGTATCGAGTTCGACTCCATTGACGCCGCGCATCGTGCAATCCAGTCCCTCCGCCAAGATCCTGTGTACGGTATCAACGTCGACGTGAGTACTCCATCTCTTTCCTCTGCCATGTAGCCTTGCTAATCTTCTCAAAGGAGTCTTTCTATTGGACCACTGACGACGTCGGCGGCTGGCTGGGTGAACGTCTCTTGAGCCCGCCTCGTTACCTGCCTCAAATCAACAAGCAGGGCCAATTCCTTCCCGGTCACAACTCTTCTCCCGTTCGTCGTTCATGGTCGGGCCAGTACAACCGGAGCGAGCGTTCCAGCCACCATCTCCATGATCAACACAACAGTGTTCGCCGCGAGCGCATTCTCGACGGCAGTGACGTCCGCACCACGGTGATGCTTCGCAACATTCCGAACACACTCGATTGGGTATGTCTCTTCTTCCATGAACGTCATGAACGTCATGAACCTTCACTGACTTCTTTGACAGATGGCTTTGAAGAATATGATCGACATCGCCTGCTTCGGCACCTACGATTTCATATATCTGCGGATTGATTTCAAGTCCGGCTGCAACGTTGGCTACGCCTTCATCAACTTTACCGACGCGAACGGTATGCTCATGCTCATCGACCGCATCGAGCGTCGCTTCTGGCCCGGTTTCAACTCCGACAAGGCCGCCGAGATCTCGTACGCGACAATCCAGGGACGCGAGGCGCTTGTTCAGAAGTTCCGTAACTCTTCGGTCATGCAGGAGACTCCATTCTGCCGCCCTCGTCTTATCATCACCTTCGCTGAGGCCGAGATGATGGACCAGATTCGCCTCACTGGCACCGAGCTGCCCTTTCCTCGTCCTGACAACATCTCGAAGCTCCAGCGCTCCATGGACTCCGCTCGTAGCACTGGTCTCTATCCTCCTCGTGGATACTCTACTGGCGCCGAATACCGCAACCGTTCGAGCGCTTACGACCGCGGCAGCCCTCGTGACATGATGCAGGCGGCCATAAACTTTGCTCACCAGCACGCTGCTCCTGTCCAGTTCGCCGGTTTGACCGAGGACCAGAAGCAAGACATTGAGGCCTGGTATCTCAACACCTTCGGTGGCGGCCTCGCAGGTGCTATCGGCTTCAACTCGATCCCCATGACACACATCACCCAGTACTTCCACGAGCACCCCGGTGCCGGCAATACCGTTAGCACTCCCACTCGTCCTGGTCGTACCATGAGCCCCTGGCGCCCAGTTGCTCTCCAACACTTTTCCACCATGGGCCAACCTATTCCTCGCCACTACCTCGGTCGCTTCTTGTAAACGTTGTTTACCCACTGGCGCGCAACGTTGCAACGTCTATTCCGACTAGACTTTGCACTGTTTCTTTCTTTGTTTTCGATCTGTTCCCAGATGCTTGCCAGGCCAGGATGTTTCTACACGACTTGTTCGGTATGGCTATCGACACACACAGTATGGGGTGTATGTCTTCTGGGTCGGCTTCGAGACTATTTGTTCAGGATGTGGATGGTTGACAGATTGAGAGATAATCTGACCGGATGATGGATGCCACTGATGGACACTGAATGTACCTAATACTTGCTTTTCTTCAAATACAACGAGCATTGCTCACCAAACTTGTTCCTTCTCTTGCATCGTGACCTGTTCTGGTGACTGTCTTGATCAACGAATGTGCTGGCTTGACTTCCTCGTGCTCTCAATGCCTTCGATATGACATTGTTTCTGACCGGTTCGGGGTGAGATATCGGTCATTGTGGACGGTAATGCCAAATGAAGGTGGCTATTGATACCGTAAACGGGATCCTGTCGGAGCGACAAGATGCGGTTGATCAACTGCATCTTCTTATCGAGAACACGATGAGCAGCATAGGCAGAAAAGAACATATCTCTACAGTAGTACGGACTAGCATTTGCGCATTTGCACCATTGAAACCGTGATCTTGCATGACAAAGAGGTTTCGGTAGTTTGAAGATTTTGAGGTACAAAGCCGGTGCAACGAGCACGAGGGGAACAACATGACCGTACTGATATATTTTTTTCGAGAATCTTGTTCCATAGATGAAGTCGTGGGCAGAAACGAGGGTTCAGTAGCCTGATTAGAGCACTATTCCATGGAACACTAGAGCTTGGAGCTTTGAGACGTTGTCGGGGCGAAGGAAGGGTAGGCTGAGCACACTGGTCTGGGAATACTGACTCGGCGTAGTAGAAGTATGTGAGCTTGTGGTGATCGCCGAAACCTGTGGGTGGTGGCTGGAACGATGTTCGCTCTGAGCGTACTGGCTGAATAGGGAAGAAAGGTCCACCCTGGTTGTCGATCGATAGGGCGATAGCCAGGTGGGCTGAGGATGTTCGCTGCTGAGAAGATGGCCAGCTATACCTGTGCTCCTGGAAGTCGTTGCTGAAGAACTCGATCTCTTCATGGTCCTTGACATATTTCTTGAAGCTCTGTGCCTCCATGTGCTGCACATGCCCAGGGTTCCTGCTGAGATGTCGAGGAAGGATCTTGGCATGTGCAGCTTGGATAGCCCAGGACCATGTGTGTGTTGGAGCCTTAGACAGGACATACAGTAGAAGGGGGAGCATGGGTGTTGTTTGGACTTGGTGATCGCTCCAGGTCCCATAACAGAAGGTGGTGGGATCTGCGACATGCCTGCTGGGTTGACGCCGACCTTGGTGCCGCCGAAGGGGCTTGATGGAGGACCATTGGCTGAAGAGATATGAGAATGGTGAGACATGCCTTTCTTCCAATCCAAGGCCGATGCTTCCCTTGTAACCTGCGTCGATACTGGTGTGTGCGCCCCGATGGCAAGTCCACCCAGTGGCGGGGGTAGAGGCGGAGCGCGACTGGTGGGCGTGCGATGGACTGGAAAAAGTAAACGATAACCTCAGTATCTGTGAGAGGAGCCTTGGGGACCAGGGTCTGCGCAGATGGCATCATCTCCTTGAGCGCATAGTTCTTCCGCTTGTTGATAGAAGTGACGCCGTGCTTTTGTGTGCTAGGCGGACCGATGCGACCAGGGGTAACAGGAGAGCCTGGATAGCCTGGCGTGGGAGCGAAGAGGAAGTCTGTACCCATAGTACCACGTTATGGCGGTGGTACTGCAGGTTTGATGCAGATGAACCTGGGCTTTATGGCAGGCGGCATGGGCGTATGGATTCGTGGTCTGCAGCTGCCCAAAATTTTCGATTGAAAGAAGTATATCTGTGGGCTGTAGCTTTCGGATCTTCAAGGACTGGGTACTTTCTGACTATAAGGGGCGAGACATCGTTGTGTAATGGTGGTGAGCTAAGGATACGACGAAGATGGCTCGTTCAGAAGTTGCAAAGGAATGCCACGATAAGGGGTCAGAACGCTCCCATATCTCGCACGGTGAACATTGATACGTAGAAGAAGCAGCTCCCAGTATTTTGTAAATCCAGTGGTTGACGTTGTGAAATGATAACGTAGGGAGTGTTGGTCGCGTGGATAACGTTTGGGAGAGTGACTGACATACCACACTCCTCTGCTAGGCCCTGATAGTACGTTGACGCATGCCCTAATGCCAATGGAGCCTTGTACATCGCCAATGATCCTCGCCGTGACTGTGATAGTTGCGAGGCGGTGTGCTGGAGTGGACTCTGAGGCGTGGTGTGCGGCCAACGACCTGCTTCCTTCCCTTTCAAGCCTACAGGATGCACCAGCAAACTCAAACCGTGGAAATTTATACTGACGTACTGGAGCCGATTGTGGACACAAAGCGTGTAGCGGCATTGGTTTGGATTGACCAAGTGTCGCCAAGGTCGTCCAAGAAGCAGATACGGGATGGAGCAAGAAAAAATGAATGGGGGAGAATACAGCTCTGAAGCAAGCTGACCCTCTACCCCTTTACAAGCTGATGATCCATATGTCGTGACGCTTCATCGCACTGTGGAGGAAAGAGCTTCTGGGTTTCTTGACCCTCATGAGGGGCTGGCTGAGGGGCTTCGGCCTTAAAACACATAACAGCATGTATGTAAAATGAACATGCTCAACTTCGATACTACGTCCCTTATCGAAATCTACGATATCGCATTCCAAGAGACCCATAGTATCTGCCTGGCATTGATTTCACAAATCTCATGTTCTCGCTGTCGTCTTCGTAGCCATCTTGATGCTTTGCGGGCTCTGCTCATCATCTCTGGTCTACGCAACCGTATGTTGTACCTCAATCTATCGGAAATATCTCGACTACTTCAGAGGTGACTGTATAGCTCCATGGCATGCATTCGAACTGCGTGCACCATGTTCAACCCCCTCGTTGACGCATACCGTGAGGACGCAGAATCTCAAAGTGCGGTGCACGGGCCACAGCAACATGTCGTGAAGTCCGTTGTGGTGTAGCAGCTGGATCCCTCAACCTTGCCAGCGACGACAACAACAATAACACACACTACATCCTCAAGATAAAAAACGACCAGAGGCAGACAAGAAGATGCTTCCCCGCCTGAAGCAGCTCTGCCGCGAGATCATCGAGGCCTACAAGCCGTGGGTCAAGGATGAAGGCATACAAGATCTGTTCTTGGACGCCTACATTCGCGTAGGGCTCCGCCTCTGTCTTCGATCTAGGGATGGTCTGTACGCTACCGAGAGCGGCCGCTTGACAGCTGTAACCAAAGCTCGAAGGTCAGCGCTGAGGGCAATGCAGAGGCGGGCGTGGAGGGAACTGCAGAGCAGGTAATTGGGGAGGCCCGCGCGGTACGTTCCATCTCCAAAAGAACTCCCCATACACCACATACGAACCTACGACTATCCTGCGGCTAGCTGCTCGACGGTCGGTAGTCCTGCGAAGACATCCGCAGTGTATGATCGCAGAAGCGTGGTGGCGCCATACGTTTGCTGCGCCTAGAGAGCTTGCTTGCCTCCCTCTTCTGAACCAAACCGACTAACACACCACACAGAAACCAAAAGTACGACGACAAGGGCAACAGCGTACCGAACATGAAGCGGTAACCTCTTGCTTCTCTTCGGCCCTCGCGCGTCCGATGACCCCCGCGGCATACCATGGACAGGATACCAGCTCAGCTGGTGGCGCGATCTGTTCCCCTGCACCTCTTTGACACCGCGACATGACCTGACGGCCAGACGGGCGCGGTAATCAGAGCAGCCAACACGAGACGGACGGAGTAAACGGAGACGCCATGAACATCGACGACGGCATGGCAGATCAGGCAGAACGAGAAACACATACATGAACGAGTGCAGTACCTTCTCCTTTGACGTGATGACCATACTGACATAGCAGGCAATCGTGTACACAGAATCCATCTACTGGCCGGGCGCGACCGTCGACAACGCAAGCTTTTCGGACTCGAAAGATATCTCAGTCCGCGCGATGGACGAGGCAAGGCCGCCGACGATGCGGTTACACACAGCATCACGGACGTGATCGGCTCTGCTCTTTCGATCACCATGGTGAGCAGTGCGACGGTCTCGTCGGCATCACTTCCCAGCAACCATTTCACCTACCACAGAGGCTGGTCGTACGGAGATTCGCCGTGGCAATAAGACTTAGGCGATACTTCGGGAAGACGGGAACGTTCGGTCGTGATGAGTATAGGAACGAGGGCGTCCGGCTCTTCCGGCAGAGTCCTCTAATATTCAGACTGACGAAGATGGCGCACACTAGCCGCAACCGAGCCCCTGAGTCAAATCAGGTACACTATCGAGCGCCATCTCTAGCTGCAGACGCCTCTCGATGTAGATGATGAAATAGCGTATGTTGTGCATGGTAGCGAGTTTGTAGCAAGCGTCCTGACCCTTCCCCTTCGGAGCCAACTCCTAGTCGAACGGCATCTGCATCAGGGTCGACTGGATCTGAAGCTACCGTAAGCTGCAGGCATGGCGTCGGCAGGGTCAAGGGTTGCGTGCAGGTCCGCATTTTATCCACTAGACACTGTTTAGAGAACATTGTCCAGGCTTTGGCGCTCAACTCAGCCTTGAGGTCGAAGCCGTAGGTAAGGTCAGATACGCACTTGCTGGACACCAACCTAGCAAGACATGGCTTGCGACAACGCCAGCGCTCACAGCGACTGACTGGACTTAATTGACCGAAACCAACGTCAATGACTAATGCGCTTTTCTATCCATGCAGTCTGGACTGCGCAAAGGCGGATACAACGACAGTCAGACGTCGGAAGACCTTTCCAGAGCTCGCAAGACATCCGGGTATGCCATGGTCGATTGTAACAGCCGACCGCATCCGACGATGATCATGTCGAGCAGTTGAGGTGTTCAATGCGTCGCCTACTGGAAGTTTGTGCACTGCTTGAGAGAAAGACGAATTACAAACAGACAAAACGCCGGTTGGTCGTGGATGTGGCAAACTTCGGCCGGCTTCAAGGCGACCATCAAGTACGATCGATAAGTAGTATTTTGTGATGATGCCCACTCCAGCATATATACTAGCTCATGGGCTGCACATCTGAGGTTGGTGTATAGCCGACGACTTTTGCCAAGCCTGGAGCTCCGGAGTCGCTTCAGACATACGTCTCATCGTCCTTGATTAATTGAGCCTATACGAAAACGACAGTGAGAGAGGCAGATGCGATGCCAACCGCTGAGGGCAAAAGCGCTGTCTTTCAAGTGGACCGGAAAGCACCGTAGCCATCTTGAACCAAAGCAAATGGCTTTCATGTTGCTAACCTCCAACGATGATTTTCGGTAGCTGTGACGAGGCTGATACTGAGCATCACAGCTCAGATCAGTCCTGCTACCGATAACCACGCAATTTCCATGCTCTTATGATTCATCGTCAACTGCTCACTGTCGTAAGCTTTGTTTCCATCAAAACATAAGAGGGAAATATTGCTAGGCTCGTTGCATCCGAGCATCATCAGCATAAATCATGACCGGTTCCGGTTCTACACGCCAATGATTGTCCATCGCGCATCGAGGCAGCAGACCGAGAAGACCAACTCTCCATCTTGCAGAATGGCAAGAGCAGCATAAAATTTTTCGTATGGTCCTTGATACGTCGCAGCGAACTTGCTGAGCGACCACTAGACCTAAGCCGCGTACGCGATATAGGTATACTACCGCTGTAAAAGCGGACGTCTATGCAGCGACAGCGAACAAGTGCTACTCCAGACCCTTGTCAAACCTTGAGACACTTGTAAAGAAGCCTGGCGCCATTTTCAACAGTGTTGAGTGTCCAAACAACCTCATTGTGGTCGTTGTGCCTTCTGCCAGCATGTTATCCAATGGCTTGTGTATGCGACGTTGTGACGCATAGCTTCTTGTCTCTTCCCATTCGCCATATCGTACATACGGTGTAATGGCTCCCTAAATGCAACCTGTCATCACGGCTCGGCTCGTATGCGGGGATGTTGCCAATAGGTCGTCTCATTGTAGTGTGTCCGCATCCGCAAAGCTTCGGCCGTCTTGCAAGGTTACACATCCGGGGTGTGCGCCTGTAAAGACAAGGCTAAGTATCCGGGATCAAAGTCTTCGATTGTCTCCGTCGCATCGAGGCATTGCATGCAGCAAGGATTATTTGCTTCAGTCTCGGGTGCTTGCCGCCTCCCGTCTTGGGTTGTACGACCACCGACGAAGAGGCTTCCTGCATAGATTAAGGCAACAAGGCGCTGCCATCCAGAGGTCATTTCCCCCACACATGGTTCGTTCAGTGCCGCTTTTCATGATGGTGGCTGCTGTTGTGCTCGTCTTTTGGGCAGCGGAAGTCCGCTTCAGCAGGCCGCCGAAGCTGTGGACTTCAAACACGACTGTGAAATGGGCAGCTGCCTGCTTGCGGCTTCCCTTGAATAGAGTTGGGGCGCATTTGAGGGGGAAGGCTTGCCTTGGTCGTTGCTGGGTCATAACAGAGCAAGATTGTAGCTGCCTTCCAGGGCCCTCTTTGCTTACCAGCATAGCAATCGTGGTCCGCATCAGACACAAGACAGCTGGATACATGCAGCTCTCCGCCCAAAGCCTCCTGTATCTGGGTGTTTCGATCTTCGAAGTTCTCGACGTGGGGGTTGAAGGGGTAGGGTGTCAATGCTTCGGGGGTCCGCTTCGATGCGTCGGGAAGGCCTCTGGGGTGAGGGCTCGGAAAGGACTCGCAGGAAATGCGCGGCTCCTCGAGGCAAGCCCAGGAGATAGGGTAGTCCTCTTGATCGTTTCTACTGCGGTTGGGGTTTGTTAGAGAGGCCAAAAGTTGGGCTTGTCGCGCATGTCAGCGTCAATGCGCTGGCGAAGCTGCTGCAGATCGAGCCGACAACGAGAGCCTCTATACCACGCACAGCCTGTTGAGGGAACTGCAAAGCTTGCGAGAAGTCCCATCATCACCTCAATTGCGGTTGGAAGTCGTTAGCAGGGGATAGAGGTGGCGGCGGGAGTCCGCCTCAAATGGCCAGCGAAGCTGTCGTGAATCACGATCATAGGAGAGATTCTCATAGAGCGCAAGGCTCTCTCGAAGATCATCAGGCGCATAGTGATTCTGTCACTACCTTTGTCATGGTCCGTGTGTGGTGGTGTGAAGCGGCGCGGGTAATTGCTTGAGAGAATAAAGTCCCAGAAGCGTGTCCGAAGCTTCATCGCACCCAGCGAAGCTTCGTCACTCCTTACTCTGGGTCACATGAGCTTGCTCTATTAGCTGCGTAAATTCGAGCGAGCGAGTCGTTGTGTTGTGTATCATCGTAACGGTGGTGTGGTTGAGGCAGCGTCGTTGAAGGAAGTTGGAAGCTTACCCCACACAGAATCTCAATGTCGAAGCAAGACAGGGGTCTGTCTGGACGGCTACCAGCACCCCCCAATCACGTTTCCATCCACGTCCAACAGGCTTAGTATGACAGAGAAGACCATTGCAAGTCTGCACAATTTGAATACTCTAGATTTGAATACATTACCACTACTGAAGTCTTCAAGGACGATGTGAACATTATAGGACTCGGTAAACCCCTCGAATGGCTCTGTCTGGCTCTACCTACCTCGACCACACAGCTCGATGCTATCCATCGAATTCACGGCACGCGACAGGTCAGCCTAAGAATACTACGGAAGACCACGCACGGTATACTCAGCTTTTTTTTTTATCATAAAACATCCAGCTGAAGAGCTGTACTACTCTAGAAAGCGTCATCCACCCATCCTCCGCCTCGCCGCATCCCCAGATGCTCCCTCCCGTAGGCTTATGGCTTCCGGGTTTGCTGCACAGGACGATTTGCAGGCTTCTATATCACCTCATACAACCCAAAATAGTCGTCCGTAGCGAGGGTCGCGAGATCTAGGACGGGAGGTAGGTAGTACCACTATCCTTGTGGCTAGAGCTTTTTACGGCTTGATGACTTTTTGATGAAGATTCCAAAGCGTAAAGAGCATCAGGAAGATCTTCAGACATTCATCATCTACTTCAAATCTCCAATCTTTGTAGTTTCATCAACTGTAGCGCACGTGCGTGTTACCTAGATTAAGCTGGGGCTTGTCCCGCTGGTCGTTTGTCACTTGACATAGCGGTCAGGAACATCGCGCCGAATCTCCAAGACCACTCTCTTCGATCCCCAGCATAGACCCCTAGCTACATCCTGTGTACACTCCAACGTCACCGTTATTCATCTTCACCGTCACTTTTTCGTTTTATCGTTGACAGAAAGCTAGCTGTTCCAAGTCCGCGCGCAAAAATTTTCTTCTCTCCAACGAAACAATGCGCAAGGCCCCTACAACTCCAACCAACACCACCATCGTACCGCCAAATCACATCTAGACACACGTTTCAGTATTTTGCCGTTTCGTTGTTTGCATTCGGGTATTCAACCATCATTCCGCGGATACGATATCTAATCGCACGCACGCACATACCCCATATCCGCGGCCCTACACATGACACGGGAACCTGCATCCGCCCAAAACCAGCACAATACCCATACCAGGAAAACAGCGCCTATCCATCCTCGTGCCTCCAAAAGCTCTTCTTACCCAGAACTTCTTTAAAAGATCTACTACCTCCCTATCTGTCACAAAGATGGCAACAGCAACTTCAACTCTCCCACACCATCCACCCAACCCATCAACCATGCCCTCAACCACCACTATCACTACCACCACATCGCCATTCATAACAGCAAAAGCCCTCATGTCTGCCTCCACTCATGAAATAGCCATGCTGCACGACATCCACACGCTCCTCAACAAAATCTTCACGCGCAACCGAAACCAGCACCAACGCAGCACGTGGTGGAAAGGCCTTCACGGTTTCCGCAAGCAAATCGGCCTCCTGCTCCAAGAACTCCTGCACGGTCCTCTGAAGGAGAGGGCGGGCAAAGTTGAGGCGAGATTGAGGTTTTGGGACCGCGGGGTTGTGCACGTGTGGTACTAGTACGTCTATCTTCCTTATCCGCTTTGTCTTTGCGATTTCGCTTCAATATTCCGTGAAGTTTGCACGATGCTGATTGTTTTGAAGCCAGTTTAGTCAGCTTGTTGCTGTGGGCCCTTTCGCCATGCTGGGTCTTGTCATGATGGCGAGTGTGGCTCGCGTATGCAGAATCACTGGTATAACGGCTGTATACGAGGAAATTGCTTCCCGTGATATCAAAGGCGTTTTGAGCGCGAGTGACGAATTGGCTTTGGCGGATGAGTTTAGTACAGTGTTGGATGAAGGTGAGGGGTGGGATGAGGGGGTTGTTGTCGCTCGTGAAGAGGATGAGTAACAGAGTTCTGTTTTCGGGAAGTTTTCGGAAGTTTTGATGTATATTCAGTTATGAAGGATGTGGGATATGGGATGATACCTGATAGTCGGGCCTGGCTATCTTCACGGCGTTCTGGAGAGTTGATATGACGTTATAGAATGTAATAAATGACTGCAGCCTCATACACCGCATCCCTCTTCTCGATAGTAACCTCATATGAATATATACAGCCCCAATCTACCTGATACCGAATCTCGAGCCTATAGTACCGAATCGCTCTCTTCCGCCCACTGTTGGGCTCTGTGCTGCGATCTGCGCACCCTCTTGTACCTTCTCTAGTAGGATAGCGCCCTTCATTTGGTCCACTTTACTGTACTTCTTGTTCCTTTGCGCGATGTCGAAGAACTCGAGTTGATCGTCTGTACCCATCAACGCTACTGTTTGTGTCAACTCGTCCAAGTTCTCCATCAAGATGGGGTTGTTGAGAGAGCTGACGAATTGGCTGAGAAAGGCGGTGTCGGCAGCTAGGGTAGCGACGGCAGCGGGGGAGATGCGCTTGATGTTGTCGGCGAGAGGGAGGTCGAGGATGGCGGTAGATGCGTGTGACAAGGCATCAAAATAGATGAACTCCTTGATCTCCGTCGGCAGGGCCAAAAGCACAGAGGACATTATGTTGGAGAGATACCTAGTCAACTCCAACATGTACGTCGACGGCTCAGTCTGCGGCTTCGTGGCCATCCAGTCGTACTCTGCTGTTTCGATCAGATCGTCGATCTTGCTGTTTACGAGCTCGAAGACGCGGTTTGAGGCGGTGTTCTTGGCTTTTGCGAAACGATCCGTTGCGGCGAGGACGATGGGGCCTGTTGCTGATGGCGAGGAGCGCGCCTCGAAGAGGAGATCCTGCAACTCCACGCAAGCGTTCTCAAAGTGCTCCAAGTTGGTCAAGATTTGCACAATCTGCCCGGGATATTGACTGGCAAGTTTTTCTATGAGACTACCACAGACCTTCTCGCAGAGTAGTTCATCCAGACTCGTCCTCAGCGTCTCGTCAATGATACTGCTCTTCTGGAAGTAGTCGTCGCTGAACAAATAGATCTGGTTTAAGAAATTTCGGATATCGATGCAACATAGCGGATACATCTGAGAGAATGGTAGAACACACGGGAACGTGAGTGGTTCGTTGGAGGCCGGAGGATTGTACCAGGATACGGAAACAACCTTGTCGTACTCTTCGCTCGAATTGATCGGCATGGGCATATAGTCGTCGGTATGCACAATCTCGAGGAAGTCCTCGCTGAAGCGGTGTTTGAGGAGGGTGGAGTATTTGGAGAAGAGAGTTAGGAGGAGGTCGTTCATTGCGGAGACGGAGTAGCCCCATTTCTACAGACATTGTCAGCACGTGAGGTGAGAAAATGATGCCTGGGCGTGACAGACCTCCATTGTCAGCATGAAAAGCGCGATGCGACCCTTGATCTTCAGGAGTAGCTCGTCGTTTTCGACCGTGTGGAGTTGACTAGTAATGAGATTGATCGCACTTTGACACATTGAGTCCCATAGTTCATCGACCTGTAGCCGCATTAGCAATGCTTTATGCGAATGAGCGAGTTTCCCGTACATCAGCCTGTGACCGTAGATTGAGAGTCTTCGACATGGTAGCCTTCTCTATGATCGCATATCCAGCGATACTCTCTAACAAGCTACTCAAGTCGCCGCACTCTTCATCCAGCAAGTTAAGCTTGTTTGGAATGATTAGGTCTTTCTGCGTTCGCCGATCCGACGCATACTCCAATCTGAACTGGTCGCTCTTGCCGAGTGTCTCGTTGATGTGCATCGCTTCGAACAAAGGCGAGAAGTCTGTTTCATTTCCAGCTTCCTCGTTATTCAGCACGTCGAACTCGTCTGTCTCATCGGCTACAAGTTCGATCGCCGAGTTCAGCTTGAACTTTGAGAAACGTTGGTCGGCCTCAGCGCGCTCCTGGTTGCGGGTCCTCCGTACATCGGTGTAGTAGAATGAAACTTCACCCAAGAACTGCGCCGACTCGCGGATGCGGTAGAGCCATGTACTTAGATCATTCTTGACCGCTTCTCTAATCTGTTCTTGGGTCTGCGGTATGGACTTTTCGATCAAGTTGGCGATCTTAAACCGGTTTATCTCCTTCAAATGAATCGTCTGCAGCTCATCTAGTGCTCGTAATGCCGCATAGTAGTTTTTTTCTTTCAGCATATCCTGGACCGCATTGGCGATTCGCAGTACATTTAAACATGCGTTCAGTGCTTGAGATGCTTCATCGATGTTTTGGCGCACGCCTCGCGAATCAACGAGGGCCTTCTTCTGCTCCGCCAGCTTCTCAATGCTCTCTTGAATCGACTCGTTGAGCTGCAGAATCTCACCACTCATCTGTACGGTCTGATCTCGTATCCTGAGTAGCGAATCAACTGAACTGACGAAGTCTTGATGATTCGCATTGCATATCCGTTCAATCTCACTCTCGCGATCGTTGGCATAGCGATCGAATGTGATTTGCAGCTGGTTTGAGTAACGTGGATCTTTCATAATGGGGATCAGCTGGTCGATGTAATCCGAGCCCACAGACGATTGGGAGATCTGTTTCTGTCAGTACACAACATATACACACGTATACTGGGCTTGTTCACTTGTTTGATGGCCATCCACAAGTCATCATCAGGGTCCACGGCGGAAGGCATGATGGCGGTTGCCTGGTATGGTTTGTCGCGCGCAGTGGCAAAACACGTCCGTTATCAAACAAATGACGGGTCACGATGATGGTAGCTATGTCTAGTCTTGTTCTGATGTTGTGGATGGTGTTGCTCGTCGTCGTTGCATGTGAAACGCGTACCTGGCAAGTCCACGGAAACAGCCCTAACACGAATGCAACCTAGCGTACTTGGCGCGGCTCACGGGCTCATGAGGCCCGCTTTCCCTTTTGAGGTTCGAATGTTTTACAATTGGAAGTTCCATGACCAACATGCCACAATCGATTGAGAGTGCAACAAATGCATATGATTCTGATGTGACATGTGTGTTTCCAACTCAGAGTTCTGCACACCTACTACAAACAGCGAAGTTTGGAGTTCAATGTGTTGATCGTTATCGCTCGTGTACTCGCAAGATACTCACAACTAAAGTGCCTAAAAACCAATCGATCTGGCGTCCAGCCATTGCAGCAGAACATGAACGATTCTTTCATACTTTTCATCATACGAAGTATCCAAAATATGGTTGAGGTCGGAACGTTCATCGGCTTTCCAAAGCAATTGATCTACAGCTGAACGCGCCGCGCATGCCCCACTTTCTGGAGCGATGACGGAGTAACCCCGCCGATTTCTCTCTATTCCGATCCGGAGTCAACGCCAAAGATATAATCTTCCCCAAACTTTTCCACATCTTGGCAATTACTCTCAAGTCACACATCATGGAGGCCATCACAAGTAAGTCAGGAGCATGAATGAGACGAAACTTGGCTAATTGATGATGTAGACAAAGTTCAGAACCTTATGGGCAACGTCAGCGGGGCTGCTGCTGGAGCATACAGCGGAAAGTAGGTGCTCGCTGTAGGTGTATTCTGGTAGGATTTGGCTAATTGGTGACAGGACTGCTCTTCTGCTCGGTGCTGGTTTCGTGTAAGTTAACTATGCACTCATCAGAGAGTACTTCAGACTGACGTTCACAGCACACGACCCACTGTTGACGTCCTCGCAAAGTCTGGTGTCAAGGTCACAGTAGCATGCCGTACTATTCAGAAGGCTCAAGACCTGGCTAAGGGTATCCCAAACACCAATGCCATCAGTGTATGAGCGTACAATCCACTCATGTATCGCTCACTGCTAACAACTCTCAGCTCGATGTCAACGATGCCGACGCTCTCGACGCTGAAGTCGCCAAGGTCGACGTCGTAATCTCCCTCATCCCCTACACATACCACGCGACCGTCATCAAGTCCGCGATCCGCAAGAAGAAGAACGTCGTCACAACCTCCTATGTCTCCCCAGCAATGATGGAGCTCGATGCTCAAGCCAAGGAGGCCGGTATCACCGTCATGAACGAGATCGGTGTAGACCCCGGTGTCGACCATCTCTCTGCCGTTCTCACCATCGACGAGGTCCACAAGGCCGGTGGCAAGATCCTCTCCTTCAAGTCATACTGCGGTGGTCTTCCCGCACCGGAGTGCTCAGACAACCCGCTCGGTTACAAGTTCTCGTGGAGTTCCCGCGGTGTGCTCCTCGCCCTAAGGAACCAGGCTGCTTTCTACCAAGACGGCAAGGTCAAGTCTGTTGAGGGCCCCGAGCTCATGGCCGAGGCGAAGCCATACTTCATCTACCCCGGTTACGCGTTCGTCGCGTACCCCAACCGTGACTCCACACCCTACAAGGAGCGCTACAACATCCCCGAGTGCCAGACCATCATCCGTGGTACACTGAGATACCAAGGCTTCCCAGAGTACATCAAGTGCCTCGTTGACATTGGTTTCTTGTCCGAGGACCCCAAGGACTTCCTCAAGGAAGGCGAGAAGCGCACTTGGCGCGATGCCACCGCCAAGATCATTGGCGCGACCAGCGACAAGGACGAGGACCTCATCTGGGCCATCTCCTCGCGGACAAAGTTTGCTAGCACAGAAGAGAAGGACCGCATCATTACCGGTCTCCGCTGGATCGGTCTCATCTCCGATGAACAGATTGAGCCCCGTGGCAACCCTCTCGACACCCTCTGCGCTACTCTCGAGAAGAAGATGCAGTACGAGAATGACGAGCGCGACATGGTCATGCTCCAGCACAGGTTCGAGATCGAGAACAAGGACGGCAGCAAGTCTGTCCGTACATGCACACTAGTCGACTACGGTGACCCCAAGGGCTACTCTGCCATGGCCAAGCTTGTCGGTGTACCCTGTGCAGTTGCCGTACAGCAAGTGCTTGACGGTACCCTGAGCGAGAAGGGCATCCTCGCTCCCATGAGCCCCGAGATTTGTGCTCCCTTGATGAAGACACTCGAGGAGCAGTACGGTGTTGTGTTCAAGGAGAAGACTGTCCCTTTGTAAGGTGGTCACCTGTGATGCACGACGGAAGGCAGATATCTGGTGACTATGATCTGGTATAGACAAAAGCCAATGAGCTTCGAGATGACTGAATGAAAAACACCAATCGCTTCCATGACTAGATACTTGTTTGTATAGTGGTATCCCTTCTACTTTATCTCATGTTCCATCTAGAAGACGCCTTCTCTCCTCTTATGCAACGCACCGCACCTAGGCAAGAGAAACACTGAGCTTCCTCGTCCATTGACCCGACCTTGTACCATCCGCTCAATCCAGTCCAGCAGACGGCGGCGCCCTCCCACCAACAGCCTTCTTCGGCGCCGCACCACCGCCACCCATACCACCCCCAAACATGCTCCCCAACATATCAAACATCGGGTTTCCTTGCCTCGGGATCTTAATCCCAAAGTACATCTCCCCAATCTGATCCAAAGCTTCACCCCAATTCACTTCCTTGAGATCCCCCGCATAATGGCTCTTAAGTTGCCGCCATAAGCTCGGATCGCCCCTCTCCACACTCAGTAGCAGTAGACCCAGGAAGTTCAACAGAGGTAACGAGGGGTATACGCGGAAGTCGGAGGACTTTGTGCTAACGGGCTGGGTGGGCGGGTTTGGTGCCTTTTGGAGCGAGGACGTGAAGAGGAGGAAGTGTTTGTTTGCTGCGCGTAGGTTTCCAGTTAGGAGGTAGGGCAGGATGCCGCGGGCGGCGTAGAGGGGCGCGGTGTGTAGGGCGTCTGATGTGTACCAGGAGTAGTGGAGAGAGGAGAGGGTTGAGGCGGAGTCTTGGGTGCCGAGGAGGAGATGGCGTTCTGCTTCGTAGGGTTCGAGGTCTGATGGTTGTCAGATCAATACACATCGTGTCTGTAGATATGAGAATACGAAGGTCGTGTGCGTACCTTCAGCGTATAGTCCTCCAGCGACATGATGTATCTCTGGGTCGCCAGCAGGGTAATCGCCAAATCGACTACTCCATGCTACCATCTCGCCAACAAACTTCTTCTTTGTAGGCTCGTCTTTGGGGAAAGCGCGGAGGAGACCTAGTAATCGTCCTTTGCTCTCTGCATCTACCTTAACCTCCCCCTTGTTGTATACGTCGAGAAGGAATATGCATAGGTCGCCGCCGGAACCGCCTTGGCCTGCCTGGAGAAGAGATAACGCGCCAGAGTGTAGGATAGAGGTTGCGGATGCCCAATCTGAGGCTTTTGTGTAGCGGGAGGCGATTACACGGAGTTGTTGGTGGGCTTCGTAGAATTGGCCCTCAGCGATTCTGGGAGGGGTTAGTAATCTGCGCTGTACATGGTGGTGAATGGTGTGTTTACTTCTCGCGTTGTCGCGCAAGCGTCTTCTCAATCTTTGAGGCCATCTTGCGTGGTTGAGGGGCTGTAGTGGGGGATGCTGTGCTGTGCTGTTGTCGGAACCCTGGAGAGCTTCTGGATGGCGTTCGGGAGCGATGACGCAGCGCTACGGGCGGCTGGTGAACCCCACATTAGCCTCATACTCGAGTTAAACTTCTATCGCCCAATGTTCGCAGCCTTTTTTTTCTTCGCTATGCTTTCTGTACAGCTAATCTTTCCACGTCTCTACATTTGTTTCTCAAAGCCTTGGACGAAGGTTATGCCAAGGCGTGACCGCGCAAAAAGAAAAGCTCTACCCTCCCTCACCACATGGACATATTAAAAAAAGGTAATCTTCATCATCCAGTATAATGAGGTTTGCGGGAACCGGGACTCGAACCCGGAGCCAAAGCAGACAACGTATGATGCGTGGGAAGCTTCGATTTTACCCTTAAACCATTCCCGCAGTGTAATAGTTAGCTAAGACATGAATAAGTATCTTTATAATGCCACAAAAGCCCCTAAATCTCTCGATTTAGAACACCAACAAGTAGGCACCATTACAGAAAGTCCGATGGTTTTGAAAGCATCTCGGTTTAGCCGGGGGATGCTGATGGCGGGGCTGAGGTGGGACCGGATGGCAGCAGTGGGGGCTGGCGCTTACCTATGCGCCTAGGATAGGTCTGCCAGGGCGGCTCTCTCGCATAACAGCGGTCTCGCATCGAACTCGAATGTTGCATCTAATTTGAGATCGCCTTGTCAAAAGAAAGGGCGGGATCCAAAATACGCGGGACGCCTTAGGTAGGCGAAGTCTTGCATGAGCTGAGCAGGTCCACAGCTCAGCTCATCAAGGCCCCAGCCCGATCACTCTGTGACCCCCCTTCGTCTTTCACAGCTTCCACCCTAAGCGCAGTCGGACTTGGTGATACTGATAGTCCAAGGGCTATACGCTGTACCATGCATCGGATATCAAGCGATATGGTCAACGAAACCGACGTAGCGACAGCCGCCTTGGCTATAGCGATTTCAGCCTTGGTCATCGCAGCTGGTCAACTCATCGCCCAGCTCTTCTCGACTGCAGATGGGTATCGCAGATGCCAGCCTTCCGTCATTGGAAATTGGTACAAACTGGTTGTGTTGAAGTTTAGATGGTGCGTTATCAACTCTCGAACAGGTACACCAACTCAGTTAAGTATACTAAAGTTTAGTAGGAGCTCATTTCGTTATGAAGTCAAAGTGACAACACCTCACTTCCAGATAGCGACAATGTCTGATTGTGACCATCGCGAGTCATTTCTTCTGAATCGATCGACTTTCACCACCTTCAAGTTTTCTTGGTCTTGGTTCATGGATAGGTCGTCACCATACTTGGTCTCTCCTTTGAAGCCACGATACCTGGTCCCTCCTTCGACGCCAGCACCACTGATGGGCACTGTACGCTCGCGCCTCGGTACGTTTTGTCAACTTGACAGCCGTAAAGGTATCAGTACAGGAGACGACGTTCCCACATGGGTAAATTTATTAGAAGATGTTCATGATGTTCAGTACCAGACATTGGAACATCCTGATGGGCTTCCGTCAGTCAGGGGACGACCGAATGATCTGGCACTGGTGTGTATATCAAGTAAGTCCAGGGTACATAGGATGTTTGTGAGATGGGGACTAAATTCGCATCTTAATCTCTATAGGAAAAACTCGATCATGGGACTTTATGCCGCCAGACATCGTGCGGCCAGTCGCTAGTATCACAGTAGGCTGTCTGATTACTATGGCACATCGACCGGGTATGACCTGGACGGATTTTCAACTTAACGAAGGCAAAATGCGTGCCATGGGCGGCGGAAGAAGCTTTGCCACATCAGTAGTGCGTGGTATGGGACTAGTTGTTGAGTATAACAACATCGGGCCTAAGAAGTCTTTGGAGGTTGCGAGTCGTATACCTAGCAAAGGACTACTCGCTTAGTACAACAAAATCGGATCTAGCAAGTCTTTGGAGGTTGTGAGTCGTATACCTAGCAAAGCTGCAGACAAGGTGAGTAAAGATACATCTGCTGATGCAACGAGGGTTTGTAACGTTTCATGAGCGGCGTCGCTAAACATGATGCTATGTTTATTACTACTGTCTTGACATACTGTTCGCAACAAGGATCTGCTCGCAAACTGTTGCAATCCGTCGTTCTCCTGTTGCCTTAGCTTACGAACATCAGATGGCGTATGGGATCATATCCAGTGGTCAAGTGGGTTTCAGCTTCGAACACTTCGATCTACATTTGAGGCATACGCAGTTGCCTGCCACGCTGGAATGAAGCCGAGCTTTTACTATTATGGGAATACAAGGTGATGCGGAAGTAGCTTTGAGAGACAGTAATTCGCATCCAGTCCCAGCTCATAGACTTCCCGCGTTCACGGACGGCATTGGCCTGTGGTGCGAATGGCTTCCTATACAGGACATCCAAACAAACGTATTGGACAACCCGTTCCCGTTTCCGTTGACAACAATGGGCGAAAGACCTGAGTCGCGCAACGTTTGGAGGTCAGTACTCAAAGAGCAAGAGGCAACGCTGTCAGACCCGCGCAAGCAAGTACTGCAATTCTACGACAGCTGGGTACAGGCAGACCCCGAGGCTTTTACACAATATCACCGAATTCGGTCAAATAAGGCGTGGATGGCTTTCTTCAAGGATGCATTTGACAAAACATCGGCCTATTCCACGCACATCTTGTGCAAGGGGCAGGATGGACCGTTGTATATATACAACCAGGATGGCCAGCAGTATCTTCTTCGTTCATGGCTAGTAGGCTGCAATGTCACCACCAAGGCACATAGTCTTCAGCAAGCCGAGGAAAACATCAAAATCGGATATGACAAGACACGAGATAGCGATTCACTCCCACAGAACCGAGACCCAGTCTTTACGGAACGCGCCTACATCGACGCTGAAAATGTACCCCAGTTTGTCGAAAGGATGAAAAAGAGTCCAGTTCATGACCATGCCAAGAATATTGCCTATGAAGACGTATGGTGGCTAATGATGATGCGTCTTCATGCATGGACTATGAGTGTCCAATGAGTGGACCGAGGAGGCGTTCAAATCCCAAGCGAGTACTATGACAATCCAGCCCGGGTGTATATCTTGTAATAGCACGGTCTGTCCGTATTGCTTTACTCTCTATCTACGTTTTTTTGGTCTGTTGAACTCATCCCATATACCATATTGGTCAATATACTCGCTCAAAGTTCCAGCATTCCTTTGATGGCCCTGTATGGGCATATTGTGTTAGCTTTTGTTGGCCTTGAACAGCCAGCAATCACCCAATCGCGTAACAAAATGTGCGGCGGAATGCTACATCTCACCACAAATGAACGCTCTGTGTTTTTTCCATTTGATGTAGCCATTAACCATTGCTCAAGCATAAGTCATAACCATTGTATCAACTTGCTAAGCAAATCGCTCATGATATGCACATTGATTCTGCGCGCATCGCTCAGCACTACAGACGCGCAATGTACCCTCCTGAGTAATTGTATCTCACCTGGCAAAAGACACGTAGTACCACACAAGGTTTCGGCGGGAATAGGCTTACCGATGCGTTTCGCGAAGTCAAAGGTACCATGCATGACTATGGACGAGACCGCACAGCTGCTAAATGCTTAGTCGAGCCCACGTCACCCACACAGTGGAATGAGAGCGATCACTGGTGGCACGCGCACAAGATCACGGCACTGGAAAAATCAGGAATAATGTTGGGGGAGAGCACATTGCTCGAAATGTGCATTTGCAGTAATGACTAATTGTGTCGGAAGAAGTGAATCGTAAATGGTCGTTGCAAAAGGGTCGTGTTCGAAAGACCCAGTCCACCGAAAACCGATGAAGAAGAAGAAAAAGCCCAAGCCCAAGCCCCAGTCCCGAAAGCCTAAACCCCAACCTATACCCATGTACACCTTTTTTAACCCGCGCATCTAATCCTTGTGTAGCATGCGACCAGCCATCCCTAAGCGGACAGAGAAAGAAGAAAGTGTAAAAAGTGTTGCCTAAGCGGAGAAATCCCTAGCGTGGGCGCGCTTCTGAATGGAAGCGACAGCAGCGAGCTGAGGGCCGGGCGCATCCTTGATGGTCTCACCAGCCTGGTGCCAGTAGAGGTCCCACTGGAGGAGCTCGTCGCTGGAGTGGTACAGCTCGGTACCCTTCTTTCCAGCTGGGACCTGAGCGCTGTCGTCACCGCCGGTGACTTTGATGTTGAAAGCCTGAGGCCAGAATTGGCGGTTGCTGACATCGCCGTTGTTGTGGATGGAAACGACCTCAGTTCTGAGGACGTAGTTTCCGCTGGGGATCTCCTTGGGGATGGTGACGCTCTGGGAGTTGCCGTTGTCGTAGAAGATGGCGTCGGTACCCCAGTATCCGGTTTGGCCTTGGGATTGGCCAGAAGAGTAGCGGCCCTTGCGGTAGTCGATGAGCGCGCTCTCGTGGATCTTGAAGAACTCAAGCTCGGTCTTCTCGACGTTCTTGCAGTCGCCGTTGCAAGAAGCCATGTAGGTGGCTGTCCAGCCGTGGTGGGAGCAGTCCCAGCCCTCCTCACCGGAGCCGCAGCTACCCTCGTGGTGCCAGGTGAACTTGACGGGCTCGCCAGCGGGGGCTTCGACGGTGTACGGGGAAGGGGAGGCATCCCTGTGCGCAATGATGTCGGGGCTGGAATGCAGTTAGTATATGAACGAAAAGGATCTACTATAGGCTTTGATAAACATACTGGTTCAGCTTGTCGCCGTAAATGGGCTGGTATCCCCAGCCCTGGTTGGTCCACCAAGCAGGCGACTTGTTACCAGGATCCTGCTTGGAGGCCTGGCGGAAACCATCGTAGGTCTTGCCTCCAGCCTCGAACTTCTCGACAGAGGTGTGGCCGGCCACGGCAGAGATCAGGGCAGCTACGAGAGCGCCGGTTTGGAAAATCTTGGACATAGACATGGTTGATATGTTGGTGATCGTAAGGTACGGTTCTTTGGAAGAGTTTTTGGGTGGTTCTGTATGAAGAGTGTGATGTAAAGCGAATGATTGGTTGATAGCACCGGGCTATAGAAAGAATGACTGGTCAATGAATGACTGAAGAGCGAGTGACTTGCTTGCTGTGAGCGTGAAGGATATCCTCTACCAAGGGCGGACGGCAGCCCTTAAGAATACTCGCAGCAGCACACAGCCAAGATGCTGCGAACGTCCAGACCAACATTTCGCAGGCGCTTGCTTTTCGCCCCGCATTTCCCGTCGGCCGCGAGGGGCTTGCACGGTGGCTTCTGCTTTCTTTGACGTGCGTCGTGCTGACCAAAGAGCTGCGCCGGCGCTCAGCATGTGGAGAGTGTGCCTGACGCTAATGTAGGTACGAAAGGACTAGTTTCTTAGTCACGACGACTGGGTTCGCCCGGCGCGTTGGAGAACACATTCGCTACCGTAGGTAGTCATCTGAGCGCGTATGTCAGCTGTGAAGATGACGAAGTGTGCCCCTTCTCTTTGCATCGTACTAATGCTGTCACGTCGTTGTCGGTGTCTCAGCCTGCAGTGCTCTGCTCATCCCCAAGTGGAGTTGGCGTACGTATCTTCGTATGTCGAAGCCCGGACACAGAAGCCTCAAGGAATTTTGGTGGATCTCGGAGAATACCGAGATCAACCTCATCAACCAAAACGACGAATCAAAAAGGCGTGATGTCATGTGAATTTGCGTTTGAAATGACTTGGGCTGTTTTTCTCGCGGTCGGATCGCCGCTCGGTTGTGTGTCGTGGAAGCAGGGGTAAATACGGGGGGCTTCCGCTGCCGCATAGCGCCGCTGTTTCAGCCACCGGAGGGCTATCGATAAACAGCCTATCGACAAGGCCCATTGCCTCTCAACACATGCCGGACGCATGCAAGAACTACGGTTCACTTCTGCGACGAAAATGTATGGTTGTTTCGAGAAGAACTGGTGCTATGTTTCAGAAGATGCAACTCGACCAACTTCCACCGAATGCAAATTTGAGATTGTAGCAATTGAACGCTTTCCGTCCTTCCTGGTAATACGAGCGACACGCGTGAGCACTGCCGAAAGCCTTGGTACTTTTGCTCCTCCGTGGTCCAGATGCTGGCACTCCGCTCAGGGATCTACATGTCGCCACGAGGAGGCTTGACCTTCCTCCTTGAGTTGTGCACCCGTCTGATCCGGAGGATTCGGATGCATGCGAGCGTATCCCGCAAAGCCTACAATACCGTGGTAGCCCTCGGTATGGGGATAGCTGCGGTATCGGCAAAAAGTTACTTACGTGTAGGAAATGCCAAAGCGGAATAGCAACATGATCAGTAATGTTGCAGACGGCCAACCAGCGCTCCGCGATACCGATGCCTCTGTACCATCATAGTCGTGCAGCAGCAACCTTGGTTCCCAGTGTTCTCGATGGTTTGATTAAGCGAACACATGCTGGCAAACGTGGAAACACTTGGTCCATACCTAGAAGATTCGGGTATTTTTCAGCATCATTATGTGGCGTTGTCCGTGTGTAATTTCCTGCGTTGCTGTTGGCCAATGGTCGTTGTATTGTTCGATACTACATCAAAAGAAAGTTGACAGAGTGTTCCTTGGTCGTCTCGAGAAGCCCCGCTTTGGAACCTGCATTGTCCTTTCCTTTCTTTTCAGAAGTGCTCTTATGGGCTTTCTGCAACGGCACCTCGAGGATCGTCACCCGGCACGTCTCTGTTAGCGAGAAATGCACCCAAGTATTGATTTTCTGCTTTGCTAAAGCGGAAACTCGATCTTAAACGTCCATCGCGTAACAGCATTGACTTTGATCGGCATTGCGTTGCAGCTTTCCAAGGTGCACTCAGTGGCATGCGTCGAGGCCATTCTCATCGCTACTTGCAACCAACGGCAGTATCTGCGGAAAATCTCTTGAAAGCGCAAGAAAAGCCGAAGATGAGAAGTCCGGGTGCGATGCACTTCCAAGAAGCACCCAGCAGCACTTGGTGTGTTCGTAATGTCGTCACTGCCGTTGCAGTAACGATTGATCATATCACGGAGCGAACGCTAGTAGATACCCAGGTACTAACAATGTCGTGGTCGAGTATATACAATAACTAGCTACAGCACCCCCGCACCTCCTCAGCGCACTTGCGTGCTCGCATTTCTTCTGCTCGACTTCCCGAGCCTCCGATCCTGAACCGTGATACCGTTACAGTGTCCTTGATGTCATCATTCGGCACGTCGACCTCTTCGAACAATGCACTCATGCATTAATGCTGCACCTTTGCAGCTTCAGTATTCATCTTCGTGATCGGTCGCAAATCCACTCCGTACCGACTAAAACCACATGCACAAAGTTCTAGTGCAGTATCCATTGTAGCTATGCGCGGATGCGCTTCGATGCGCGTGGTGGCAGCATCTTTCGCGGGAACCTGTGCCGCCTACCATAATGTTCTCATCAGGAGCCATGCGTAACTGGGAGACCTACGACCTGTTCAAAACTGCTGGTTGTGACATTTGGCTGCACATAACGATGACGTTGTTGCCGCCGGCGCCCTCAGAAAGCCCATTGTGATTGATCGTGACAGAGTAGAGAATGTGCGCTGTATAGTTTACCAAATCGTTTCGAAGAGGCACATGGTCATCCCACTCTTTTCTTCTATTGATGCCCAATAAGGCAGATCGGCTGCCGTATTATCAGGCCTAATGCAGGGCGCCCAGTTCGGCCTCGAAGACAGGATGATGTCTGGGAGATGGCATTATTTTATTCCAGATGTTCGAACAGGTCGATAGTATACCAAGCCAATCGAAGTGTGCATCACGCTCATTCACTAGCAGCTATTGGCGGAGTTGTCTTAACAAAGTCAAAGAATTTCGTTGCGTTTCTGCGGACTCGAAAGTGTCCGATATTTCGTATGTATCTTCAGGTAGGTTCTTCTGTCAATCCAAGATCTTCCATGATTCTTGTTTGCACACGAAGTTGACTGACTGTATGAGTCGCTCGTGAGCCTCTGCTGTTGTTTTGGACTCGGCTTGCATCCGGATCAAGAGTAGTCTTCTGCAATGCTCAAGTCTTCGAGTGGCCGTAACTGCTTGCTGTCAAGCCTGGCTGACGATATATATATACTATTCTGCACTATGATCAGTAGTCCACTGATTATACGTACCTTTTAATTGTATAGCGTGGTGGTGTAGGGCTGCGTTCTGACACTTGCCACTCAATTTGTCGTGGTTGGACTGTCGGTCGGTCGCTTGGTTGATAATTGAGCATCTACGCCTGAACTCGAGCCTCTTATGCGCTTCTTGAATTATCTCTCAACACTCCCCAAAGAGAAGCATTTCCCATTTTCCATGGAGTCCATACTCCATGTAGGGCCATCGTTGCGCATCCGGATAAAATATTCTGCTTCCCACAACATATGACCAGGTCATGTAGAGGACATTACACTACAAATACCTGATACTTCCAGCTCCGTGATTTAACTGTGGTAGTCCGTACTTCGGAAGCCCGCAGGGAATTGAGTGTCTTTTCGAGGCTGTCGTGAATTGGTGCCAATTTTTCGTAGCTCCAGCAGACTCAGAACTTACACCAATTCCGGTTGCTTGCGACTTTGCCTAGTATTGCGTGGTTTCTTAACTTATTCGCTTTCAAATATCCGCACCAGAGGTCATCTATCGTAACGGCTCGGTGATCTTTTGAGATGTTATGCTTACTTCACAACACGGGCTGATTGTTGCATTCGTCCTCGAATATTCCAAGAACGGCCGCTCGACAGCGTCGAGCTACGAGGGCTCCGAAATAGCTTTACTAACAGTGGCTTAATGCTCGTTGAGCGGTGCCGTAAGCGTGTCATCTTTCCCGAAGATCATCCACACCGCGACAGTAACCCTTATGAGTATCGTATTAGACTCCAGCATGTGATTTATACCTCATGTAGCCTCGTCGACCGCCAGGAAGTTGAATCCGTAGCTTATGAAATCGAAGATCCAGACTCAGTCCAGCGTATTGAGCGTTTTCACAGCATCATTGGCCGTGTTCCTTCCGAATATCCTTGGTATAATGGGCTGAAGTTGTATCAATGTAATGAGGGGAGAAAATAAGATATATACAAGAATTTTGGGTACATGAGCATGGTGATGCAGCTGCCGAGAGCGGTACCAAGTCTAGAGAGGATTTCGGGACACAAGTAGGTAGTCTTACCTGACCAGCGTGAGAAGGGCCCAAGACTACGAACCAACCTCTCCTCTTCGCTGGAAGAGCCCTGTTGATAATACCACCCAGCTTCTGTACTGCTATATAGGACTCACACGTCGTTACCTTCATGATAGGCCATCCGGGAAGCGGCAGAGCGGAGCTTTGCGGACTTCCATGGCTTGCGATAGCGGCTTAGTCATTAAAGAGCGGGTGTTGAGGAGTACGGTCTGAGTTCGGTAAACGTCCAGCTACGAACGAGCTCTCATTCTTTTAAATCAGCTGTAGATAGCGGGTCGCTGCTCAACAGTGGATCTTGATCTTGGGAAGTCCGAGTTCTATTGTCAATGAGTGATGCGGAATTGGGAAAGTGCTAGGGGTAACGAGCTTTGAAACCCAGGACCAGGGCCCGTCGCGGAAGCTATGACCGGTTCATCTCCAACACGTCTTCCTCAAGCACGCACATCCTTACAACAGCGCAACTCAAGTCAAGGCGAGATGCTGACCTGAATGAGCGTTCGCTCTAGAGCCCCATCGCCAGTATGTCTTCATTCCGCGTTGCCGAAACACAATACCGTGTTTCGACCGCGCAATGGTTATTGCAGCAAAATTCGGCTTCGAGCATTCGTAATGTTGCCGGCGAGACAGTGAGGTTGTGAAAGGTCCTCTCGTAACAGAGCTTTGGTACATTATCAGGCGCATCGAGGTGACCAGAAGTTGATGCGCACAGCCCTTTCACATGGGTAGTATAGCGACGCGAACGACGCGTCTTCCGAACGATAAGTGGTTGTCCT